GTTGTACCACCACCTTTAATTGCGGACATGTTTGCGATGGCTATTCGCGCTTTCGATGACGCCATCGCTAATGACGTCCTGGAACTTTTCCCGGGCGGTTTGTCATCTTTGTCTCGCTTGTCGGACTTGCAGATCCAGAAAGTTCTCGATGATCAACTTTCAGGAGGGCAAAATTACACGAAGGCAAGGCTGTGCTTGTATGGTACTACTGCGCTCGTAGCTCTTGTTGACCCTGATCATCAAAATCTATGGCTCGCCAATCTAGGTGACTGCCAAGGACGTACGTAGGACGTGACAATAATATTTGTCGTGACGGCTAACGTTCTGATTCAAGTGATGGTCTCAGAGACTGATCAGAAAGCGTGGAATGTCGAGGTTTTAACGCGATCACATAATGGAGAAAATCCTCTCGAGGTTCAACGCGTCATGAATGAGCACCCTGGTGAGCCAGAGTGTATTTTGGATGGTCGTGTGCTTGGAGCTATTGCACCCTTTCGATGCATGTTACATTCAAATTTTCAGATTTCACTATTCGCTGACATGCTCAATTGAACAGGTCTAGGAGACACCCCCTTCAAACAACCACCCGAGTTCACTCGACGTATCCTCTACAATCTATACCCTGGTCAACATGACACATCACCTTGGGAAGAATTTCTCATGAGGAACCACACGCCTCCATATATTTCATCCACGCCGGAAGTCACGCATTATCCCCTTGATCCATCGCCCCGAGCTCCTCGCAGATACCTTATTCTCTGCTCAGATGGGTTCACGGACATATGCGGCACAAACCAACATGTAATTGTTGATCGGTGGGCCCGTGCGGCCGCATGTAGTAGCTCAAGAGAGCTAGATGAAAAAAGTCTGGCCCTCCGACTGCTTTGGCAAGCGCTTGGTAATGATCCGACGAGCGTATCTCGTGTTCTGACTTTGAACATGGACTCACCTTGGTTAGATGATGTGTCTATTGTTGTACAGTGTTTATAATGTATTATATGGCGATAAGTCTGAAGAACATACTTATTCTACTTTAACATGCTTGCTAACCCACATATGGAATTGTTGTGGTCGACTAGTGTATTTGCTATTTGTTTACCGTTGACAAATAAGGACAACCAACGGTTTCTTCTGAACACCGGGCTGCCGTACAGGACGCGGAGACCATATGCCTCTCTCCTCATACATCATTGTATTGCCTTAGGGAGACTGATGGCGAAGCCACTTCAATCCTCTGCGTCTACCGATTCCTCCGACCTGTTCGGCCCTGACGATCCAGAGTTCCTTGAAGCTCTCAGGAACGCGGTGCTACCCGGAGATCAAATCACAGCTCCCTCACCTGACACAGAGTCACTGAGTCGCAAGCGTCATCATGATGAAAGTGACGAGCAGCAAGTTGAGACGACCTCACACGGGACCTTGACTCATAGACTCCGTGACACCGAGGATGATCCCGAGATCTATGGCGCATCTCGCTTTGGACATTTCGGAGAATACATGCATCGCAAGCGCGCCAAACTCCAGATACAGAATGCAGACCTAGGCGTTGGCACCACAACAAAAACATTTAGCGGTCTTTCAATATATGTGCGTATCTCCACCGTCATCTCAGGAATGCAGGGTCTTGACTTTGATCGCAGATTAACGGGTGGACGAATCCTTCAGTTCAAGATCTGCGTCAGTTGATAGTGACGCACGGGGGTGTGTTTCAACCTTACCTGGATAAGAAATCATTAGTGTCTGCACCTTCCTTATCAATCCAGTTATTTCACAAAGATTCATCGCCCCTTATACAGGACCCATATCATCACTTGCTCACTGACAGCTGCGAAGATCAAAGAATGGAAGCACATGAAGATTGTGAGGCCTGATTGGTTGGTGGATAGTGCCGCTGCAGGAACCTTAATGCCCTGGAGGAATTACATTTTCACACCTGAGGCCAGGGTCGAGCAACATCAAGGAGCGCACACGCCTCAAAGTTATCTGTCTACGGATTCACGTATAGCAGCATGCTCCGGTATGCGTAAGCATCAACAGCCACCATCAAACAAACAGGTTTCTGCGACAACGCCTGATTCCGGCATGACACGTATTGCCGCCCCTGAGGCTAGTGACCCCGCATCTTATTCACCCCGACCGCTGCATGTTACGGATCCTGGCACGTACAAAGACGCTGCACGCGTCCCTGGATACGCCGCTCATACATCGAACCCGCTAGCAGAGCGCGTGATGGCTAATCCTGAATGGAGAGCCGCACATACCTCCGTGGCACCGGATTTCATAGAAGGTTTTTACAAACACTCACGACTGCACTACCTGTCCACATGGAAGGCTGAGCTGAAAAATTTGGTTCAACAAGCCCAAGAAGAAGTTGAAAATGGGTTGATACATGAGTCTATAGGCGACCTTCAGGACATAGCTAAGAGTAGTGATGCCAACATGAGCGGGGCACAGCTCGCGGCGAGGTCTCCATCAAAAAGAAAAGGAAAGGAAAAAGCCCCAGGTTTGAAGCGTGTTATCATGCACTGCGACTTTGATTGCTTTTTCGTTTCCGTCGGTCTTCTGAGTCACCCTGAGTTGCGAGGCAGACCAGTTGTCGTTTGTCACTCGCAAGGGAGCACAGGGGGTGCATCGAGTACAAGTGAAATAGCAAGCTCAAGCTACGAAGCCAGGTCATTTGGGATCAAAAACGGAATGAGGTATGCTACATGCATTTCATGTGTTGACTTGTGAGTAATAGCTATCTTCAGCCTTCAGCAAGGACGGAGATTATGCCCTGATCTTATGACTATGCCCTACGAATTTGAGAAGTGTGTATTTGTCTTTTCATTCATTATACTCACCCAACACGAGATCAGATATAAACAGCTGTCGTTGCGTTTCTACACTATTTTAATGCGTCATGCGGATGATATCCAGGCCGTCTCCGTTGATGAGGCTTTAATTGAGGTTACCACGAGTGTTTCCCGATATGCTCTCCGGCCGTCTTCCCTAGCATTCGTGGATGATCCCGCAAGGTCCCTTGCAGAACAGATACGGTCCGAGGTCAGAGAAGGAACAGGTTGTGAAGGTACTTCACATTAATGTGTCCGTCGTCGCTTACTGACACCAGCCAGTTAGCATTGGTATCGCGGAGAACATACAACTTGCTCGCATTGCGACACGTAAGGCTAAGCCTGCAGGATCATTCCATCTGAAACTAGAAGGTGTAGAAGAGGTTCTAGCGCCGTTAGATATCGATGACCTTCACGGCTTCGGACATTCTACGCGCCACAAAGCGAACGAGAAGCTCGGAGCCACAAATCTCGGCGAACTCGCTAAGAAAAGCAAGGCCGCACTGTGCGACGCGCTTGGCAAGACTACTGGCGAAACTTTGTACAATGCGATCCGTGGCATCGATGAACGAAAGCTCGAGTCTGACAAACCGAGGAAGTCTGTCTCATGTGATATCAACGTGAGTTGCTGATAACTAGTTTGGTTTATGTAGTCACTGAGCTCTGAGTCTAATTTAGTATGGAATCCGTTTTGAAAACGACGGCCAAGCCAAGGCATTCATCTACCAGATGGCCGAAGAAGTTTCTCGGAGATTGAACGCTATCGACATGTGTGGACGTTCTTTAACACTGAAGATTATGAAACGCGATCCAAGTGCACCTGTCGAGGGACCCAAGGTATCAAGGATTCTAGACCTTATTCAAACCAGGTGCTGATGAATGTTCACCGTTCAGTTCATGGGACACGGTATCTGTGAAACGTTCAGCAAGCAAACTCTATTAAGCAGCACAAATGGCAGAGCTACAAGCGATCCAAAGGATATCGGTGACCACGCATGGGCACTACTGGATTCCTGGGGATTCGATCCGAAAGAGCTGCGCGGAATAGGCATTCAGGTACAGAAGCTAGATGTGCTGTCGGCATCTGACATCACCGATCCTGGGCAAGTGAAGCTACCCTTCCACGCTAGAAGCTCCAATACGACTGTACAGGAGAACACTGAACAAGATGTCCTCCCAGTGCCTAGGATTATCACTGAACCCCCTTCGCAAGATGATCCACTCCAGAATGAGAATGAGGCCGGTCCTTCACGTCCATTGCCTACATTGGACCTTCCCTCTTTCTCCCAGGTTGACAAGGACGTCTTCAATGCATTACCAGACGACGTCAAGAAGGAACTAGAAGTTGAATATCAACGCAGATCACGTTCGCCAATGCCGGCGGAACAACCCTCTCAAGACGTCCGACCGACAATCCTAGTCAAAGGCGTCAACGTCAAAAGAATCACTCAACAACTTGCACCCAAGAACAGAACGAGCGTATCCCCCCGCAAAAACACGCTCTTTGCAAAACGTGATGTCCCATCGTACATGCGTGTATCTGACACAGAGCTTCGCAAACTTGATATCGACCCAGATGTGTTTGCTGCTTTACCTTTGGATTTGCAGCGCGAGCAGGTGATCATGGTTCGACATGCGAGAAGTGGAAATCTCTTTCAAGAACGCAAGATCATCAAGGCTTCTAGTCGCGCGCCATCTGCACCTTATCGCAAGAAACCCCCTCCTCAGGCTAAGCACCCGGAGCCTCCTCTTTTGAAGCAGCAGGGCAAGCAGCCAGGGGAGAAATTGTACTTCGCGGAAACTGGAGATGTTCAGACCGTCATCGAGTCATGGGTCAAGGGATTTACAGAATATCCTCCGAAGCAAAAAGACGTTGACTACTTCAGCAAATTTTTGGTGCGGAGCGTAGAATCGGCTGATACAGGCATAGAGAAAACCATTGCTGTAATGAAGTGGTGGCTTATCCTCTTGAGGAGGAATTGGGAGGTGTACGAACGCACGAGCGGCGCGGAGGAGAATCATGATGGAAATTCGACTGCGGAGATCATCGGAAAGGCTTGGTGGAAAGCATTCTGGGAAGTGAAGGCCAAAGTCGATACTGCTGCCAGAAGACGCTTTGGTGGTTCATTATCTCTCAAATGATGGTTTGATCTAATACAGAGTAATTTATGCTTCTTCTTCAACAACTTCCTTGGTCCCAGAAGCTAAGAAGATCTGGACAGGCTGTCCATGTATCTTCGCCTTGCAGGCTGTCACAAATGAAAAGTTAATCAATCCAGCACCTTCGAATACGGCTTTGATGTCTGCCTCCTCAAATCCACCCTTGTGCGCAACAAGATTCGACTTGAGTGCTCCGGTGGGAAACAACGCCTGTACAGATTCTGGAGAAGAAATTTTCATTAAATCTGTGACCAAGAGCGAACCCCCTGGTTTCAGGTATGATGCAAGAGCCTTCGTGACATCTTCGATAGAGGGGAAATGGTGATACGCCGATGCACACTAGAATTCGTCAAGGTGAGAGCGTGGAACATTGCAGTCGGAGACGTACCACAACCACATCAAACTTCATTCCATCCAGCTGATTTGGGGCTTCAGTAGTAAGATCACAGCACACAGCTCTCATCTCCTCGGGTGGTATACCCTGATTAAAAGAGCTCTGATTGTACTGATCGACCATGCTCTGGCTGATGTCCATGCCCACGATGCATTTGACATGCGCAGCGAGTTGTCTGGAGATCAAACCTGGAGTATGACGGACAAATTCACAAGAGCGCTACGAAACCCTTCGTATGCATGACTGACCTGTGCCACAAGCATAGTCTAGAACCAACGTCGAGTCCTCCTCGAATAGATAGGCGTTGATCATGGCTGCTCCAAGGCGCCGAGCTAGCTCATGTCCGTCGGGATGATCATTGTACTGATGACCATGCTCATTGAAATAATTCTTGTTAAATTCCTTGAAATTGTGTTGCTCCTCATGGACTTGGGAAGAGCCATGGGGGTTGGGAGAGCCATGATCATGGCTATCAGGGTGGTGGTGTTCAAGTTGGTCACGATCATGTTCGGCCATTGTGCGAGCGCTTATGTTCGATTCAGGTTTTCGATATTTAAGTTGCCACCTCAGCACAGCCCATAGTCTAGTTAGACTGGTGACCAGCCCGTCTATGAGGCAAACCGTCGATAGACGGACTGGTAAAACTGGGTTTGAATTTGGATCAAGCGCGGATTCTCAGGATAACGTGATGTATAAACCTTTTTTGGAATAGCAAAACCACGTGAACTTTTGCTAAGGCCTTTGCAAGTATCGCTAAGTTTGATCGACGTGCGTGCTGTAACGTTCGACACAATAACGTTTTAACGTTCATATCAGACTCGTTCCATCACTTCATGTATATTCATTCTGCTTTCTGTATTCAACCTGCTACTTGAAGGATGCCAGTCTCTTCGACAGTTCTCAATGAGAACTTTAATCGATCTGTTGACTCTGGTTTCGTAGACATTACGACAGGTCTCCCTGCGGCTGCCGCAGCAACTCCGTCGCGTCTCTCACCTCACGAACGCGTGAAATCTGTTGTCAAGATCCTGAAATGTTGTTCCCTTGCAAAGTAGCACACGTAGCTCTCCAAGCTTGCCATATGCAGGTCGAAATGCTTCTTCACCATGATGCGGAAGCCCTGCGGTATGAATATTATGTGCTTCATCAATATGTACACGCTTAATGCGTTGAGTGAAGGTACGATTTTGTCGGAGAAGTCGTGCAAGGCGCGGAAGGTGACCATTGAACATTGATAGCTGCTCCGGTGAAACAATGAGATGAGTGAATTTCCCTGCGTGAATAGACTAGCAAGATATTTTATGTTAGTTTTGGTGCACTGACAACGACGCTGATGTGGCACGCCTGAACTTTGAATTTACCTCCCAGAGAGACAGATCTGTCGGAGTGTCTTCGTTGATTGCGATCGTAGGTATGCCATATTTTGTCGATTCAAGAACCTGTGATAATAGCATAATTCTGCATGTGCAAAAACAAAGTCATTACACTCCAGCCAAGTTACCTGGGTGGCCTGGAGTAGTGCTGCCGCGGTCCGGTCCAGAACCACGGTTCGAACCGGACTTTTGGTCCGGTTCTCTGTGGTTCGGTCCATGGTTCCCTCACCAGCCAGAACCGGACCGGAAAGCGGTTCTGGGTTCTGGACTTCACTAGTGGTCCGGTTCTGGTTCGACTTTCCCGAACCTTCCCGAACCGTTCCTTGACCTTCGAATCCCCTCGACTTCGACACCAACCACGACGACGTCGGTGTCCATGTCGACATCAAAACACCGTCTTCGAGATTTGCATTATTTGTTAATCAGGCTACTGTTAGCCTTTTTGAAGGTAAGTACTAATCAATTTATTCTCAAGACTCTGACATATGTTTACCTATATCACAGATATCTACTTGTTCTAGTCTATATGCTTCCTGGATAGTCATGATCCTCCACCGGTTCTCAACTCTAACAGACATCAGGAAAACCCCAACTTACTTAATCTTGCTTAATCAACTTAGCCACATTTGTTTCCTCTCTCATGCATCATCTACCTAGTAAATTTTGTATTTTTTTAGTGTAACCTGTAACAAAATATGTATGCTAATATGACTGAACAACTTTTTCCTGAATATGTCAAATTTGAATTTCTAGCAAAGTAGGCTAAGTCACTAAGTACGACTTAAGTCTGTTTAAGGCAAGCTTAAGTAAGTTGGGGTTTTCCTGATGGATCTCCTTGGATATTGTCGCTCTGTCTAGGTGAGTATCTTTTTTTTTTGCTTAAGTCCATGTCTCATTTTGTTACAGTTCTTGACCCTAACTATAAGTTAGCATACGTCGAACAGTGATGGACTGTGACGAAGGTCGCAAACGGGAGGGCTCGTCTTGAGGCAGTGGTGAGTACTATTCAAACTTAAGTACCCTACCGGTCTCTAACTCCAAATGTATTCTTAGTTTGACAAATATTATCAAGCGCCTCCAGCCCCAGGACCACATCCCAAGGAGCCAGAGGCCACGTCATCAACAACGAAAGCTTCGATTTGTTATGGTGCTTCCTGGATGCGCGACGCTATCATGGAACGTCAAGCTACAGACCATCGCATGCGCGATCCTCATCAAGAGCTCTCTGCATACCTTACTTCACCATTGGAGGAGACTGATGATGTTGTGGCATGGTGGGGTGTAAGTCAGCCCTCAAATTCATTGTTCCCCGCTTACATTCTTGATTAGTTACATTCGCTGCAGTACCCAACACTAGCTCGTGTTGCGCGTGATTACCTGCCCATTCAAGGCAGTTCCGTTCCCTCTGAATGCGCTTTCTCCAGCGCGGGCATCACATCAACTCTGCACCGCAACGCACTCGCATCATCCACTTTCTCCGCGCTATAATTGATGAAGGCAGCCTATAAGAATGGACATGTGTCAGCAGCAGTAGAGGCAGAAGGGTATGCAGTTGGTATGCAGTTAGACTAGCTACCCAATGTCATGTAGATGTCTTGTGAATGTTTTTTCCGTTGCTTGAAAAAATTTCAGTTCGGTTTGTGTTCGGACCAGACAAGAACCGGACTGGACCATTGAGAACCGTTCTCAATGGTCTGGTTCTGGGTTCGACAATTTTAAAGAACCAAACCATGGTTCGGTTCTTGGTTCTCGTCAAGGACCCTCTGAACTGGACCGAACCGGACCACGGCAGCACTAGCGAGTTCGAACTTCGATGTTCGAAATCAGTGTATCAAATCCGCATTAGTAGGAGTACATATCGCACGTCCCCTATGTTGGAGTATACATTTGTATTCTTTTGGTCTCAGTTAATGTTGCGATTGGGAGCTACGATTCTAGAACTGCTCTGCTCACGTACGTTGTAGTTTCAAAATTTTCAAACTACGCACGTAAAACCCGTTGAAGATATTAGTGACTAGTACTAGTGCTGCCGCGGTCCAGTCCAGAACCATGGTTCGAACCGGACTTTTGGTCCGGTTCTCCGCAGTTCGGTCCATGGTTCTTGCGCCAGCTAGAACTGGACCGGAAAACGGTTCTCGGTTCTAGGTCTTCCCAAACGGTCCAGTTCTGGTTCGGCCTTCCCGAACCATTCCGAACCCTTATCGACTTCAACTTCGACAACATCTGCCTCGACATCAGACTGTCGTCTTCGGGATTTACGTTGTTGATTAATCAAGCTACATTTAGCCTTTTCGAAGGTAAGCACTAACTAATTAAACTCTCAAGTCTCTCACCAACTCACCTCTATAACAGGAGGTTCTGTTCATTGAGGACCGGCTACAACACTGCGCAAGACTACCTTTTACTGGAGGTGGATATATTAGGCGTGATCAAGGTGGATTTTGGAGGGATTGTGTCTTGCACTATGCTGCAGAGGTGCGTATTATGATTTGTACTCTGAATGCTGATGGCTCCCTCGAGGGCCAGCACTCATCACTACCAGCGCACAACCCATCACACACCACACTACCTGCGCCTATGTTGATGCCTGCCACCTCACCGCATCCCCTCTCACTCGCTTGCTGTTCTTGCCGGCTGACTTTTGCTGGCTGGCTCGCCGTGTCTCACTCACCCACTGTCTCTCGCTCACTGTCTCACTCACCCACTGTCTCTCGCTCACTGTCTCACATGCCCGCTGGCTGCTCTCGCCCACTGTCTCTCACCCTCTGTCTCTCACCCCGCTTTCAAACCAATATTCCGCGACGACTCGACAAGAGAACAGAGGGGATCCATAGGAACGGCAAAGACACGCACGCTAATCTACTGCCCACCCCCCTTCTCCTCCAGAAGACATGCCATCGAGCTGTGATACGCCTCGCCACTCTACCCCAATGCCACCCTCTCCACCCACATCTCAAACACGTCATCAAGCACCAAAACATATCCCGGCACCATTCATCACTCGACAACCTTCCAAATATACCCCGATGAGACCGCAAGCACACCGCATACAAAGCCGAGGTCATACATCGGGACTTGAATGAGCTTTCGCTAATATGCTCGAGTAAAAGTCATGTCATTCACACAGCAGGGAAACTAACATTTTACCACCTTTTTCCGCCAGTGAAATCACATCCTAATGGCGGTTAACTGGCAGCTTACTTCAAATTGCTTGTCTAGATCAGACGCCGCAGGTTCACATTCCCCACAGTAAGCATTGGTTGTTATTGTGTTTTATTTCATTCTCACCATTTGTATAGATCAAATCAGTTAGCTCTTGGATCAGCAGCTACAGAGGCAGAGAGGGGTATGTAGCCATGTCATTGGAGTAGCTACTCAATGTGTAAACTAGTATTTCAATGTTTTTTTTTTCATGCTCACTGCTGAAAATTTTCGGGTTCGGTTCGAGTTCGGACCAGAAAAAAACCAAACCAGACCACAGAGAACCGTTCTCTGTGGTCCGGTTCAGGGTTTGAAGATTTTGCAGAACCGGACCATGGTCCGGTTCTCGTCCAGGACCCTCTGAACCGGACCGACTCGGACCACGGCAGCACTAGCCTGGAGGCGTTTGAGTGGCAAAATAGTCATACTAATGGTGCCAGGGCGGAGTAGGATAGGAATTATGATACATAATGTTTTTCCACTGCCAGTGCCTGCAGTTATGATGGTGTCTTGACCGTTCAATGTCGCAAGAACAGCCTCGAGCTGGAATTGTCGTGGAACAATAGCTGTTGCCGTCAACACGTACACAATCAAGCATGCGCGTAATGCATGCGTTCGGTCAGAGTCACAGAGTGTCTGAAGATAGTCGGTGGGAAGGCGTTCTTTGATAAGATCATGCGCGAAATGATCCAGAGCGTCGAGTGATGCGATGTGGATTCCCTGTATCAGTGATTGCTGGTCCATTGATTTTGCAGCACATATGAGGATGTGTCGCGTCGCGTCAATTAGTGAAAACTATATCGTTTATTTTGTATTCTACAATACTTGTTGAAAAACCCTAGTTCTTTTATTGGCTAGAGGTCACGTTATCCTGAGAATCCGCGCTTGATCCAAATTCAAACCCAGTTTTACCAGTCCGTCTATCGACGGTTTGCCTCATAGACGGGCTGGTCACCAGTCTATAGTCTAGTAGGGGCACTAGTACTATAAGGAAAATGCTGCGCCACTGGGCTGCGACTGCTGCGGTATCTGCCGTGACGTTCCAAATTTACGCTATACAGTGTACACTAATAGTTGTACTACTAACTTACTAAGTAGAGCAGCAGATTAACTCACGAGCAAAATACACTTGCTTGTTGTTGGCTACATACGCTGGACTCTGCATCGATTCCAACACGAGTTTGCAATACTATGATGTGCAAAATAACTGCTGAGGGACCATATATTATACAGCTCAAGTTTATTTTCAGCAAGTATACTAGTGTTGCAGCACCTTGTCGCGGGCGTCGCGGGCACCATATAACAGCACCCCCCAAATATGGAAAGAAGGTGCCCGCGACAAGGCGCCGCGACACTGTTCAGTAATTCATATTCAATTCCAAAACAAGCTGACTTTCTGCTATCTTGAGTAACAGCACAAGGATCTAAACGGGGGTAACGATGTTGTGTACAAAACAAAAGAATACTAGAGAACTGCGACTGAGTCATGAATTTCACGGTCTTCTTTCTGTGTGGAAATGATAGCGCGAGCGTCGGACTCCGTTCTACTCTGAGAACATAAATCCCAAAATCAAAATTCTCAGAAGAACTTCTGTTGATTATAACCGAGAACGAGATGCATGGCCGGAGTTCCTTTCAGTATGCAAAAACATGACCTCTCTGGCGCGCGACAGCCAATCTTATTTCTGGCGAATTGACAGAGTATCAGAGTATTACATTAAATGGATCTCTGGTACGACCGGACTTGATTGAAATCGATTTCAAGAAATAAGTCAGGGTCACGTGCGTGTGTTGATGGGAACGCGTCGTCGGAGTCACGAATTAAACTGTAGGTCCACAACCGCCACATCAATCCACATCAGATTAATGATCGATGGACCACTACATTTGCGCCACATTCGTCGACCGTATATAAGGCAAGCAGAAAGCAGACGTCTTCCTTAGCCTCTTAGTTTTCTCTCCCTCAACTAGCTCTGCTCACAACACTCAGTCAGCGCGATCATTGAACACCTAGCTTCATGTCCCCTGCTCGCGAGACAGGCACATCCTCTACCCCGCCACGCGCTAATGCATCAAGTCAAGGTGGTAGTAAAATAGAATCCACTCCAAACAGCCGTGGGGCTTCCGTCGTTAGCGAGAACATCAGCTTGGTCGGTGTCCAGTACGTACCTTTCTTGCTCTTATGGAGTAACACCTGACGTTCCATGAAGGGTTAAGGAGGTCCGGCCATGGATTCAGCGGGACATTGAGCAGGCCAAGCAGTGCAAGGCAGATGCCATGCTGCAAGCCCTCCTACAGCGCGCGTCTTGTGCCCCTGAGACGGAACAGCCCGAGCTCCTGCAAAAGTGCCTGAAGGGAATTCTGCCGGTTTGCAATGGACAGGTCTTCGCTGGCGGCATGTCCTCCTCTGGCATCGAGACAGCCCTGAAAGAATAGTGAGTGCTCCTTCGCTGATCAGACGCTTCCACGCTTACAATGATTGCAAGCGTACGTCCAGGAATAGAAAGCGACTTCTACAGCCCTTTTATTGAAGCCACGAACATTGCGCTCGCTTGTCTTGAAGAGATCAAGATTGACGGGATGCGTGCCCCTGTCTTCACTGTGGACATGATCTTCCAGCAGAACGATATGCCCATGTACCAAACCCACCAGACGGTGAGATCAACTCGGAAGCCCGACGTCGTCATTCTTCCTTTGAACAGCGCATGCGCTCCATTTGAGGATGAGAAGGGCAAACAGAAGAGCAAACAGAAAGACGACGAGAAGGGTAACACGAAGCACGACGAGGAGCACGACATGAAGCGCAAGGCTCACATGGCCAAGAATGCAAAGGAAAAGCCACCAGCGCCACTCCACTGGAAAGATGTTCTGGCTTGCATCGAGTTCAAGAGAAAGACGCCAGGGAGGACGAAAGAGATTAAGGCGCCGCCCTCTTCGTATACAGTAACAGACTATGTCCCTACTAAACCAGAATATCTGCCGGTGGATCATCTCAAGGCTGAAGTGCCTACGCCAGGCTCTTCGCAGACCCCAGCAACACAACCTGCGTCCGATAACGCGCGTAAGTGATTTGACTTTTGTATCCAAGATCAAACTGAATGAACCGAGCAGCAGTCCAATCTTCCGACCTTACTGCTGCACAGCCTTCCAAGGGCGGGTCCAGCTCCAAGCGCAAGGCCGCGGACACTTTGGAATCTACCGCGAAAAAATTCAAGGTCAATCCTGACGAGCCAGATGTGACTGTCCAGACGGGTCTGTACACTGCCGAAATGTTTGCCGCCAATCTTGCCGTCGAATATCTGATTAATTTCATCGTTGTCGGTGGGTTTGTTCGTCTGTCGAGACTGGTCGCGCTCTTACCACCGCTTTTTAGACGATGTGATCTGGACCTGGTATTATGATCGCCAGGGCACCGTTCAAAGCTCGGGCATTAACTTCATTCAAGATCTCCCGCGATTCATAGTGCTGTTATATGCGTTACAACGCTTCAAGGTTCACGATTGGGGCCGAAACAAGGACTTCCTCCCAGTTCAAGTTGGGGGGAAACAATGCCACGAATTCACAATCAAGGATGAAGATCTTGGAACGGTGGATCTGTTGCTTCACACTAGCCACGACGAAAGAGTGACGCACTACGGACTACAAGGACGGGCCACCAATGTGGTCCCTGTCACTAGCGAAGCGCTCACTAAAAAATATGGTCACTTCCAGGATGGAATGGTGGCCAAGATATTTTGGGGAGAGGCGAGTCGCACTAGCGAGCCGGAGATCCTGAAAAAGGTTGAGGAGATCGCTAAGAGGCACCCAACTGTCCAAGACCATATTCCTGAGCTCCTTTGGCACCACACGTTCACGAATCCCACGTCCGCCGTCCGAGAAGCGCTTGGTGTTCCGGAACCCAGCATGGGCAGTCGCGTGCTCTACATTCTTGTATTCCGCAAGCTCTACCCCATCACGAAGCTTCACGGCAAGGATCTTTTCGACGTCTGGCGTCAGTGTATCTTATGTACGTTTTTGATTCAGCTTATGTGGCTCTTCGTTGACATGGCCCACAGGCCACCTCACTTTGTGGAAGGAAGGGGTTTATCATCGAGATATCAGCCCTGGAAACTTGATGTGGTACAGGAAAAACCGCAGACTGATCGGTGTCTTAAACGACTACGATCTATCCTCGTTGGCGAATGCAGTGGGTCCTCAGGGAAACGAGCGTACGGGCACGGTACCGTTCATGGCGCTCGAGCTTCTCACCAAAGATGGTCAACAAGGCAAAGTGAAACACCTATATCGCCATGATCTAGAATCGTTTATGTGGGTTTTCGCCTGGATTTGCTTGCGTTATAGGCAGGGAGTCCTTCTACCGCAGAGATTGCGCCCTCTCGACGAGTGGGCGACTTTAGACGCTATTGCATGTGGCGAGAAGAAGTTAGCCTTTCTGGTGAATCCTCTCAATCATCTACCCCCGGACCTCCAAACTTCTCAATCGGAGGTAGATGTGTCTTTATGGGCTCTCCTTGTGGAATGTTTTCAGGTGCTCGATGCAGCCGCCTACAATCGCCGTAATCACGTTCGCCGTATTCTCCTTGCTCAGCTGGGATCGACGGAAGGAACATACGAGCAGATAAATGCCGAGGAAACAGTATCGGATATGGATGATTTACTAGGCAAATTCACAGGTACCGTGCCGTGGGTTAAGCTCAGCAACACTTTACTTTTATAGTGGTCGTTACACCACATATTGTTTTCTGTGTTTCGCTATTACTCATAGAATGGACGGATGTTACATAGATCATTCTTTGTAGTTCTGTCGTCCCCAAACCGTCAAATATAGTATGTGCGTTTGTTCTGACGAATTAATATACTATTAGAGTACAGATAGATCTCCAATATTCGTACGGCTTAAGTGAAATCGATTTCCAGGACTCAGCCGTCATAAGTTAGGGTCACGTGTCCGTGCTGATGGGGCGAATGCAAAGAGTAGTAATTAATGCATGAGATTGAGATAAGTAAACTGAGTATCAATTAGCGTAGGCATGAACTGAAGTGACAAGGCATCAATCGGCTAGTCATAAAATGGTATCAAGAGGCATAAGGCATGAAAGTGTAAAGAAAGGGTGACTGCTAAATCAATATCCACAACTCGGGTCGCGAGTCTGGTTATGAATAGTGGTATATGCTCAAGCTTAACACTCGAAGAAGTTGGGAAGGGGGGTAAATCAACAACACTTCGGCTAGGATAGCTTAATGTGAAATCAAAGCCATGTATACACCATAAGCATTGCTTTGTCAGTTCGAGGCATCGATGATCGTGCGGAGTGTCTGAATCTCGCGATGGAGGAGGTCGATCACACCCTCCATGCTACTCATCTTTCTCTTCACGTTGCTCAGCTTCACGGTTTTGGAGTCGGGGGCTGAGTTCGGAAGCTGGGGCACTGACACATAGCTCATGACTTTGGATTTGTTAGCGAACTGCATGTCAACCGAGTGATGCACCTACCGACTCTAGGCTGTTTTCGCTGCACCGCAGAAGTGCCCATGCGGCGAGCGGACATTTTCCGCGCCTTCACCCTCTCCGATGATCGAGAATGAAAGCCACCTCGCAAGCCCGACTTTCCTCGTTGCTTGGTGGGCTGGTTGACATCCAACTCACACTTTTTCTTCAGTTGCTTGCATGCAGTGCAAACCAACAGGAGGCCAGTTTTGCCCCTGGCTCTCATGCATATCTTGCCTTCCCTGGCACAACGAGGACAGGGATCAGTGGCGCTGACGGTGCCTGGCCGTGTTGTCAAGGTGTTGGCCTGATAATTGTCAATAAGTTAGTATGCTACCAGAAGTCAAACGTATCAGTCTTACCGAATTGCCATTTGCCTTCAAAGATAAAGCTGTCGGTGTTTTGGTCTGAAGCCTGTGATTAGTAAAATAACCAGACTATTGTTAGTAACTTACTTTCGCTCCAGGGTGTTGCACATATATCACTCCCTTGGATACGCCTTCTCCCGTCTTGTTGACGGTATTGGACTTGGTGTCTGCACAGATTCGTTTGTGCGCCCCATCCCTCATACCTCCTGTAAGCGGGGTTTGTAACTCACACCCCCGTTTCTTAGATCCCCGGTGATTGGACAGGCCCTTAGACTGGTCCGTCTGTAGTGTTTCCTCCTCTTCGCCATTCTCATCCACATGAGACAGAGACTTAGGACCAAAGACACGCAGCCGGCGCTCGCTAATTGCGCTGGAAGCCACGGAAGTATTATCGGCGATTAAAGGAACATCATCGGCAGCAGTGGGTGGGTCAGCAAGTAGTAGGACACCCTCAGGGAGGGCCTGTAACATCTGTTGATCCGGATGAACATACCACGTCTTGTGGATCAGTGGGTGGTTTTCGATCCTTGGGTCATCTTCTCTGATATTCTGCCAGCTGGGTATGCCGACCCACTGCTTGTTCTGGCAGATGGTGGTTATCTCTACCGCTGCTGACAGGAAAATGGGGTCGAACATTGTTGCCGCAGGTATGAGGGTTTGTACACGAACGAACTGCAGGATGGTTTGTTCAGTACACATAGAAAAGCCTGAGTTCAGACTTACCAATATCTGGCTAATCTTTCCCCGGTATTCTACGTGCTTTGGGTCGCCAGGTTGGAGCTGGCGAGCAAAGCCCAAAAGCCCCCGAATCGTGTCAGCCTCCATAGCTAACGCCCTGTTCTGCGGTGAAGTCATGAGCTTCGTAATAAACTGTTGCGCAGATGTTCCAGATGACATCGTCTAGATCTTATGATGAACTCAAGATAAGAATAGGACTGTAAGGGTCAGAAAAGCTGCAGCACATTCCAAAAGTAGCACTTCAACAGATTTCAACGCGTGGTACACGGTCACGTGACATACAAATACTTCCGTTCATATCATCGTTCGCCTACAGCATGGAAATTTGCTCAAGGACGAACTGTGGGCGCAAATATGCAAACGTGTTCTCCTAAAAAATTCATCGATACTCTTTCACACGCGTGGGTCGTGTGAGACCAGTATACTACCAATGTTCCAAAAAAAGAGGTACATGTGTTGCTCGTGATTTGTGAAGTCTCTGCGAGTGTCCATATTGTCCGTACACGAAAGCCAAAGATGATCGATCAACTGCAACAAAAACATTTGCTTCACACACCTATAAAGCTGGTGAGTACGAGATGCCTTTGTATTTGACGGGGCTCAGAGTATATTGCTTACCCTAATCTCACGGTTTCACAGACCGCAATTGCTTTCATCAACTTGGGTGGCCGTAACGGTGGTGCGCCCCAGAAACTCGGCCTGTCCACCCGTGAGGCCGTTCATAGCCTCAAGTGACAGGTTGAACCCATCCCGTGCCTCATCACCGACGTCAATGGCGGTAACATATTTGGTGGTGGTTACCGACGAGCTGGAGTAGGTGATTTCCCAGCACGATCCACAGTATGCCGAGTTCCAGCCCGTGATCTGGGGTGCACCTCCGATGTAAGGGAAGTTGGGAATAGAGCTAAAAGTAGTGTAACCACGCGACTCCAAACCATTGGAGCCGTCTGAGCAGGCCACCGTGTCGAGTGAGTTGGATCCCACATCATAGTTGGTATCATAAGAGAGGCTGTAAGATGTAGCGATGGCGCACGTAGCGAGGGCAGCGACGGTGGAAGTGATTAAGAACTTCATCGTGGGTACAAAAGCAAGGTTTTCGATGGAAGATTGATTAATCAACTTGCTGAACGATGAGGCCTCTTGGGGCAGTAAATTGAATGACTTACATACCGTATGAGAGCCCTTTTATGCACCAAGGGCAACTTGGAATTGAGCCGCACCGCCGGAGTCGGGTTTAAATGTCATCATTTCAGTATTTCTCCTTTCGTATGATGTCCGTATGTAGCGAAATGTACGGACAAGCTGAGTACGGCGGTTCTTCACCGTTGCATCGCATATGGCTACAAAGACTACTTCTAGAGAAGAAGGAAAAGAACATTGAGTATGGGATCACCCCAGCAAGGCAAATTCTCCGTACCTGCGCTGTGTCTGTAGCCTCGTGGTGGACGGTTCTCAACACGAGTACATCACAAACAAGGACAGGACAAGCAGTCTTCTGCTGAAGTGAGCCATGTCAAATTTGTTCAAAGCAATGGACTATTGCAATCACATGCGCATGAACATCAGCGGCGAGAGTCTAACCAATTTATGTCACCATCTCGGACACCATAGCCTGTCTATGCAAGTAAGAACATACCTTATATATCCTTAAATCAGTAGACAAATTGGTTCTAATGAGCCCATAAGAGGAGAAAGCAAATGGTCCTGAAACCATTGGCCACAAGTCACTAGATCATTCTTGCCCTAGGATACGACCAGTCTCGCGTTTGATATGACACAACTCTGTCCGCCCTCTCTTGCTTCGCGATGACACTCACGCTCCCCTGAAGTTCGTATTGACCCTGCGCGCGCGATGGCGTATATCACTACTGCTACCGATGCAATAGTTTTTTCTCGACTTTGACAAAGACCGGGACCCTGTCGTCCTGGTTTTTCTACCATTGTTGGATAACGAGGGTCAAGTCACCTGCCCTCATTCTTGCCACCACAGCCAAAATCGGGTAGATGAGCTCAGGTCAGACCTCATCGTCGCCGCGACGGGTTGGTTTCCGTAAAACATACAACCTGATTACTATGCCGTGGGGGGAGCAACAACTTGGGTACACGTTCTTACGAGAACATCTTGCAGTTTATGTGACACCCAACGCGTTGATTCGGAGGTTAGTGTGCATCAACGCGAACGTAAATGACGTAGCGGGAAATGTATTGGTAGTGAAACACGTCTGGGAGAGAAAGGACGACTCGATGGACTGGTCTGCGAGGAAGTTAACATGCCATGGGTCAGCGGAATCATAAAGCAGTAAGGACCACAACCATCCCGCTACATCACAAGTGACAAACCAGAGGCAAAGGAACGACTCGGATGGAAGGCCAAGAACCATGTGACTCTGTCGTGGAGGGTCATACAAATGTATGTGATGATCTCATTAAAAACAAATGAGTGGGGAACTATCGATAGACGAAATAAAGTGGGGGTGTAAGTATAGACTCATCTCTCTGCGTGTTTTGATATCAATGAAACAAGGGGGTTCTCTACGACTGGCCAAAAAATCTGGTGCCAGCCAACGGGAGTCGGGTAGTTGCTGCGTGCGCGGCGTTACCGGCAGTATGATCGCGGCAACTAGATGTCGAATCCGAGCCCTCGCATGCATTCGACATGCTTCTTGAGTACCTCAGCACATTTTCCTTCTTCGTTTCCATTCTGTAGAAAACAAGCATCGCGAGAGGATTTCGTTTCTGGGCAGGCACAACATCTGTTCACACGGAAGTAGCCCGAGTCAGTCGGGATGGTAAAAAAAAGCTTATACTTACGGTTTAAGACCTTGAGGGTTGAGAGGGTTCATCTTAGGGTCTGTGGGATCATATTTTTCTTTCAGGGCGGGTGCGGGTGTCGGTGTCGGTGTCGATGACCACCAAGACGAAATCTGAATAAGACGAATACAAAGAAGTTAAACAGCAAAGAAGGGAAGAAAATAGACTCACACTTTGGAACATGAGTACTAGTGCTGCTGAGGTAGCGTGGACTAGTGGCCAAGTCTGGCTATATACGTACTATGTCAAAGGCTGTCACAGTGTCAAGTGAGTATCGGTGACTCCCGGACTCTTCACAGGTACAGGGCAGCCCGCCCCTCAGGCCTCAAGGGTCGACCGTTTTTCAAATTCCGCTCTCCGTTGTTACTTCCGAATATTTTCTAAAGAAAGGAGGTGACCCCCAGGAAGGCACCTATGTTTGGGAAGTTAACCCCTTGATTTAAGCCACCCCACCCGTTTCGCCAAGTCCGGACCTTGTCAGGATCCTATCATCTGAATCATTTATGCGAGCTGAGCTGGCAGTAATAAAACACTCCAATGGCAGCCTTGTTTGACAACCACTACTTGGAACCATCTAAGGATGCCACTATTAGTGGTGCAGAACCATGGGTTGTATCATCTCTCCTGCGTTCTCCTCGTCCTATCAATTCTTTCAGTCAACGTTATTGGGCAAGCATGTATGAACTACGGTGAAACCTCTCCATCCAATACCTCAAGCTGTCTTTGTCCTCCGGGCTTTGGGGGTGTTACTTGTGCACAACCAGGATGCGGTGGTACCATATTCGATGGTTCTCATCGCTCTTTAGCTCAACCCTCGTCTGGCTTTGCGAACTTGACGGCGTCCGATTGCACCTGCGAAAGCGGATGGGGAGGAGTGGGCTGTAATGTTTGCACTACCTCTTCAGCATGCCAGGTTGCGTATGCCGCGGTCAATGGCAATGCAAATGCAACCTCGGGGCTTGGTGATCAGGTTGGTTTGAACGATACGATGGTTTGCAATACTGCCCCTGCTGTATGGGCAGCTGGCGAACTTAGCTGTCAAGTTAATGTAAGTGCAACATCGTTGAATTAGAGCGTCTGTTGTCCTCGAGTTGACTATTTTAAATCTAGAATCCAACATTAGAGGCACTGTATCCTCTCGGATCTACTCTGAACATTCTCCGTACTTTGAACGGCTCTCTATCACCATTGCACAACACCAGTGGAACGTTATTGTCGCCCTCCACTAGCTCCTCTATCTATGCTCAACTAATGTATGCTGGCGTCGAGCAGTTCTTTTGCACTGCTTCGCCCTGCACCCAGACATTATCAAACTCCACCACCACTGGCAGTTCGGGCAATACTGCCTCAAGCACCTGGACATGTCAAAATCTTTCATGTAGCTGTATCAAAAATGCCACATTCTGCGGCGGTGTACCGGTTTCAAACCTCACAACTACCATTAGCGGACTCACCGGAACATTGGTAGTTGCGTGCGATAGCACCAATACCTGCCATTTTCAGCAGGATACCATCAATTCAGTATTCGGAAGTCAGGGTTTATCCATGGAAGGCTGCGTCTTTGGTGAATGTGTCACTCAGGCCGTCATCGACACAACAAACACTACTTCTTCCGCTGCAGCTGCGTCGGGTGGAACCCAACTAAGCGGAGGAGTTATTGCAGGACTCGTTATTGTTGGTGCAATAATTGGGTTTGGGCTAGCATTCATTGCGTGGGGTTGGTATGTCCAACGAGCGGCGAAAAAGTTACCTTTCAATGGGGGCCAAAGCGGCGGAATAAGTGTTCGGTGGTCCGACATTTCATATATCGTGCAATCGCCTAAAAGTTCACCGTATTCCCTGATTGCCAAATCTTCCACCCCGGGGGGAAAGATCATCCTCGATAGCGTTAGCGGCAGTATCGAATCAGGTCAGCTCATGGCAATCCTTGGTCCAAGCGGAGCAGGAAAGACTACTCTTGTTGAACTCATCGCTGGGAAGACAAAGTCAGGCCAATGCACAGGGTCCATCACGTTCCCTCCCTATGCTCATGGACGTCGGCCAAGGGTAGCTTTTGTCCCGCAGAGTGACATCCTTCCTTCAATGCTCACTGTCCGCGAAGCCCTTACATTCGCCGCATCCCTTCGCCTCCCCGAATCTCTTCCTGCGTCCTCGAAGGCAGCGCTGGTCTCTACCGTCATTTCCAAACTAGGTTTGGATGGCATCGCTGAAACTAGAATTGGTGCGACTGATGGGACTGGTAGAGGTATCAGTGGCGGAGAAGCTCGTCGCGTTAGCATCGGGCTCGAACTCGTTAGCTGCCCGGATGTGCTCGTCTGTGACGAGCCCACCAGCGGACTAGACTCGGTCAGCGCTTTCAGGATCGTCAAAGTGCTGAAAGAACTCGCACGTGAAGGTGGAATTACTGTAAGTCATCAAGGCTCACATGGTCATCGAAAGGGCGTGGCGGTTATCTGCAGCGTGCATCAGCCAAGTTCGCGTCTTTACCACACCTTTGACTCCGTTTACCTCCTTTCCAATGGGCGCGCGCTGTACTCGGGGCCGGGCGGATTAGCACCAACACAATATTTCAAGCACATGCGAGAAGGAGGAGGAGCCGGGGCTGATATCCTGCCTTATGAGGAAGGTTACAACGTTGCGGACTATCTACTCGACATTGCGAGCGAGTCTCCTGATATCTCCAGCATGCCGCTAGACAGTAATGCGGTTGGAGAAATGACGCAAAGTGTCAACAGCGAGGAGAAAGCTGACAGAGGGAAAGACGTTGAAGCTCTCCTCTCTAAGCAAAATTTGGCACAGGGCATGTATGTGGCAACTTTCCTTACGCAGTTGCAAGTACTTTGTGGGCGCGAATGGAAGGTTTTGAAAAGGTGCACACACTTTTAATCGTTCATCTCGACGACCTCTAACCTAGTCGACTTTGGCAGAGACAAGACCTTATTTTTCGCGCACGTGTGTGTCGCTTGCGTTCTCGGCATATTTTGTGGTATGTAAAAATGATTATGCTTTCGACTATGCTAAATGTATGGCAGGTGGTCTCTACTATCAGGCTAATTTAACTATCGCCGGATTCCAGGCCAGAATCGGATGCATTTTCTTCATGGTAAGAAGTTATGGTTGGATTGTGGAGACTCGATATGATACTGCCTTCAGGGGTCTCTCATTGCATTCTCCTCTCTTAGCGCACTCTATAATATCGTTGAGATACGACCTCTCTTCCTTCGTGAGAGGTCAAACTGGTACTACAGGTTTGTCAATTTCTTCTCAATAGAGATTCCTTCCTCAGATGCCCTTTAGCCCAACAGCTTGGCTTCTTTCACGTCTGATATTCGACGTGATACCCCTTCGCATTATACCCACCATCACGGTCTGCACCATGTAAGCTACTTCACTTCTATTATCCATACTTGTGGTCTGACCTAGGTTTTCAGTACATACTGGATGGCTGGGCTTGCAAATGATGCAGTTCATTTCTTCAAGTTTATATTCGTCATCGTCCTGTACACACTAGTCATGACGCTCTTTGTATGTCTTTTGCGCTATCGCGGCCTACCTCATCTGATTACTGGCTGGCTACGCAGAACTTCCTTCTGGGAACGCTATTCCGCAATGGCGGGATTGCGATCCTGCTTTCCGCTCTTTCTGCACTGTACCAGATGACCTTTGCCGGTTTCTTTGTTCACCTCGCTTCGATACCTCCCGTCTTGCGTTGGCTGCAATGGCTTTGCCCGCTCAAGGTGCGTATACTTGACATCCCACGTTTCATGGATGTTCATCCAATCCGCCAGTATACCCTTGAAGCTATTTCGATAAACGAAGTAGGCTCAGGACTGATGATCAAAGATACCTTGCAAGGCGTACCCGTCAATATATCGGCGACCCTCATTATGCAGCTGGTGGGCATTATGTCTGTATCTCTCCCTTCGTATCACCGACTAATCACTGCATACAAGTTGTTTGGCTTTGGCTTAAACAACTATTATAGAGATATTCTTGTGCTCTTTGCCTTTATAGCTGTGTTTGGTGTTGCAGTTATCGCTGTAGTTTGGTTGAGGGTGAGGGAGAGGCGGTGATGGTCGCCTTTGTGAACAAGTTGCTTGCGTAGTATGTGCTATATGTTAAGACTGTTGACTTGGTTTGCTGTTTAGTTCATCGTTAATACAATATGGTCTCCTTAACATTATTTGGCTTCATGAGAGCTTGGCCTGTTGATATTCTAAGGCAAACGATAACTGGACCAAAGTTACAACTGGAGGATGTCCAATACATGGCAGGTAAGGATTCGTTTAAGGGCTAGTCCAAACTTCAGCAAGAATATCATATATTTTGAGCGAGCTACTCCTTTAACCAAACAATTTTTCCATATGGCGTCCAGGATTGCCCTGCCTTCATTCCAGAACTAACGAGAAACGCAACCTCATAAATACCCTCGCCTCTCTCTTCCAACGTCCAGCGTTCGCCCTCTGTCTCTGGCACGCTGATGATGAGTCGGGGTTTTCCTCCAGCGACATCTGTGCTAGGTGTGTCAAGTACCCAAGTTACTCTTTGCGATGTATGAGACACAGGTGATGTACCGATGACCGACGTTATATCCGCTGTCACATCCGACAGATCGTCATCCCCCACCAAAATTCGGACGTATGCGACCCCGAGTACTCCTGACGGATGTTCTGCATTCGAAGGGGGATTGAGTGGGACCTTGAAAGACCCTGATCTGAGTAGCCTCGGATAAGTATCAAACGAGACACATACCCTCCATTCTCTTGGTGTGACATCCCCGCAGAAGAATGGAGCAACTCCGACTCCTCTTCCATCGGAATCCTGGGATGGTGCAGAGATCTGCCACTTTAATACCTGGCCGTCGCTGCACTCTCTTCCTGAATCAAATTCTGGATCATATCGAATCCCACTCTTATCATTCTCGGCTCGGGCGTTTATAAGCTTTGATATTGACTCGGAGGTGCTGGAAGACCCGAGGAACGTATAGCCAATCCAACCAGGTTCCTTCCATACCCAGGGAATGGCATCCCGTTCCTGGCGCTCAGGTGATCCTGGTGGGTAATGCGATGCTGGGTGCGTGAAAGAAACGAGCTCAAGGTATGCGCCGTCTTGCAGTACCTGCGCCCAAAATGTTAGTAAATAGAATTACGATACATACTTCAAGTTAGGTGGTCATACCACGAGCGCATTTTGTGTCAGTCCCCCAGCGTGTGTACCACCTGGGAGGACACTATACATCGAATTTGCCTTGAGATATTTTCAAAACTTGAAAGGTGACACACTGGAAGCCAAGGTCACGGAATTGTTGTGATACCTCATCCACTGAGCCAGGAGGTGTGAGATGCATAATGTGATCAAGAGTCTTGGTTGAGGGTGTTGACTCGGACATGGTTGTGTTCACAAGATCAGGCACTAGAACAAGTATATATAGAACAATACAGACTTTAGTGCCGTGGGCAGAACTAATTCAAGGTAGTTCTGCTGGCAGAACTCGCAGAACCATGTTCTGCCAGCGTGACAGATGGCAGAATTTCATAGCGCTAGAGTACTAACTACATGCGTAACGGCGCCTACGCGCCGAGTCCCCGACGGGCCAGGTGAAATTGACGCGGCCTTGCCGTCAAGCCCCAACCATGGCATTGTCAGAAGCCTCGTTTAGGCTGGGTCAAGCACCACTCACACCACGACAAGTTCTCTAAAACATCTTCGCAGTCTCTGTACTAATATCAACATTCACACTAGTGCTCTATGCCGCGTCAGCCATAGCACATACCGCGTCAGTGCCGCGTCACATCCGCGTCACATCCTAGACTGGTGACCAGCCCGTCTATGAGGCAAACCGTCGATAGACGGACTGGTAAAACTGGGTTTGAATTTGGATCAAGCGCGGATTCTCAGGATAACGTGATGTATAAACCTTTTTTGGAATAGCAAAACCACGTGCACTTTTGCTAAGGCCTTTGCAAGTATCGCTAAGTTTGATCGACGTGCGTGCTGTAACGTTCGACACAATAACGTTTTAACGTTCATATCAGACTCGTTCCATCACTTCATTCTGCTTTCTGTATTCAACCTGCTACTTGAAGGATGCCAGTCTCTTCGACAGTTCTCAATGAGAACTTTAATCGATCTGTTGACTCTGGTTTCGTAGACATTACGACAGGTCTCCCTGCGGCTGCCGCAGCAACTCCGTCGCGTCTCTCACCTCACGAACGCGTGAAATCTGTTGTCAAGATCCTCAGAGAAGGCCGCATGTCGATCCTGGACTTTATCCTTCGAATTCTTGACCCATCACAACCTGACTTCATGTACAACCGTGATTGGATATACAACCCTTCTAAAGTGGAGAAAGAGAACTCTGGTGACGGACAGCGTGTATCGGGAAAGCTAGAGCAAATGTTTGACCTTTTGTTTGTGGATTCACGGGGTCGAGCCCGTATGCTAGAGTGGTTTCATCCTCACGCGGTCACTTAAGTCTTACATATCCCTCACTGTCAGCAACGAGATGGACGCAGTAAAGGAGGCTCTCCGTGGGACACTCGATTCTGTGACGCCGCAGTTCCTCTCAACGAGTCGTGCAAGGCGCAGAAGGTGACCATTGAACATTGATAGCTGCTCCGGTGAAACAATGAGATGAGTGAATTTTCCTGCGTGAATAGACTAGCAAGATATTTTATGTTAGTTTTGGTGCACTGACAACGACGCTGATGTGGCACGCCTGAACTTTGAATTTACCTCCCAGAGAGACAGATCTGTCGGAGTGTCTTCGTTGATTGCGATCGTAGGTATGCCATATTTTGTCGATTCAAGAACCTGTGATAATAGCATAATTCTGCATGTGCAAAAACAAAGTCATTACACTCCAGCCAAGTTACCTGGGTGGCCTGGAGGCGTTTGAGTGGCGAAATAGTCATACTAATGGTGCCAGGGCAGAGTAGGATAGGAATTATGATACATAATGTTTTTCCACTGCCAGTGCCTGCAGTTATGATGGTGTCTTGACCGTTCAATGTCGCAAGAACAGCCTCGAGCTGGAATTGTCGTGGAACAATAGCTGTTGCCGTCAACACGTACACAATCAAGCATGCGCGTAATGCATGCGTTCGGTCAGAGTCACAGAGTGTCTGAAGATAGTCGGTGGGAAGGCGTTCTTTGATAAGATCATGCGCGAAACGATCCAGAGCATCGAGTGATGCGATGTGGATTCCCTGTATCAGTGATTGCTGGTCCATTGATTTTGCAGCACATATGAGGACGCGTCGCGTCGCGTCAATTAGTGAAAACTATATCGTTTATTTTGTATTCTACAATACTTGTTGAAAAACCCTAGTTCTTTTATTGGCTAGAGGTCACGTTATCCTGAGAATCCGCGCTTGATCCAAATTCAAACCCAGTTTTACCAGTCCGTCTATCGACGGTTTGCCTCATAGACGGGCTGGTCACCAGTCTAGTCACATCCGCGTCAAACAAGTTGTGCCGCGTCAAACGCCGCGTCACTGCCGCGTCACATACGCGTCACGCCGCGTCAAACCTTCACCGGTCCTCAAGGCCTCACCCCCAGTGAAAACCTACGGGTGGTGTTGTAGCAGACACAGCTCAGCGGACGTGCGAAGTCAACTATATATATTGGTATGTACCTGTAGCAGACACAGCTACATGTGTTGTTTATAGGATTTTGCGCTAGTCGAAGCACAGTGAACTCGTTGCAAACGCGTAGAGTATATAAAATCTAGGTACTGTATGTAATGACCGATGTTTTAAGGTTTAAGCCACTTTCGGCTCGTTCCGAGTCGAGCTCGTCACCAAACACTAAGTCCAACATTGTTAGTTAAGTAGGTACTATATACGAAGATGGCACTGGTACTAACCTCAGCGGACGTGCGAAGTCAACTAAGGGAAGCTACGAAGCGCGTGAAGGAACGAAAATATGTAGGTACTTAGATGAGCGAGCGGCACCAAGTGACCATGGCGAGGGTTTAATATACAACAGGTGTATCTCGCTAACTTACAACTGGAGGATGTCCAATACACGGCTGGTGGGGATTCGTTTAACAGCTAGTCCAAAATTCAGCAAGAAGATCATATATTTTGCGTGAGCTACCCCTTTAACCAAACAATTTTTCCATATGGCGTCCAGGATTGCCCTGGCTTCATTCCAGAATTAACGAGAAACGCAACCTCATAAATACCCTCGCCTCTCCCTTCCAACGTCCAGCGTTCGCCCTCTGTCTCTGGCACGCTGATGATGAGTCGGGGTTTTCCTCCAGCGACATCTGTGCTAGGTGTGTCAAGTACCCAAGTTACTCTTCGGGATGTGTGAGACACAGGTGATCTACCGATGACCGACGTTATATCCGCTGTCACGTCCGACAGATCGTCATCATCCACCAAAATTCGGACGTATGCGACCCCGAGTACTCCTGACGGATGTTCTGCATTCGAAGGGGGATTGAGTGGGACCTTGAAAGACCCTGATCTGAGATAGCCTCGGATAAGTATCAAACGAGACACATACCCTCCATTCCCTTGGTGTGACATCTCCACAGAAGAATGGAGCAACTCCTCTGCCAGAATTCTGGGATGGTGCAGAGATCCGCCACTTTAATACCTTGCCGTCGCTGCGCTCCCTTCCTCCATCAACTTCTGGATCATATCGAATCCCACTCTTATCCTTCTTGGCTCGGGCGTTTATAAGCTTTGATATTGAGGTGCTGGAAGACCCGAGGAACGCATAGTCAATCCAACCAGGTTCTTTCCATGCCCATGGATCGGCATCCCGTTTCTGACGCTCAGGTGATCCTGGTGGGTAATGCGACGCTGGGTGCGTGAAAGAAATGAGCTCAAGGTATGCGCCGTCTTGCAGCACCTGTGCCCAAGATGTTAGTACATAGAATTCCGCTACATACTTCAAGTTAGGCGATCATACCACGAGCGCATTTTGTGTCAGTCCCCCGGCGTGTGTACCACCTGGGAGGACACTACACATCGAATTTGCCCTGAGATATTTTCAAAACTTGAAAGGTGACGCACTGGAAGCCAAGTTCACGGAATTGTCGTGATACCTCATCCACTGAGCCAGGAGGTGTGAGATGCACAATGTGATCAAGAGTCTTGGTTGAGGGTGTCGACATGGTTGTGTTCACAAGATCAGGCACTAGAACAAGTATGTATAGAACAATAGGTAACAAGAATTATGTACAGGTGTTCATGATACTGATATTACATATTGATATTAAATAATGCGGCAACAGTCCAAGAAGAAGTCCTTGTTAAGTCCCAATCGTAAACGTTAGTTTCGGCAATATCCTAGTCCAAAGCAGTGTCCAAAGAAGCTACTTAATGTTCGAGTGTGGTTTTAATTGGTGGTATCAGACAGGCGTTATCGAAGCTCATGCAAGGTCCGCGAAGCCAACTCTAGAGTTTCCGACATCAAAGGCGGTGTACACGTTTCTCATGAAGACGTCACCAAGGATCCATACATCTGAAAACATGTCAGCAAGGTGAGCTGTAAACAATTCAAGACCGACCTCCAAGACCATCACCACCTGCGATACCACCAAGGCAGGTATTTCCTGAAGAACCGTACGTGCCAAAATTGAAGGTCTCTGCGGAAATCGCAAATGACTTCCCGCCAAGGGTGATGGTCACATTTGGCATGGCATCACATGGTACTTGAACAGGCGTTCAGACAAACACAACGATGAAGCTGTTAAAATGCTTACGCGAGTATACACCTCCACCTACTTCCGTTGCATTGATAACTGCGTAGAGCTGACTGACGTAGGTCGTATCGCCCAAAATCAACGTGGTCCCAGTGTCAATAATCGCAGAGAAATTATTGACGATATCTTTCCCATTGATCTCGATGGCATCACCAGTGACCTGCCAGTAACCCTGACAAATACACAAATAATCATGATGTCTGAGCAGCGTAGTTTAAGCTGATGGCTAGCGCTCACCTGTTGAGTTACCGGAGTGTACGTGAACGGATCACGATATAGCGCAGAGTTCACGCCACCAACGTAAAGCTCAGAACCAGAGGATGCAAGTTTGAAAGCAAACACTGGTTCGGGGACAGCTCCTTGTGAAACCAACGTCTGGAAAACGGAGTTTGCGCCATATGCCGAAATGGACTCGAAAGCCATTCCCATCAGCCCATCCGCACCAAAGTTCTCCGACGAGAACCCATATGAATAAAACGAGGCAACGCCAAGCGTTTGTGCATTGGCCTGCAACATACTTCAAAAATGAAAATGGAAGACAACAAAAACACTACGCACATTGTAGCCAGCAAGTGACACGGTGTCCGTGTATAGATCGCCTGTAGCCATAGAACCATCGCCGTACTCCACCATGAAAGTCTTACCAAGGGGCTCAGCGGACGAACTACCGTTGGGATTGTAAATGTCATGCCCGCTGCATGAGTCCCCGCAGCTTGGTCCAGGTAGAAAGAAGTCCGTTGAACCAGTGTCACAATCAACTGGGGGTGCTCGCATCAGTGCGTCATGCATAGTACGATCAAGTCGGAAATGCAAACTGATAAATGGATACGGCGGAGTGCCGACTTCGATTTGTCCATACCAACGCTCGTTTGAGTCGTCAGCCAGCGGGTCAGAACCGGACGCTGCTATACGCTTTGTTAGCGATGAGGACTCGGAGAAGAGAACTGCGCCAGTGTTTCTCTCGAATGCAGCAGCGCCCCGCTGTAACTTGCTGAATATCTGCTCAGTAGGGAACAACACTGAACAAGAACAATCACCTACACCAGTGTGCTGCTAACATGAGCCATAATTGAAGTAGGGTCAACAGGGCCATGTCCATCAGCGGTCCTGAGAGTAGATCTCTTTGTTAATGGTATTGAAAGATGTTGTGGCTGCGGCAGAGTAATCGCCAACACCTGTAAGGCAGCGATTAAGGACGCTGATAAAGCACGCATTGCAGTAGAAGAAAAAGGATATATCCAATGGAGGCCCTCACCTCACAGATGGCCCATTATAATGAGTGTGCAACGTGCATACTGCAAATACACCACTGGCAAAAAGACCCCGTAACCACGAGGACGGCTAGTATCACTGAGCCACGCAACCACCGACCTGTAACTACCGAACTTGGCCTGCCTCTTCGTGTAAATGAAAAATGAACCAGCCTTGTGACCAAACCTAATAGCCGAAAGGTCTTGCGTACAATTCTGGTCGCAGCGTTGAACGTTGAACCAAAACTACTAAGCGAAGTCTTCTTTCCCGTGTTTGCTAATTGGCGGACATTGTCCGGCCAGTGTTCGGTTGCTCTGTGACTAGTATGAGAGCGCATTCTCTAGTAGTGTCACTTCTCGCCGATTCCCGGATACCTTTGCCTCACCACTCTCAAAGAACGGCGCAAAGATCCATACTGTTCCTAGGAAAGAACCCCGCCGAAGGAGCTGCATGCATCAGGAAAACTTTGACAATCAATAGACAATGGACGCCAAACATCCGCGGAGCAAACCCCAGCGTACGTGAATGACCCGTGTTTGTTGTACGCACTCACAATACCTAAGTCAAAAACCGGTGCTGGCGCTCTGATATTCATTCTGGAGACCCGCAAGACTGTGGAGGAAATTGCCCATATGCACATACTTGCGAGTCGTGATCCCCGACGTGAAGAACTGGTTTTACTATGAAAGCTCCTGCCACCCTTCGGTGGTGACCATTGATTTTCAGTATGCCCAGTAAGTCCTAGTAGGCATTCGCTGCGTACCTGATGTTTCAGACACCCGCGAGATGGTAGGCTGTCGTCCCAGGCGGTACACATGTTGGGAGGACACACAGAAAATGTGCTCGTGGTGTGATCGCCGCGGCCGCCTAACCAGGCAAATTTAAATCCACGTGGTATCAAAAATCACGCGGTTGCATGCGCACCACACGTTCGCAAAAGCTAGGCTGAGCGCTGAATTCTGGTGCTATGACGCATTGAGCCTCTGAGATCGGTTCAAAAGCTGAGGTGATGCACTGGAAATTAATTGATGCGATACAATGGTACTTGATTCATTATCGCAGGAGGCGTGGGGTGCACGATATATATGACCGTCAACTAATGGCGTTCAAGGTCAGGCAGAATGACTGAATCAATGGTGACGAGAGTCTTCTATTCATGGGTCGTGGTACTGGCTTACTGATTTAACGTAATATACAACAATCCAAGAAGAGAAGTCCTCTCCAAGTCTGAATTGTAAATGTCATCAGTTTCGTAAACACCGCAGTCCAAAGCAACGTCCACAGAAGCTACAATATCCTGCTCAAGTGCGATTTCTGTCAGTCAAGCAACTGTTACCGCAGCCAACTTTGGTCTGTCCGACATCGAAGTAATCCATTGAAATTGATTTGAAAATAAGTCAGCGAGAGCAGCTCTAGACCAGCTAAGACCATCCGCCAAGGGTATCACTGGTGTAGATAGTACCAATAGAAAGTGTTGCTTGATGGATCAATAGGGCCAAGATTGAGCTTCCCCTAAGAGTAAACTCTCATGAAGCTAACATTACGCGGTACTTAAAACAACATTCAGAGAAATGTAACAATGAAAGATCTTGAGCTTACACACATATACGCCATGTTCTACTTCTGTCGCATCCGTGGCTGCGTAGAGCTATTCAAGTTGGAATGGAGTACCTAAAGCCAATGAGTCCCGGATGACAACGGCGGAGAATTTCTTGACGACCGTTTTGCCATTGACCCCATGCCATTGCCATTTATCGGGCAGTACGCTGATAGATGAATGGGTGATGTCTGTGCAGCACTCACAACTGATGACAGTCCCCCTTTTGGTTACGAGCGTACGTGAACGAGCCTTTGTATAACACAGATTTCACACCATCGACGCGAAGCTCAGAACAAGAGAATGGAAGTTTGAAAGTAAACACTGATTCCAGAACAACTCCTTGTCAACGATCTTCAGGATGGATTTTTTTCGTTGATGGAATCGAAAAAACTCAGAGGCGGTAGGGCAACCCATGCTTGTAAGTCAGCGAGCGGAGACAGCATTTGCTGTAAGTGAAAAAGGCAACTCCCAGAGCCACCAAGTCCCCGCCGGCTATCCTATAGCGAGATTTTTGACCTTTGGTGCAAGATCTGGCTAGCTGTGCAGTGGCAGTATTTTTGATCGATCACAGAACTGTGCTGTAACGATGCAGTGTTCTCTTCTAGGTGCGTAGTTTCTTTTTTCTCACCGCCGGGCGCGCATACGGCGTAGATGTGTCATCGTCGGCCAGCGGGTCGTGCATGCCTTGATGGCCGATTATGAACGCAGGCCTCTCGCAGGCCTGACCTCCCATTGTGTGTGATTAATTTCTGAAAACCGGAGTACGGGTGCAAAGAAAATCCACGACTCGCAACCCATATAATGCTATGTTGCGCGGGAGGTTGGGCACAGTCTGTGAAAGGTCAGAAAGTCGACAAGGGGGCCCAACTGCGACGGGTGATTGTAACGATGCACACGAGTCACCAGCCAGCCTTCAGCCTGTGCCCTGTGATGGAACTATGGTAAACTCCACGATCAGAGCAGGACGGACGCAATTACAACCACTCAAATACAACTGATCGCCAGGAGGCCAAGACTAACCAAGTGGCGACCCAAACCCACTTGCACCGGGAGATATATGCTGAATTTCTACGACAACAGTGTTAGTTCAAGTCGAATAGCAAAATATGGCTGTCGGTAAAATCGCCGCCCCCATAGATATAGAATCCAGAAGAACACTTAAGGTAGAACGTAGACTTATTTGTATATGCCCCGATCGCCCCACATGCTAACACAGCTGCTGTGAGGGAAATGAATTCTTCGAGACCACCGGAGGTGAGTCATATAGATCATCTGTAAATAAGAAAAATCATTAGCGCGCCTTCGTCAGAACAAATATAAGTAAACCTACTTTTGAGTTGAAAGCGACCCAAATACAACATCCAGATGCGCTAGCGCACTAGGCTGAGCAAGACCTAACACGACGCATCAACTCCCTTCACCAGGCCGCTCCTCAAAATGCGACTACCATATGCTTCCTGCAGGCGTCAGCGTGTAAAGATGTTGACCACATACCCGCTGCCACAAATTCAACGTTCACGTTCTCTGCAATGTGGAGGCCTTCCTGTGACATCCTGGAGTAGAAAGAAACAGTGACTTTGTTCTTGTCAACTTCAGGCACTTGGATCTCATCTTGGTGGACAACCCAAAAAGTGTCTCAGAGATTCGTCCTCGGCTGATTGTGTAGTAAATGGTGCATTAATGATTGGTGAGCATTACCTGGACCATGCACTCACGGCTCAGATTGTCTCTCAGCTCCAGCTATGTAAACAATGCTGCGTGGTCGTTTGTCGTTAGATGCAATTCGAAAAAGCAAGCCGAGGATAATCAGTACATGAATCCAGAAAACATTGAGAGGATTTATCGCTGATTATTCACAACTGCCCGATACAGCGCGCTGTGACCTTCGATATTGGGTGTTAGAGGAACTAGGAATTGACTGTGGAGAGACAAGATCACGGAAGCGAGATAGAATGATACATTTCTGCTTGGTTCATAGAAAGAAAAATATAGATGGCGATCTGGGCAGAACATTTTAGTGATATGTTGCGGATACGTCGTACGACGGCAATTCGTGCAGTAGTACAGGACTTGCTATCAAAGCGTTCACTGAGTAGTAGCCATTGAAATGAGTGATTACGCGAAAAGTAGCCCGGCTTTTCCCGGAAATTCTGGTATTCGTGAACCAGCCGTCTTGTCTGAGAAGGGAATGTGCACCTCTGCCTCTGTGGATTCGCCCCATTGATTGTCTGATCTATTGTACCATGGCGGAAAGATGTATTCTAAATACAGCAACAAAATTGGGTACGATTTCTTTGTTAATTCTTAACGCCACTCGAAAAAACACCTTCTAATCATAGAATACCAGGGCCCTCAGCTCGATGGATTCACGAAGCGGCGCTCCCTCTGGAGTGTTCGGGTCCTCGAAGCCAGTATGAGGCGTGAGCCTCGCGACACTGCCATCTTGTATCGAGTCAAAGCTGAAACCCTTTTAGCACGACAAAAATCTTCCCCGATTGACTTCATTCACTCACCATTTGATAAGAGCAAACTCTTCTGGAGTCATCGCCTTCATGTATTTCCACTGGTGGTTTGGGTTGTATTTGACTCCAAATGTCTCACCCTCGCGGTCAGGGTATACAAGAGCGACAGGCACCAAGTCTTTCTCGTAATCAACACTCCGGAAGTCACATAGTGCAAGCGGCCAATCTACAGCCGCATGTGATATAGGACGCCAAAGGTTAATGATTTGGAAGCGTCTTCGAAGGAGGGAAGGAGCTTCTGTTGGCGAGAGATGCCTGTGAACACGAGCAATGGACGATGAAGTCGTTTGGTCCACATGAACCAGCGGAACTGGTTGACGTTTCTGTGGGCCATCATCTACCTCACCTGGGCGACGGCGACGAATAGCTGTGACACGAATTGGAAATGAACACGTCGTTTCAAATTGGTAGTGGTCAACGTACTATGATCGAAGATGAGAATGCTTGTTGCTCCCGTAACCCTCTTGATAAGGTCGATGCTCTCAGGGTAGTATTCGCGCTCAACCTCATCATCATTTAAGAAGCTGGTATGTTTCGCCGCTTCTCGCCCATACTGAAACCCAGCAACGTCGAGCTTATAAAGCTCCTCCTTCCCGCGCACATCCTCAATTCGTATAACATGCGTGTCCTCGACCCAGTTGCGGACTGGCTTTCCGGTGGCGCTATCTGAGTTGATGGTATTATAAGGCCGAGAGCCGTCAGACGGAGCCAACATGTAGTTGAAAGTGCCGATAGTGTCAGACGCCATGATTGGTCCGTTTGTGCTGGATGAAATACGGAATGAAAGTGTCCTTGGTATCACGAGTAAGTTGTATCTTCCTTATTTATGTTTCCAATTTAAAAGGCCGGGGAAGCCGTTTGGCTGACATATCATGTTATCAAATACCTGGTCCGCTGATTGTTAATGCGGATGAAAATATCTCATAAGAATGACGCCACGGAACTGCGGGATGCGCAATGATCCAAAGTCGCAGAGCCTCTTAAGAAGACGGGAAATTTCGACGAACCTCACGTGATAATCGTGACGAATGAGTGACATCGAGCTTTAAATCTATTAACAATTCAGTAACTCTAGTTCTCAAAAATCTGTTCCACCATTCGCTAGATAAATGAAAAACGAAACTTTTCGCGGTTTCAGAATAGAAGTACCTGCAGAAATGAGAGAGTTAATAGTTAATTACAGCTCTGCACCAAACAGCTTAGATTTGCAAGTCAAAACTACAACTCCGACAAACACGGCAACTCGGCTCACAGAAGGCATGGCACCACACAAACGCCTCCACAGCATATGGATTTCAAACTTAGAGTCAAAGAGAGCTAGGGTCCAAGTTGAACAAAGTTTGGAGAAGGAACACGCTCAAGTTGTAAGTCAAATAATAAGAACCAGACATGAAGGCTTGATGTTTTCAGCAGGCACATGGGCCTGTTGCTTTTGAAGATGTCGAGCGTGGTGTTTCAGTGTGGGGAGCTCAAAGAGTTCAGTGCGAGGAAGTTGAAGAGGAGGATGACCTCATCGCGATCCGAGGAGTGCGCTGGCGCGAAAGAGATCAGCCTGCTGGCACATTCCTTCTGGAAGAGATTGGTGATGCCCCCGGTGTGATGAGTAATAATGCCATTTGCACCGTTGATGAGGAAGACTTACCGAGATTCGATGGGAATGATATGGATGCCAGGAGCGAGTCTGATGATGAGAGTGAGGTGGGTGCTGACGATGGCATCAATCAGAATGAGGCAGACACTGACGACGGCATCAATCAGAATGAAGCAGGCGCTGATGACGGCAACCATCAGAATGCACCATGTGCATGCGATTACTCCTTTGAGCTCAGGCAACCGCCCACTATCCCAGAAGCTCGCTTTGCGCTCGAGGACTTATGGACCCTCTTGAAACCTCCGCGCCATAACAGACGAGCCTTGGAACTTTCAACTGTCTTGAGGGAGCGCCTAACAAACTTGAAAAATTTCTTGTGGCTCTATACAGATGTTCCCAGTAACCCAGATGACACTAAGCATCCCAGCAACCCCGTTGGTGGTCACTGGACCAATGCAGCTGATTGAGCAGCGCAAAACATCAGTAAGGGGGCATACCATTCATGATGCCTGCGGAGCTGGGCAAAGGCCTACATCAATAATAGAAATGCACTACCTCACCGAAAAGTGCCACAGCAATACTCCCGCATCGATGATGAAGACCTCGCAGCCGAACTACAGCTGCATCTCCAGAGTGTGGGGAAGTCAGTCTGCGCACAGGATATTGTTGATTACCTTGGTGTACCTGAGAATGGTGTCCGTCTTGGCATCAAGAAGTCGATATCATTGAGAACAGCGGACCGATGGATGTCGCACCTGGGTTATCGCTGGCAAAGGGAGCCACAGGGACAATACACAGATGGCCATGAGCGTGAGGATGTTGTTTGCTACCGCAACAACATATTTTTGCCGGCGTGGACTCGTTATCAGTGCTACATGCAAAAATGGAAAACTGATGACATTACCTTGGAGGATTTGTCGGAAGTCGAGTCTTCTGGGCGCCGCACCATCATGTGGTTCCATGACGAGTCAACGTTCTATGCAAACAACTGGAGAAAAGTTCGTTGGGTCCATGACTCAGAAAGCGCCTTACCTCAACCAAAAGGGGAGGGTGCTTCTTGATGGTCGCTGACTTCGTGTCAGCCGATTATGGCTGGCTTCGATCCCGAGATGAAAAGGAGAGCGCTCGGGTCCTGTTCAAAGCTGGAAGGGCACGAGATGGTTATTTCACAAACCAGGAGATTGTGGCGCAGGCTGTGAAAGTGATGGATATCTTGCAAAAAGATTATCCAGGCGAAGACCATGTGCTTGTCTTTGACAATGCAACGATGCACCTCAAATGTGCCGATGACGCTTTAGCTGCTTGAAAAATGCCAAAGAATCCGTCGCAGTCATTTGGACCATCTGCAAGTGTCAAGGATGCCAATGGAAAGGCCGTACTTGGTCCAGATGGCAAACAAGTAAAGGAAAAAATTTGAATGATAGACGCAACACTACCGAATGGGGATCTGCAACCTCTCTATTTTGCAGAGGGACATGTAAAGGCTGGGTGGTTCAAAGGCATGGCTCAGATACTTGTTGAGCGCGGGTATGAAAATGCCCCTCACCTTCGAATGGAATGCAAAGACTTCAAATGCCCTCCTGACCGGACTGACTGTTGTTGCCGGCGGCTAATGTATACTCAGCCGGATTTCGCTAAAGTTGAATCAAATTTGGAGTCTGTGTGTCGTGCACGAGGGGTCAATGTAATTTTCCTGCCAAAATTTCACTGTGAGCTCAATTTTATTGAGCAGTGCTGGGGATATGTGAAGCAGCTGTACCGTATGAAAGAACGATCATCATCAGAAGCCGACCTTGAACGAAATGTCCTCGACTCGCTAAATGCAGTCCCACAGTCATCCATGCAGCGGTGAGTTTGTTGATCTTTTGGATCTCAACAATGTGATTAATTTTAAATTTTAGCTTTTTTGTCAGGTCTGGTAGATTCGTCGATGCTTACAAGAAGGGACTTGACGGAAAACAGGCTGCATGGGCGATCAAAAAATATCGTGGTCATCACATTCTTCCTGAGTCCATAATGCAGGAGTTGGAGCAATCCCGCTGAAATGTATCATAGTACAATCTTAATCACTACAAGTCTAGTTGCGTATCATCCTTAAGTTAAGTTAAGTAATAGATCTCCAAGTCTGTGCCGTTCGGCAGGACATTTGGCTTGACTTATCCTCACAGCATAACACATCTGTCACATCACGTGAGGTTTGTCGAAATTTCCCGTCTTCTACCTTACCTGAATTACTAAGTCTTGCAATCTCCACCGGGGTTGATTTGGTAGCCCAAAACACTGTTGACCACGTTGAAGTTGCTCCAGGATACATATGGCATGTATAGCACAAATTATTATCGATGATGTCGACCAAGTACATATTTGATTGACAAGAATGAGCATCAACTTCTCAACTTTGTCGCTGCGCAGGGTCACTGCAGGTTCAAGTGAGAGATCGGGCTTAGAGACCTGGGGTTTGAGCCCGCGAGCATTCTGTGAGAAGAGAATTGTCGATGCCTACCGGCAGGTTGTGATACAATGATCCAAGGCCTAATCAATTGAACACGCCCCTGCAGCCTGCGTTTATGAGCTACTAGGAGCGGTACCGTTTTTGGTATATGCGGAGTTTCAAAGTGTAAGGCGGCTGGTTCACGAGACTAGTTCTCCGGCATTCGGCCACTAGATATCCGCTTCTCTTGCCGAAGTCTGTGTTTCTCCCCATGGATTTAGATTGTTCCGTCTACCTCAGGTCTCACAAACAACATGTCCACACCTGGTACTCGATTTTTTTTGAAATATTTGCGAAATTCTGATCTTGAGCGCTCGTTGCATTCCAGATCTTTCTGTTCAGTCGCTGTTCAATGTGAAGGGCAAGATCGGTACGTATCATGGCAGTGCCACGCTCCATGATGGGTTACTAACCATCATTCCATCAGCCCTCGTCACAGGCGGCGGTACAGGTATTGGAAAGACCATTGCCTCAGCACTCGTACAGAATGGTGCAAAGGTCTATATTGCTGCTAGGAAGGAATCCCAATTGAAGGAGGTGCGTGCATCGGTTTCCCAAGCGCAGTCAAAGTTCCAACAACCCATAGGCAGTGGCTGAGCTTAATGCCAAAGGCCCTGGATCCGCAGACTACATCGTAGCAAATCTCAGCGTATGTAGACGTCCCGGGAAACTATCAACTTGCTGTACTCACTCATGACACCAAGTCGAAAGCTGGCACAGACGCTCTGATATCCGCTCTCGAGGCCCGAGAGCCTGCGAAGAGATTACACATCCTTGTGAATAATTCAGGCGTCTCGTGGGGAGCGACCTTCGAAAACGTTCCAGAAGACAAGGGGTGGGATCATGTCATGGCTGTGAACGTCAAGAGCTTGTTTTACTGTGAGTGAAACCTTGTCTTTCGGTAGTCATTATTGAGTTTCGGTATGCCAAGTGACATCCGGGTAAGCATTATTTACGTACCTTATATTTTAAAAACTTACGAGCTAGTAGGTTATCAACATGGCTTGCAAAGGATGCGAGCGCACTCGATCCTGGCCGCGTGATTAATATTTCGTCAACTGCGAGTGTGGCACCTCATGTAGAGGGCCTGGTTAGCGCAGATGGAAATGGGACATGGAGTTGTGCGTCATTGTGTTATGCCCCATGATGAGCCTGATGCTATCTTGTTCTCTTCAAGACAGTGTCAGTAAGGCCGCAGGTAAGAAAATATCTGTCGACGAGGTTGCGTAGGGCTACACTGAAAGTCTTCGTAGTGAATCATCTGACATCAATACTGGCCGTCAAGTTGGGACCACAGAAGATCACGTATGTAGTAACTTCAGTTTATACTGTCCACTCCTGATTTCCTCGTTTGTAGTGTTAACGCGATCTGCCCTGGGTATGTACCTAACACACTGTCACTTGAGTTCCAGCTTATTTCCTCAACAGGATATTTCCCACAAAGATGACGGCCTTCGGATTCAAGAACGGAGGCGAGAAAAAAATATTATCTCAACAACCAATGGGTCGTGCTGGCCGCCCTTCAGATCTCGCTGGTCTCGCGCTCTTCTTTACGTCCCCCGCCAGTGCGCATGTTACAGGCGCACATATCCTTTTGGACGGTGGTGCAACATTATCAAGTCAAGGGATTGCACCACAGGTTAAACTATGATTTACCACTGCACAGGTTCATACACATCTCCATCGCGCATTTTGCCGTGGAATCTTGTATTTAACATTATTGTTACAGCTGCAGTACAAATCCAGTTGTCCATAGAGTCCTTGTTGTCCATGACCAAACCAAGCGGAACAGCCAGAATGGGGTATGATTCCGAAGTTGCGAAGAGTCCTCGGTGCAAAACCAAGCAAGCTCAAGGTCCAAGTATTCCATCGCCTTCAATTGTTGTGTCATTGGACGATTTCCTGGTGGGTACCGACCAGCCTATTCCGCGCCATTTCCCTAGAGCTGCTTGTTCCAAGACCGCGCGATACATCGCAGAGCTGAATCCTACACACTGCAGTCCGACACACGCAACACGAAGGGCACCAACAGCATACAACTGTCCAGTCTCGTAGAGGTTCTGGGGCGAGAGGTTCTTTCGGCCAGCTAGAGTCTCCTTGATAAGAGTTTGCGTCGTCTAGGTCCAAGTCATGATGATAGAAATAGCGCAAAATTATCTTGCTTCACCTCGATTGAAAGAGCCTCCCACTCTTCCGTGGTTAGATCGTCCATGCGAAAAGCCTTGTATACCCCAGCGTAGTACCACTTCCCGTCCTTGTTGTAGAAGCACTCTAACCAGAACGAGAGCGACGTCAACAAAACCAGATTAAATGAGACACAACAAACCAGTAGGCCTGTCCATAGTGCCGATCACATCCGCCACATTCCATCGATGTGCTGTTGTTACTCGGGGATTGGTGCTACATTTGAAAACGGGGGTAAGCAAATATCCGTGTTCTTCGCGCTCTGGGCACCAGTATGTTGTCAGTTGGCCGAGGACACGATAGTTTGACAGGCTAGGAAAAGATATTCATTGCCCATGAACTTCGTGTGAGCTCTATACTATTATCTTACGAGCTTTTGAGAGTCTGTATGAGACGTGAATATACTTCCACGTAGATATATAGGGCACTGACACCAGAAGTATTGCCCAAGAACTCATGCAAGGTGTATGGCTGAGGAATGACAATTGGATTTAGAGCGTCGTCTGGGATGTCAGCAGGGAGAGGAAGCGTCGCAAGAAATGCTTGTCTTGCGAGAATCGATTTCTCAGGTCCATCGCCGAGCGGAAGTGGTTCGACAATATTCTGAACATCAAATTCCCTCGACTCGACAGGAGAAAGCGCATATATTGGCTTACCGGATGGTCGAAGTCGACAGTTTCAGAGCGAGGTGAATCGAAAGAATTTTTAAGACGTGCGCAATGGTTTGATTGAAAAGACGGGCTGAAAAAATTGGAATCACACCGGCTTCCTAGGCGGGAATCTAGCAGTGGCGTTGGAGGCAAGCCTGTAGATCCAGGTCTGTTCGGAGTGTTCTGGAAAATTATAAGTCATCGATTGAGCTCCGCGCTAGTCAAGATACTCCGTCGTACAAGAGGCACCTGCCAAGGCAAGACCTGAGCGAATGTATTCTGACAATCACCGTCCCCTTCTTTCGGAGCTGGTTGTGGGATATCGAATGACGTGGCAATGTCTTGCACCGGAAGCTGCGTAGATGAATCATCATCCCTCGCTACAGATGTCGCAGGGGTAGAAGGGCGCCTCAGATCGTCTAGCTCACGCTGAAGTCGATCAATCGTTGCTGACTTTTGTCGAACAGATACGTAAGCGTCTTCGAGGCGTTCGACAACGGTGTCTCTGGCAGCTATAACTTCCGCCACGCGCATTCTTTCCATTTGGATTATGAGCGCCAATCCGGCAGCATCGGACGTGTCCTGGAATAAACGGATAAGAACAGAATATTTGGGTTGAGTCAGCGTTCGAAACAAGGAGTTCTCAAGCACGACTTGGAGGTCACCATTCGTTGTGCAAACTCGGTTGGGGTGGTGCACGTTCCTATACGGTGGTCGTAAGAGGGAAAATGATGTGTATCTGAAGCGTTCTGTATCCCCTGATCGCTGAATGACATTATGGTTGGTAACAAGCGGTATGTTCTCTCTCGAATTGCTAAGTAATGGAAGTTCAGGCGATGTTTGGCTTGCAAATACCAGCAAGCTGCAACTTGAAGTTGTACTTGTTTGTCTCCAACTCTGCCATTGCCTAGTACTCATATAGATTGACAGTTTTACATTGCAACTGATCTCGCGAAAGGGCATATTGCAGGTAATTTACTGCATACACCAAAACATAACATTGTAGACGCTCGCAGGTACATACTTGATTGTATAACAAAGTAACCAGGAAACATACGTGTCTAACTCTGAATGATTCTTCTCAAATTCTTCTGGTTCTGAAATCGAGAAGCTGTCAATGCCAATTATAAGGCATAATGTGCCTAATATTTGATGCACAAATTCAAAGCTATAACACAAATGAAAAGAACCGCACTTACTCGGAAGTAGCTTCCCTTCAGTTGTGTCATAGGAACGGCGATAAAAAACATGCCAATCACAAGCCTATAACAACCGTCAGACTCTTCGAGTGTGTCAAGCGATATCACTTGCGCTGTTTCAACACCAAACACCATCAATCCTCCAGATTTTGTAGCCCATGGGACTTGGAAATATGCGATTGCGAAACCTAGGCCACAATCGTGAATGTTGGACAAATCATGCATCGTTGTAACTCACCGCCCAATGCCCTTGCAAGGTTTAGCAGGGCACTGACTTCGCCCTAGAAGGGGAGGTCATATCACTGAGATTCAAATAAGTTATGCGTCACCCACCGCCCTACTAGGGAAGCAGTCATTACAATATGCATCTAATAATACTCCTTGAGTTATCCCACGACACTTGAAATATTGGATCCGAGACTTACACACTACAACAGTGTTGAGGGTGATTGCAACGATCGCAATGCCCCAGCCCATGATGAGAGCGGCTTCGCTGAGATTTTGTATCCCAGCACCCAGCGTCAAAAAGCCACAGATATAAAGCGGCATGGCTAAGTAACAGGTCCTACACAAATTCTCAGCTCTAACCTTAGACCGTCAGTTGAGCTTGCATACCACAAGCGGCTCTCGGCCTCAAAGAAACCACCGTTTTTGCGAATATGCAGATCCATAATGAATTCATTGACGTAACGTCCAATGAACTCGCCAAGAAGGACAGCGACCTAAAAATTCCATTCTGAGAACGGTAATCATGCATACTTCATAGATGGAAAAAACTTGCAATTGGAGTCGCATACGCTCCAGCCACGGCATATTGGCTAAAGCCAAATCCGATGGGAGGAGGAGATTTCATGAAGATAACATTTGTCGCCTACAAAAGTCGATACGTTTATTACTGCAGGTCGAAACGGAAACACTCACATTCACACCGATCGAGAACCCGAAAACCAATGCCTTTCGAAAAGGTCAGCAAATGTACTAAGTATTGTCAGCAATGCAATTCATCTCACCTCAAAGAGAACTACGAAGAAAAACTGAGGACGCCAAACAACATCCAAAGATGCCAATAGAACTTCCGGCCATCGTGGCCTGTATTTTGCCATCTTGTACCCAGTGACGCCTATCAAAGTTTTAAATCGATATCGCAGTCTCGTAGAAATTTGCAGTGGTTTCGATGCAAGGTGACGATCATACATACTGGTTCAGCAAAAGTCAACGCCACTGCCCTATGAAACAATTTAACAGAGCGTACGTTTCTTCCATGAGAAACACAATGAGAAATAATACGACGGCGCTGTAAATAGATCCTATAGCATAGGCCCATCTCCAGCTATCCAATAATTGATGAATACTCTGAATCAAGGACATATGTAAGACGTACCTCACACGCGCTACAAGAAAGCCAAATACAAATGGCGATAGGTAAGGCGATCTACGAGATAGTGAGAAATGTTTCTCCCAATAAAGGAATTCATTTCTGACAGAACGAAACCCGAAGTCCAGATGTTCAGCTTCCGTGCTTGAAGATGGAAGGGGAAGATATCCGTCACGACATAAAGACCCTTTGAGGTTGGTAAATGTTGAAGCTACCATGAGAATTCCACTAATCATACTGTCACCTGGGGACACGTTCTGAAACCGTAGTCAGTTCACCGCAGGCGTGGATAACATGACAACCTGCCCAAAGAATGCGGTCAAGCAACGCATCCCTTCATCAAAAGTTAACATTGTCCAATAAATACCAAATTATTGTGTAAATACCTGCAAAGGTGGCTAGATTCGGCGCCAATGTGGCACCAATCAAGAATGCAAACGCAAAAAGCTGCACTCAAGGTTTCAGGGTTTATATCGGCTAAATCACTAGATATATATACCTGACTCCAGAAGAGTACTGGCAGCCGACCATACCGTCTCATGAGCATGACCCAGAAGATGCCTCCCCAACCTGGACTACAGATGAGAAGAGGCTATTCTCATGTAATGGTGTGATCTCACCCAAAAGGAAGACGCTCCAGCTTCAGGGAATTATTGAATGTGAGTAACGATTGATGCATCACGCACTTTGATGTCAGATCATTGATGACACCCGAGGTCGTGTCATAAGTTTGAGCGAGGCCAAATATCGACGCAGTTCCTGCCAATAAAAGTATTCCATGATGACACTACTATGGATATTGAGCGAGGGCGGGATACATACCAATTCCAGAGTCGAAGTCAGGTACCACTGCAGACATTGTAATGATGATCAGGTGCACAGTCTTGCGAAAATCGGTCCACTACGAATGAATAGCTTAGTGTTAGTGAAAGGGGCACGATAATAAGAAATGACGAGCGTTTTGTGGGTCGTTCGGGTCGTCGGCGGGTTGAGGCCAGAGAACCTTCAGTCCATCAGGGCTAAGCTTGAGCCTAGAGGCCATTACCTCCCCAAACTCGACCTTTGCCTGTCTCGTGAGTCACAAATAAGTCACGATAGACTTAGGATATATGGGAGCAACAACGACATACTGGGGGTCCACTACTAAACGGCCAGAAGCCTGCTCGTAATAAGCAACAAAATCCACGTCGTCGGTAACATCGACTTTGATCGAGTCATCTGCCTTCGTTTCTGAATGCAGCCACTGGGAGCTAACCTGCTCTAGAGCCATTGGTAGTGGAGGTGAGAGTTGGGAAGTAAATTGTAAGACTCGGTATTCATCATCAATTTAAAGTGCGGTACTCACGATAACGATGTATCTCTTTTTAATCCGGGGGTGGGGGGTGCGCAGATTGTGAGGAACGGACAGCCTGTTAAGGTGTGTTCGAGCGAAAAGTACTTGATATTAGCTGACCTCGAAAACAATATTGAATTCGGCTCCCTTTTTTCGTTCACGATACACCGCCCGCATCACCCATTTCGAGGACTATGACCCACACGCATCGGTGAACCGCTCGTCATATTCGTAGTAGGACATCTCCTACTTAGGCCATCCAAGGCTAGTGATTTCAACCCGGTTACTAGATATGTAGACTGATATTTTCATCCAGTTTATCGTCGTGACATTTTTAAACATCAACAAACAATACAAAACGTCCGGGATGATCGGTTGCACACATATCTTCCACCGGGACCAGTACCCTTTACAGGGTCCTGGAACTCTACTGAGGCTGCATGTTGCTCAGCTGCGCGTTTCTTGCTGTCAGCATGTTAGTCTCTGTACATTGGTCTGTCCGTTCTGCCACATCTCTCTGTGTAGGGCCGGTGTTATGGATGGCTGCCCTTTCTGTCTCCTCTAAGTCCTCTTGTTCACTTTTTTTTGGCAGCCGACCGAAGGAGAATCCTTGTATGGCATACGATGGATGGCAAACTTGAAGTAAAACTTAACACATTGAACGTAGAAGGCCGAGGAGTAGCTCACAAAGTCAGTGAGCCCATCTTTTACGTATGTCCTTCTGGTCATCCCAGACTGTCACCCTGTACCTGTGCCGATACACCGAAAAAATGGTTGCTCCACTGCTATCATGATGGTGGGTCAAATGGACGTTTGATATCAAATAGTCCTTACTCTGCAACGAGCTCACGAGGTTTAACGGGACGTTTCTGTGCAAAGGTTTAGCCAACGGCGCTGCGGACAAACATTAGGCAAAAGTGAAGACCCATCATGCCACTGAATGGAATATCCCCTTTAGAATTCAAGTCTGTGGGCATTGCAGTGCTGTTCTTATCGACTTTCTCATACTTTGTTCTGTCCGGTGCCACCTGAGCACCACAACTTGGGACCGTTGTCAGACTGGACCGAATCTTGAATCTTGAAGCTTGAGCTTGAAGTCTGAGCATGTTGTGATGTCCTGGTCAAGTTTCCAATACCCACTCGATAGCTGCAAACCCAATTAATCAATATTCATCACACAGCGGTCTACAAGATAATTCATATTGTATCCCCAGCCAAACCACGTCCAGCAACGCACTCAACGAACACAAATCAATATAATTTCGAAGCTAAAGACATAAAATAAAGGATCAAAACACCCATCACTGCTATCACTTGCGGGAGACACAGCAGCCGCAACAGGCTGATACACTAGGCTGGTAACAATTCTCGTGCAATGAAGGCATCAGCCGAAGGACGAGTCACGGACATCCTGGAGGGCATGGTGAACATCTATTGCACCAAATTACTCACCGAGCTAGTACATGAAGCGTGACTGCCCCTGGAGGTGACATCGTCAGCAAATAGTCATTTTGATTATTAAGACGCGGTGCTGATATCCTATGGTGTTCATTAGTCCAGTCAGCGACGGACAGGGCATTTTCGGTGAAAGAAACACAGAAGTCGCAATCACCATGTTCGGGGTGCAGCATGTCTGCAACCATTACTATGATCAATGGGCTAGTTTGGAAAAGTTTCCGTCAGCTGACTTTGTAGATGAAGGTCGGGACACTTAGTACATTATCTATTTCGCAAAAATTAATTCTTGCAGCCTAAACTTCTACGCACATTATAACTGAAGGGCGCTGAATTTTCGGACATTAAGTTACCTTACTAGCTATAGGAAGGGTTCTGAGAAGTAGAAGCCTTGGAAGCAGAGCACGGTGGTCTGGCTTTCCAAGTACTATTAGTCTATTATGGTTCGTAACACGTTCTCTAGAATTGCTGTCCGGGGGCTCGCAGCTTCAGGTTGTACTTGTTTGTCTCAGGCTTGAACGTTTGAACGGTTAACTTCTGAGTCTTCGACCCGGGCACCTGCGGCGTGCTTCATAACTTGTCAAAGAAGTTTTCGACTACGTACTAGGTCAGGCAGTCGTGTCTGGACTCTGCGTGTTGCCAACATACTAGGAACATCAATGAGCCAAGCCAAGCAAGCAAAACTTTCGTCAGGTCGGGTGCAAAACGCATAATTTATCAAGTACAACTCCTTATTATCTTAACCGCAAGTGGACCTTACTTCTGTGACTCCGAGGTAACCATTTTTCATCTTGCTTATTTGTTTGCACGGATAACAGCAACTTGGTGCGTTCAACCGGCAGGCCTAAAGATACCCTCAACTTGCATTCAAAAGGCACAGGTGAGAAACAGGAAACTACATCTCAAGAGCATGATTTTGATGTAAGGCCCCATTCTCCGAGGCGTCGCCCAGGACATTCGGGGAAAAAAGAAATTCCTTGTGTCATACAAAACCTACTTTGTGGTGACGGGGATGGATAACCCGCCATTGGCATTCAAATACCTCTTCACTACCATCCCTTAGTCAGGCCAGGTCGTTCCTATCACTACTGTGGATCTAGAGCTTGTGGTAAACTCAGTTTACATGTTTATCCGCCGACTATGGTGATTCTGACTATGCCAACACTGAAGTCCGCCAGCGGCAACCATTTTGATAGAAAACTACCGAGCTTGTGTTTGGATATATAAGCAAGCTGTCGACTCTCAGAACTATCATTCGGGATCCCCTCGACGCATCCAAATCATCTAGCACAAGACATGCGTTTCTCATTCCTCCTTGCTGTTGTTGCTACTCTGACAACATCCATAATGTCTGTCAGTGCATGCACAGACCAAAACGGGCTTTGTGGCGCGAGTAACGTGGGAGGCGATCCATGCTGCTCAGGCCTTACTTGCAAGTTGGGTGTGAGTATGATCCATCCGCTTTGGATCCGAGATTCAGCTCCATAACTTACCCATTGCGCCTTGTATCAATAGAATCTCAGCGGCCCAAACCAAGTCTGGTACTGCCAGTAGCCTTCTCTCGATTGGCTTTGAAGACCGAGGATGTTCGTGACAGTGAGTCGTATTTCTGCTTTCACGTTGCCCCAGTGGTAAATTGATTACACGATACGCAGATGGTCGATATTCTTATTACTGCACGAATTTCCGCGTTTTTGTCGAGCAGACTCTAGACTCTAGAATAACATAACCTCCTCGCAAATTGATAAAACACATTCATGTTACTCGACTTGCGTACGATTTCCCACTAAAACTGGTGTATTCAGCCAACATCAAAGTCGAAGATCGTCAAGACAGATCATTAAGAAGGAAGAAGGGCTAGTGCCGGTAACTGCTTTGCCAACATCTCAAAGCAGTTTTATCGATAGGCTGTCCAGTAATGCTCTGCCTTGCGTGCGTTTTTCGTACAACTGTCTTGGGTCCATAGGATCTGGCGGTTACTCGCGCTCATCAGGTCTCTCCGAATGTGCAGCAGCCTTTTGAAACAAATAAAGTTGAGTACTGTAAATAATTTTCGACAGCATATCGATGAGCTATGGTATATGAGTACTAAGTTTGGTTCTACGTGTATGTTGCAAAATGCATTGGAATCAAGCAAATTCTGCGCACAATAATTTCTACCTATTTGCGATCGGTATTGATCACCTTTGGTTGGATGAACATTTCAAATAAAATCTTGACTCGAACTGGTTTCTGCCTTCTGGCTGATTTGATATATTTGTTGGTGTTGAAGATTTTATATCAAGTAGCTGGGACTCCACGGGCTTGGGACCATGCAGGCAGACGATGCGCCAGGTGCAGCCGAGGCGCCTAAGCGCTGGAGCCTGCTTCACGTTAGTAAGTACGCTGGAACCGCCAAATGATAAGTAACTCAAGCTAGGACCTCTAGCAGTCAATCCACTTGCCTGCACACATCTTGATTAGTGCAGTTCATTTGTATCTCTATGGGTCGAGCCTTGACTATTGGGTTCTTACCATAGTGTTATTTTCTTGTCTCGCTTATGGAATAGTGCTCAGTGCGCCGCGTCACGACGGTGGAATTTTCACCCGGTCCCTTGCCACCTAGATTGATCTAACGCACGGATCATAGCACGTGCGTTCATTTGATAGACCTAAAGATATATGGCGCTATATCAAAAGTTTTGATGACCGCCGCCGAGTCGTGCGGTATGATGTGTTGTAGCCGGCGAATGCGCCCAACATCTCCACGTCACGTCTTGCGCCCAGCGCGCTTTCGAAGTTTGTGTTTTATCAAAATTCTACCCCCATGGAAATACACGTGCCGTGTGGACCCATCGACAAGTTGGTATACGAGCGCGCCACAAACTTCTGGGCAAGTGAAGCATTCACGCTCTGCGTGCACATTAGCTGGGTGGTTTACACTCAAAGTGCACCTTGGTAGCAAGTACTAGAGTAAGTAATGAATTGAAACTCCGCTCTTCAGCGGGGTTGGTTGTAACCACGACGTCCCTGCCATAGGCCCATAGCGCAGCTGCCTACAAAAGAGGTCCATCTACAAGTCGTACTCCCTAACGGCAAAGGGAACTACCGCCAAGCAAGTACCGATCTTCCGACTCTTCGTTACGCGAAATATCCCATCAGTATACATTCGGATTGTAGTCTGGGGCAAATATCGAACGCACTCTTCAGAGCTCCAAGTGTTTAGATGACCGTGTGTGATTCAAAGGAAAAGTCTAGTGCTTTTTGGCATCTAGACTATGCGTAGGCCCGAGGCAGACGGTTTTTCATCATCAACGGTTCCCGACACGTCAGGTGGTGACCTGTATCCGTCGTCAAGACTTTCCGGGGCCAATGCATGTGTCGTGATTCTGAACACGCTAGGTCTCACATTCTACACTCGCCCCCTGCACCTATCTGGGATCAACCGTGATTAATATGTGGACTAATTCTGACAGAATCTTTGGCCTTGCCTACAAGGTGCATATCCCAATCACTACTTAAAGTTCGTACGTTGACATTTCACATGTTTTGAATTGTTTATCCGCCGACCCTGTAGTTCTGCCTATGATACTCTCTCCTGAAGTCTCCATGAAAGTCGCCAGCTGTAACTATCTTGATGGAACTGCCGGGTGCTTTCCAAAAACCTGTCTTCCTATCGCCAGTGTTATCTGAGATTTCCCCGACGGCAGAAACATCCCATATTACCTAGCCAAGTCATGTTTCCTTCTCGTCATCCCTGCTGCTTTGACAACATCCATGTTTGTCAGTGTGTGCACGACTTTAGATGGAGTTCGTAGCTCGAGCAGTGCATCCCACGACACATGCAGCTCAGGCCTTACTTGTAAGACGGGTGTAAGTATGAATTGTTCGCTTTGCACCTGGAGAGTTTCACTTCTCGGACGAGCTTGGCGGACCGAACATGGGGCGACTGTGAGTCGTGTTTCTACTTCCACGCTGGTATAGTGGTTGATCGCACGATATGCAGTTCGTTGCGGAGTTGATAGATGGGCTTACGTCTCTACAAATTCCCCTGCTACCTCGACCAGACTCTTGAATACAATCACTGTGGCATCGATATTTTTACCTGAATACAAGAAAACTTATGTATGCAGCCGACATCAAAGTGACTGTACATATGTCCTTGAAGATCGTTCAGAAGGAAGAAGAAGCTAGTTCGAGGACAATCGAGTCTCGTCATTCTGCCAGACACAGCTCCCTAAGTCGCAGGTATCTCTCGACCTCGAAGCTCGTGCCTCGGACCGGGCGATCCACTCTGCCAGATGCAAGCCACGGTATCTGCATTTCAGAAATCAACGATAGCGTCGTTCAGAGCGATGATGAAGCTATCCTTTAGACCTCCCGGTGGAGGCCATAGTGATCGTGTGCGTAATTCCGTCGAAATTCATTATAATACTTACTCTACTGCTTACATCACCTGCAGATTGCGTGAGTTACAAGCTTAAACGGACTCCACATATTTTTATCGATGTTGAGCGGCTTGAACTGGTCTGAAGTCGGTCGGGTGCAAACGCTTTAAAGGCACGCTAAGTGAACCATGGACTTGTCGCAAATCTTATCACATATTCACAAGTTACGAGTTGTCGAGAAACATTGAACACGATACACGATGAATTTATCTGGGTGACACGTGTCAAGTATGCCGGATGGTTGTTCTGTGGTTGGATATTCTGGCTTTGTAATGGAAGTGGGGCGACGCAATACCGGGTAGGTGATTGAGGCATTCACTAACGCTTGCATCGGTTGTGGAATTTGTGGAATTTGTGGATGAAGACAAACATGGTGCGTCCACAGTAGTCCAACCTATATAGATCGCAATGCGGATTCCCTCTTAACACTTTTCGCAACTCTTCACCCGTTCTTCCTCATCAATTATGGTTTCTTTCAAAAAGTTGTTCCAAAAGTAAGTACTATTTTCAGGTTATACTCATGATCATAATACTAATCAATACCACTCAGGTGTAAGGAAGACAAAAAGCCATCGCTTAAGCACTCCCAGTCGATGCCATTCAGATACTCGCAAGCGAGCATGCTCGAGCCTTACGGCGATCCTTTCAGAGCTGTATACCATGGCCAGACCCCCTCTAAACCTTCTGACAACGTGCACGTCGAGCAAGCTCCAGGGATGCGGGACATCCATCGTGCGCAGTGGCACCCAGGTGTCCACGACCATCCGCCAAGTCATGCCCACTTCGACACGCACCCCCACTTGCTGGACCAGTTTCCCAATCCCCCTCCGCCCCCTCCGAAACCCACTCACAGAACTATTCAGCAGTCTTCTTCAGCCACGTACTATTCGCAGCCCACGGCCGCAGCACACCCCTCCGTTGGTCGCAAAAAGCGGCGTGAGGCCACCGCTGATCAAGCTGTGGCGGATCTGCTGCAAACACCTGATGGCCGGCCTCCCGTATTTGGGAGCAGTAGACAGGCAGAACGTGCGCGCGTCAAGTCGAGCACTGGTCACTCATACATCCCCGTTCCTCACGATCTGCTGGAAACAGCTGACGGCCGACCTCCCGTATTTGGAAGCAGCAGACAGGCCGAACGTGTGCGCACCAAGTCAAGCGCTGTTCGGTCATACAATCCTGTCCCTTATGATCTGCTGGAAACACCTGACGGCCGGCCTCCCGTATTTGGAAGCAGTAGACAGGCAGAACGTGTGCGCACCAAGTCGAGCGCTGTTCGGTCATACACTCCTGTCCCTTATGATCTGCTGGAGACACCTGACGGCCGGCCTCCCGTATTTGGGAGTAGTAAACAGGCAGAACGTCTGCGCGTCAAGTCCAGCGCTGGTCACTTACAAAAACCCCTCCCTCCCCTCCCTCCCATTCCCCCCATTCCTACCAGCCACTCCCCACGTCCATTTATCTTGCGCTCTGTGCACAAGTCACGTACAAACTTGAATCATTATAGAGATCGGCGCTGACTGGTCTCGTTGGGTAGTATATCGATGGATGTGTGCACATGGAACTTAGTATGTGAAGATAGAGTGTTATAACTGTTCTACCTAACCATGTATGTCGAGTATGTCATTATGTAGTATATGTATATGATCTATGAAAATATAGTTGTTTGCCATTTGAGATTATGGTCTGCTTGACGCTATCTCAGAATCTAAGTGTTACAATTTAGATAGTTTTTTATTGCAGTGAATTATATTAGCATCCGGCAGATGTCGCTCGCCATTGAAATTAGCTCCTATAACCAAGTTACTTCAAATTGTGCTTCGCCGTTGTAAATCAACTCTTCAAGTAATACCTACTTCTTGTCACCACTGCCTTGTTCATTACATCATGTGATCTCACTAGCCCTGAAGAACGTTACATGGAATCCATATAATTCATACTGTGCATCCTTTGAGATGGCTTAATAATATACAATCAGCATGTACATCCGAGTCATGCCAAATGCATGTTCAGGATTACTCTGAGGATGCGCATCAAAGACGCGCTTGAGGAGTTTCGGACAACAACTTTCACAGTCTGTATTCAATACCCAAGTCTTCAGCAATGATCATCGCAGCCTTCTCTCCAATGATGAGCGCCGTCGAATAAGTGTTCTGAAAGAAGGTCAAACTATGCTTCAATAATTTCTCGTTCACTACTCACCGTACCAACATTCTTCGGCACGATGGATAAGTCTGCAACCTTCAGGTTTGTCACACCATACACATTTAGCCGAGCGTCAACGACTCCTTGATCTGTTCTTGATTTCATGGCACAAGTCCCGAGCTGCACACGCAAGGATAAGGCACCTCCTGATGAGAGTTCAAGTTACACATACCGAGTGCCAAGACGTTTGGACTGGGATTCGATCGGTATGTTACCTCAAGTATGGAAAAATGAATTCAGGACATACTGTTGCCACGATGAAATTTTTCGATCGCTTCGTCATCTTCTGCAGTGTAGATGATGTCGGGCGCATCTAAGTCCACTGGACCGGTCGCTTCTCCGCAGACTGCAGTACTTCCCTCTGGGAAATGAGGGTGGAAGGCGGCGACTTCACCTCGGTAAGAAGGCATGCGTCGACAGATTTCGCGCAGTTTTTTGTACCCAAAGTTGAGAGGTACAATATCCGACGGACTAGGCGGATTATCATGGTCAGACGGGTCTGGTTGAAATGAAAGAAGTGCCTACTTACTCATCTAGGTAGCCTGTAGTGAAGTCGATGTCTTCCTTGCCGTTCGCTCCCAATTTAACATGAACACTTCCAACAGACACGGGGTAAAGCTATAGGACCTGTGTTCAGAACAAAAATCACAGGGTGTATGGAAAGTAGTACTGCAATCATTTCGGCAGTCATGTAATTGCGAGGTGGAAAGTCACTTGACAGAAGGAATCTGGCTATCCTGAGCATTCGAACGTCATGAAAGCAAAGGATTGCACACACCCTGAAAAGAGTGTCCATATTGCAACGGCTTTTTCCGGGCGATCCTGGAAGAACTCCTTCCATCGTGGTTCGAAAGTTGAACCCATGACTTTCAATTCTTCGTCGTCAGGACGCCACTTGATTTTTGCATCGTTGCCGCTGAAATACTAATAAGTGCGTTACAAAGAGCGAAACATTGTGCCAACTTTTGAGCAATGAGAGACTTTCTATGACTTTTCCATCGCGCAAGGTGTTCTGCGCGTGGGTACTTAGAAAGTGCTGAGAACATGACGAGAACATGCTTGCTTACCCTGTATAACACTCTCCTCCCCACGCCAGAGCCGGTCCATGGTAACAAATTCGTCACCAACAAAGTACGGAACGAAGGCGCTAATATGATCTGATAACCTTGAATAAAGATTATGAGATAAAGATGTAAACGCAGACCTCGATAGTTTTCTCCAACGCCGGGCAAGTGTACACGTTGCTCGATACCGCACTGCTTGAGGACCGCCTCGGCACCAATCCCAGACCTCTCAAGGATGGCTGGCGAACCGAAGGCCCCGCCAGAGATGACGACAAGTTTTAATGCTCTCACGGTACTCGATGACTGATCTGCGTCTGGACAAGACACCGGGTCGTTGGTGAACTCGACACCTACAGCACGTTTATCCCTTTCACTCGTCAGTAGTTGAGCACAATCACAATCCAGGGTGCAACACTTACTCGAAGATCACGCGCTTTACACGCTTGCCAGCCCATATTTGTAAATTGGGGTTGTGAGCTTGGTTATAGACATAACAATGTGCAGCGTCAGAACGCGTTCCAGTTGTCCCGTTAATGTACCTTTGCATATATTGCATGAGCCTAAGTCATGATAGACTACGAGGACATGCTCACTTGAACCATGGCTGAGACAAATTTTGTCAGTGGTGGCAGAGGGAGAAGGAGCATAATGAGGTGGCGCACACTGTAAGAATTGCATGTTTCTAAATCTTCGGAGTCATCGGAAAATGGCCTCTTGTGATATTTCGTGCCAACACGGATAAAGTCTTCGCTAATACTCATTTTACACCCACCAGAAGACACCTTGATAGGCCCATCGTACCCATGGGTTAGACGATCGGCCTGCACCTCGTATGTCTCCAGCTATGCAATAACAGTTCAGCTTGAGAAATGTGCAGACAACACGTTTGAGGACCTTCTTCATGAGGGGAATCAAGTTCTTAGATTCCCAACCATCAACTCCCCAATCATCAAAATCTGAGGCAGGTGAACGAGTGTAATTCATAACTGTCCAAGCATCAGAGTCCTGCTCATTGTTGCAGCAATAATACGAACAGTTCACACTTGACCCTCCACCAACGCAATGGGCGCACTGAACAATTGGTGCACGACCGTTGAGATGGGGTGAAGGATTTCCAATGTTGAATGTCATCGTAGTACACGTCGGTGCCAGATGGGTGAAATATTGGTAGGGTTGAACATGCGCAGCTTTATTGAGGGTGTGTTGACCTCCTTCCAGAATTAAGATCCTGAGCGAGGGGTCGCATGCTGCCAGGCGACCCGCGACAACGCAAGCTGTACTGCCGCCTGCACACAAAGAGCCATGTTAAGAGTAACGCTGTGTGCAAGATGTCAATGCTCAAGTGCTCACCTCCAGCAAAAATGATATCAAACTCTGATAAGAACGGATAAGACATTGATTTTGCTGTTTAGGGAGCCAGTCGCAGTCACCAACTCACTATGCCGCAGGTGTGTACAACTTATAGTATCTCAGCAGCCACCGCTGTTCAAATGAATGACCAAGGCCGAGACTCCGAGCGCAGTCGTTAGTATCAGTCATCTGCATCAATCGATAACATTAATAATACGTACCATAAACCATGTATCATGAATTCAAGGTTAGCGTAGTATAAAAACACGCAAGATGCAGTGCATACTACACTCGTGACTAGTAAGCTCATAACGTGATGCACGGCCCGCATTAAAATGCCTTGGTCTCATGCCAGGTGGCACCCCGACTAGGACCCCGAAAAACTAACCAACATCAGGCCCAAAGGCGACAAAGCCGCCTGACTGTGCGTCAGGTATATATCCCGCATTTGACTCGGACGACCCGCTCGCTGGGCTTTGAGCCGCCACTGGACGCTGTCGGGCTTGTCCACCAGCGCACAATTGCAATGCATTACGAGACATCACTGCTACTTGGTGTGCTTGTGGAAACCCGCACAGGACACACTTGCGCTGTCAAGCTGCAACTGGTACGTACACATGATACATGCTCCACCTATCGTTGAGAAACGAAATCCGTTTGCAACGCCTATACATGTGCTGGATTAGTAATCAAGAAGCACATCGGAGTAATCATACAGTGTTGAGCCATGCTCTTCTCCTCTTTACTCAAAGTTCCAGCATGAACGTATACGGTTCATTTCTCGGACTAAGCGACGTAGCGAAACACGATATTAACTATTCACAGAAGCATCATGGCCTGGCGGACAATGGTTTCAGGGCCGTTACACGTTTTTGAAGAACTTCCGTCGTGGAGCTCCCGTGCTTGCATGTCGGGTGAATGAGCACTGCCCTGCGCATTACGATCCGCCTCCCCAAAATCGGAATGCCTCGGTAAATCATCGATGACTTTTAAACAACAGGCTAAGTAATCAAGATCATAGATACGTGGATTGAAATGGATATGTGATATTTATGGGATGCTGAATGTTTCTGTGTGTAGCTACGAAGTTCAGTTTGATTTAACTAATAGAAATATTAGGAAGAGTCTCGAGAAACCTTCCCCTTCTCTTTATTTCTGACCATCCACCCATCCTAGCCTGTCCTCGTATTTCGGTACATCCTTGCATCGAATGCCTTTCCAATAAGGACAAAACCGACATCATCCACTCTGTCCATAATTTTGGCGACAATGAGCGCTGTAGCCATTGGCGCCCATTCTTCCGCGACGCAGCTCAGCCCGCCGTGTCCAAAAGCAAGTAGTTGCATCTTGACTGGACGTTCATGCTGAGGATGGAAGCGCATCGCATCGAAGGTCTCTGGACGCGTGCCATATACACACGAGCGATGAACAGCTCCGATGTCAGCTATTTCTTGCGCAGGATAAAAAAGACGCTTCCACAAGGGGTGTCGACTTTTGCGTGCAATGTGCTGAATGGGTGGGTGCAACCTCAGGACTTCATTGATGATGGCTTCTACGCTTGGCCGAGTGTTCTTGACTTTGAAAGAACGGAACTGCTTCTGGGTGGGATTCTCGCTGAAATCTAGGAAGGCATTGTGCATGTGTTGATTGCCATTCGCATAGGCCAGTGTGACAGCAGCTAGACGCCACATAGACTCATACGCGGGAAGAATAGTTTCCAAGGCCTGAGAGGCGCGCTCCCTCCCAACCCATCTACAAACACGTTCCCTCATCGCGTAAAGTTCGCCAGGATAATGGGGAGTTTGCCGCAAGATACCATCCGGATGGTGGTTGAGTGCGTTGGTCATGAAGGCGACATCGACAGGGGAAAGAGTTCCAGGGTCTACTCCATAGAACCCAGTAATTATGATGCAAAAAGTGACGCTTTGTATAAAAGCGGCGAAGTCGACTTCTCGGCTTGGAAGGAATATTTCTGTGCATTTCTCAGCACATTTCACAAATCTTTGCCACCCAGCACATTGCTGGGGGCTGATGGAGTCGATCAATTTTCTCGTGTCTTGTACGAAGCGGTCGTGCTTTGAGGGGTCGAGTATCGCACTTGAGGATGTTAGAGCGAAGTGTTCATGAAGATGGACGCGAGAACGAATTTCGGCTCTATGGTCGACGTTTCTTGGTCTCAGCATTGCCTTGACAGCGCTAGCTGTGCGGTGGGTCCGAGTGCGGGTGACATGACATGCCCCGAAAACGACGATAGCCAGCGACCACAAAGCTACTGCAACCACTATGGGAAGCGCCATTCTGAGGTTTTGCATTCACCAGTCGGTTCCGGCTGATTATATGTGAATGCGATCCACGTGTTCAAACATCCGCGCGGTACGGGAAACACCTGTCTGTGGCATTCATTCCAGCTTGCGTCATCCGCATGAGCCGCACCGTGAGGCAGCATATCGATGTGATTTTTTTTGTGCGGATAGCAGTGAAACATACCTCTTCCTCTTTCTGATTGCTAAGCGAGGCGCTGCGAGGGCTGTTAATTATGCAAACCGCTGATGAACTCTCCATCCCTGAGTTAGTGGGCTGTTATCACAATAATGGTACATGATCCACCGAAAATTCCGTAGTACAGTATGAATTAATCACAACAAACAACCACAGCACAGAATTCTCATGTCCGTCAATGAATTCGGCTAGATACGGAGATCATACTGTTCCTGCTGCGTTGTCAGAGTTGTCTATTTCCGGAGTTGCTGCTGCCGCCCTCAACATTCAACGATCTTGTTCGCACTCATTAAGAAGAGATGTGGCCGAGCGTGCTCAACTTTGGAGAATCGTCCCTGAGACAAAGCTGCACGACATCGTGCCAATACCCTCGTGGCCTCGGCAAAGTCGAGTGGATTCGGAGTGCCTGCATGGCCACGTGCTCGCCCCTTGCTAGAATGGCGTCAGACTTGACATGGACAGGTAATTAATGCGAGTGTAGACACTATGAGCATGCAGGTGGTTGTTGCGCATGTCAAAGTTGTGGCCCTCTCTACCCCACAGACAAATCGAGCGATGCAGCCATGCCAGTCGGAGAATCTTCAATAGTCAATGTGATCTTCGCTGAGAGTCTGAAATAGGAGTCCGAGAGGTAAAAGAATATCAAGAACCCTTTGATTACGTACGTATCATGTCTAATGAAAACGATGCAACGCCCACCGCAGCAGATCGCCAAAGGGTCGACATGCGCGACACCATGTGGGAGGACCGCCTCAATGCTGTATCCAAGTGGATTTGATCTCCGACGTCCTCGGATTTCTACCGTTGACTACGAGCGCTCCGCCTTTCCGAATTCAACAACTTTGCATACCTCACCCCCAACTCTCGGTTACTCTCTTCCTGAGGGCGGGTGGCTGGGATACGGCGATATTCTACACCGTCCTCGGCTTCCGAAGAAACCCTCAGTCCAAGACTAGCGGGCTGTCTGTCTGCCACCTTCGTAGACACGTTCCGCAGACACCAATCAAGGGCTTTTTCTGTGCGCTCCTTAAGTGCGTAGGCTTCCTCCGACTGATAGAACGCCACAGGCAGGCGATGACTGAGCCACAGATAGAGCACGAGCGATTTGTGAAGTCCCTCAAGAGTTACGAGGCCCTGAGACGGCGCACCAGCAGAAGACTTGCCGCCGGACATCATCCCTTCCACATTCTCCAGTGCTTCTATATACGGGCCGACCCGGAGGGCGTGCAAGATAGGGACTCGGATCTTCTCGTTGTATATCTGACATAGGCGAGCTGTGAATTCCACTGCAAGGGCATCTCGCCAATTCATTGGTGAACCGCCGATGAGAAGTCTATCATATAGTTTCATATGTTTGGCGTGAGTTTCGATGAACCGAGATCTTTCCTCAATCTTGGAGGGAACGAAGGCACGGCAAGGGGGCCGAACATTGGAGACATATGGGGCCACCTCCAATAACGTGTGGTGCAAAGCACCGGCAGGAAGTGCTTGAAGAACACTCTCAGCCCAGGCCAAAGTAGGAGAGACGCCTGCAAATATGATAGGATCTGGTTGGCGCAGAATCGCAGAGTGAAGCATTGGGAGATCATCTGCATGGAGAGTCGTAACGAAGCCTCCAGGTTCACCATGAAGGCCATAGCGTCCCGCACGCCCAGCAATTTGCTTGATTTGGGAAACTGATAGAGCGCGTTCTACAGTACCGTCAAATTTGCGCAAGGTCTCGAAGATGATCCGTTTGATTTTGCTAAGCCGAATGAGACGGGTAATACGATGAAGGGTGCAAAGTACTCACAGATTAAGTCCCATGCCGATGGCATCACTTCCGATCATCACGTCATAGCCGCTATGAGGATTATTGAAGAGCGCCGCTTGTTCGGCACGGATCTCAGGTGGAAGTCGCCCATATGCAACGGCACAACGCAAACCTGTATTCTCTTCTACCTTGCGCTTCAGCGCAAATATGCTGCTTCTCGAGAAAGCGACAAGACAGTCGCCCTTTCGGACTCTACCGAAATCTCCCTCGAGAGATTCGTCTTGAACAGTAAGAGGTGTCAAACGCTCGTAGCGGTTGATAAAAAGTTCGTCATCTGTATCATTCAAGAGCGCTTGGACAATTGGGACCGCAACTTCTTCGCCACATAAATGGAGTTCTTCGGCAGGTAGACCCAACACAGCAGCGGTCCATGCGGATCCACGGTCTGGGTCAGCAAGCATTTGGATCTCGTCCACGACTGCCACTTCTACCGGAAGACTCAAAGACGTCATCTCTACCGTGCAACTCACAAGACCGGCATACTCGGAAACGATCCTAAACTCCTCTCCAGTGCGAAGGTTGCACTCTCGTGCGTACTTCGCCTTCCCTTCTTTCCGTACGGTTGGTCTGGACATTGACTCTTCGATTATATCCATGTTCGTAGATGTGTCTGGCTCAGAGTCGGGGTCTGGATCCATCCCGAGGGGCACGATCTGGCCCTTATTGAGCCGGTCCCAAATTTCATGTGCGAGTAGCCGCAGAGGACCAGAGTAGACACCAGTCTTCGCCGCCGCGAGCGCACGTAGAGCCATGTGGGTCTTCCCACTATTAGTAGGCCCAACGTGCATGATGACCTTGCGACGCATTGAGCGCGCTTTAGGGTACATATCCGCAGGATATGACATATCTGCGGTTGAGTATAGATATGAAATTTGTTCCAGCGTATGCTGCGACACTGATTTCAGGATAACTTCTTGTTGCTCGGGGTCGGACGCCCAGGAGTAGAAAAGTTGAGTGAGATTCTGGTCTAGCCGGAGTCCTTGATTCAGTTCTTTTGCTGTGAGAACAAATCTCTCTACGTGGTACTTTTTCTGCTTGACTGGATTGTGAAGGAGCCCAGAGCTGACCTCTCGGGCGAATATTGAAAGAATGGACTGGACGTCTGTTCGTGGTACCCCGAAGGACTCCAGGCGACGATGTACGTGCGGAAGATCAGCCCATTTGTGGACCTGTTTTTCCATGACGAGGAGAGTGTCATTAGCGTCCCGTACTGAGAAACCGTCCAGGATGTGACCCTTCTTTTGCTTCGTGACGTACTGAGGGTTGGAACGACCACCATGTTTGAAGCTACCACGTTGATTACCGGAAAAAGTTTTTGGAGAATAATGTGAATTTCTTGGTTGTTGACGCGAGTCGTTGGAGCGAAACCGACGGAAGTGGACTTGGCTGGCTTCCAACCAACTTTCAGATTTTATGAATCCCGAAAGGAGAAGGCGACAGCGGGGCAGCATAACAACAGACGTCCAAGGAGAATAGTGTTATATTGAGAAGTCTACGCTGGCTTTATGAAGCCATTGAATAGAGTTGACCGTATTCTGCGAACGAGGCGGGTTAGAAAAAAGTGGTTGTTTGGCGATGTTAGGATCAGAAGGTTCACTCAAAATATTAATGACTTGTCAACTCTAAGTCAAGCTCACTATACTTACACCAGCCATGGCTGCCGCAGCAGCCGCCATTCGTCCTATGCGACTTGCAGCGCTGACACGGACACGTTCCTCCATATTTCAAACTGCGTATAACCCCACATCAGCACGTACTGGAGCCAAATACCTTCGCGCACGACTTCGCGGGCCTTCTATGGTCAAATATTATACTCCAGAAGCCAATATTGCACAGCTCATAAGACAATGGCCTGAGTTGGAAATGATAAACTTGGCAGAGGAAGAGAGACTGCAAGATGTGGAGGACAAAAAGAAGAGAGGGAAGGGTGCACCGAAGAAAGCCAAAGAGAAAGGTGAGTCGAGACTTTATGACATATTTGCACAATTAATGCTTCGTTTCAGGTGACAGTCGCAGAGCCAGCAGGAGGCGATGATGCATTGTGTTGGAGCTGGAGAACGACCCTATTTTGTGTGTCTACGACATGGCGGGAGACGACAAAGAGAGGATGGTCTCTACGTAGGTATATATACGTAGTCGGGATTCGGACATCGAACGATGATGAAGGGTGGATATTAATATTAAACTCTAACACGCCCCCTCGACCGAGACATTGTGAGGAAGATAGTGAGCGCGTGAAGTTGAAATGGCGTGAATAAACTAAGAAACAGCGAGAAAGTGTAGGAAGTTCATTACCGCGCATGGACAATCGAGTATGTCATACTGAGCACTGGGTGTCATCTAAATAGAGTCGGGAGAAAGAGATATTAGCATACTTGGTGAAAGGTTGAAAACGTAGCTTGGTATCACTGTGCAAGGTGTTGCATGAAGGCAGATTATGTCAGCGGATATTGCTGGCGTTAGTGGCCGAAAACGGAAGGAAGTCATTTATTTTTCGAGTTTAACTTTATTTACACCAGGGTAATTGGACAAGCGAGCTCATCAGCAGCTCTGTCTTTCGGGTCTTCCCGAAAATGCTTTGTCAAAGGGCCTGACCCTTCGCCACCTGTGGCAGATGCCCCGTGCATCGTTTCTGACTAATATGTCGTTCGCAATCCTCATTGCCACCTCCTTTAGCGGAGTTTTTAGCCTATGACTAGCGGGACTTAGTGAATTCGGAGGTCCTCACCTCTTCTCACTCGAATTATTCGTCTCGCTAGGTACGCCAATCGTTTATAGTCCTAAGTCCTTTCTCACTCGAATTAATCGTATCGCTAGCAATTTTGCGCACCCTCCCTTCCCTCCCATATTTTAGCGTTTGTATGATAGTTCAGTCGAGTTTGGCCGTATTTGTTTCTGTACGGGCTTGTTTGCTTCCCGAATCCATGAGGATCCCATGTTCTCGCATTGGGGTCCTCGAATTTGCTGGCTAAATCCTCATCGTCTGCGTACCCACGAGACTTGAGCGAGGACAATTAGAGTCTATTGAGGGAAGGGGGGCCAATAGATTAAGGTTTATTAGAGGGGGGTGGTGACACATGTTTGTGAATTGACTGGAAATGAACAGCGACATCGCGGCATACCTGCCTAATACGGTCAAATTTATGATAAGTATGATATTCTAATCAGAATCTTCGAGCCTACGGAAAGTCATTCAATTATCGATCAATGGCATCAACATCCAAGGCTGAGAAGGCCTACATCCAATCCTCCTTACTATCTGATCCGCCATTACGAGCAGACGGTCGCGGTTTGATAGATTTTCGAACCATAGCCCTCGAGTCTGGAATTGCCCCCATCGCAAATGGCAGCGCACGTGTTAGCATCGGTAGAAACGCGCAGGACGGCGGTGGAGGCACCGAAGTCGTAGCCGCTGCAAAATTGGAAGTTGAGAGCGTCGGCGATGGCGAAGGTGTAGATGGCGGACGAGTGGCTTGCTCTGTGTCCTGGTACGGTTTTTCTGCTACACTTTCAAAAGAAAAGACTGGACAACTCGGACTGATAGCTCTCCAACTGCATACCCGCTCCTCTCCCCAAATGCCCTAGATGACCTGCAACATGACATGACGTCCGTATTGAATGCTACCCTCTCTCATCCGACAATCCGACCAACAAACCTTGGTATCATACCTGGAATGAAATCTTGGTTGCTCAATCTCGATATCATAGTGTTTTCTGACGCAGGAAACATATTCGACGCGATTTTCATGGCTGCACGCGCAGCTTTATGGGATACAAAGGTACCTATAACAAAAAGCGTCCAATACCGCGCGAAGAAAGGCGAAACTCAGGCTATGGACGTGGACACAGACGAAACAGCCCTTGTCGGCAGCGCACTGGACACACGACAGACGATTCAAGTGGCTGACTTCGAGCTTCCTGACTACTGGGACGAAGGCGTACCCCTAGATGGAAGACAAGCATGGCCGGTTTGTCTGACTCTCAATCTGGTTCGTTGTTTGTTGAGTTCAAATTCGATGGTGTGTCATTAACCTCTGAACAGTTACCAACCTTGCATTTCCTGGATGCTACGCTACAAGAAGAAGCTTCTGTGCCTCTCAAGTTACTCGTATTTTACTCCTTCCCGTCAGATGCAACTCCACTGTTGCGAGGCATGCGCTTGCTCGGGACAGGCGCGTCGGACCTCACACAGGTCAAAAGCCTCTTGAAGGTAAGCATCCAGCACGTATCTTTATCACTGCATTATAATCCTCTCAGGATGGGGAGAAGTATGCTCGGAATGTGTGGGTCGCTCTTGAAGGGAAGCTCAAGGACGAAGACTTTAGACGCAATCAAAAAGCCAGAGAGAGATTTCTCAATAGATAAACCTACAACCATATGGCATTCTCACAATAACTCTTGACGAAGTGGTAAAGAGTAAGCGATTTCATAGCTTTGAGATTATGATTTCGTTGCAGGACTGGACTGTAACCGCCTCCTTCGTGCTAGTAACCCCGGAAATATTTGACCGTTGATGCATCCAGGCACACGTGATTTGAAACGTATCTATCCATTTACAGGGAAGTTCAGTGCGCAGGCATCGGACACATGGTATGTAGAAGGCATAGCCTGTCCTGCATGAGAAATCGGACTCACTGGCAGATGGGGGACGTCACGCGTAACAGCTCAGTCACATTCTCGCATGCTAATGAACTGAACGCTCTGCCCTCCAGCTAGAGATATTGAGCCAAGAATAGTTCTCGCCAGTCAAGCAATGCTCCCTCTCAGTCTGCTGACCTACACAAGATGCCTGAAATGTCCGGACATCATATTCCGAGTGCGAGAACGCCGCATGGAATGCTGGTCTATTTCGTACGCAGGTTCTTTCAGCGTAACTAGCGGGGTGTACGAATCAGATAAAAGGAGTACGTTCGTAGTACACTTCTGCAGCGATCACCCTCATCAAAGTATAACCTCTGACCACCACCAACCCATCATGAAGTTCACATCGGCAGCCATCTCCCTCCTTGCTATCACTCTTCCCGTGCTCGCTCAGACTGAGAGCCTTTCGTATGATAACACCTACGATAATGCTGATCTGTCTCTCGACGAAGTCGCCTGCTCAGATGGGCCTAACGGACTCATCTCCAAGGGCTACACGACTCTTGGTCAATTGCCTACATTCCCCAATGTCGGCGGTGTCTACACTGTTACGGGATGGGATTCAGTTTACTGCGGAACATGTTACGAAGTAACATACGGCAGCGAGACAATCGCAGTCCTTGCTGTTGATGTTGCGAGTTTAGGGTTTAACATTGCGGAGACAGCGATGAACACGCTGACTGACAATGAGGCTGCGTTTTTGGGGAGGGTATCGGTGACTTCGGTTCAGGTCAACGCATCTGTTTGTGGCCTTTGAAGGTAAGCAGGTTGGGTTTCCTTGTACACGAAATCGATGCTCATGTCGAGTAACTTAGTGCCCGTTGATAGACACCATTGGTTACTTGAATTCAGATTCAAGTACAAGTTTAACTCTCGTCCTTTTGGGTAATGGTGTCACGATACGGACTGGAACTAGACATCAATTATGCAAGAAACTGTATTTCACTTTCATGGATGTTCATTGAACTCAAGATATATACGCACCTACGAGATTACAAATAAACATCTGCCCACCCCAGACTAAAACCTATAAATCCAAGACCGAGTGAATGCAGCCTCGTACCGCTCTGCCAGTGAAGCAAATACCATAAGCGGTTCTTTAGAAAGCGTCCACAGACCTGCCAATATAGGCACTACCGCTGCGCCTGCGACGATCTTGCGCGTTCGTGGATGCATGCGGAATTTCCGAGAAGCAAAACGCGATGCTTGGATGATTTGTGCGCCTTCGACTGCGTGGAGCATGACGCTCGCAACCAATCCACCGTACAAGATCCAGCTCCGCCATGGAAACCTAGCCAAACCAGTTTTGATGAACTCATAGTCCAGCTCTGAGGGCCCTACTTCGAATATCGGTGGTGAAGGAGTGGCAGGGTAAACGCGGTGTGTGTAGAAATGTATAGGAAGGAAGATTAGAAGAGTTGAATATGCTGCGAGACTGAGGGTGCTGGTAATCTTGCGAGGCGGTGCTGAACGTGGACTGATGATCCTTTTCGTGATACTTGAAGCTACGTGGGCTGCCAGAGGCATAAAGAGGAGATATCTCTCCCCAAAGCCAGTTTGGTAGTACTCCCTACCGAGAAGCTGCGCCGGTTATGATTCAAACGTCACATCCCTTTGTTACCAACTTGACGATACTGTGTCACTCACCATAACATTGGAAGACAAACTCGAGCCTCCGACATTTGCAAGTACCGGTGCGGACAGATGGACAATGAGGAAAACTGAAAGGAAAGGCGCGGAGATGTGGGCGACGTTTGTCAAAACTGCCACTGTGTGTCTTAGTTTTGACCCATCTCCTTTGGCTGACATTGTTTCCGCGTCGTCCGAAGCAGCCAGGAATGACCATTTGGAGTTTTCGAACAATCCAAGAAATATGCTGCTGAGAGTCATGGAAGTTGGCTTGCAATTTGTGGGGAGCGCCGTTTGCCGCGACTTGAAAGTGATGGCATGCAAAGTTCAAACTAGTAAGCTCAGCGATTTTGAGTTTCGAATTTCCTGAGTTTGCTAACATTATACGTCCTACAGGTAAGTAATCCGTCCCTAAGTATACTATGCACATGAATTAATGCGAACCGAGAGAAATGTGGATATGCATGGTGGAAAGGTGATATTAATGATACTAGAACGCGGAGCAAGGGGCTGAGTATTAGGATCAAGCAACCGTAAAGAAGAAATGACGCGAAACACTGCGGGGCTATGAAACAAGTGGGAATAGGGCTACAGGGTGAAGATAGTGGTGACGGAAATCATCCGCGTGGCTGAGGTTTTACTGGGTGCGTGTTGGAATTCCACGATTCTGTGTCTTGCTCTTGGAAGAGTGCCGAATATTCAATGTCGCAGGGAATACCGGGTACATGATCAGGGTATTCGGAGAGGGGAAGGGGATGGGTGAAAAAGTCAAAATTGTGTAAGCCGAGAGCATAAGCTTCCAGAGCCTGTGCACGCTCCATGTCTTCATAAGGTGCTAATAGCTCATCACCAGGCAACATTTCTTGCCCCGGCATACAGGGAGAAAGGGGATCGCTATTCCAGCCAGAAAGGGAGGAGGTGATAGTTGTAAAGGACGAAGGAGTGTAGGTGAGTCCATTTTGGCTCTCTGGGGATTGGTAGTCAAGCTCAAATGACATGTGCGACTCGGACGGGTTGCCTATCGAGCTATCATGCTCCTGTATCATGGGCTTAAGCACACATCCAAGGAAAAAATGTATCAGAAACGTACCCCAGTCGATGCACCGAAAGTGAAGGATATAAAGGAAGATGGATCGTTTGAGGCAGGATGCCATTGCTGAGGTTGCGCCTCAAATTCCTTCCCAAACCGAACATGTGCCGCCTGTGACACATAATCAAGAGGACGCAGCGGCCACTCTCTTCCTTCAGTCGAGCGAGCCCTGCATGAGTCGTCCTTTGGAGCGTATGATGGGAGGATGGGAGTGAGAAACGCGTCGGGTAGCGGGACAGACGACGATCGTCGGTGAGCTGCGGCACAGTTCCCGAGGGCGTCTTTCGGTGCGAAGTCTCCGTATGCCTCAACACACTCGCTCCCTTCCTTCTCCATGACCTGTTGATGTACAACATCCTCTTGCGAGTCTTCATCCACATCTGCGATATAATGAGGCATTTGTTCGTCTGAATCCAGCAGGAAACTGTTGTTATTCATGCCCATATCGTATTGACGTTTCTTCAGTCCAGAGATTTGGCGCCGCATTGGACGAAAGCGATAGTGGGGGTAAAGACGTGCATGCTCCTCTCTCTCCCTATCTGCAAGGACCTTATAAATGTCCTTTTCAGAAGCAGATAACTCCTTCCACGCCTCAGCGGCTCGCTTGGAGAGGGTCTTGGCAGTAGGATTGGGTGCTTCTGATTCGTCGTCGCCTTCTTGGGCAGCCTGGCTGTGCTTGCGTGAGTACTCACAGCGAAAGATAATGAAGGCGTTTCTAGGTCGAGGAATCCAACTAGGGTCCCTGCTTCTGTTACGCTGTGCACGTCGATCAGATGAAGGAGCCATTGGTTGGTGAGTGATGCAAGAAGTGGACGGTATAAAAGGCGTTGGTTGGGGAAATGTATGGTCTGGAAGATGAACATCATGGTCATCCTCCACGGAAGGAGGAGACCATCCGCGGAGGACAGGTTGGGGGGTGAAGAGCATTGAAGACCTTGAAGGGATTTCCGGGAAGCGGACGGGACAGGGCAAGGTTATGTTATATGATTGAATCAACAAACCTTGCCGTTGATCTTAGATCAACTGCTTGCTGTTGCCCCAAGGTTAAGTGAATTTGAACTCAGACACATGAAGGGGGTTTGTTTTCAACGACAGGATGATCAAAATTGAAACCTGGTCAGTGAGCCGAGCAAGGAAATTGAAACAATCGAGACCCGAGAACAACACGAAAACAGCTTGGAAATGTTCCCTATAATTTAAATGGATTAATAACCAAGACATCATTCGATCCGTTCGATCAACCTAATCTAGATCATACCCCGCCGATCACTATGAACGCCGTGGATACTTTCCTAAGGGTCTTGCTCAACCTGCCCGTTAAGGTCCCCTGGATGCTTGTAGCAAGCTTGATACTCCTCGCGATAGGAGAAATACGGTCATATTATCATGCGGGAGCTTGACCACAAACGGACAACAACTCGGGCTCGGACTCGGTCAACCGCGGCAAGTACTTTCAGGGTAAGAAGCGTGGGATGGCAGTGCCATGGCCAAAGCGAGTTAGACACAATGCGGGACCAAGTCTCACTATTACAGGACAGATACTCCAATCCTTCAATCCATCACGCTAATGCTAAACAACCCCGGGGCCGTGTACTGGCCTACACCGAGGTCACCGTATAGGCCGCCTCCACGATGCACTTAGCGCTCGTAAAACAAGTTCTCCTTGATGCCATTAATCCTTTAGTGATCGAGCGCGATCATACTACTTCCGATTCACTGCCGGCGGCTAGTACTGCATTCTCCGTGGACTTGCTGACAAACACAAAATCAGACGAGACATGGTCATCATTTTCTAAACCACAGCTGATGCTAGACCTAGGCGTGTTTTGACTTCCATCATCGTCACCTCGGAGTGTTCAATAGCGCGAGTAGCACCGCGACGTGCTACCTCCTCAAGATATGTCGTTTCATGACGAATACGATTGAACTGCGCCCGGGGCCCTTTCACGAATTCCTCGACAGCCTCTGCGACATCGCGTTTCAATGCGCCGTGACCTTGGCTCTCATAAGCTTTGGCGACCTGGGTGACATCGCGGTCTGTGCAGGCAGCGAGAATAGTAAGCAGATTTGAGGTACCCGGGCGGCCTTGAGGATCATAAGTGATGCCCTGAATGGAATCCGTAACAGCAGCTCGGATTTTCGATTGGATCTGGGAAGCTACATCGGTGAGCAAGATGCGAGACTGGACGTCGGGTGAAGATTTCGACATCTTGGATGTTGGGTCTTTGAGTGATAAAATCCGCTTCGAGGGAGCTGAAGGCATGGTTCAACGGATATATATATGCACAACCCCAAATACTTACTGTTAACATAGGTCGGAAGGGGAAACAAGGGAGACGTTCCTTTGAATGTTCGGTTGAAGATATCGGCGAGATCTCTCGTAAGTTCTATATGTTGCTGTTGATCGTCGCCAACAGGAACGTGGGTGGCTCTTAGCAACACATCAGTCGTGCCAAAAATGTCCACCAAAAGAAGGCTCACTTGTAAACAAGTACGTCCGCGGCTTGCAGCACAGGATACATGAATAGACCGGCGTTAAGCATTGATTCATCCACTTCATCCTCTGAGCTAGAATTTCGCGCCGCAGCTAATCTTGACTTTAGGAACGTAAGAATTGAATGTAATTACGCTTGGGAGACCGCACCTTCCAAGTCGTCATCCGGCGCAGTTTCCCCATGGGCGCTATGCAGCTTAATATCCAGGAAAGTTCGGTATGGTGAGGATTCTAGGTACTGTTAACCAATCGGCTGGCGGGATAGAGCAATCAAATACATGGTCCTGGTGAAACAGTATCGACCGGTTAGGGTCGATGCCTATGGCAAGTAAAACAGCCAGCATATCATTCCTTGCAGCCAGTAGGGCAGCAGGATTCTGTGGAAGGGTCAAAGCATGCCATCCGACAATCGAAAACAGCAGTTTGTCCTCGGGCTCGGCAGATTTTTGCAGCTTGACCCAGTTAGACAGTGCGCCTAGGTAGTTCCCTAGCTATGACTATGTAAGTTGTTCCATGTCAAAAAAAGAATATAATCTTACATGAGGGATACCAGTTGGTTGAATGCCTGATAGTATCACGCGTCCCGGGCGTATCTGGCCGCAGACACGTCGGGAAATGATCATGTGTGATGAGCACTAAGAAAAGTATTTTAAACTCCGATAATATACAAGGTACCTAGACCTCAGCTGTGCTCTGCTTTACTGACGTCTACATACTACCAGCCATTACCGGCTCATCGGGCGACCGCAGCCACATGGAGTACGATCCCTTGGTGGACCTTCCTGGCGGCGACAATTTTCACGATGTGACCGCATTATTTGAGGATGCTGCCGAAGGTGACCAGACATGTTTGTGTTCACTTACCTACCCGCTCATTGCTTAAGATATGCAACCCGGGGCTCTCGTGTTGACCGACGGATTTACTCTTCTGGATGCTATGTCGTCGTTCGAGGTAAATCCACTTCTTTCCGAAGTTCAACCAGTTCGCTAATGATGTGTGAAGATAGGCGAACCACGCTTCGATAGCGGCTTGGCGCTTCTGGACAAATCTAAGCCGTCCTTCAATCCTCTCGCCCCGCTTACCCCAGAGGAAGTGTGCTGGATCATAGATCGCTCGGTTTCCTGCGAGGTAAATCAGAGACAGCGTAAACTCTTCCACATGTATTCATTTGTCCCCTGTCTGGCACCCAGATGGAATGGCACTCCGGTTATACTCTTTCGCAAAGCATATACTCATTCCTTTACGTTCACTCTTTGAAAGAGATAGACCCTGACCTCGTCCCCGGGGGTTCACTGCCACGCTCAGACAGCCTGCGTCCGCCAGAGCTAATCACAGTCGTTCTAAGGGCAGCTCTGTTAGGCCTTCTCAAGTGTTGTGACCTGTCCTGGAGGGAGCTAAATAAAGGGAACGTGTACGATGTTCGTCAAAGTACTGCTTAAGTTGCCAGCCATGCTCATCTATGACCAGGCCGAAGACTGGCAAAGCGAAAAATGTGACGTGCCGCTCTCCGAGGCTCTGCCCGTCAAATATGTCTGCAAGGCGCTTGATGAAGCGTGTCGTTGGCTCGAGACCTCGGCCAAAGGTGTGAAATGGCTCACATAACAATGTTCACCCGATGTTCATGCGATAAAAACTACAGTTCAGCAACCTTGGAAAACCATGCTGATGAATCGAATAGTGTTTAGAAAGGTTTGAGGTGTTTCTTCTTTTACACGACAGTCTACTGACTTGTGTCAGTCACTAATTGTGTTGTTCGAGACACAATTGTCTCAACCTCACTCTGGTTTGCTTCCGACGATGATAAATCTAAGTCTGCAATTATTGCAGCCTATCATGGCAGTAACTCCGTCAGAACCCGCGCCAGATTCTCCAGCCCGTCTTGCGTTTGACCCTCAGTTTCCTCGTGTTATCGTATCATACATCCCTCTGCATGTCCTACAGCTACCCGACCAAGCTCATACCTGGGCTTTACTAGAGGGACTGTTGATATCGCTGAAAAATGTCAACGATCTTGCAAATACGACAGATCTGACGACATGGGAGGTATATACTATCACTGCTTTTCCGTCGATAAACATTAAATCTGGCATCAGGTTGCCGGCCATCTACAGATGTGGTGCCCGCGGCCCCATAGTCGACTTCCGTACGTGCGTTCAATCACACAGGCGAGTCATTCGTGCATGACAATCACCTAGTCGAATTTTATAATAATCCATAGTCCGCATTCTGGGACGGCGTCCTCATACTCAACAAGTTTGCACTCAAACACGTTGTGGTCCAGTTCTTCCGCGAGACACTGGACATTTCATATGACGCTTTCACACAAAATATCATAGCAAGGTGGGAGGGTCCGGCGCTTCCACCCCTCGTACAGATTGAACGCACCATGACGCAGGTTTGTTTGAAGTTGCGACATCCTGCATATATGCTGACAGCAAGACAGATACTGATTGCGAACATAAAGTCGCTATGGTACAACCCACCACGGCGGCGCCGATTCTGCGCAAAGTCTCTTTTCGACTGGCACGAGCTGTTTTCCGTGTTCATGGACGTGTGTGTACGCCTTGCGCCCTTGGTGAGTGCAGCAGATGTAAGTAGTGCCCTGTATGCTAACTAGACGATGCTTGTCAGCAAGACCAAGAAAAGCTTGACCACGTCCGTCGCGCCAGGGTAGCCGTCCTAATGTATAGGCTGTCTGTCATCCGCGAAGTGATTTTATCGGGATTCCAATTGTCACTCTATACAAATGAAGAGCGCGTGTTTGCGTACTGGTATGTCGTACAGGTGCTTGAAATGCACTTGTCCTGCATAGATCAACTTATGCCAGGCATGTCGAGCGGTACGTGGTTCGATGCGTATAATGGCTGGAGTTGATTTTTTTTATCCAGACTCAAATGCTTACTTCGAGTTGTCATATCAGTCGCAATTCCTCACGGCATTGCAGTCCCTCTCAATAGCTGTCTTCATTGTAAGTGATGGTGAATATCACTCACTTGTTCCAGATCTTGACTCGATGGAAAGATTACGGTTAAACAAACAACTTTCCCGTGGCGACGCACGAGGCTCAATTTTTTGCGGCGCTACAAGTGGGCTTTTATGCCCGAGTACGAAGACATCGATTTGCAACCATTTGGACATCCCAACTTTACCAAGTTTGCTACTGCATGCGAATCCATGCAAAAGGTGAGTGTTCGCAGTAACCGAAAAGAGGTGCCTGTTTAAATCGAAGGTAGGATACACAGTTCTCGTTAGATGGCATCGCGCTCGCCATAGAAGTTCTATCATGTTTGCTGACGTCACCCGATGGCTGGGCGGGACGATGGGGTGAAGAACGGAAGAAGGTGAGATAATATCTAGTTGTGCCTACCACAGATTCTCATCTCCCGCAAGTTCGTCCAGAAGCTCCTAGATGTGTGCATCTGTTTGCAGAGACAGCTCCCTTCAACCGAGCAGGCCTTGACGACATGGGATGCGAAGACTTTGAAGTGGGATGTGGATGTTCATCCCTGGTTTCCAATTATCTCTGGATTCCCTCCAGTGCCATCACGATAGATTGGTGCTGTTTTTTTTACCCGTTGATATAGATACACATCTGGAAGGCTTTGTTTCAGTCACTAGTGATATGATGTCAAATCTATCGTGTATCGTGCACGTGGTGGTCGGCTGAGACCCCTATTGTTATCAGTTGGCAAATTAATTGCAAACTTTAATCATGCATCGGAAGTCTGTCTGTCAGGACCTCGCTAGATACGCAAATTTATCTGATTGTTAACGTTTAACGGCTGCTTTAACTGACGAGTCTTCTAGCGTTGCCGCGCTAGCTATTTACGCCATTTCTTAAAAAACCCAGTCACTCAGGGTCTGAAGCTTAAGTTTTTTTAGATCAACTGGTGACTACTCCTAACGATGCCGAGGGTACGAACGACGATGGTGCTCCGCAAGATCCATGCATTTTTTCTTCTGTCAATGTTGTGACACTGACAACAGTACATCCACCGACTGCCTACGGAACTTTTACAACAACGATTTACCAGACACAAGTATAATGATTCTCATTAAATTGACCATGACACCATTTCGGTCAACAATGCAAGCCCTTCCCTAGTGCTAACGTTAACTAGGGTAGGGTGCACGACCTTTAAATTTGATGGGTTTGACCTGATCGCGTATCGAGGTTGTCCCCCGCCGCCGCCGCCTATCTACTACTAGCGCTCCGGTCCGAGCGCCTGATCTGCTTGCTTTCGATCTGAATGTGTTATACGACTTAATTCAATTTCCTTTTATGTTTTGTCGGTATGCGGCCCGTGGAGCCAATTGCAATCTAGTGAACGTCTTTTTTTGAAACAAATTGGGAAGGGTGGAGTGTGTTTCAGATATCCAATTGTCTCCGAGTCTAACCTACTCGGTGTGCTAAAGCTTGAAAGCTAGCCCTCGCCGCTTTAGCTTTGTCTGGGGTTGACATGTCGACAGCTCGGGTGGGGTGGGGCTGCTCGGGAGGGTGGGATACGAATGGGACGATGTTGAATGGCTCTTCGAGTAGCTTTAGAACGAGACACGCATTAACGCAGCATACGAATCCTCGAGTAACAAACATGGAGTGAACTGCGGTGCGAAATTGAAAGGGAGTGGTGGGTCAGTATAAAGAGAAATTGTAGAGTGAGGAAGTGGGAGGTGCGAACTCGAGTCGTGGCAGAGAGCAAAACGAATGTAGGAAGCGAACAGTACTAGTCTGAATGTATGACGCCGGGACATTCCGCGCGTTACATCACCCGGTACTTATCCATGCTCTGTCTTCTGTCTATTAACATCTGACTACAAAGTCGTATTATTGCAATGCCGTCGTCGCAGCGACAGGTATCGGGAGTTGTCACTAGACTCTCAGCGCGTGCAAGCCCATATAACAATGCAGTCACCTTGTTTGAAGCCGGAAATGCGGATCAGCCGTCAACATCACTGTCTTCCAGTCCGAAGCCGTCGAAGCGTATCAAGCTCGAGGTCGAATCCGGGCCCTCGAGCATCTCAGACTGCACACGTTCCGAGAGCCCACGGAAGACGTCACCAACTTTGAAGCTGGAAGAAATGGTATCTGAAGAGGATGCGAGTTCGCCAGTGAAAATCAAGTCCCCCAAGAAACCTAAACCGATACAGCGGTCTCTGGACACTCCGCATATTACTCCATCACGCTGGAAGGAGGTGTATGACTCGATAAAAGAGATGCGCACACAAATGGTCGCTCCTGTAGACACTATGGGGTGCGAACAAGCCCAGCACAAGGAGAAAGACCCAAAGGTTGATATTCATGCAATCTCATACGATGACGGTCTTATTTTGTTTGGCAGAACCGACGGTTTGCTATACTGGTTTCTTTGATGTTATCTTCCCAAACGAAAGATGAAGTCACGGATGCAGCTGTTGACAAGCTGCGGGCTGCCGTAGGAGGCACGCTATCTGTAGCCGCCATCATATCCGCGGATGAGTCTACAATATCAGATGCAATAGCAAAAGTTGGCTTCTGGCGACGGAAGACTGGGTCCGTTTGTTTTTCCATAGAAGGAAGAATGGTTTTATTCACGTTTTCTATCAGGTATATCAAGAAGGCAGCTATACGGTTACGGGATGAGTTCGATTCAGATGTACCCAAGACGGTGGATGAGCTATGCTCTTTGACAGGAGTCGGACCTAAAATGGCGTTTCTTACACTTCAAGTCGCCTGGAATCTGTATGTGGTGGATCTACTACGCCCTTTACGAACTCGCTAACGCACTTGCAGCAATCACGGCATTGGTGTGGATGTCCATGTTCATCGTATTACCAACAGGTTGGGATGGCATCAACCGCCTACCAAGAAACCTGAAGAAACGAGGTTAAATCTTCAGTCTTGGTTACCCCTCGAATTGCATCGCGATATTAACCACATGCTCGTCGGCTTTGGTCAGGTATGTTTGCGCCATAGCCATAGGGACTCTCGTAGTGATCCTGTTTTGTTAAACAGACTATTTGTGTCGCTGTGGGACCGAAGTGCGACTCGTGTACATTGAGCACTAAAGGGCTGTGTCCAAGTGCTAATACAAAACCCCCGAAAAGCCCGAAGAAGCGGAAGAGACAACCTTCTGCAGACCTTGAGCGCGAGTCTGGACCAAAGATCGATATTGCAATCGAGTCTTAACTTATGAAAACTTGATGTCCCTCCACCTCCATCCAGCAATGCATGCATATATTTTGTGATGTCCAGATACAATACCTTATTACCAATTCACTAACTCGCATAATTGATTACCTAGATCGAAGTGCTTGTCTCGAGCAAAATAAACAAATTAAGTTGGACGCTATAATTTGAAGAGTCTTAATTATGGAATGCAGCATCTTCGGGTTACACAGCTAGCTCCAGCGTGAGAGGAACGAACTTTGTTTGCATTCTTCAGTGAATAAAGACTACACACTCTTCACGTTGTGCATGGAAACTGATCACATTTCTAACCAGGCCACACAACTTGTTTCAAGGCCCTAGCTCATTTAGGTAGATGAGATTATACAATCTTCAAACCTGCCACTTCTTGAACCTCCAGGAGTAGCCAAGGTTACTAGCCTGGCGAAGAACTGTCGCTTCGGTATGTTCCTTACTGAACGAATTTTTATTCCTTTAGTACGGCCGTCCCGAAGTCCGACTTGGATCGTCGCGGAGCTCTGCTTGTTCCTCTGCGCCTATACTACGGAACAGTTGGTTCCCATTGCTCCCGGCATCATGTATCCGGACCAGATGTACATGTATGTGCGATTATTCTCATAAGTTATTGATGACGACAGTTTCGACCCCTGCTTATCCAAATCTTGGCAGGCACTCTTCGAGATTGTCACGTTATGTGCCCTAGGTAAGCAAGTTAATAGGCCTCGGATCATGAAGCTAAATATCAAGTACAGGCCCAGACACTGGACGGGCCACCTTGAGGCGATGATGAACATCAGTGCACCCATGACACCGAGTCACGCACCCACCGCATTCCTGTTTGGTGTGGGACTCAGAAATGTTTAGAACAAGTTTCAAGCACGAAAATTTTCAGAGGAAGCGACACTTCCTCATGGTCAGCTGAGCTTTGTATACATATAATTTAGAAGCTAGAGCGATCAGCATTCAAGTTATGTTTGCTATCGCCTGTGTAGATTCTGCAAATATTGCTAATGAGCCAATCTCCTTCGCCTGATGACAAGGAACTTGCGAGCTTGTGCAAGTTGAGTCGAGATTCAATACACAGGAGTCGCCCACTCTGACAGACTATGTCTAGGTTTCTTCCCACATATGTGCGAAAGAATATGAAACACGGAACGAGGTTGATATCCGCATCGCCTATTTATTCAGGGCCATCGGTAGTGGCAGTTTCATTTGTGAGACTGCTATTTCGGTGATCAGCAGAATGGATCAGTGACACTATTTAATATTGTGTTGGTTAATCCTTGGCCCCCACCCCACTCTTTCAGTGACCGACAGGATTCACCCGCCTATGTCGAACACAACTACAATTACTCCGGAGGAGATTCAAGCTTTGGACTTGGACCTCATGACAGCCCCAAATATCAAATATATTAACAGTGGGCTCTTTTGTTTTCCGAGACTGATATGCTTACCTACCATTCGGATATCGTGTAGTTGCTGCTTTAACGGTGTTTACCTGGGACCTGAGTGAGTGAGCCCTCTTTATTAGCTTATTCTGGACCGTTGACAAAGCCACTAGTCCTTACTTTTCCACACGAGGTAAGTTGTTCAACCAGACCTAAATTATTGCGGAGGCTCAGCGGTGACAGTATAGACTATGGGTGCGTCAAATTAGGCGGAATGCTCGCTAGCAAATGACGGGGACCACTTGCAGAACGCCAAGTGGACGCCTGTAAAAGTTCTATTTCTCGTGGTGAGATAATGCCTATATCGGTCGAGTGTTTTGCCTTATCCTTTCCAGAATCGATACTTTGCGCTTGGGACAGCTATCCTAATCACATTCTGTGAGTTGTGCACCGAAGTTTGTTGTAATCCATGTGTTACGATAGACGCTCATTGAATACAGTGACATTCGACGTTACACCTACATGGGCTACGTGCGTTATCTCACCACTCACTCTTCCTGATACTTATTCGAAGCAGATGTAAGCTCAGACACTTTTATCCCCTTACCCCCCTCATGGAAATGTCAGGCTCTGCAAATACCCTCTTTGCTGTTATCGGTATGTAGCTTGCCCGTCGATCAACTTCAATCGGCTTTAGTCTGATAATTCCCAGCTTTGTTACTAGTGGCCAACATTGAAAGTAAACTGTTCGAGCCATCTGACGTACCACGTACTTATCAAAGTCGTAGTGATTCTCCTACTTCGATTATACGTGTTGTACGCCTATGGTGCGTGTCAATGTAAATCCTTCCGGTTGATAACTGGATGATATTCAGATAAAAGAATTGTCCTCCCTGTGTCAGCATTGTTCGTCGCGGTCTTCAGTGGGATGATGGTGATGGCAGTGATCATATACCAGTATGAGAAGGGTGAGCTTCATCAATGTTACCGAGTATGTACACTGATCAAAGTTTAGATCACGAAGCTCAGATCTTTGGCGCATGCGCTATACTTGGGTCCGTGGATTGGCTGTATCTTTTCTGGTACTTACTCCGCGGACTACCTTTGCGACACGCTCCTCATTCTCCATTACAGGGTACCAATGATGGGCTTTGACTTTGTTCTTGTCCTGTTAGCAGGCTACAAATCCCTTCAGCACTATTTCCAGGTACCAGACAAGAATTGGTCTGGTGCACGTCTCATGCGTGCCTTCGCACGAGACTCGATTATTTATTTCCTCTGGTGAGAGCTCATGCAACGTAGCGGGCCGATGCTGATCCAAGTACCACTTTGCCGTTTCCAGTAACTTTTTAGTATACCTATTCAGTACCTTGCTGGGCAAATTCGGCCCTGTTGAGTATTATCAACTTGGCGCGATCACGATCACAGTCATCCCACCTGTGTCAGCGAATCGTCTCATCATCAATATGTACAACTCAGTACACACCGAGGAAGAAGAGATATATACAAAGAGGTCTGTCTTTCGCAGTCATCTTTCGCCAATGTATTTGACATGATGGTCAGGGTACACTGCGACATAGAGCTTACATCTAGGAGTATGGGAAGTTCACTCGAGGTGTAGTCGTGTAATGATATCTACGGTACTGTCAAGCTCATATAGCTGGCTATATGACCAAAATGCTTGTCTTGAGCAGGGAAGCTAATTTGTGTTATGTCGGATGCTCTAGGTGATTTCATCTTTTGCGCAGATGAGGCTTTGACCCAAAAACTGACAATGCTTGTCTTCCTTCTTCGATGAAGCCATTGTATACTTGATCCCGGAGCACGGCAACTGTCAGCTCGTCACATAATGCAAAGCCACATGCCATCGTGGACTGTTCTGATTCTCCCCTTAAAAGTTAAGCTCTAAGATTTGCTTGTTTGGAAAATTACGTTTGCTTGACAACCTGTTGTCGCGTTTGCTTGGACACTATCAACCAACCACCCGTGTCTAGAAGGAAGGGACGTGTAGGGGAACACCGACTCGGACAAAGCAGCTCCTTCTATCAACAATTTACGTGTGAGTGTCTATTTATTCCGAGTCTACTGGTTGACAACACTACTCATAGTGATCATCAGGATGCTGCCAGTGTATCCCAGCCTCATCCACTAGTTACAACAATGTTGTGGAGACTAGTGGTACCAAGGACTTGGAGACAGCGGTAATGATTCAATATGGCTGGTATTGACATCATCGAAGGTATGAACTCGAATTTATCTTTCTCCTTCGTTACCAATCATGTTAATTCATCTAGCACCGATGCAGACGGCATCTTCCCAAGTGGCGTCTTCTATGTAGTAGCTTCTGGCTATCTCCTTGTCTGATGCTTGTCAGCCGACCTATCAGCTATTGATTGAGCTCTTTTTGGTGCTTTAGCGCCCATACATTATTTTGGAGGAAGTGACTCCGGTATGTCTTGCGATTCTAAATTGAGAATTATAAAGCCAACGCCCTACATGATGAACGTCATCACACTACCTCTGGTCAGTGGACAACGTCGAACTAGGACCAGTGTCAATCATCGAAGTTCGCAGATGATATCATGATCGCTTCAATCATGGTGTCAGGTGAGTTCATATCAGCCAATTATGTAAAGATTTCGAACTGATCCCCATCATACAAAGATTTTAATCACAAATTCACAATGATTTACATAAATCATGTAATTGATAGAACGAGGCTGCCGGTGCTGTAAATGAGCAGATTTCGAGCCGCATTTACTGCCTGCGCAAACTTCTCGGTCTCCAAGGCCGCATCGGCACTTTCAGTTATGAAACTACTATTTAATAACTGCTTTTAGACCCCCGAATCTTGCCCCCTCTTTCTCCAGTGATACCACGCCCACCCATGTCGACCACTATCACTCCAGAGGAAATCCAAGCTCTGGACCTATACGAGATGACAGCTCCAAAAATCAAATACATCAGCAGTGAGCCCGGCCAAGTCTTTCCTGAAACCAATGTGACCTATCATTCAAATGACGTGCAGTTGCTGCTTTGACGCTTCTTACGTGGGACCTTGGTGAGCAGGCCCTCTTTGTGCAGTTATTCGGGATCGTTGACAGGAATACTAGTCCTAACTTTTCCTCAAGAGGTGAGCACATTGCTCGATTTTCAAGCTGTTAAAATTCAATGGTGACAGGTTAAATTATGGGTACGATGATCTGCTCAAGTATAGTATGTTGGCTAGCAAGGTGACCCGGATTTCTTGCAGAACACCAGATGGACGCTTGCAAAGGTTTTGTTTTTTGTGGTGAGAATGAGTGCATAGGGTGAGGCGTTTTTACCTGACGCCCCCCAGAATCGATACTTCGCGCTTGGAACAACTATCTTAATGACATTCTGTGAGTTATGCGCCGAATTTTGGTCCCATGTATCGATGCTCATTACTGAGATGCAGTAACGTTTGACGTCACACCAACCGATGCTATGTGCGTTATCTCATCGCTCTCTTTTGTCAATGCTCATTCAGAACAGATGTAAGCTTCAAAATTCTCAGCCGATATCTCTCCTTCATTGAACATCAGGTTCTGTAAATGCGTTCTTTGCCATCATCGGTATGTAGCATGCTCGTCCACAGGCACCAATCTACTCAACTCTGACACGCCTTAGCATTGTTGCTGGTAGCGAATATTCAAAGTAAGGTTTCCAAGCCATCTAAAGTATGATGTACTCATCAAAGCCCAAGTGATTCTCCAACATCGAATATATGCGCTGTACGCATATGGTACGTGGTAATGCAAATATTTACTTCCGGTTCATACCTGAATGATAATCAGACAAAAGAATCGTCATCCCTGTGTCGATGCTGTTCATCGCGATCTTCAGCACTATGATGGTGATGGCAGTGGTTGTATACCTGTATGAGAAGGGTCAGCTTCATCGATATTCTTGAGTATGTACACTGACCAAAGTTTAGATCACGAAGCTCAGATCTTTGGCGCATGCTGTTTACTTGGATCCATGGAGTGGTTATATCTCTTTTGGTACTTACGTTCATGCAATATCATCGTGATCCTCACCTCATTATCCTCTTCAGGGTACCTATGATGGGCTTGGAACTTGTTCTGGTCGTGTTGGCAGGCCACAAATCTCTTCAGCACTATTTCCAGGTACCAGACAAGACCTGGTCTGGTGCCCGTCTTATGCGTACCTTTGCGCGAGACTCAGTCCTTTATTTTCTTTGGTGAGAATATATGTAATGCAGGGGGCCGGTTCTGATCGAAGTGCTCCTTCGTTGTTTCCAGCAACTTTTTGATATATCTGTTCAGCACATTGCTAGGCAAATTCGGTCCTTCTGTGTATTATCAACTTGGCGCGATCACGATTTCAGTTGTCCCACCTGTATCGGCGAACCATCTCCTCATCAACATGTATAACTTTGCACACGACGAGCAGCCCACTTGGACGATGGTTTCAGAAGCTAAAGCTTCCCTGCAATTTGTGAAAGACACATCGAGGTCTGTTTTTCGTGCACATCCGACGAAGTTATTTGACAATGACATGGTGCTCAGAGTACACCACGAGGACATGGAGCTTACATTCGTGGGGACGAAGGGTTCCAAGCAGGTGGATGCATCATCGTTTGAATGATATCAGTCGGGTTGTATGAGACTTTGTACTATATGGTTTTTTTTCTAAGTTCGTGCCTAAATGACACTTCCAGAAGGTATCCGTTCAGGTCCTTTGGTTCTACCACCTGAGCCCAATAGAGCGCCGCTACCATCGCTTTCATGCTATATATCGTCGTCAATGTCGTGCGAATCGTGTTTGGTCGTCCTGTAGCCCGCTCGGGTGTGACAGGAGTATCCTGCAGGGATTCTGTCACTGTGAACCATCGGCTGATCAATATGCACCATCACAGAGATTCTACAAGCGTCCGAATCTGCTGTTCTGCAAGTGCGAGCGTAGCCGCGGCAACATGTCACCAACTAAACTACCTACAATTTCTGCCACCACTTTTATTAGACGCAACGACTGTTTCCCTTTTTCTAAAGGTCTGGCTTGGGGAGACCATATGTTCATCAGTGAACCTGCACAACAGTTTGGTCCGATCAAAAATTCTGTGAAGATCTACCAGTAAATATTGTTATAAAATTATTATAATGGCGAGAGTAAAAAGGGCGAGCCAGGTTTCCAACTCCGCTAGGACCCACCGTGATCTTTCTACCCATGCCTCCATCCTCCTTTATCTGAGCCTCTAGATCTGTCACATTCACTCTTTCATGCACATATGGGCCTTTTTCACGCTCGTTTACGCACAGTATTTGCGTTGCTTCAATCAACTTCAATGGTTGAAGTAGTGTAAAGAGCGTGTTTATGGATTTACAGAGTGGCTGGCGGCCCCCCCGCCTGAGGAGGCTTCCATCAAGGTCGCTCAGGCTGAGTTTCGGCCAGGTAGCAACAATGACATTGGTAAGACATAACATACTACTATGATGCTGACACCAGCATCCTGACAAGCCTCACCTTTCCCCTTTTTGTCTCTTTGAGTTATGTTCTCACTAAGAATTTGAGTCGCGATTCAGTTGTTCAAAACGCAGGTCTTGTGCCACAAACCAATGGTCATTTCATCCTTGAAGGTCTGTGGGCTGGTGTGTGATTTGACCTGCAGACAACCACAGGAAAATGCTCGTACTGCATCCACGGAAGATGATATCTGGTGGCTTTCAACAATGTTCACGACGTGAGGACAGACTCGGATCGTATTCAGAGTACGAATGGTTTCCAGTGGCTGGAGGGGGGTCAATGTGTGCATCATATTAGTTGAGATTTATCACAGCTTTTGTATGGTATTTGCAATATTTGGATTTACAAGTTCATGCCCAAAAGTGAGATGATCTCGAAGCACAATACAAGGAGTAATTGCCCTATCAGGTCCATCAGGGCAGAGTGGATGGGCAGAGCGTATGTATCAGGGTCACGACCTTTAGACCACAAGAAATTGGTCAACCATCGAGCTACAACTAATGAGGTGAAGACCTGTTGTGAACTTCAGTAAACGATCAGTGCAAGGCGGACCTGGAACTCACTGCACAACAAAAAAATAATACTGATAATATCGCAAATATGATGGGTAATTTCAACCACCCAAACGCGCGTAGAGTACAGAGGAACAAGATCTCTATGGGAATTGTAATGACAGTCAACGTAACCATGACAAGTTTTGGGGAAGGTTCGCTTTTGTGCAGGCATGCGTTCGCAGATGCTGCATGAAGAGCAGTCGAGAGTCGGGAAACAAATATAGACCCAACGCTGCCAGGAAGCCCTGTTCTCTTGCGTTATAGCAATATAAACCATAAGATTCGCTCCACTCACCACTGATAACGATGGCAAGAAGAGGGAATCCTTCATAACGAGAGGCAAACATATCAAGCACAATACCAGTAGCGCAAGAAATTACCATTGCACCAAAGAGTGGGACCCAGCCCTGGTAGATCAGATCCTTGACGCTGTTGTTACGCCTCACCAGGAACACGCATACCGTGGCGGAGAGAATAGTGAGTATGACACAAATGAGAGGAATGGGAGTATTGACGACGTTGATGAGTATGGAGGAAATGACACCAAGAAGGCTGAGGGTGACCAAGTCTCCGAGGCACGATGCTATGGGGGGCGCAATATTATCTGAAATTGTAGAAGTTTTAGCGTACATGTTAAATACAAGTCCAGCATCACTTTCCTGGGTCACGCCCATATCGTCGACATATGATAACAAGAAAACACATGAAGGAACCGAGGACAATGCTTGACAGACATGCGGACATCATAGCTGAAGAGGCCACCATCGTGAATCTGCCACGAGATTAACTACCACGCGCTCAATATGAAAACCGCACATACTCGATCAAACCAGACTTCGGTTTCCCACCTAGAGGCGGCGGCGGCCGAGGCAACCTAGCAGTTAGCGATAGGGTGCTGTTCTGTGGAAAAGGGTCTACAGGACCCGAAGATAGTTCTGGGACCAAAAGACCGAGGAGCATCGCGACACAAGCTGCGACAAATGCGACGACAGTCGCTTGCACTTGTAATAGTGCCAGATTACCACCCACAATCTTGCGTTGTGCGCTCCTGTCGTCTAGCTCGCCCATATTAGCCGCAGTTCCCATTCTAGCAGAAAGATTCATTTCTAAGTTGCCTTTAAGATTTAAGACAACAGGAATGATCATTATCAGCTCATCGATGGTGCTCATTGCCCGCCAACGCTAGAAATAATTAAATCGAGACCTTAGACGTCACTACACGTACTCACTGATACACGGTCAAGGAGTTCCCCGGTGAATAGGAGGCTTATGGTAGTCATAAGAAGCGTGGGTGCACACTTTTAAGCAATCAGAGGGATTTCTTCTCTGCAAGTTCTATCCACGTACTTCGACAACAATGCTACCAACTTGTGGCCAAACCTTTCCTGTGCCAGACGGTATTCGCTCGCTTCCCCTGGTTCTTCTACCCGAGCCCAATAGAGCATCGCTGCCATCGCCTATATGCTCTACATCGTCGTCAAAGTCCTGCAAGTCATACTCAGCCGTCCTGTAGCGTGCATGGGGTGTGACCAGAATGTCCTGTAATGTGTCTAATTCCACGTTGTCGCTGCCCTTGTCGTCGACGTGTTGTAGAAATGATTCTGTTTCATTTCTGGGGTCCTCTTGCATAGTTTTGGCGAGTCCCAGTCAATCCAGAAACAGAACAAAAGAAGGCTTGTGTGGTCAAGCAAGTCTCGAGGTTTTGCTGAAAGTGACGATCGTGGATCACGTGGGAAAAGAGCTTATGTAAACAACGACAAAACGCTTGGTATTGAAGGTGTCAGCGTTTAAACCTTAGCAAGGTCTGGTTCTCACCTACTTGTTCGTCACTAATCTGGCACACAGAGTATCTTTTGCTCTGCATCGGTTACGCGCAAGACTGCAGTAACCGGTCACTGGATTTGTCCTGTGGTTTTGGTTGCCAAATCCTGACGTGCCTAGTAGCCACCGAACTCGTCGGAAGCGCTGCTATGTCGTCCAAACTGTATCCCTATCGTCCACCTACCCCGACGCGCTCTCCCCTTTTTAAGAGTCCTTCGGAGACTGTCCCCTCGACAGAAGAACTTGAAAATCTGCAGAAAGAGCTTAATTTACTTCGGCAGAAGTCATTGGAACGCTTCAAGAAGGCCGGAGATGACTTGAAGACTATCGAGGAATCTATGAGGCGAATCAAGGAGAAAGAGAAAGGCAAGGCAAAGGCGGTAGAGAAGGTGAAGCGTGAACGCCCTTGTATGTCTTTCCGTTTATCTGTCTTGGCTTAGTTCTGGCTCATGAATCTTAATCTCTCTTCCCCGGTCCATACTTTTTTACTACTCAATCGACGGTCAAAAAAATTCCCCAAATCTATACTTATACCGGACTCAAATTCTCGTGGCGTCCCGTTCGATCTGATGAACGCCATGCTCATATTATTACTTCACGAATATCCTCTCAATCTGCCATGGTCTCGCCACAATGACGTTGTTGTAGTCACCCCAGCTTTGGATGGGGATGAACGTGATATTTCTCCCTCTGTCAATGGCTCTGTAAGGGCTCGAGCACCATCGATACCGGTTTCTTCCTTCCCTCCCTCTTCTAGGGCATCACTGGACCCTCGAAGATCGTAAGTCCAAAGACGAAGCTCCGAATGCACAATCTCATCATTTTTCAAAATCTTTGTTAGAATACCGGATGATATCAAGAAAAAAAAGAAGAAACGTAAACGAGAAGAAGATAGTGACCTCGAGCAGGGTAATCTACAGAGACCATCCATAGAGACCGTGATTCAGATCCTTCGTACAGATTCCGGCCGTGCTGTGAAAACCTTGCCAGGTCCTTCTCTCAGTGTCCCTCTCAAAACATCGAAGTCGCTGGGATTTGTGGCAAATCACGTGAAGGTATTTGATCTGCATTCTGTTGCACTCTGTCGCTTCATTGGCGTCCTAGTCTTCATTCGCACCCGACTTCACACTTCCGCCCTCCACAGTGCTACTACCCACCCGTCCTCCGATACCCCCCGCGCCCGTTGCCGGTCCCAGTAATGCAACGGATGTCACCGAAGATTTCAGTAAGCTCAAACCACCAGCACAGACTCCCGTCAATACCTTCTACACAAGTATTGAGCCTTGGATCCGAGGGATTAAAGAGGAGGACGTTGGTTTTCTTGAGTTTACTGCGGATGAAGTCGAACCTTATGTGATACCGAAATTGGGCAGGCATTATTTGGAAGTATGGGAGGACACAGATATGGCCATGTATGGTGGGCCATTGCCTGGCTTTTCGTCTGGTCGATTGGGTGAGAGCTCGACGTCAGCACCGAAATGGGATCCATCGACCCTGATGGAAGCGGACCTGTTAACGGAGGAGCGCAGTCACGGGCCCTTGACTGAGCGATTGATGAGTGCCCTTTTGCCAATGCCAGATTCGACAGTGTGGAAGGGTGTCAAGGCTGCCGAGGACGCTATGGAGGGCAGGCCAGGCGGAACTGGTGCTGCAGCTGCGAAGCGGGAGAAAGTTAATGTAGTTGATTTGGAGGAGAGGGTTCAAGACACGATGCGGTTTCATGGATTACTCCATGAGCCGGTAAGTATACTTACTGGTTTTATGACGGGCGTTTTACTCATAGCCCTATTGTAGCCTGATTTTTCGACGAAAGTAGACGACCCAATTGCCACAGCTCTCAGGCATGCTCAGCGTCAATTACGGACCGTGGTGGCCATGAACAAGGCCAGGAAAGAACGACTTGCTGCTATTGCTCGTGATCGGCTCGGTTATCAAGAATATCTGGACCTCCGTTCCGCCCTTGATAAAAGCATCACGAGCGCCTACTCGAAAGTCCAGAAGAAAGATGAGCCGAAGCTGAATAAAAAGAAAAAGAAAATATCGGAGGTCAACGGGACCGTGAACGGGACCACTTCTGGTGCCAGCGCGCCTAAACCTTCCCCTGCAGCACTTGGACTCGGTCCGGATGATGATCTTCAACTTGTGGTGCCAGATCACTTGCAGCAACTCGTGGATACCCGGCGGCAGTGGGTGGCAAGCGTCGGGGGGGTTTTTGATGAGAAGGAGAGGGAGTGTCCTGGTCGAATATGGGGCCTTCCGCGACGGAGCATTTATGAAGGGCTTGAGGATGCTATCCGCCACGATCTGGCTCGGTCGTTACATCCACGTAGTACTGCATCAGATCAACGGACTACCCAAGGGAATGGAGATGAGATGGATGTTGGATGACATAGGAGACAGTAGAGCTTTGCCTATCGTAATCTATCTTATTCTCTCCATCGATTACAGTTTCTTGTACACTGCCTTTCCACATTACATGCGCGATTAATTACTCCTGTACTATCCAGAAGCATTACACCTAAGACACGGATCACAACCTCAATCCTATTTTGCTATTTTGGGTTTTTTGACCGTTATCTTACGAAGTGTCTCACCCTCAACTTTACGTTTACTACTCTTCGACTCCTTTACCTTGGACTCCTTTGTCTTGTGGGGTGACCCTCCAAAGCTAAGACCAGTATCACCGCCCTCCGCTTGGCCGTCAGCATCCATACTCGCATGATCGCTGTTTATTGGAAGCTTGGCTCCATACGGCACGAAATGATGCTTGAGTAATTCTTTTGGATATGAGAGGCGAGGAGGATTTTGGTGCAGAATGGATGGGTGCTCCGGAGGGCTCGCTCTTGATGGCTGGGCTGAAACAACGAAATGACGTGCAATCTCTTTTGGTGCTAATGATGGAATGTTCAATAAATCATTCATATAGCTTCACGGAATAAATAACTTGCCTATGTATAGCCTGCCCTTTTTTCTTTTTCGAGGAAGCAAACACGACAGTCCTCTCAGTTCCTCTGCTCCAGCGAAATCCGCATCATCGTCATCCATCGACCATATATCATATACAGCGCTCTTCCGCGTCAAGCTACCAACCTGACCGCTCCGTGAGGACGAGGGCGCATCAATCTCCAGTCCGTCAAGATTTTTGGGGTTGACCTATCACAAGCATGTCATAAGGCCAGCAATCATGCATTCTGACGGACACTTACTGAGTCTGGAACACGTATTAGCCATATTTCTAGATCATCATCCTTTTGAACGGAGTCCCAGTCGAAAGTCTCGGTCTCGAATGCATGGTCGAATGACTTATAACCAGGCGGAGGTTTGTAAGCCCAGTGCGGGTTCTCTCCTTCGTTTTTGCCATGATCGGTGACAGTGACTAGCTGCGATTTTGACTTTTTCTTTGAAGTCTCTTTGATTTTGTTTTTTGAGGCTTTGGGTGCTGTTTGCGCTGGTTCCGGAGATGACATGTTTTAAAGCAGTAACAAACTGCGGGTTGGTCCCCTGTAACCTATAGGCAAACCAAATAGAAGGGAAAAGCTCGTTCCTGGGTCTTTATGTATGTTATGTTATAGACCACCGTGTCAATGACCAAACCGCGACGATGAGAGGTGCTCGCCTCTTTTGGATTGTTTGGCAAAGGCTTGGGAAATAAACAACATATCCGATCAATGCGGAAGGCCGCATTCTACTGCGGTGCACACCAGCCCACCGGAGCACCATCATGATGCTGGAAAGTCCCCCAGTCCTGACAATCGCCGGAAGTGATTCCAGCGGAGGGGCAGGCATACAAGTGCGCATTTGTGCTACCTTTTCTACCTATGGGAATTTAAGACCCTTTGACTGAAGGCAGACCTGAAAACGTTCACTGTTCACGGATGCTACGGTGCAAGCGTGACTACTGCCCTGACCGCTCAGAATACCACTGGCGTGCAAGCAGTGTACGGAGTGCCTCCTGACTTTGTGAAGCAGCAGGTATGTAACTAATTACATGGTATGTTGTCCCCGTATCAACTTAAGCATTTCCCATAGATAAACTCTGTCCTGGACGATATTGACATCAAGGCGATCAAGACTGGCATGCTTTTTAATGCAGAGAACACTAAGATAGTCGCGCAGGTACTCAAGGGGCACTTTGATGCCAAGGGGCACGTTCCTTTAGTCTGCGATCCCGTCTGTGTTTCCACCTCCGGTCATACCCTCTTACACCCAGATGCCGTGGATACCATTATAGATGAACTATTCCCCATTTCGGACCTCATAACTCCAAATAAAGCAGAAGCGGAACTTCTTCTGAAACAGCGCAATTTTCCGTCTCGCATTGCAAACTTACAAGATATGGTCAATGCTACTCGACAGTTGAAGACACTTGGCCCTCAAGCTGTACTCCTGAAAGGCGGTCATTTCGTCGCTTCGCTAGAAGATCTTGCGAATGTTTCGTCGGACGACACGCAGGTGATTCGAGATGATCTTTTGGACGAGAACACGAATATCCTCCGGGTTCATGGAAGGAAAGAACAACACGTAGACTCACTCATAGTAGATGTGCTTTGCGCATCCGATAACTACATCACCATATTTGCTAGGACTAGAGTACAATCAACAAGTACCCATGGCACTGGTTGTACGCTAAGTGCTGCATTGGTCTCTCAACTTGCGAGGGGTATACCGCGTTTGTCTCCCTCGTCATCCTTCTTTGACCGTTCTTTCACTTATCCTAACAAATCATACAGTGGGTGAAGCTGTAAGGCTTGCGGCTGCTTACACCCATATTGGAATCGAGACCGCTATTCCGATCGGGAGTGGCTTTGGTCCTCTGAACCATATTCATTCAATTACTCCGCATCTTGTCTCGCCGTACGTGATTACTATAAACACATGTTAACGAATTAAGTGTTTTGAATGTAGGCGAACCAAGACGAACCCATACCCACTCACGAGTTCCCTTATACGGAGTTCAAGGGTTATTTGGAAAGAGTATATTCGACACGAGTTCGTGGTACTGCTGGGCAAGGGTACCCTTCCGAAGGAAAACTTCATCCACTTCATTAAGTGAGGACTTTGTTGACAAATAAGAGAGCACGTTCTGATTGCCTCAAAAAGACAAGATTATCTTTATCTCAAATATTATGCTCGGGCGTATGCGTAAGTAGTTGGACCATCCCGCTTCCGTAGTTAACATCTCTCTTCCAGACTCCTTGCAGCCAAGTCACATGCCTTTGCACCCATATCGGCGGCTATCGATGTGGTTTTTAGCATAGTTCAAGAGAGCTCGATGCACATGGGTTATTGTGCTGAGTGGGGTATCACAGAGGACGAACTGATCAACACCTCCGAGTCTCCCGCCCTGACAGCGTATGGGGCTTTCCTCATTGATACCGGAATGCAGGGTACGGCGGCCTATTTTGTTGATGTTTACTCGCTGAAGATATGGATGTTAGGTGATCCTATGAAACTTGTCGTCGCTCTTGCCGCCTGCCTGCTTGGTTACGGAGAAGTTGGCTTGTGGCTCAAGGAAGAGGCTCGAGCGCCCGACTCGTGGGTTCAATGGGAGGGGAATCCATACCTCAAGTGGATGGAGGACTATTCAGGCGACGTCTATCAAAAGGCAGTGAAAGCTGGACTAGGTGAGGATGCAACGAACATTCTTGTTGTACACGACTCCATGTAGCTTCACAGAGACGCTTGAAAGCCGCGCAGAATCGGACGCACCTTCACCTATCAGGTTTGCAGATTGGCAAGATGTTTGGGAACGGTGTACGCGGTTGGAGAAGGGTTTCTGGGACATGGCGATGAGCCTTGATGCTTGAGCAACCGTGCCCGTTGAATGCTCCCATTAGCTATGTGACCAGTCCCACTTATGTTTCTTTGAACCATCCTGAGTATATTTGACTGGTAAAGCACATAAATTTAAACTGTAACGGAAAACTCTCTAGTTAATGTACAACAGACACATCTTTGTGAAACAGAAAGAAGACCCTACATAATACTATACAAAACCACGTATCACTTCTTCAATCATACAACAGTGAGCAGTGCAGTATTCTGAACATGTCGTTGTGTCAGCTCTATGTCCTTTGAGGACTCGGATTCCACATTGGTCCTTGAGCCTGTAGTGGAGTTGGTGTCTCTGAAACGAGATTGTTCCATATTTATGAGCAGGTGGTTGGCAGCTATTGGAGGTATCACAATTGTCCAACTTGCTCCTAGTTGGAAGAACTCAGGTGGTGCGAGATGAAACACAAATGTGATGGCCAAGTAATTAAAGAAGTTGCTAGGCACGAGATTATTTTCAGCATGTGAATATGAATTTCAACCCAATGCTCACCATGCAAAGTAAACAAAAGAGTCTCGTGCCAAAGTCTTCATTAACCGAGCACCAGACCAATTTTTATTGGGAACATGGATGTAATGTTGCATAGATTTGAAGCCAGCAAGTACCATGATCACGAAGTCGAAGGCCATGATTGGAGTCCTTTGATGTCATGTGAGAAATTTTGACGATGAAAAGTATCCCACACCTCACCAGAATGGAATGAACCAGCTTGGAATTGTTTCTTCGCATACACCAAAGAGCACAAACTCATTTGCTAGGGTGAAGTTGTTAGTTCAAGCCAAGTGGATCGAGACAGCCCATTGTCACCTTGAGAGTATACACTCATTGCAATAGCTATTCCCACTGTACTGCATACATATATGATAAATAATACCACCATGGGAATCACAATCACTCGTTCTGTGAAAACAGGTCAGCTCTCTGAAACAGCTCTCTGGACATGACCTTCTTACTGTAGTCATAGAGAGCAAACAGCCTTCGAAGAAGGATAACTATTAAAAAAGTGTAAGTTTTGTAATTGGAAAAAGGAGATCACCCACTCTCGATGTTCAAAACAAGAAAAAGTCCTATATTTTTGATGACTAAGTATACTGATGGTACTAGTGACTCAGCATTTTACTCACCAATGATGTCGAAGTTTGTGAATGCATGACCTAGTAACAAATAAGGGTTACTGGCGAACAAATATGCTAGCAGGGAAACATCTACATCTAGTAGTTGTGAATAAGATTGATGGCTAATACGACAATATGAGGGACTTACATGGCATTAACAGGATTTGTATGGACGTCGACTACAAAGAAGTGAGTTGATGCTAGTACCAATGAAGACACCAGAAAACTGACAGAAGGTCGAGGCAATGATCACAGCAAGTCCAAAATATCGATTCTGAAAAATAACCATTTTGTATCAGGGAGGCTACAGGTTGAATTGAACCACATACAATGAAGAACAAAATCCTAGATGTTGTCCACTTCGTTCCCTAACATAAAGTGACTGTTATGATTCAAACTTGGATAGAATTGACTCGAGCCTACCCATAGAATATTGACCTGGCAAAAAAAGTGAGTTTTAGGTTTGTTTAAAACATAAATTCAGTACTTCGTCATGGAATGTCAGAACTTGATGAGATCATAAATTTGTTGCACTGTTGAAAATTATGAAGTCTTTGCTCACCAAAGTCCCAAATGTACAGCACAGCAGCGGAGACTGAACAAATAGAGGTAAACACAAGATCCTCTAGACTTTGAACTTATCTTACCTCCAAGTCGACGAACAATGGTATCATACACCTCATATTGTTCAAGCTGCTGGAACTCTGCAGCAATACTCGAAGCATTCATGATAAGTGCTGTGGGAGTGAGTTTGTACATCTTGTTGATTGTGCTACTCTCTTTATATCTTGACTCAGAGGTGGTCCAACTTGAAACTTCGAATCACACCCGGAGATTATTTGCCAGAATGCAGTGCAAACACTTGAAACAGATGCGAACAACAACTGTGCTGTGTGATAAGCATAAAATCCTTCAGCCTTGAGTCTTTAATTGACGAAGTTGAGGGAAGCAATTTCTATTCTAAATGTTGTCCAGGTGACCCTTCATGATGAAATCATGAAAGCTGCGTTCTCTGATCATGGAACCTCTGGTTAGACCAGTGCAGAATTAGGTTGATCAGTCTTTTCATCAATATCAATGATCATGTGGGGCAGTAACAGCCCACTGACGGCACCCGATGTTTGTTTATTTCATGTTTGTTGTACATAGCTCTAGTATCATGTAGGGGCCTTACTCAAATATCTAGTACTCATAGTACATCAGGCCAGGCATTATCATGAAACCTGTGTTCTCCAATCACATAGCCGGTGCAAAATCAAGATGGTCGATTCAACACGCGGAGGCATAGCGATGACAGGCGCGCCGCGCCGCGCGAGCAGCCAAGGCATCTGATGCCTCCGACCAAATGTACAGCTATGCTATACATAAAGAACGCCATTGAGAAGAGGTGTCATGGGCCATCCGACCAAACTACCTATGATCAAGAGGCTCTGAGCCAAAACATATACATCGAGAGAAGTAGGAAGCATGGATATACCTATTAGCGTTTCACAAAAGCATCGAACATCTAGATTCTGAAGTGAACAGGACGACAAGCGTCGCAGCTTCACGATATGTCAATATCCAAATCCACTGGTGTCGGTGCGTCAGTCTCTGCATCGACAGCAGCTTCGAGATCTCCATCCGGAAGGTCTTTATCTTTTTCTGCAGGTTTTGCGCGGGCTCGAGCTCGGGGTTTCGCTGTTCTCCTTGGCTTCGTAGTGCGAGAGGCTGCCGCGACCGGTATTTCTTCTGTCTCCTCCCCGTCTTCTTTTGCACTGGCACTCGGTCTCCCTCTTGCCTTTCCCCGTGCCCGCTTTCCTGACGCACGGGGCTTTCTTGAGCTGACGGTTCTCTTCACAGATACAGGGCCCTCGTCCTGGTCCACATCGTTGTCACCTTCGAAAAACTCATTGCGCGCCATTGTTCGGTCGCTTCTTCGCTCTCCTGCGAGTGCAGTTCCCCGCTCTTCATCGATCTCGTCCTGTTTACGTTCTTCATCGGCAAGCCAACCCTCCAAATCAGGCGGTATTTCTTGCATGGCGACACTTGGTGCACCTTGCAAATACCGCAGCTTGTTCCGAATGCTAATGGTTATTCGTTGCAATGATGCTGGTGAGTTTTGGTTCTCGACGCGTCCTGTGAGGGGAGGATGAAGCTTCCACTGCGAGTCGCGGAAGAATGGATCGTAAACTGTGGCTGGAAGCTCATCGGGTATTGTCGCCCCGACAAGAACGGCGGTTTCATATGTCCAACAGCGGCTGACATTTTTGATGGTGTAGCCTCCTCCTCCTAATACAAGCAGCGGTACATTGAACTTCCTAACAAAGTTCACACATTCACCATGGGCTGCTATAGATAGATTAAATGCCCCGAGTCGGTCGCATCCTAACGAGTCTGCACCGCACTGCAAGACAATAGATGTCGGGCGGAAAGCCGTGACGGTGTCTTCAATGACAGTTTTGAATATTGTCAAGTACATATCATCATCGATCCCATCTTGTAAAGGCACATTCAGGCAAAAGTGCTTGCCCAAGCTTGCACCGTTATCGTCGAGTTTACCCGTCCCAGGGAAGAAATCGCCAGTGTATTTGTGGAAGGATACCGTCATAACACGATTCGAATGATAAAATGCGAGCTCTACGCCGTCCCCGTGATGGATGTCGATATCTATGTAGAGTACTCTGGGATGATATCTGTAGGACTCGAAGTCAGGTCTAGGTATCGCCTAGTGAAACGACTGCTCACCTCAGAAGTTCAAGAATTGCCAGAACAATATCGTTGACGTAACAGAAACCACTTGCTTCTCCACGTTTGGCATGATGAAGCCCACCCGACCAATTGATTGCAGTATCACAAGTACCCGCCGTAAGCTTCCTTGCACCTGCGAGGGAAGCTCCAGCATACATACGACAAAAATCATACATTTCAGAAAATATTGGGCAATCTTCGACACAGTTAAACGTGTCAATAAGATGCCGCATTTCGTTCTGGTTATTTGGTGTCACACTATATAATGTCATAAGGTGAGCCATCAACGAGGTAGTGTAAATTCCGCACCGTGAAAGAAAATCAATATAGTCGTGGTCATGGTACATCTCTAACTCAGCTTGAGTAGCTGGACGAGGATTATATATGTGATGTATTTGCTTGTCAAGACCATAACCCATAACCAGGGCGTTGGTCAAGGTCAGTCTGTGTGGTTTCATCGGATGGCGTTCCTAGCAGTGCTGGGTAAGAGCAAAGCCTAGTGATGAATGTGAGATGACACATACCCCATAATGGTGTTCACCGACGCCTTTAGGGAAAAAATATGAAACTATGGGACGAGAATGTGGCTTTTATTCATCTCTAGAAAAAATAGCTCATTAATAGAGGAGGTAACTTACATTGACATGTTCAGTTATCGGCTGAGCAGTACCGTGCGGCCCCCGATCGTCGAAGTAGGCAGAAGATGAGAAGGTAGTCGCCTGTGAAGCACGAACCATGAATGTCTGGTGATCTGGCTGCACCACGCTTAGTATTAGAAACGTTATCTGCGAAAAGATAAGATGCGGTGACTCGTGTGCTCTGTGCACTTGCTGTGTACGAAGATCCTTCAGAGAGCTCGATGGGGCAATTGAGTTATTGAAGTTCTGGTCCAAGTCAAGATTGAGCTTGAGGAAGATCCAAGCTCGCTTATTATGTAATGTTAAGACCGTCCGTGTTCAATTGATGCTAGTGTTCTTGCCATCATGTTGTTCGCGTATCGCTGGGTGTTGGCAACCCTTCCATTTCTCGTATTTGTTGTTGCCTCCTCCGGCGACAGAGCATCAAACTTTCAGAACTGCGTCTCTGCATGTTATGGAGACCATTGCCATCCTCAGACGACACTTTCACTTGGCCTCAGACTGACGCGTTGGACGTGTACAGACGACTGCAAATACAAGTGCATGCATATGCTCACAGATATCGCAATCCGTGAAAGTTCGAAGATACATCAATATTATGGAAAGTGGCCCTTTTGGCGGCTCTTCGGAATGCAAGAGCCAGCCTCTGTTGCGTTCTCACTGTGGAATATGTACTATCATATCCAAGGATGGCGCCAGCTTCGCAGCAAAATACCAAGTGACCACCCGATGCGATCTTACTACTTAACATGCGCCATAGTGAGCGTTAACGCCTGGCTCTGGTCCGCAGTGTTTCACACAAGAGGTCTGCCCTCAAATTATGCGTGATCACGTTCTCCTACTTATCAACTTCTTGAAGATTTGCCAAACACAGAAAAACTGGATTACTTCTCTGCTGCTCTCGTCATTTTATATTCCCTGTATCACACGGTTTTACGGCTCTTCAATCAATACCCCACCCGTTCGCGTGAGGATGGCCGTATCCAGCGCACCCCCGTACACGTTTTATGGTCGTCCATTTGCACTGTAGCTTACCTTGCCCATGTCACCTATCTCAGCATTCTACCACGGTTTGACTACAGCTATAATATGGCATTTAACCTCACTGTTGGCTTCACGCATAATCTGCTGTGGCTGCTATATTCCCTTCCCGTATCGTTACCCCTCATTCGACGCTTTCCTTTCAAATCAAAAACGTACAGACCATCATACGCATCTGAGGTAGCAGTCTTTGTCGCTCTTATGACGGCTGCAACTGCTCTAGAGCTCTTCGACTTCCCTCCGTGGGGTCGCATCATCGATGCTCATGCCTTGTGGCACCTCAGTACCGCCCCTATCACAAAGTTCTGGTATGACTTCCTGATCAAAGATTCGTTGGATGACGGATGGAGGGAACCAAAGAGGTGAAGACATATTTAGTTTTATTAACTACCGTGTACTAATGGTGTGGAATCTAGATAAATTGTTCAAGCGTCTGAAAGCTCCTGCTCTAGCCTGTTCAAAGACTGCATTTTCTCCGTTTCTGTTCAAGCACGAGTAGAGAAACTGCAACATCGTTAGCGTCTTCACTTCCTCGCTTCAGCATATCGCACCTAGTACTGTATCCAAGGAATCCACCACAGATGACTCGATCTCCAAAAATGCCTGTTGCGATACCATGGTCACCATGAAGTGGCGCCTGTGGGGATAGAATGTTGCTATGGGGGTCGGACTTTGGGCTCCACTCTCATCAAGGCTGCGAAGCTGTCACTTGTCAGCCCCACTGTATAAATATTGTTGTACCATTTCCTAACCTCCAAATTGGAACCTGCTACAACCCAGGAAAAATAGTTTCCCTCGCCGTCATCAAATTCCCATCGACTGCATAATGTGGTAAATTCGGCGATTGTTCAGCATCACAAAGATGAATATACCTCTGTCGGCCTTGTCCCTCAATTTTGCGTAACCATAACTCCTCATTTACGAACTCTCCGTTGTACATGCTGACAGCGACGGGTTTGCCAGACTGGCTTCGGATGCTACCGACAGTGTCGTATTGATTTGCGCGAGTGTCCAGTCGGCGCACTGTCGTCTGGTGCGACTCCCACTTAGGAGTTAACACCTCATAGTAGAGTGCGTCAGTTGGGTTGGAAATAACAAGATTCCGCACGCTAGCAGTAGTAAACATGAGTTTTTGGGTCATCGTTGACATGAGACGTTGGCTCGGGACGAGATGAATGTACTTCCTGCATTCCCTGCTTAAATACCTGAGCGATCAAACTCACACTCGATGCTCATCTTCACACAGTTTGTTTCAACTTACACTCGCTTTCCGAATAGCCATGTGAACGCCGGGCATCCAATTGATTCAGAACAATGAGAATGAGAAAAGGCCGATGTCTTGTGCAATCCCCCGCTCCATTTGACTAGTGTTAGAAGATGTTAAATCGTGGATAGCTGGGGAACTTCTGCCAGAACAAACCTCAATCATCGGAGCCCCGAGGATCGCGGTCACGCACAGAGTCAGGAACTAGTCGTGTAATGTGTCGTTTCTAGGATGTAAATATGTACCGACACGAGAGGATCCGGAGCAAGGAAGCAAACTAAATGATGATATCAAGACCCCTGCCTTCCGCCCATTCACCGAAGAGGAGGCTGATGCTTTCACCGTTATGTGTGCGACGTATGCTTTCAGCGATGGTAGAACTAATGTCCAGCGCTATTAACTTCGAAAATTGTTCCTTGTGCTCGTTTTGCGGAACGGTATTTGTGACCTACATGACACATTAGCGGCACAACGAAAGCCACGAACAACTTACCACAAGCTGCTCTATAGGAAGGCTGTTCAAAGAAGCCATGTGGGCTTCTGCGAAGAGTCCTTCAGGGATCATCATCAGGTGATTGGCAATTACATCCTGCATGACACGCACCGTGCGAAATAAGAACGTAAATAGTTTTGGCTCCTTTCTCATGCAGCGTCCGAGCAGCCAGTGTGAGCGTGTGGCCAGTATCTATCATGTCGTCCACCAAAATAGCCACCTGGGGTGATCATCAATAAAGGTTCGAATAGACTATAAGAAGCAGGTGATTCCTTATCTCGAACATCTCCTACCAGAAGCTCCATGCGCTCCGGAGCATTTTGAGATTTCCCATCACGTTTCCGGTGTATAAGGGCGAATTCGATGCCAAGCTTATCTGCCATTGCAGTGACCCTGATCATAGCCAGGCAGTGAAACTGGCGTCAATCCCCAAAAACAAAACGACACGGACCTTTTGGCTCCACCGGCATCGGGACTGACAACAATACCATTTTGCCACCCATCGATGTGCCTCTTGATATACGATACCATCAAAGGCTCCGAGAAAAGGTTGTCTACTGGAATGTCGAAAAATCCTTGTATTTGACTGGCATGCAGATCCATGGTGATGACATGATCACATCCCGCGCCAACAAGCATGTTTGCCACTAGTTTTGCTGTTATTGGTGCTCTAGACTCATCCTTTTTGTCCATACGGGCATACGGGAAACACGGAATCACGGCCGTAATACGCCGCGCGGAAGCGGTTTTGCATGCGGATATGAGGATCAGGAGTTCCATTAGGTTGTCGTTCACATCGCTACACCCTGACTGGATGATGAAGACGTCCTCCTCGCGGACGGATTCGGAGATCTTGACGTTTATCTCGCCGTTGGAGAATTTTTTGGGCATGCATGGCGTGAGGGGCACTCCGAGCCTATGTGAGTGAATCACTAGTCCGTGGGCTGTTTTGCTGCATCATGTAAAGCGGCAGCTCACCGCTCGGCCACAGCATGGGCGAGCTCTGGGTGACTATTGCCTGGAGAATCTAAATCAGCGAAAGAAAAGCACTGGTGCCAAATGGACATACCCGCAAGAAGTCTGATAGAGTTTCCGTGATACATAATTTAGAAATTTGGTGGATGGTTTTATAACATAGAACAGGATGAAGAATAAGAAAAGGTGACTGTTGCAGTTGGGTGATTGGCACAATAGCTTCCTTGCCAAAAAAATAATCGATAAAATGATCTTGTTTGCGCGGCACAAATAATCTACATCTACACTGCCACATCAAGCAGACACTCTAATGGTGATATTTTCTACAACGTATTCTGTGTCTGCATAGCCAATGAGTTGAACTATGCGGGCGCTGAAGAAAGCCGAATGAAAACACGTCGGAAAGCAAAAACAAAGAACCCACCTGTTTAGGCCCCTCACTCGGGATATCTGCGCAGAATTGTAATTTGCTAAACCCCGTCCCACTTCTTCACAATCCCAATTTTCGCATTCGTCCATCTTCTCGATCGAAAGGATCTCATCGTCTGTAATAGTCTGAGAATCAGAGCTCATATTATCTGATAAAGATGCCGACGACCCAGAACGCGAGAGTGGAACAAGGGACGTGACCGAGGCCGTCACTGATGGCCCGGGTTCTAGGACTGGCGTGCATGGTGTCGTTGCGGCCACGTTGGAATATGACATTTGTGCAACTTCCTTGACTTCAACTAGAACTCCTTCGGTACGGCGGTGTACTAGTATGCGGACTGCTTGGCCAGAGGCAAATGAACCTCGAACTCCAAGTACCCCAGCTGGCAGCAGACGACCACCAGATTCTCGACGAGACAACACGGCATGTGCCCCAGAGTCAATAATCACGCTACCTGCTGGATAAAGCGTATGACTCGTCCATGCCTTCAAGTCCCGCATGGGAATCAAGGCGGGCTTAAAGACAGTATGCGGAGGCCTCGGCCAACTGAGAGATGCAGCGACTTCATCCAAATCGACCTGATCAAGCTTTTGTGGAATGATCGGGCTAACAGTACCTGAGGTGGGTACTGACGTGCTTTTCAATGCTGTATAGTAGTCAATGATGTCGACGATCACTGAGGGCTGTTTGCTAGATGCGATAACAGTTGTAACGCCAGCGCCAGTTGCGATTTCAGCAGCAATCAGTTTCGTTTCCATTCCGCCGGTTCCAAGGCTAGATCCTAGCGTCGATGTGCTGACTGCAGGAATCGGCTCAGCTTCTGCCAAATCATCACTGTATCTCTGGATCCGTACCTTGTGCTCGGATAGCAGCAACAGAGATGACCACATCAAGCTTTCTTGCGGAGGGATCTTTTCGTGGGTTGGATGTATACAGACCATCGACGTCTGTGAGCAGGAAAAGGTAATCGGCATGAATCATAGAGCTTGTAATAGCAGACAACGTGTCATTGTCGCCAAATTTGATTTCCTATGGATAGTTAGCCCGCCCGTGTCGCCACTCATCATATCTGTAGTAGACACTTACGCTGACAGATATGGTGTCGTTTTCGTTCACGATGGGCACCACGCCCATCGACAAAAGTTCGTTTAGTGTGTTGACAGCGTTCAAATATCGTGTGCGCTGGGATGTTTTCAGTGCTTGAACAGGGCGTCTGTGGAAAGCATCTTACATCAGATATATCTCCTCTTGTTAGCAGAACCTGAGCGGTTCGCTGATCAAACTGCCCGAAAAGATTGTCCCATAGTGCAATGAGACGGCCTTGTCCTATTGCTGCCAAAGCCTTCCGTTAATCAGTCATAACCTTACAAGATACAGAAAGAAGACATACCTGCTTTTTAGACAAGCTTTTTGGTCTCTGTGGGATATCCATCGTCCTCAATCCAACTCCAATCGCCCCAGAACTAACGAGCACCACTTTATGTCCATGGCTGCGTAGACTGATGACGGTCTCAACAACCGCAGAAAGTATGGACAAGAGGGGCTGGTGCGTTTCTTCATGGACGATGGAGGATGTTCCTATAGGGTTTTACAGATTACACATCTGCGGGTGGTGGGGCGGGGATAGTGACTACTAGTACTCGCCAAGCTTGATAACGATCGTGCTAGGAGGTCCGCGTTTGACTAACCGTGACATTTTGTATAGGTCGAGGTGGTAGATGTGGTGACTGGTTGCGTCAAGAAGATGAGGGGTAAGTTTACGATGGGTGACTTTGTACGACGCTGACTCGGCCAATATGAGTCACAATGAAATGGCGCGAAGTCTTCTGCCAATAGTCTCAGGTGTCGGACAATTACGCACCGTTATAGGTTGAAGGACAAGAGCAGCACTGGCAGCGGTAGTAGGCTATTACTAGTAGTAGGTAACATTAAATTATCGAACTTATGGAACAGCGGCACCAAATATATATATAGCTCATGTCATTCGCAGAACAAACAAACATCGTAACTCAATACGCATAAAACGTCACCACAACTCCTCCAATCGCTCAGATGGCTCAGATCATTAATTCATGGGAGCCCTGGCAGCTTCCTTCTCGCCCTTCAGGATGCGTTCGAGGTTGGCACCTATGCGGCGGCGCTGATCAAGGGTAAACTCGGGTTCTGGTGCAGAGTAGCCAAGTTCTGTGGGTTCAATCAGTATGGTTGCAAGAATGTGCTTGTGGAAATAAACTCACTCACACTCGGATATTGTATAGGTAACTCTTCAGTCTTCACCGGGAGAGTAGATAGATCGAGAGGGAATGGAGGGCCGATCCACGCATTCCGGAGCTCATGGTCCCTGGGAGGCCACTGTCAGCTGTGTGTTATACCGGCGATAATCTGTACTCACTTTCTCTGCAAAGGTGCCCACGCATCGGTCAGTCAGTCAAACACTCAATAAGTAAATGAATTACCGCTTCACGGGTCAGCGGGTGTACGAGTATGCTTTGGTTGCAAGGAGGTGATGAGGAGACTTGACTGAGGAGAGATAAAGAAATACCTTAGACTACCCCTGTTCATGCAAAGGAACGAAAATACAGAGGAAAACGAGGTCGAAGGTACCCAGATCTCGTATGAACCTAGGACCAACTCGGAAATGATTTCTTTCCAGGCAGGAAAGGTATAATAGACACTTACCAATGGGATGAGGGCCGATGGGGTCGGTGTTCACGCGAAATAATGGAACAGCGACGAACGCTCCATCACGCCTTAGACGCAAGACAGCATCACGTAAATCCAACGCAGCCTGGTGCTGATCAGCGTTGCGCTGATGGAAGTAGATATCTGCACACATTTTCAGCGACCAAAAGATTGACACTCTTACTCTCAACTCACGGAAGTGCCATTCTCTATCATACGTAGCGCGAACGAGCCATGAAAAGAGTCAACGATCAGTACTCAGTAGTGAACTCGGGGCACTTACTTGACTTCAGAGTTAACAACTTCTTCAAGGTCGTTTGGTGGATGGTAGTCTGACATTATGACCCACCGTGGAAAAGAAGTGTGGCTCCGCAACTGGTCATAGCTGCCAGTGCCAAGGATGATATATATAGTATGCAAGTGTCGATTGCCACGCCAGCAGGCTCCAGGGATGGTAGAATGTGGGGCCCAATGCGCCTATTTCACACGGGCCAAGATGATACGAGTTCGGTGGAAGAAATGTGGGGTAGACGCGTTGATACTCGTATTCTGCCGGCTGCATTCTCCTGATCGGAAGATAACTGCAATGGATTGGTCGGGTGATTACGTACTCAGAACCAGAGACTACCGGCGGTAACTAAACTAGGCACCATGATAAATAAATGAAATACAAATACATTGGAACAACCTTAAGTTTGTTTCCAAACCTCGTCTCCACACAGTGTTCAGAATGCGTCCAGGTATCCAGAAAAAATTATTTCTATTGTTTTGCCTGATACTTAATGCCGTTTGCAACAGCCGCTTCTGTCGAGGACGGTCATGCCATAATCGGTTCAGCAGTGACCGACTCTCCAGGACCGCTCTGGATTTCAGAACAGACCCTTCTGCGCATGGCGTGGACAATCATGGAGACACACTATTTACTTTCGTTGACGAACGAAGAACAAGGTAGTGCAAAATATCGTGTACAACCACTTGTGAATGCAATTTCATTCAAAATCATATACGACGACCGGAGCCTGAGGTATATGCCTTCAATGGGTCGTTTATCTTTGGTTTATCTAACGACATGTTTGATCAAAGACGATCGCTGCGGCAGAACGGAAACATGGTGGCAGGGTCGACTGAAAAATGAAGCTCGGTGATCTCGGGAACGAATCACGCATGGCTAGGCAGTGTCCATCGATCCTACAAGTACGGTACTGTTGCTGGAGCCGTTTAGGCTCTTGGTGATGTATATTCTACACTTATGCCCATGCGGACGCCTTCTTACCACCTACTGCTTTTGTCACTAACCATCTCCTCATCTAGCCCCACCTCGATGCGTCGCTTTGCAGTTCCTACAATTTTGGGATCCGAGCTTCACTTTGCTGCGTCGTATTTGCTCCTACTGATATAAGAATCACAGCCCACCTCAGCTCACTTTGCGCAGGTCGCCTCACTATCAGGACTTCCGCCTGAAAAAAAACTATCTGCTTGCAATCAAGCACATGTTTTTCCTCGTTCTCACTACTTACACAACTGCACAAGCACGCCCGCAAAGTGACCTACTCGAACAACATTACTCATTTTGAACTAACACCGAAAGACGATGGCTACCATGCACTAGCTGTCATAAAATGACGGATGAGGGGCATGCCATGAAGATCGAATGACGAGGACAGGAGAAGGACGTGAGCGAGCGGACTAATTCTAGCGCACAAACCACGTTACCGTCATGTCTATATATTCGCATGACAAAATGAAATCTAGTTTCATCGTTTCGAACCAGTTCTACCTGTGCAGCAGTGAGATGTAAGGATGGAATACCAGGCCATGTATAGGTATGGAGTATCCGTCACAATCCGCCTGTTGAAGGTGTGCCCATCATATATTGGTATAACTAATACAGTGATTCCATTATAGAAAAATCAGGCGAGTTGTATCCGGGCAACTTGATCAAGTCATGGTAGGCTAGAGTAAAACACAGTTGGCGTCTAGCTATTCCTCCGATGCATTAAATGGATTTCAGATATATGTCGCCACACGGAAGAGCGGCGCATGACATTCATTGAACGATCACCTCGCTGCCTATGATAATTGCAGCGTTCCCATTGGCATCGGATCATCGCACCTCGAAATCCAGGAAGATGATAATCATACCAATGCTGTTTTAAATCCTCCAAGGTTCCGTCATATCCGCAGGGTGCGTTGTTATGTACCCACCGGCAGATGAGGAGAGATGGCTGGTTGATCGGCAGTTCCGACTGGGCCGGACTTGGAGGGAGCCGAAACCCGGAGTTCACGCCTCCTAAATCATGGACACATGACATGCTTTGTGAGGGGCCACGTGAGACAATGGACCTGAGATTGTTTGGTGTCCGCGAGACAGCGCTACTCGTGTTGTCAGATTCACGTAAGGTAGATACTCGGGAGCGTACTTACTTGGAGTTTGTCGTCATATGAACGACAGAATGTATGTCCGAGGCGGTCATCCCGCCGCATTGCGAGGACTCGGGCAAAGTGTAGCCAATCGGTCCCGGCCTGTGTATGAGTATGAGGGCGTATACGAGCAAATAAGTGTGACGAAGGGCATACGTTGGCAATGCTTGTGGAAACGAGTAGTCACTTCCAATTGCTGGATGACTAGGGGCCCCAGACCTAGCACCTCCTAGTTCGTGGAGATATGGCACGCATTGCAACTCGCCGAACCAGTCATACGAGGCAGCGGCCCTCAGATTGTTTGGTGCCCATGAGGCAGCACTACTGGTATTGTTAGACTTTTGTGAGGAAGAAAAAGAGTGCAATTACTTGGGATTTTCCATCATAGGGACAACGGAATGCGTATCTGAGGTCATATTCCATTGTGAGGACATGGGCAAAGTGTGGCCGATCGGTCCTGGTCTGTGTTGAGTATGAGGGCGATTATGAGGGCATAAGTGATGAAAGGCATACATTGGGAATGAATGTGGAGATAAGTAGACCCCTCCCGTCGCTGGATGACTGGAGGTTCTGGACCCGGCACCTCCTAGATCGTGGGGGGTTGGTGAATTATACGGGGAACCATATAAGATAGCATTTCTGCTCGATGGACTATCTGACATCCATAGGACGCTACTCGAATTATATTTATGTAATGACAATACTAGGGAGCGTACTAACTTGGTATCTGCCATCATGGGGACGACGGCATACATACTATCCGACGTGGTTGCAATGTGTTGCGAGGACGCGGATGAACTGTGATCGTTTGGATCTAGCCTGTGTACAACGCTCAATATGTGAAAAGCAAATGGTAACGAAGGGCATACATTTGGGATGCATAGTTGCTGCCTCCCATCACCGGAGAACTAGAGCCGAAGCTGGGATCTGTATCGTGCTGGTTACTGTGAGGGGTTGGTGGATTGTACGCAAAGCTATAATTGCCAAGTGTTGTTGTTCTTTGCGGTGTTGAAGTAGACATTGTTCTAAGGGATGGAACGAGGTTCTCCTGTGTCTTTATACCATGCCCCGCCACAGCAAAAGAAAGGTGTCCAGCAAGCGTAAGAGTGTTATCATGAAGTGATTTTCCGTGGCCTACAAAGAATGCTTAAAATATATGGATACATGTGATGTTTTTGAAAATCAACCATACCGTTACTGCAACTGCATACCCGGGCCGTTACTGCAGCACAGCGGACCAGAGAGGCAGGGATAAACTTTACTCGCGCGATGAAAACAAGCGAGCTCCAAACAAGACTGCTGTTCAGTAGCTAGTGTTGCGTTGCATCGCCACTATGTACGGCCCGAATACAGTGACCAAAATACTGACACCTTGATTGACGATCGACTCGGAATCGATGGAATGACCCCAAATTGAGATTGGGGAATTGCGCCAATTGTCTTGAAGTTTCACGTCCATGGCATGTTCCTGTGGATGGTTATACTAACTTTCAAGCCCTCAGTACATTCGGACAGTACCGGTATGCAGGGTTATGCAGGCCAAACTTCTGCCAGAGCCTCGAGCTCGTTCTTGGAACTCTTGTTTGGTACGTTCAAATGGGGATTGTGGCACGACCTAGAAATGCCCATCAGTTGACTCGGAACTAGTAGCAGAAAGATGAAAGGAACATATATGTAATAGCATATAAAATATAATCACAATGTTTGATATCAACATATGGCGACTCGGAATTAGCTTCATCATTGTATACAGCTTTCAAATTTCAAAGTCCAGCGTTGGTCCAGCGCTTCAAGAAGATAAAGTCCCACGCCTGAAACCCTAGATCTATAGAGCCTCAGGCTGGCGCTCGATTTACGACATGATCCCACGTTTCGAGGCCCCTGATGGCATCGATGAGCTCAGGTTTCATCAAAACCGGAGGTTGCCTGGTCGCAGCCTGTCATCAGCTCCCTATGTCCTTCTAACACTCGCTTTTTTGTTGTGATGCGTCTCGTCTGCCCGCCGAGCCCCAGGGTTCCCGAGGAAGTTCAAGTTCACAGGTGGAGGGGAGGCATAAGTACTAGGGAAGAGTACATTATTGTTTGACCGCGATTCGTCATTGAAAGCGACTGCATCGGCGCATCACGAGCTTGCCACGAGCGTTGACTCGGCGTTGACTCGGACACGTAAAACTTGGCAGATGTGTCCTTCGCATAATGCATTCCTCTCTTCTCTGCGCTTATCCGCATTTGCGAATCACGCACCTGTTAACGTTAACGTTGATCGGAGATCTGCAAGCTTGATCGATTTGATCCTCAAATCTCGGCTTTTTCCAGATCATCTTGTGCTCCCTGCCTTGCGCTTGATCTGGCAAAGTCTGACAGACCTTCTCACACACAAAATGAATCAACACTTGGTGAAGTCTCTTATTTCTCCTCTCCCAATCGTAGTCTTACTACTTCGTCTACTCATATCACTATCAAAATTAGTTGCTGCAGCAGTTCTAGTATGAATATTAATTCTTTCAACTCCACCTCTAACCACGCAATAATACAAAGGTCGAATGCAATGCCTTTTGGTTGATCTGAAAATCAAGCTAGTATTTAATATTTGGCTGATTATCATCGCCGATTCGCCGGATATCTGCTCTTTATGACGCCTCGGAGTAGAGAAAAAGTCCGCTAGAACTTATTTACTTTCTCTCAGTCTGCAATCTCACATGGTTTGTCAAAGACCACACTTGCTCACTCACTTCAATGCTCCCCTTCCGCCCTTCTACTCGTCTCCCTTTCGTCCCCCGGTTTTTCCTGCTGCTTCGGTGTGTTGGTACTCTCTCTCTTTTCTCGTGACTTTCATTGCAGCCTGGCAATATGTTTGTGAACAAGCTCACGAGCATACAACCCCGCGTTCTCGATAGTTGTCCCCAGGAACGGCAGTATGTATACAAACTGGTCCTTTGATAGGCCAGTTGCGGCTCTCGCGCTGCTACGATAATCTACCGTTCATTTCTGAGTTCGGTGTCGACGAAAGATTTGCTACTGACTTTTTCTGCAGTGAATTCTGTCGGATTTCCAAATTCTCAGTCATTTTCGCCGGGGGGGTATATTTATGCGAATATCACTTGTCTTGCACGGGTAGGGTCACCATCAATCACATAGAATGTGGCGGAGCTTCATCAACAGGAACCTTGTTCACGATTTTTGTACAGTGTCAAATAACTTTAAGCACGAGATACCGCCGCGGGTGCACAATGCTGTGTTGCTGCGCGTTATGAAATAATTAAGCGTTCATGATTACATAAGCTCAGCTATTACCCTCGCTGCATCAAATGGTGTTTATTCGCCCCACGAACAAGTTATCGAGAAAAACCTCATGGGGCAAGGTGGGGTCAATCGTTCCTAGAGGCTAGAGCCACTTACAAACTACAACATTCAAGGCCGCGGCTGAATCGGAGCTGGTTCTAACTTGTCTCCGAGTTTTTACATACTGTCACGTTCTATGTTTCCATTCGCTAAGGCAATCCTAAATTTGCTTCTAATCATTTCTGAAATATTATTTCTCTATATGTACTAGGAGCACGTGGCAGGATGGACAAGAAACAAAAATAGTTGATTTGAATTTGCTGGTGGGTGCTGTATGGCATTTTCCCTCGAAGCACAGCCTGACATGGACACTGTTCTGCGGCACTGCCAGTAGTTGTGATGAATTGGGGCAGCAGCGCACGCAACTTGGACAAGTCAAATCAGCCCCTCTTGTAGTACACAGCTAGGCTGCTGCTGTGTAACTCGGGCCACTGGTCAGGAAACTACGTTAGGTGTTGCGCACAAGGTCCAATTGTATTTGTCTCTCAACTTTTTCTACCTGCAGAGTTCATCCGTGGCAGTAGTCTATGTACGTAGCGAGGCACGACCGGAGGCAATAGAGCTAAGTCTTTGAGCGAGCGGCAAGCGGAGCTTTTGCGCATCTTGCTTCTTCACCATGACGAACAGTTCACCCCGTGCACTTCGTTGACACAGCGTTTTCTTTTCCCCACGCTCCTCTCCCTTCTCATCACGCTTCCGCACGATTCCAGCGCCTCGCTGGCGCCCCCAAACACTCTTGGCCCTGAAAGGACAACCAACCATATGCAGCGAGGCGGCCCACCTGCCCTCGCAGCTCACCTTTTGTCCCCCAGGACAAAGTCCCTTCGGAGCCGGGAGGCGCTGCGCGCCTTCGCCCGTAATCTCTCTTCAGACATCTACCCTTAAACTTGTACACACTATGTCGTAGTCCCCACCATTCAAGTTTAACTATCTGTTTTCTTCATCATGCAAATGAGACGCTAGAGTGAACCTCAACGATGACCATTACCTGCTCGAAAGGTGGGAGCGCTCGCCACTAATGGTATCGACAAGAATCTGTATATCTGGGATCTTCGGGCGCTGTTTGGAGATATCAATGTAAGTCTCTAAATTAAAATATCCTCCAAGGCGATCATTGACACACTCATGTTCACCAGGTTACGGACAACGAGCTAGAACCGTCAGTGGGAACGTCTACAGCTGGTCACTTGCTACTCGATGTACGTAACATCTCGATGGTCCTCTCTCAGTGTGCTAAATAAGGGTTGGCGACAGACTAACGCAAGTATTCATCTTGCCGGTAACAACACACGAATACGTCTAGCTTAGCCCGATAGCACGCATCAACTAGTACCAGGGTCTTTTGATGCGACACATAGCGCCGTGAAGTTCCTTATTCAGAACTGTTGGCCAAGTCGCTGAGAAGGTCTGTATTATAGTTCACCTGATAATTTAGTTGAGTCGTGACACAGCTTACTACTATGCGTCTAATCGTTTGAGATTATTTTTATGCACATATGCCGGGCACGGTACGCGGTGAGAAAACTCCGTCAAAGTCGTCCCCCTGGCGAACAGGAAAGTGCAGTGCACCAGCCTGTTAGGGTAAAAGACAATGTCTTGTTTCGTTTTTGGTTGCGTGTTGCTTGCATGTCCTCCGCCGGGGACGTTTCGCCTTGGTTTATCATCTATCTCCTTGTGCTGGTAGATACTATTTTGTTCTTGTTTCTACTTATGTCTTCGTCGCGACGGGTTTGGGTTGCACAATCACGTCTAATTAGTCACTTGGTTTTGTGTATGAAATATATTGGACCCCTTATTTCTGTTGAATACAGCGCCGGCACGACATGTGACTTCATTTGAAATGATAACTTCGCGGCTCGGATGTGAACGATTTGCAATCAAATTATTTAATGAATGTCTCAGACCCTCAGCAATCTGCATTGAAGATGGTGGTTGCATGCCGTATGATTCAAGTCACCTGCTGATAAGTCTTACTATAATCTACGGTCTCTATCGAAGTGTCCGTCCTGCCCTTCCTGAGTTCAGTCATCCGATTTGAACAGTTGAGTGCGTCCGTATATCAACAGACCACCCAAGGTGAGTGAAGGTATCGTAGCGGATGACCTTGCACAGATGGCAGTGTCTCCATGGTATAGCCTATGATGCCACAAGACAAGGCAACACTGGTACAGATGTCCGCTGGGATAGGATCAATTGTGCGGAAGACGTGGGTGATGTGTTGTGTCGAGGGCTGCATGTCATCCAAGGGATCAGTATTTGAGAACGATTGTGATAAAGAAGACTTAAACTGACTGGAGAAAGCAGATACAAACGCGTCGCAGCCAATTTATCGGAGGATGCTTCGAATGCGACGACAGGTGCTCCAAATGTTACGCCGATAAGCGAGGCGAGGGTCACAACTTCGAAAATTGTTCCTTGTGCTCGTTTTGGGGAATGGTATTTGTGACCTACAATGCACATTAGCAGCACAACGAAAATCATGAACAACTTACCACACGCTGCTCTATAAGAAGGCTGTTCAAAGAAGCCATGTGGACTTCTGCGAAGAGTCCTTCAGGGATCGTCATCAGGCGATTGGCAATTCCATTCTACATGATACGCACCATGCGAAATAAGAACGCGAGTCGTTTTGGCGCCTTTCTCATGAAACGTCCGAGCAGCGAGTATGAGCATGTGGTTAGTATCTATCATATCATCCACCAAAATAACCACCTGGGGTAATCGTCAAGAAAGTCGCGGGCGGACTATAAGACTCCTTACCTCGAACATCTCCTACCAGAAACTCCATGAGCTCCGAAGCATTTTGAGATTCCCATCACATTTCCGGTGTATAAGGGCGAATTCAATGCTGAGTTTGTCTGCCATTGCAGTGATCCTATCCGCAGCTGAGCAGTGAAACTGGCGTCAATCCCCAAAAACAAAATGACACGGACCTCTCGACTCCACCGGCATCTGGACTGACGGCAATACCATTTTGCCACTCATCGATGTGCCTCTTGATGTACGATACCATCAAAGGCTCTGAGAAAAGGTTGTCTACTGGAATGTCAAAAATCCTTGCGTTTGGCTGGCGTGCAGATCCATGGTGCCGGTGATGACGTAATCGCATCCCGCGCTAAAGCCTAACAAGCATGTTTGCCAGCAGTTTTGTTGTTATTGGTGCTCTAGGCTCATCCTTTTTGTCCATGCGGGCAGACGGGAAACAGGGAATCATAGCCATGACATGTCGGGCGAAAGCGGTTTTGCATGCGGATATAAGGATCAGGAATTCTATCAAGTTGCCATTCACTCATCGCTACACCTTGTCGACCAGATGATGGTGAAGTCTCAAGAGGTGTGCGTTCACTTGAATTTACATAAGCTACAAAACCTTAGTGTACAGCCACTCTAATTTTACAGCGATGCATTGAGTTTCTCGCGGCGAAAGTTGTCTGATTAGTAATACCTGGATCGGTAACTGAACTAGACACCAAATACAAATGGAACAACAACCTTATAATTAAGTTTGTTTCCAACCTCGAGCGTCTCTACAACGAATTTGGTCAATGTTCAAAATTGTTTTGCCTAATACTTAATGCCGTTTAGAACAGCAGCTTCCGTCGAGGACGGTCATGCGATACCCACGTCATAATCGGTTCAGCAGTGACTGACTCTCCAGGACCGCACTGGATTTCACAACAGACCCAAAGTTTTGCGCATGGTGTGGAGATACACTCTTGACTTTCGTCAACGAACGCAGAACAAGGTGGTGCCAAATACCGTGTACAACCATCTGTGGATGCAACTTCATATACGACGACCGGAGGTGAGGGCTTCTATGCACATTCAATAAATCGTTCGTCTAACGAGAATTCATATCAAAGATGGATCGCCGCGGCAGAACAGAAGCACGGTGGCAGGATCGACCGCAGATCGAGGCTTGACGATCTCGGAAACAGAATTCGAAGAATCGTGTACGGCTAGGCAGTGTCCGTCGATCCTACAAGTACGGTACCGTGGCTAGAACTATCCAGGCTCTTGGTGATATATATCCCATAGATGTCCGCACTTATGCTCATGCGGACGCTCTTACTTACTGCTCTTGTTACTAACTGTCTTCTCATCTAGCCTCACCTCTATGCATCGCTTTGCAGCTCCTACGAGTTGGGAATCTGAGGTTCACTTTACTGCGTTGCATCTGTCCCTACTAGTATAGGAATCGCAGCTCACCTCGGCTCGCTTTGCACAGGTAGAGGTCGCTATCGGGGCTTGCGCCCGGAGCAAATTATCTGCTTTCAATTAAGCAAATGTTTCCTCGTTCTCACTACTTACACAATGACTCACTCAAATTATTTTGAACTGGCACAGAAACACAACGGCTACCGTGCACTAGCTGTCATAAAATAACGGATGAGGAGCATGCCATGAAGATCGAATGACGAGGGCAGGAGAAGGAGAAGGAGTGGACTATTTCTAGGGCACAAACCATGTTACCGTCATGTATATATATTCGCATGACAAAATGAAATCTAGTTTTATTGTTTCGAACCAGTTATACCTATGCATTAGCGAAATGTGAGGATGGAATACCAGGTCATGTATAGGTATGGATTGTCTGTTGCAATCCACCTGTTGAAGGTGTACTCATCATATATTAGTATAATTAGTACAGTGATTTCATTGTAGAAAAATCAGGTAAGTTGTACCCGGGCTTGATCAAGTCATGGCAGGCTAGAGTAAAACACAGATGGTATCTAGTTATTCCTCCGATACATTAAATGGACTTCAGATATATGCCGCCACACGGAAGAGCGGCGCATGACATTCATTGAACGATCACCTCGCTGCCTATGATAATTGCAGCGTTCCCATTGGCATCGGATCATCGCACCTCGGAATCCAGGAAGATGGTCATCATACCAATGCTGTTTTAAATCCTCCAAGGTTCCTTCATATCCGCAGGGTGCGTTATCATGTACCCATCGGCAGATGAGGGGAGATGGCTGGTTTCTCGGCAGTTCCGACTGGGCCAGACTTGAGGGGAGCTGAAAACCGAAGTTCGCGCCTCCTAAATCATGAACACATGACACGCTTTGCGAGGGGCCACGTGAGACAGTTGTCCTGAGATTGTCTGCTGTCCACGAGACAGCGCTACTCATGTTGTCAGATTCACGTAAGGTAGATACTTGGGAGCGTACTAACTTGGGGTTTGCCATCATAGGGACGACAGAAAGTGTATCCGAGGTGGGCATCCCGCATTGCGAGTATACGGGCGAAGTGTGGCGGATCGGTTCCGGCCTGTGTATGAGTATGAGGGTGCATACGAGCAAATAAGTGTGACAAAGGGCATACATTTGCAATGCTTGTGGAGACGAGTAGTCACTTCCAATTGCTGGATGACTAGGAGCCCCAGACCTGGCACCTCCTAGTTCGTGGAGATATGGCATACGTTGCGACTCGCCGGACCAGTCGTATGAGGCAGCAGTCATGGCAGCAGTCATGAGATTGTTTGGTGCCCACGAGGCAGTACTACTCGTGTTGTTAGACTTATGCGAGGGAGAAAGTAATGCAATTACTTGGGATTTTCCATGATATGGACAACGGAACCTGTATCCGAGGTGGCCATACTGTATTGCGAGGGCATGTCCAAAGTGTGGCCGATCGGTCCTGGCCTGTGTTTGAGTAGTATGAGGGCGATTATGAGAAAATAAGTGATGAAAGACATACATTGAGAATGAACATGGAGATAAATAAACCCTTTCCGTCGCTGGATGACTGGAGGTTCTGGAACCCGCACCTTCTAGATCGTGGGGGATTGGTGAATTATGCGGGGAACCATGCAAGATAACATTTCTACTCGGTGGACTATCTGACGTCCATAGGAAAACGCTACTCAAGTTATATTTATGTAATGACAATACTAGGGAGCGTACTAACTTGGAATTTTCCATCATAGGGACAACGGCATGTATAATATCCCATGTGGTTGCAATGTGTTGTGAGGACACAGATGAACTATGGTCGTTTGGACCTAGCCTGTGTACAAGGCTCAATATGTGAAAAGCAAATGGTAACGAAGGGCATACATTTGGAGTGCACATTTGCTGCTTCCCATCATCGGAGGACTAGGGCCGAAGCTGGCATCTTTATTGTGCGGGTTACTGTGAGAGGTTGGTGGATTATGCGCAATGCTAGAATTTCCAAGTGTTGTTAATCTTTGCGGTGTTGAAGCAGACATCCTTCTAGGGGAGGGAACGAGGTTCTCCTGTATCTTTATACCATGCCTCACCGCAGCAAAAGAAAGGTGTCCGGCAAGACGGTAAGAGTGTGATTTTCCGCGGCCTACAAAAATGCTTAGAATGGCATAGTATGGATCCATCCAGTGTTTGTTTTGGGAATCGACCATATCGTTACTGCCGAAACCAGTATGACGAAGCAGAGAGGCAGGGATAAACTTTACTTGCATGGTAGAAACAAGCGAGCCTGGAATTGCGCCAATTTTAAGATAGTATTGACGTTTCACGTCCATGACATGTTCTTGTGGATGGTAATACCAAGTCCTCTGTACATTCGGACAGTATGGAGGCTTATGTAGGCCAAATTTCTGCCAGAGCCTCGTTCTTGGGACTCTCGTGAACCAAGAACCAAGCCCTGTGATATGTTCAGATGGCGACTGTCGTATGACCTGGAAATAACGGCAGATGCCATCAGTGACTCGGAACTGGCAGAAAGATGAAAATATGTAGTAGCATATAAAATATTTGCATACAGATTTCAAGTTTAGCGCTTCATGATGAAGACAATGATGTCCCACGCCTGACTCGGAGGCCTGAGGCCTGAAACCCTGGCCTGCTGCGCCTGCGCGTCTAGGGCGCTCGATTGATCCACCACGACATGATCCCACATTTCGAGGCCCCCGATGAGTTCCTTCATCAAACCTTGAAGTTGTCTGGTCGCAGACTCGGCGTAACCCTGCCAGGGCTGTTTCAAACGGATCACGAGCTTGCTGTGAGCGTTGACTCCAAGGACACGTAAAACATGGCAGGTCCCGTGAAGATCCTTTACTGAAGGTGTGCTCTGCATTCTCTTCTTCTCTGCCACGCTCATCCGCATTTGCGAATCACGCACCGATTGATGGCTTGATCTTAGCTTGATCCTCGATTTTCGGCTCTTTCCAGATTATGTTGTGCTCGGTCTAGACCCGTGCCTAACTTGCGCTCGGCCTGGCAAAGTTAGAATTTCTCACGCACAAAACGAATCAACTCGGTGAAGTCTCTCCCAATCGTTACTATTTCGTCTACTCACATTACGCTGATTGTCATCGCCGATTCGTCGGATATTTGCTCGAGCCTTCCGACGGGAGGCTCGGAGTCGCTAGAACTTATTTCCTTTCTGCGGGCGTCGACACTGCCGCACTGCGGGCGTGGATGGCCAAATATCAAATTCAAGATGTATAAAATAACTTTAAGCACGAAGATACCGCCGGCTTCGGATGCTATGATGGTGCAAACGTCATGCTGTGTTGATCTGACATTCTATACCGGTTACTCATAGCCCTCGCTGCATCACCTAATGCCACGGAACTTCTCCATTCAATCTAGTATTCAATCTGACACCTTACGTCTAGCTCAGCCCGATATCACGCATCAATGACCAGGGTCTTTTGATGTGATACCAGAGATTGGTATTTTTGTGCGTAGCGATCATCTCTACTGGCCTATTTGTGTTTTGACATCTACATAGGGAGCATCACCTCCCGGTCCAAGACCACAGCACGAGCGTTGCATAGCGCGGTGGAGTTCCTTATCTAGAACAAGTGGCTTGGAAGGTCTGTCGCATAGTTCACCTAATAATTTAGTCGAGTCGTGACCCAACTGACCACTAGGTATTTAATCGTCTCAGATCATTTTTACGCACACATGCCGCTAGAATGAAACACGGTACGTGAGAAAACTCTTCGCACGACTGGCGAAGTCGTCCCCCCTGGCGAACAGGAAAGTACAGTGCACTAGCCTGTTAAGGTATAGGGCAATATTTCGTTTCGTTTTTGGTGCTGTTTGTATGTCCTTCGGCCACCAGGCCAGGGACGGTGAGATATTTTTGCTTTGATTTACTTATACTCTATCTCCATGGTAAATAGTATTTTTCTTAGTCAGTCGGTTTTGCGTACGGGATTTATGGTTTATATTCTCTGGATCCCTGATTTCCGGTGAATGCAGCGCTCTAGACAATCCATTTACCATCATCTGATTGGATCCGGCAGGACAGACTGTATTTGAAATGATAACTTCGCATATCTTGGGACGGCCTTTCACCGACACCAGTTGTTCAAGCCCAAGTAAATTAGTCGTTTGTCATAGATAGTTTCTCTCGTGTCATAGTTTCCATCACCCATAGAGTAACTCTGGCCCCTCAAGGTCCCAAACTCGCAGCTGAAGCAATCCAGGTTTCCCCAATTAACGCTAGCGGTAAAGCAACAATTTAAACAGACTTACAGCACAATCCTCATAATCTGCCTTCGCCTCAGGCACCGTCCTGCCCTTCCTGAGTCCAATCCTCACTCAACATCATCTACATATTGTAAGAACGGAGCAATTTCCAATATGGTGTCGACGCCATGTGCGCGCCGTGAGGTCGTGCACACGTATTGTTCATTACACAATCTCACTTATCAATTATTTGAACAATCGAGTGCGTTCGTATATTAACAGACCACCCGAGGCAAATGAAGGTATCGTAGCGGATGACCTTGCCCAAATGGCAGTGTCTCCATGGTATAGCTTGTGATGCCACAAGATAATGCAACACTGGTGCAGACGCCCGTTGGGATAGGATCAGCTGTGTGGAAGACGTAGATGATGTGTTGTGTCGAGGGCTGCATGTCATCCGAGGGATCAGTATTTGAGAATGGTTGTGATGAAGAAAACTTACTACTAGCTAGAGAAAGCAGATGCAAACGTGTCGCAGCCATTTTCTCGGAGGAAACTTCAAATGCGACGACAGGTGCTCCAAATGTTACACCGATAGGCGAGGCGAGGGTCACAACTTCGAAAATTGTTCCTTGTGCTCGTTTTGGGTAATGATATTTGTGACCTACGATGCACATTAGCAGCACAACGAAAGCCATGAACGACTTACCACACGCTGCTCTATAAGAAGGCTGTTCAAAGAAGTCATGTGGGCTTCTGCGAAGAGTCCTTCAGGGATCGTCATCAGGCAATTGGCAATTCCATTCTACACGACACGCACCATGCAAAATAAGAACGTAAGTCGTTTTAGCGCCTCTCTCATGAAACGTCCGAGCAGCGAGTAGCATGTGGCTGGTATCGATCATATCATCCATCAAAATAGCCACCTGGGGTAATCATCAATAAAGTCGCGAGCAGACTATAAAAAACAGGTGATTACTTACCTCGAACGTCTCCTACCAGAAGCTCCACGAGTTCCAAAGCATTTTGAGATTCCCATCACGTTTCCGGTGTAGAAGGGCGAACACAATGCTAAGTTTGTTTGCCATCCTATCCGGGCGCAGTAGCAGAAGTCCTGGCGCGGTGGCAGGAGTCCTGGCTCCTGTAGTCCTCGCGCGTCGTAGTCTCCTCTCGATAGATAGAGTCGTAGCCTCCCGCTATAGAGGTCTGGCCTTGGTTCCCTTGCAGTCCGTACCCGTTCCAGCATCGATGTCTGATGACATGCGCTGAGCTAAGATGGGATTTGAACCGAATGTTGATATATTTGTCCAGAACATGGCTGCCTGAAGCTACTCTCATTGTATTGAACTAGACGAAAATCATTGTATATAGTCGATCCTACCCTATCAGTCAGATTGTAGTTAAATAGGCATGCATGTCACTGAACGAGTTTACAAAGAAAGTAGAACAAAGCCCCAGAACAGTACTCGCCTATCAAATGCTATCATATATAAGTACACTATGTCCGAGTCCTGTCGACATTAGGCTAGTTTAGTACAGTGAAAAATCAGGCGAGTTGTACCCGCGCAACTAGTCCAAGTTATGGTAGGCTGGAGTAAAACACAGTCGGTGTCTAGTTATTCCTCCGGTGCATTAAATGGACTTCAGATATATGCCGCCACACGGAGGAGCGGCACATGACATTAATTGAGGGATTACCTCGCTTGTGATAGTTGCAGTGTTTCCATTGGCATTGGATCATCGCACCTGGGAATCCAGGAAGATGGTTGTCGTGCCAATGCTGTTTTAAATCCTCCAAGGTTCCTTCATGTCCGCAGGGTACATCGCTACATACCCACTGGCAGAGGAGGGGAGATGGCTGGTTAATTGACAGTTCCAACTGGGCCGGAGGGAACTGAAAACTGGAGTTCACGCCTCCTAGATCTTGAACACATGGCACACTTTGCGAGGGGCCATGTGAGACAGCAGTCCTGAGATTGTCTGGTGCCCACGAGATAGTACTACTGATGTTGTTATATTTATGTAGGGCAGATGGAGAGCATACTTACCTGGGGTTTGCCATCATAGGGACGACAGAATGTATATCCAGGGCGGACATTCCACATTGCGAGGACACGGGTGAAGTATGGCCGATTGGTTCTGGCCTGTATATGAGTATGAAGGCACATACGAGCAAATAAGTATGACGAAAGGCATACATTTGGAATGCGTGTGGAGACAAGTAGACCCTTCCCATTACTGGATGACTTGGGGCCTCCGACCTGGCACCTCCTGGATTGTGGAGATATTGCGACCAGTCATCTGAGGCAGCAGTCCTAAAATTGACTGGTATCCATGAGGTAGCACTGTTTGTTTTTTTAGACTTGTGTAAGGAAGATAAGAAGCGCGATAACTTAGAGTTTGCCATCATAGGTATGATGGAACGTGCATCCGAGGCGGTCATACTGCGTTGCGAGGACATGGCCTGGGGTGAAGTGTGGCCGATTGGTCCTAGCCTGTGTTTAAGTATGAGGGCGGATATGAGCAAATAAGTGACAAAATGCATACGTTGGGAGTGCATGTGGAGACAAGTACACCCCTCCCATCGCTGGAAGACTCGAGGCGCTGGACCTGGCACCTCCTAGATCGTGGGGGATTGATGAGTTATGCGAGGAACCATGCAAAACATCATTTCTACTCAGTGGACTATCTGACATCCATAGGAGAACGCTACTCGTGTTGTTATATTTATGTCACGACGATACTAGGGTGCGTACTAACTCGGAATTTGCTATCATAGGGGCGATGGCATGCATATCCGACATGGTTGCAATGTGTTGCGAGGACGCGGACGAACTGGAGTCGTTTGGACCCAGCCTGTGTATGAGGTTCATTATGTGAAGAAATAAAAGGTGACAGAGGGCATACATTTGGAATGCGCATTGGTTGCTTCCCATTGCCGGAGGACTAGAGCCGAAGTTGATGTTTTTATTGTGTTGGTTACATTGGTGGGTTGGTGGATTATGCGTAAAGCTATAATTTCCAAGTGATGTTGATATTTGTGGCGTTGAAGCAGACATCTTCAAGTTGTGAAATGGGAAAGGCAAGTTTGTTCTAGGGGATAGAATGGGCTCCTGTGTCTTTATACCATGCCCTGCCACAGCAAACGAAAAGTGACCAACCATGATATCCGTGAGATTGTTGTCGTCAAGTAATCAAAGAAGTATTTCCGCTTACATCGCCCGAAGAAATGATTAGTTTGACATCATTGGATCAGTGAACAAAGGGAAGGATGCATAGAATGGAATGTGGATGATGGCAGATTCATCTATCCTTTGAATCGAGCATACTATTACTACATGATAACCATCGGAACCAATAAGGCGTACCATGGAGAACCAGAGAAGCAGTGATTGCTTTACTTGCATGGTGAAAACAAGCGAGCTCCAAAGAAGACCTGCTGATGGAACCGCTGTTTAGTAGCTGGTGATCACCAAGTAGTAAATACTTAATCACTTACTTAAGAACGTGTTGCGGTAGCTATAGCATCTTTTGAGTACAGTGCGTGAAGTACTGACACCTTGATCGGCAATAAAATTGATGGAACGACCCCAAAATGAGGTTGGGGAATTACGGACCGAGTCCACCGCATGTTCCTGTGTGTGACGATAAACCCACAGTACGTTCGGATAGCAGTGTGAAGCACGCCAAACTTCTGGTATGGCCTCGTTCCTGGAACGCCCGTGAGCCAGACCTTCCGTACGTTAACTGAATAGGGACTGCTATGTGGGGTGGAAATAACGGCAGGAATCCATGATAGTATAACAGCTAAACTGTACATGATTAATTCAACCGCATGTTGGCAAAGATAAAACCCAAATTTTAATGAAAGCGTACATTAACGCACACGCTTATGCTGCGTGGTATGATGGGTCCAACAGCGATCGGCAACGGAATAAGCACCGACTCGGTACTGACTGCACGCATAGGGTGGATTCGAATGACTGCGTAGCTAGTAAATATTGAATTAGTATATGTTGAAGCTGCGGCTGTACACGATGACGGAGGTTCGAACGTTCAGGTTTTCACGGGGTTGAAAGAAGCGAGATTGCAAATGAGGTCCAAATTCCCAGAGTGAACGAATGACTGTGCTTAGCCGACCTTTTCCTCGAGGACCTTTTGTGTAAAGAACATCCGGGATGATGCAGATGATCGAGAGGCTCGACTCGGAGGTAATATAGCAGAGTCTTACATAAGAGATAAAAGGTTATTGGTTCCGGCTCCTAATTAATTCCCGATGCCTTCACGCCCGGTGGATTTAACCAAACTGCCAAGTAATTAAGTCACTACCGCCGGGTGCAACTCCAGGCCATTACAACGTGTGCGTAAAGCACCAAAGTTATCATTACAATGAGGAATGCAATACTCTCTCTATGACTCTCCCAAGCGACAGTATACGTGGTTCAAGAACTTTGCCATTACGCGCAACTTTTGATAAAATCCTGACCTGTCGAATAAACTGTAAAATAGAACATGTCCATTCGCAGTCAAAGAGCTACCCTGAAAACGATCCATACCAAAATATTAGAACCATCAGCAACCCCAGAACTGCAAACATCGCAAGCCACATCCCCGTCCTTGACACTGGTCCCATAGATACCACTTCATTCAATACTTCATCGAGGGACTTCATCGCCTCCATTTCAAACATCTATTCACGGTCCCGAGTTCTCTGCAAGAGCACCTTCCTATCTGTCTTTGAGAGATTACAGATGTCCTCCAATGCTTGAGCCCACACCGATGGCTGGGGACAGTAGAACCATCCGGTCCTCTGATGTGCTGGTTGGTCGACGTGGGGCCACCACTGTCGCAAGCAAGTATTGGCAGGCCACATATCATGCCTTCCACTGGTCCAATTCCGAAGTGTTCGTTAGCTGGGATGAGAGTGTAGATCGAGCCTGCAGTAAAGCTGAACGCTTGGTGGTGGTAAAGTTTAAGAAGAACAATATATCCGGCTCATTCGGAATTATCTTCGGGACCGACGGTACTGCTCCGCGGGACTGCAATGGGGTGATGATATTGTAAGTTAGACCTGTGCCAGTTCAATGAGAGATTTCAGCATGCGCATGTTATCCTCTAGACGAAGATCATAGCCACCTGGAAGATGGTCAGTGACGAACTCGTATAAATTAATAATGACTTTTACCAGACCAACCAGTAAGAAGCAGCCTCACATCTGATGTTTTCGGATCCTTGTTCCGCAGTATCGCAATGCTTCTATTGCTAAAGCAACATTCTTCTTCATCTCAAACCGGTTGAAGGGCAATAATGTTCGCTGTTGTCTTCAATGTTTGAATGATCCATGCATGAAAAAAGAAAGAAAGATACACTCACGAGGCAACCTGAAGGCCATCAGAATCTGATGTGTCGATTGGTGAAATATATGTTGCGATATTAATTCCAGGATAGATGGCTTTCAACTGGTGTCTAAGGGAAGAGAGATGGGACTTGGTTACTCGCGCAGTAAATTTTGAGTTGGCGAGAATCAGGTCAGCCTCACGGTGCTGGGTCTCCGGTAAATGTGAATTCTGTGCAAGCGGTGGTACACATACACATAGTCACTGTCTCTAGCCAGTCTATTTCAGGATACTGACATTCCGCCCCCGCCGGTCCTCTACATAGGCACCGTTTCCAACAAGCTTATCCAGAAAATGGCAGTAGAAAATGACGCGCTTGCCACGCAACATTCGGAGGAACGGTATGCAAGTAGAGAGCTCAGACTCAGAGCAACAAAGAAGACGTCGTATTGACCTCGTAGGAATAGAGCTTGGCGGAAGTCGTTAGGCGTCTCCCGATTCTCGCCATCGTATCAGCCTTTGATGTCGCACCAATTCAGTATTGCTTTTTGGCCATGCCTGACATTGTAATGGACGCTCTTACCTATGTTGCACCTTAGTCTCAAAATCATCCACTGGGCATCGACTTACTGCCGCCACTCCATAGGATGCATGATTTACTCACTGCAACGCGGCAGCTGCGTATTTTACGCTATTCTTCATCTCTGACTTGCTATACAACAGCAAAGGCTACTTGCACCTTCTCCTCATGTACGACGATGGCAGTTCCATTGAATGATATCTTCTATTGCATGGCTCCAACTCAGTTACCTGCTCTTCGCGAATTGTCGTGCCACTTTCCTTTCCTGATGTCGGAAGCACTTTTCATGGAGCAAGTTATCTTCAGTACATCTGTATTGGCCTGGATATAGCGAGCAAATGAATGTACTCGCGGCGCACTGTTGGCGTCTTCACCGTCTCACTATTATCGTTGATTATTGGGAATCATTTGATGCTGAGTATTTGGTTTTGTGTCGTTGTCGAAACTGGTCGTCCACAAAAGATTAATAACCTCGTCATTTCTGCTGTTGCGTATTCCGAGGACGAAACGCCGGCACTGCGCACCATGAGTTCAGACCTTTGATGTTGTGGCTCGCTGTTGAGCGATGGAATTGGTTAAATATCGCCGCGACTTCTCTATATGCTAAATATTTGTCTGAATTCATAAGATCTATTGTAGGAGTACATGATACAGATGAAGGTATTGAGAAATATCGCATAGGAACTCTGGTCATCATTTTTACACAGGATTTATGTTTCGCAACCGCAGCAAGACGTCGCTGATCTTTGGACGTGAACTTGGCTTTTGATCCCAACACTGCTCAATCAAGCTCCAATAGGTATCATTAATAGCGTCAGGTCTAGAAGGTCTTTCGCCTTTCCTCACACGAAGCATGATGTTGGTTTCGGCGTTGCGCCCCGTCATGTTCCACAAGTGGGATCCGGTAAAAATCTGAGGAAAGTGAGAACCAAAGCAAGACTAACGGCGGGTCTCGTACCAGATACATTAGGCATGCGAAAGAGTACACGTCGCTTGGTACGCTTGGATCCTGTCCCCTACTATCATGGGAGTCAGAGAATAGCTCTGGGGCTGCCCAGGCTACTGCTCCTGTCGTTGCATCGGTGTATGTGACCGACAAATTGGTAAAGCCGCCCAATATAATGGAGAGGCCAAAATCAGTCAGTACGGCCCTTTCGTCGTCGTCGATCAAAACATTGCACTTCAGAAACGAGTTATTTTTAAATTTTCCTGGATGGATAAATGAGGCTTACTGGAGTGAGGTCTCCGTGAACTACAGGATGCTTATGAACTGTCGGTGTTTTAGACATTTCTGAAGTTCAGCGGGAACTCAGACATACGATATTTCAGCCCTTCGGCGATGTCTTCCACCTGTCAAATGTAGTTAGGGATGATTTAAGAGAAGAGGAAAGCCCACCCAAAGAATACGCTTCGATAGAGGTACGTCATTCCCTTGATCCAAGTACTTCTGGAGTGATCCATTCTTCATCCACGGGGAGACCATGCCTTCGATAAGACCGAAGCCCATCGTAGTGCCCAACAACGAAACTATATTCATATGAGATAGCCTTCTCCAAGCTGCAAGTTCACGCTTCAAATTCTGTGAACCGACAGTTCAGCACATGAATATCTGCAAGTGAAATTTCGTGACCACCTTCTTTATTTGATCCATTCGCGAAGCCTCGAAATGCATAACTTTAACGGCAACCTGTTCTTCATCAGGCTGGTGATATATACCAATGTGAACAAGCAACCTTGACTTGGCCCCCGGTCTTTCTCTTCCAGATGGCTTCATAGATCAACCCATAGCCTCCTCTATTAGCAGGATCATTACCCCGCTTTTCGATCTGCCCAGTAAGATCGGGAGTGCCAATGGATACGAGGTAATCCTTGATCTTGTTCAAGACATCCAATATGAATGGTCGCTTTTGTGGACGAAGTGACAAACATGGTTCTATGAGCGCCCATTGCTTATCGTCGACTATCGAACCCTCGGGTCGCGATGGTGTCACGCGCTTCCGGAGCCGATTAGATATTTCTACGGATGTTACATCATGCCAAGGTATGCGTATTGTGAAAACCTGGAGGAAGAAGTTCTTAGCTCAATGCTGGAAGACGGTATTCAGTCTTACATAAAACATGATACAGCCGAGGGAGTATGTGTCGCTTTTAAAAAGAGTCTTGGGGAGATGTTGAAATACCTGATCGTCTTTCGAATCGAACCATTCTGGACCAGTGAAGTGAATTTCGGGCTTAGGCGGCATCTGGGACGGAGGGCATGTGGCATTTCTTGAGGAAAGTCTCACTGACTGGCGGAAGCCAGAAATACAAGCACTATGTCGCTCAGTAATGAGTACGTTGTCCTGCAAGGAAGTTTGAGTATATGTTCCCAAACCACGCCGATGAAAAACCTACGCTCTCTAGGTTTCCGTGAACCACCAAGTTTGAATGAACTTTGCACCTGGCCGCTCGCTTCAGTTGTTTCATAACTTAAAAGACAACGTACGGTATTCAAGGCCAGAGGAAATGTCGTGCAACTGAAAAGGAGGGTTTTAGATTACGACTCCACCATCTGAAAACAACCTACAAGAGTTGCCTTGGCAGCTGTTTCAAGGACTGCTTCATTCGTACTCATGAAGGAAGTGAGAGTGCCATCTGGCATCCACGGCATGACCAGAGAATGAAACGGTTTGTCCTTCTTAAAGCCCAGGAATGGAACTATATTGACGTGATGAAGAAGGTTTGATGACAGCAACTGTAATTCCGGATGAATTTTCTTGATGATGAGAACAATCGCATTGAGTCTCTAAGCCATATGCCAGTAGTGAGTACACTGACTTCCGAGTGATTCTCGCGTGGATCGCCGGACATGGACCTGTACGACTTGACTGCGACCTGAAGCACACAAATAAACAAATTGTTGCACGAGACGAACCTAACCTACTAGTTTCCCGCTATCTCTGAGATTGCATTGGTTCACCTCTGTATATGTTCCAGACACACACGGTCCTTTGAGAGGTAATATTCGACTTGTAAGATTATAATCCTCGGAACTAAAAGCATTTGCAATCAGCGACTTCTTTGCAGGATAAAAGATGGACGCCAGGGGCGCCCAACATTTGGGCGAACATAGTGGTATTCCTATAAATTAGATGATAAGCTAGTGATTTGTCCAATGGTACTCTGATCAGAGTTACCTACATTTTCTGGCGTGCGGATGAGTGAGTGTTAAATCCTGGAATATAGACCTATCTGATACAACGCAAAAAATGTGAAGGAATGTGGAAGATAACGAGGAACCTATACCACATCCATAGGCGCACGTACTTCTGAGTCACACGCAGGATGCCGGCCTTTGACAAGGCAGTGTGCCAAATAAAAATAATGCTATGCTTGCTGTGGTACAAGGTTCATTGGGCCTACTGGCACCATCAATTCATACATTGAATACGTATCCTACACAGTATAAGCTCTGCTGCACTTGGTCCAAACGCTACAATTAAGACTCACCTGACAACAGCACCGTCGCCTTACTCTCTCATCTCGTTGTGAGTCCCACCTAAGCCATTCACGATAATCAGCTAACACAAATCACTCACTAGCACACGCCGTGCACCCCGACCGAGTCTAGAACTCCCTGACGTTCAAACTGAATGTCTTCTCGGACCAACAAGCTTGTGCCAGAAAAACTTGTCATCAAGGTCAATCACGACAAGCAAGTGCTGGCCATTGCATTTCTCTTCAAAGACCAACACTTCATCGTCTGTCTTCACGGCGGTTGTCTCCAAGTCAGAGAAGCAAAAACTGGCAAACTTCTGGGTGATCCTTGGCAGGATATAGAGGGAAGCCAAATTTGTGCAATCGACGTATCACCAGATGGTGGGCGCGTCGCGACTGGCAGCAAAGATGGCAAAATACGAGTGTGGAAGTGGAATGGAAAAACCGCGAAGATAATTGCCGAATCAAAGAAGCACAGTCATGGTACCGCAGCAAATTGCGTATGCTGGAGTCGACATGATGGTGGTGCTTACATCGCTAGTGGCTTTGACGATGGCAGCGTAGCAGTCTGGCCAGTATCATCGGGGCTAAAGAATCCCACGAGTACTGATGACACCCGCCTCCGACACATACACGCAATCAGCTACTCACATGACGGCACACAACTCCTCGTGAGCGGTTACGACCGCGAAATCTCGAGATTGACGATCAACGAAAGAGCGCAGGAGATTCAGCTTGATGAAGTCATCAAAATTTGCAACAATCCCAACCATGTATCAAGTGCAACATGGGCTATGACTACAGATGGGCATGCGATCGTCACCGGCCTAACAGACGGGAAGATTACGATACTTGAACTTCCGGAAGGTCAACCGTTAGAGCTTGAGGGACCAGGTCACTCCGACCTTGTCTGCGCCGTCGTTCTGTCACTTCCAAACAAACGTGTACTTGCAAGCGCCTCTTATGACCATACTCTCCTCTTTTGGGATCTCGGTACCAAGCGAACAATTTGTCAACCACTCCTGCACTCCGCAGATGTGACATGTGCAGCATTCGCAACCAATGGGACCTTAGTAGCTACTGGTACTTGCGATGGAGAAGTTTACCTTTGGGATGTGGCAGACTTTCTCTCTAATGCAATGCCAACGGAGGATGTGAATGTGGGTACTCACATAAGATCACATCCACCTATCATGTACTGACACCGCGTCACTTTCAGGGTCGTGACGGAGGCACGACTGCTAGACCTTCTCTTAACTTTGACGTATGTAATGCTCGTGTGGATGGTTCATGAGTGCTGGCTCATAAGCATACAGCCTAACTCGCCAATCCCTACCCGCCAACGTGAAGCCCGACAACCACTAGTAGTAAGGCGGCCACCAGTACACCCATCCCTCGACACTCCGAATCGTGGAATATCAAGATACGGTCAGGATTTCTTTGTAAGTGGCGCAGTCGCTAGATGTCTCTGGTCATGAATAACCTCTGAACTGCAGGGCGACGCGCGTCCTGGAGTCGTAGATGGTCCCACTTCAAGTGTTAGCAGGCGATTTTCTATATCCCGGCCTATCAAAGTTGCTGCATCACGTATGCAACAGGTTTGTCACGCTATCTCTTGCCCGCTAATTCACCATTTAAGTGAGTCGATTTGCAGGCATTGAGGGTACCCCGAATACAACTTAAAAGGCCCTCGATGAACGTGAACCTGGGTGACATTCAAGAAGAAAGACAAAACCACCACGGGCAATATCAAGTAACCAGTGACATTCCGCTTACTACATTCGAACAGCAATCAGGGGTGACAAATGAACCGGCCACACGGGGCGCTGTTCTTATACGACGTACTCGCTGGGTCAATGCCTTGTTGCGCATGGGGTGCATACCTCAGTACCCCGAGCAGGTGGATTGACTTGAAACTCACTTTTCAGTGCGTACCGAGTTTGGTTTCCGTGTTGAATGTTTTCAGTTTGGAGCCCAACTAAAGACAATCGCACCACATTATGGCAGGAGGGTGTTCCAGTGTGGAAACCCAGCCTATTCAGGAAAGACTGCGCCGCTGCGGCTTATGATCACTCATTAGTGACATTTTCCTTTGCAGGGCTGTGGAGAGTCGACACATTGGCAGTGGACACCGCCGGGTTATATATAAATCTACCTCAAAGATATTCGTAATGTACAGCCTAGGTACAGGAGAAAGGACGTATGTAATTATGTCCCAAGGACTCAGAGATGTAGACCTATTTTGCGATTAAACGTTTGAATCAAGTTCGCTTCGCAGGAGTTCACAAGCTTCTTCAGCGGATGGGCGAGAAGAGGCTATGCGTCCCCAGCACCGTTGGATAAAATTCCAATGCTCTTGAGATACATCATTGGCTCGGCCTGTGCAGGGTGCTTCGCCTCGAAAAATGGCGAGATATGGTATTTGTTCAGACGGAAAGGGAAGTTCACCAGAGATGACCTGAAAAGGTGTGATCGATATCAAACGACTGAAGACATCACAATTGACATAGAACATACGTAATTCATGATGGAACCAAAGGAATACATATCGCTGTGTCTAGAGGGAGAAAAGAGGTGAGGTCCATACATAGGCGACACGAGATTGTTCTTACATAGACGGTTTTGCGTCGTCCATTACTAGTTCTGGTGCCATCCACCGTGCAGCCGCAGTGACGGTGTAACTCCCAGTGGGTTCCGATATTCGGAAAGACAAGCCAAAATCAGCGATCACTGCGCGTCCATTTATATCCACGAAGATGTTACTCTGTCCATTCATTAGTCTCGAATGCCAATATGGAGTGTTACACACACATCTGTCAAATCTCCATGTACAATGTCTTGCGAATGAACTACAATGTTTGACAATCAAAATAGGGCGAACGATAAATCCATAGCACGCACGATAACGAAGGCCAGTGGCAATGTCGCAGAGCTGTAACTTGATTGAAACATCGATTTTTCAATAGCTATCCGCCTATAACTTACCAATTTTAACTTCTGTCGTGGTTCCATTTCCGGATACCTCTTGATGTAATCTGAGAGTGTGCCATTCTCCATCCAGGAGCAAACCAATGCATTGTAGCCAGGAACGCCGCCAAAATTTCGCGCAACTCCGAGTAGAGGTAGGATGTTTTCTTGCATAAGTCTTTCCCATAGCTTGCGTTCACGCAAATACTCCTGATGCAAGACATCATGAATCAACTCAGAGCACAAGGGTGGAACGCCAAATTTCGCATACTTTTTGATCTGGATCATCGGGTTGGAGTCGAATCGACTTGGCAGCTACCTGGGTATGGATCATTCATGTATACTCTTATTTTATGGAGGATCAGCCGACCTGTATAGTGTTCCAATCCCTCTTCAGCGTACACTTCGTTATGTGTGCAAAACCTCCTGAGGTGGTGGGAATGAGGGGGGTGTTGCGGAGCATCCCTGTCAGGTCATCTGGAGAGATATCGACCTCACTAGGCGTGTACTGATGTTTGAGAAATTCGAGAATTTGTGTTGCGGATGGCCGATCGCGCGGTATGAAGGAACAGCAGCGTGTGATAAAGTTCCACAGGGAATTGTCAATACCGCCACCTACCGGACGTGGTGGCATACGACGCTGTCGAAGTCTGTTGATAATGTCACTCGATCTTGAATCATGCCACGGCAAACATCCCGAGAAAACCTGAATGCAAGCTTCAGAATAGTCAGGATATGCAAGCACACACTCACGTGGAGTAAGATACAGCCGATTGAGTATATCTCTGTTGATGATAGACAATGAACTGTTGCCTTTCTTATTGATAAAGCATTCAGGAGCAGCAAATCGCACTCCACCAGGCTCGGGTGTTTTGAAGGGTTTATCAAGGTCGGTTGCCAAAGAGAAACCGGTCAGATATGCTCGATTTTCTGGGCCTATGAGAATATTTTTCTGGAAAAACGTTGAGAAAATTTGTATGGTCAAGGAATATCATGAACGAACACTCTCTAAGTTACCGTGAACCACATGGGACTCGTGAACTGCAAGCAGTCAAGCAATTAGCATGAGCGCCTACGCTGATGGAATATTACTGACGATAAGCGACTCCGGAGGCGATATCGCGAGCCTAGGGAAGTATGTTATTGCTTGACAAGTTTTGAATCATCTGTGAATTTACCAGGGACAACTTGAGTGATACCTCGATTCCTGCTCCGTGGTACGCGATGTGGCAATGGAGGTCTCCACTTGGCATCCAGGGGAACACAAGCGAAGGGAAGCTACCACCTTGGAAATCTCCAGTGGTACCTAACAATCGAATGATATTTGGGTGATTAAGTCTCTTGCGCAAGTGTATCTCTTTCAAGATTCGCTGAGGCGTCATTAAAAATAGGTATCGATACCGAGGAATTAGAAAATACTGACATCGTAATATTCTTTGTGCCTGCCAAATCGGATGAACTTTACTGCGACCTGCGAAGTAAGGGTAAATTGAGGCTGAGCTCATCCCACGGTGAAGTCGACTACGAACGAGAGTGCTTTCGCTGCCAGTCGTCAGCCTTTTGCACTTGTATACGTCGCTGTAACTCCCGGGTGCGCTCAATATTGGATTGATAAGATCAGTAGCACTGAGTTAGGCGTAAGTCAGGCAATCGACACCAGAGCTTTCTAGGGTACTGACAGTATTTTTGGCACTGGATCCCTCCAAAGAAACGTGAGGATGTTCTTTAACATATACCATATCCACCTCAACCACATTCCATGCAAAGTTGTAATAACCGTGGTTGTATGTATGTGCAGAAGGGGGATGGACAGCTATCAAAGGTCAGCTAGCGATCAGCATAACTTATACGCTCGGGAGTAATGATGTCGATTTTTCGGCGGTGCCCGTGCAGATTTGTATACAGCATTGCTATGCCCACGTACCCCAGCTCAGCTCCGAGCCCTGCTGCTCAAGCGCTCAGCGCTCAATTCTAACTTGAAGATGTCAATTGTCAGTGTCAACTGAGCTGCGCAGCGGTATTACGATATACATATTAATATTTATTATTACATAACACTTTTGTACGTAAATTAGTAAATGAATTATTACGTTGTGCCGCTTGAATCGGTTTTATTCGAGTTTCCTTATTAGTATGTTACTATGTATACCTCTGTGGTTAAGGTGGCTTCTAATCATCTTTGAAATCCGATTTCTCTTATACCCAGGAAGCGGCAGTATGGACAAGAAACAAAAAATAGCTGATTTGAATTTTCTGGTAGGCGCTGCATGTCATTTTCCTCGAAGTGCCTGGACTTGGCATGGACCCTGCTGGAAACCTAGGAATCAGGATAAATAAGTCCTCCTCTGAACGGGCTACGGGATTTCATAGTAGCCGTGATGAGGCGGGGCAGCGGCGGGCACAATTTGGACACGTCAAATCAGCCCCTGTTGTGCCATACAGCTAGTAGGCGGCTGCTGTGTGATTCGGGCCAAGTCTATAAGTATTGCACGCAAGGTCCCATTGTATCCGTCTCTTAACTTTTCCACCTGCAGATCTGCAGTAGCCTATCCAAAGAATCTGCAATATTTAGCATCTCGTCCTATTTAAAGTCGACTGTGCTGCTCTAGCTCGAATCACGTTCTCTAATTTAGTGAGTACTAGTCCTTCATTTCTGATCATGAAATCGTAACGAGGTGGTACATAGTTTCCGGTCGAAACTGCCAGCTACTGAATCTGTCAAATCCCTTGGCATTCGACTCACCTCGCCCCACCTGTCGTAGCGAATATTTATTTTTGTAACATCATCATACCATGCTCTGTTCGGTCAAACCTCATATCCAGCTCAACAACAAGAGAATCCACTCCGAGTTCGCAGCAATCACATGCATCGATTTTCTGGATGAAGATCGACGCATCATCACCTGTTCCGAAGATGGTTCCATCCAAGTTCGGAAGGCGGATACAGGTGAAAAAGTGGGTGACCCCTGGACAGATGAAGGAAGTGGGGGCATCCACGCCATGGCAGTATCGCCAGATCAAACGGAAGTCGTAACCGGCAGCCAAGATGGCAGGATACGCCTGTGGAATGTGGCCACCAGGGAAAGGACCAGAAGATCGAGGCAAGCTCACAGCCTCACAATACTGTCTGTCTGCTGGAGTCCGGATGAATTTCACATCGCCAGCGGGTCTGAAGACGGAACGGTGTTCATATGGGATACCAACCAAGACGATATCGTTGGACATCTTATCAGAACTAACCACCCACATGTATACGCTGTATGCTATTCACCTGGCGGTGAAACGCTCGTGACGAGCGGATACAACAACATGATCACTTTCTGGGACGTCAATACAAGGGAGGCGCTCCGCTTTGTAGAAGCATGCCATTTATCGCAGCAGGTCCATTGCATCGCATGGACTTCATATGATAGAATTTTCCTGGGATGTAGTAATGGAATCGTACAGGCAACAGCTAATGCCGAAGGAGAAGTCGCCTGTCTAGGCAAACGTACTGGTCCTATCTGCGCCATCGTCTTGTCTCAAGACGAGCTTTTATTGGCAGCCGCTTCTCTCGATAATACCATCTCCTTATGGAATCCAAAAACCAACAAGTCAGTTGGTCGGCCATTGTGTCGTCCCAAGGGCCTGAGGTGTGCGGCTTTCGCAAGAAACCCTGACAGCGGACTGTTCGCCGCCAGTGGTACCGATGATGTGTATATCTGGGATCTTCAGGAGCTGTTTAGGGATTTCAATGTAAGCTTCCAAGTTACAATATCTGCAAGATGATCATTGACACACTCACGTTTTATCACTTGTTGCATGTAGAGTACATTGCCTCTCAATCCAAGACCATGGTATGAGCGTTGCATAGTGCAGTGGAGTTCCTTATTCAGAACTGTTGTCCAAGTCACTGAGAAGGTCCGTCTCATACTTCACCTAATAATTTAGCCGAGTTATGACCCAGCTTAACCCTAGGCATTTGGTCGTTTGAGACGCACGCGTGCCGCTGGCCCGGGAGTGGGGCACGGTGCGCAAGAAAACTATTTGCATGGCCGTCAATCACTTGACAAACAGGAAAGTGCAGTGCACCTGTTAGGGTAAAGGACAATGTTTGGTCTCGTCGGCTGTGTGTTGGTTATTTCAAGTTGTCCTCCGTCTAGATGGAGGATTAGATCTTTTCGTTTTGGTTTATCCTGTATCTCCACGTACCAGTAGGTACTATTTTGTTCTTGTTTCTACTTGTATCTTCCGACGGGACTCAGGGCAGTACAATCACGTCTAATCAGGAGCTTGGTTTTGTGTACGAGACATAGACATATTCTTGGATCCTTATTTCGGGTCAATACAGCATTTACCACTGTCCGGCTCCGCGGTAGGACAGACTGGGTGCGAAATGATAACTTTGGGGCCCGCGTTTGAAATTTGAGGGGACGTGGGTGATTAATGGATGTCTCAGCGGAGATGGCGGTTGCATGCTGTATGATCTACGTCATGTGCAACTGATAAGCCCTTACTATAATCGTAGCGGCGGTGACCCCGACTCCGCCTCTCCGTGTAAGGCCACAGGGCGGAAGCTAAGATACGTTAGCATATTCCCACGACATATCCTTTGACAGAAACGAGGGCATGGTTGCGTAACACCCAACTAGGGTGTCGGGGATCTACGGCTTCTGTCAAAGTGTCAGGCTGTTCAGAACGTTCTATGTAGCCCAAGCTCAAATTAGTCATACGTCATATACGAATTGTAATTGTAAGTTTCCCGCTTCCATGACCGAGATTAAGTCAGGCCCTTGAAGCTGCCAAACTCCCAGTTAAAGCAATCCTAGTACCACGATTAACACTAGCAGTAAAAAAGAATTAAAATAGGCTTACAACACAGTCTTCATCATCCGCCTTCGCCTCAGGCACCGTCCTGCCATCCTGTCCTTCCTGAGTCCAATCCTCACTCAACAACCTATCGATGATTTGAACGATCGAGTGCGTCCGTACGTCAACAGACCATCCGAGGTGCGTGACGGTATCGTAGCGGATGACCTTTCCCAAATGGCAGCGTGTCTCCATAGCATAGCCTGCAAGGCCACAAGACGAAGTCATACCGGTACAGGTGCCCATTGGGATAGGGTCAGCTGTGTGGAAGACGTGGGTAATGTGTTGTGTCGAGGGCTGTATTGTCATCCGAGAGATCGGTATCTGAGAATGGTTATGACGAAGACTTGCACTCACTGGAGAAGGTAGGTGCAAACGCGTCGCAGCTAATTTCTCAGAGGGCGCTTCAAATGCGACAACAGGCGCTCCAAATGTTACACCGATAAGCGAGGCGAGGGAACCACCGAGAGAATGCCCTTTCAGATAATGAGAAGTACTCAGAAGATATAACGTTTAAACGCACCTATGAGCCAGATATTGGCATGAGGATACAAATATGTGACGTTATTATATAAATTCTGCAGCGGAATCAGACCGGAAAACTAAGCTTCGAACTGACACATACCACTCCAACAGAATAATATAAGCTCTCCCCCATCAAACTCCTCTCCAGACATTCCTGGTCACATTTAGAGCCACCCTGGTGGCAATCGCAAACCGTTGACCAACTCGGACCAACTCTTGCACAACAGCAAGAAAACAAAAGGTTATCGTTTAGCTTATCCCTTCGTACAGTTGGGCCACCACCACCTGTAATCCAGCCAGCGGAAGTACCCTTGATCGAAAGCACCACTGTTGAGTTGTCGTCCGAGACAAAGATATGCCCTCGAATGCCATCTGCATCAGGTTCCCAACCAAACGGTATGGACTGTTATTTTCAACATATTATAAAATGTATCATCAAGGTAAATAAACGCACCTTATTCCAGCCCTCCGGTGTGTACCAATCTGACGCCGTGGATGACGTATATGCATTAGAGGTCATTTTCGCAAGTGTAAGCAGCGTCTCTCTCTCCTCAACGTCTGGTCCGAGGATGTCGGCTGTATCCCACAATACCTGTTCGCTTTGGTCATATCTGATAGAGCGTAGTCGAGCGCTATGAAATGCCTTCGCCGATTGCGGTTTGTGCGTTTGGATATTCGATGTACTCATAACAAACGAATCTGCGGCGAATGATGGATCCACGTTGGAGAAGATCACCCTAGAGTCATTAGTTAGAGCATGCTCGTGCCGCAGCTGGAAGGACAGCGGGGTCCGGGCTGGCAGGACAGCAGGTGGCTGAGAGAAGTCGAGCCAAAGTATTGAGCCAAGCAAGAAGCGAAGAGTAGCGGGCAGTAGATTAAGCATTGCGAGTTGCAGTTCTAAGGGTATTTATGCATAAGACGTGAAGTAGACCGTCGTTCTAGCACGACTGTGTTCACGCCTCAAGGAGATGACTCTGCATGTGCTAAACTAGGAAGGTGCGATGATTATGTCAGCCTTGTTTAATTTTTTTTCAACTCGAGAGTCGACTCAGTCGTTGTCGAGACCGCACTGTTGGAGTTTGGACCGCCCAAGTTAGACCGCCTGGTTTTGCTCATCGATCACGCTCCTCAAACGACGGACACGAAGGTTTGACTATTGCCTTATCATATACACAGATTGTGGAGCTCGTACAAGCGCCCATTGATAGACCCCGGGTCTAGCCCTTCGCCTTCACCCATGGATCCCACTTCTGATCCCTGGGTCCTGTTAAGGTAGAGGTAACTATTTTAACACGAAGCGGCGTCTCCTTAATGCTAGTACATTTTCAACTCGTAACCATCTCATGGAACTCTGCCTGCGACACAATGACCCTACACAAACCCTACTCATGACCCCGGACGGCATAGTCATGTACCAGGTCAATACGGCACCAGGACAAACCACGATAAGCCGCTTCGAAAACCACGCTCAACGCTTGAGCACCGGGCGGGTATCTTGCGTCGTTGCCGAAGTCGATAGTAGCCGGTTGAGGTTACTCGATAATGATATCCCGATAGACATTGTGATGGTTTCGGGCGCGGAAAATACTGAAAACGTCGACAGGTAAGGCACTAGATTTAATGTATCGACGTTAGTTTAAGATCATAAAGACCTTGGACCTTCAACGGACCAGACGATAAGCCGTACACATGGCAAATTCTGTTTCGTTCTCCGGTGGTAAGTCGTTGACGAATCAATCTCCGCGTTATCTCTAACCGTAATCCAGCTCTTTGTATCCGACAATGCACCCATCCCTCTAGCACGATATAGACAAGCGAAAATTGGTATCATATCACGATCAAGACGAGCTTTCCTCGAAATATTCCCCGCTGGAATAAATGTCATCGATTTCATAGTCGTTACATTTGTCTCTTACGCGAAGCACCATTGGCTGAACGAGCCACACCACGAGTCCAATCCATCGGCAATTTAGTCCTACAAGCGAAGCTGTTGAAGGTAGGCACGCTCAAAAGCATTGTTGAATTATTGATATTGACCATTTTGACTCCTTTTCGTCACTGTTGGCTTCAATTTTCAGCTGGATAAATTGCGCGAAAGATTGAATTATGCTTCCCTGACTGGGTTTTTGTAAATTATACGTGGGGTACTCGGAATAGCATTCTGGCCAACTTCGAACACTTGCTTCTGATATCTGAGAGCTAAGCGTGAAGAGGGTTGATCATCTATTTGTGATCTTGTACGTATGCAACGTCGTTCATGTGCTCTGAGCATGAGAGCGTAAATGTTCGCATGACTGACCTGCGAATCTCAAACACGTTCCCAGAACCAAGCAAGAATCAAGAAGCACGGTAATTTTGTGGATACCGTGTCAATTATATACCAGTTCTGTCTCGATATTGATATCATATATCATAATAAATCATATACCGATTGCATGGAATTCAATGGAACTTGGAACATGCAAGTTTGGTATTTGTCCCTGCACTTGAATCTTGCTTTACACCGTATCACTCAGTTCATCACTTGAACATCGAGTTTGATTCTGAGTGACAATATACTACACATTTCACATTGGACTGGCCAACTTTGTCTGAGACGGTAACATCTACTAGGTTGTCGTCGGTCTCTATTCCGCAGTACTTGCTTGTCTAAGCGTACTATGCCCCCAGATACTTCGAGGCTTGCGGTTTTCGCCGCCACAACAACGACATCATGCTATCAACCAATCAAGTGCATCCCACGTCCATCGATTTAGCGTTAACGTTAACCGACACATCACCTTTCTTTACCGATCCTGCACGCCTCCCAAGTGTACATCCCGAGCTGCAAGGCCTCACCTACGTTCAAGCTGTGGGCACTGGATTGATGTCAAACGAACACGTATACAGGCTGGAAGACAGAGAACGGGCTACAGTTGTACGGGACTTTTTGAAGAGAGAGCAAGGGGTGTTTAATGTGGTTTTGCTTGAGAAGAAGCAACGGGCCAAGAGGGATGAGTTTTGATTTGTGAGCATCGCTTCATTAAACGTTTCTCAGAACGAGTTAAACTGTTTTAATTCAGATACTAGAGCGGCTGATATCACTGGAAAAGTATACGTTGCCATTGCGATACCGGGATCTATGTAAGTAAAAGATACGCGGCTAGATATTTTCAAGAAGACTAGTGTTTGTAGGGTAACGATATATATAAAAAGCGCGCGACTAGTGCTACCTAAATAAAAATACAGATATACGAAAAGAGCCGTGTAGTGTGAAGTTTGAACCGATTATCCTAGAGTAACCAATCACTACGGTGGCAATGCACTTTGAACATAACTGAGAATGTGGTCCACAGTCGGTCTGTCAGATGACCTTGACCAGCATTCTTGAAGAAGGGGTACGTGGCGCCTGTCAACTGAACTGTCTGCTGCCATGGGTTGCATACCCTTGTGTCTGGCAGCCATGATATGGAAAGGGTCTGCCAGCCAATGATAAGGGAGCTTTCCGGATAGCACCTGAATTGTAACTCAAAATGCAGGTACTGCAAGGCAAAATAAGAGGTAGCGTACCTGAAATATTACGCAACCGAGCGAGTAAACGTCGGAGCGGGCAGTCGGCTTTCCAGCTTCTTCATCTGCAAGATCTATCAATTCAGGCGCAGCCCAGCGTATAGAACCCGGGTAGTAAGTTTCGCACGACGAGCTATCGCATTCTGCAAGGATCGCCGACAGTCCGAAGTCTGCTACGTGAGCGTTTCCTTTGGAATCGATCAATATGTTGTGCTGTAATTGTTTAGCTTGTCAAACACACGTCCAGAGTTACAACCTTACCCCAGTGAGGTTCCCATGAATGACGTGTCTGTCGTGAACTGTGGGAATTGTCAAAAGCTGTATGTGAAAAAATATGAACCAGCACAAACGATACTGGATAGCTGTCGTAATCTGTTCAAGCTACAGAGAGTAATTGTCAACGCGATCAGCTTAAATGACTTGGCAATAGGACCCACGAGTATGAACTTGTCACCATCCAACAGATTAAAAAATTCAATAGACAGATAGTTCGTCAATGATCCACGCTCCATCCAAGGAGTCACGAATGCGGGGAGCGATCCAAATCCTGAGGTCGTCCCAAAAAGGCGAAGTACACTCTTATGATGCAACGTTGTCCACACGCGCACTTGGCCATAGATCCTCTAAAACATTATTAGCATGAATAGAGTGAGCTGTGGCCGTGTACCTTGCGCAATGCCCTTATCGCTTCTTCGCTTGAATCAAGGATCCTCAAGGATTTGATGGCAACCTGTTGTGAACTTCATTGGCGGTGACGAATGAAAGAAGGAGGAGGTACCTCTATTTTTCCATGAGACTTTGAAACCATGGTACATCGGTAGACATCGCTCAAATCGCCGATGAGATGAGGAAAACTATCATATCTGAAAATACATGCCCGAGGAACCTCTGTCGATTTGTCCTGGATCATATCGGACCTATACAGTGCCTTCTTTAGACCAACAGGCCAACATGACAAGACGTTATTTTACAGAGAATGCCATAGTACTTGCACTCTAGTGACCCCGCCAATCTGATGAAATGAAAAGTTTATTTCGTGATTAGAAACACAGAGAATCGTCGATTTGCCAGCTTAGATAGATGTACGCTCACCTTCAGACAAAAGATATTTAACATCGTTGTGCACCTCTGTCGTGAGTCACAACTTCGTCAGAATGCTGGGATGCGATACGGACGAGATAAGGAGGCGCCGAAACTAGATTCTTGGGCCTTAAGTTCGAAAGCGACTAAAAAAGGCTGGGGCCGCTGGGCGCTTTTCTTCCTGGCATAGGAAATCCGTAGGCCATTAGGTGAATGCTGTACTTCTATATGTATTGCTGTGTAAAACCAAATACTATAATTATGTAAGTTGGTTTGAGGCGCTTGGCCGGTTTCTTCTGCGACTCCCACGTTAGGTATTTTTCCCTGCACACGGATTGATCCCATCATCCGGATGAGTCTGTCTTTGGTCCTCGACTTCTCAAAGTCCCTCGTCTTTCTCCTTCTAGTGTTTTATGCATATCCTGCACCAGTACCATGGTTACTCGTCTTGTAGCCTCTTGGTTCTTAAGCTTCACACCGGTCGAACTTCCAGCCCCCCTGAAGCCCACTATACTATATATGGCTCTGTCCAGAACTGCCAAAGTGTAACATTTTCGCGTACTAGCTCAAGCTCACATTGCAAAACTGGATGAAGTGGGCACCGACTTGACTCGCGAACAGTTTTTTCCCTACATGGTAGAGAGTTCATGAACACCAAAATCTGCTAACTTCGGACAGACTCATCGGCCTTCCGAATTTGTCTCGATTTTCGGCCTGCTAAACTTCGGATAAACTTATGTGGGAAGCTTCAAGGGGCCTGGTCAAACGTATACCCCCCCAGCTTTCACATCGGCGGCTTGTGTTGTCCATCCGGAGGCTCCTCATCGAATCCTACATGTACTTGATGCCTGAACGGAAATAGGTCCCCGACTTCCTTCAGCCTTTGTTTTGAAGAAGCGTACCTGTCCTGATTCTGTCAATCTCCTTCTGTTGTACTTCTGTCGTTCACGCGCCGAGTTGGGTGTTATGTCATTGGATGGCACTTTCTTCATGTGTGCTCGGTGTGAACCACCTCAGGCAGCACTTCTCGGGACTATCAGAGGTCTCTCAGACGGTATTATTATGTTAGGATTATATGGTCTAAGAGACCCAACCTCGCGGATGTTCTAAATATAGCATGCCTTCCTTCCTCCTGCAGCGCCTCCCTTGACCCTCGTCTGGCCATCTGTATGATGCACCGTATCTCTGTGATGCTCACTGTATTCCTCGCCGACCTTGCCAGCATACCGTCCTACCTCATCGAGCAGCCTTGAGCCTCTGGATAGGATTCATGGCTCACCCGCCAAATGCAGAGGCTGAGCTGCCTAGAATCTTCTATTTCCACCCGCTAAGTCCTTTCCCCTCTACTATCAACTATTAACTGAAACTCCTAGTTCAAGTTCTGCGTTTGCTTCAAGAGACCGGAAATCTCGAAGTCTGGTGGACTTCCATCCATCCATTGGTTCATTGGTTCATCTATCCATCGACCATTGGTCAGCGCCTGGTCTCCCACCCGAAATGCTACTCCTGGCTCAATCATTGAAGCTCTTAGTATGTTCCGTGCTGAAGTTTATCGACGACTCGGAGGCTGACCGCCATCCTGGTATCAAAGAGGCTGGGACGTCTTCTGAGGACGATACCAAGAAGTCGAACGAGTCTGCTGTTCCATCTGTGCCCAAGATCCCATTGTTGCAAGTGGAACTGGAGCGTGCGGGGAATAGTACGTTCAGTTTACTGTTTCTCCTCTCGCGTGTGATGTCGTGCAAGTAAGTATCATCGCACTTGATTATCTACGGCAGACTACGCTAATCTTTGAACTCACACATCAGGCGTATTGACATGTTCAACTCGGAATCGGGGCCTCGGATTGCGCACACCACCAAGAAGCTGCCGATTGGTTTACCGCCATTCTTAACTCCCATAGTTTCGTCGAACCTGGTTCGAGCGCGAACCGGACCTCCCGAACGTGTTCGGTGACGTTCGGTCCAGGGTTCGACCAAATGGCTGAAGTGAACCTATGGTTCGGTTTGGCGTTCGGAAAATTTCCCCAAGAACCGGACTGAACCGGACTTCGGAAGCACTAGTCATACTGATCAACAGCACATTGTTAACGTATACAAGAGTGTCAAGTAGACATGTAATGAGAGGAAAGTAGAAGTCAAGGACTTGGTGCGCATTGGCGTACCGTGTTAGTATCTCGAAGCTACATATACGTAAAAGTCGTGTAATATACATACAAATATTACAATAGATTGGAACTTGTTTTTTAAAAAGTGTGATATGTATGTCATCCAGAATAATGGGGCCTCGGGTTGCCAGAAAAACAACGCCGGTGGTCATGACCCCATGAAGTCCATAGTAATGAAATTAAGAAACGAGTGTAAGAGTTTCAAGCAAAGGAATGAGCAGGTGAATGTGAGTTCCTCACATAGGCCTATGTGGTGAGAAGCTCGACTTCCGTTTGAGAAAAGTGCAGCACTTCAGCGGCAGATGGGCGATTTTCTGGGACGGACCAGCATTTTTCCATGAATGACCAGTGATGGTCTGTGATATGAGCATCATGCGATCGTGAAGGTTTGTTTCCGTCCAATATTTGGACGGAAACCTTGGATCCTTTTCTGAACTCATAATAAGGTACGCGGCTAGTAAGGATCTGCAAGATTTTCAAGCGAAGCATCTCATATCATAAGCGCAACGGACCTGGTAGATGATAGTGCCAACAGAGTAAACATCGCTCTTGGTCGTGGGAACGACCACGTTTTGACTGTCAAAGCGTTCTGGCGCTGCCCATCTCACAGATGGGGGAATATGCTGCCCTCGGTGTGCTGGAGTAACGTCGTAATCTGCAAGATATGCAACACCCATGACATTGATCAAGACGTTGTTCTAAATGCATTGCAATAAGATACAGAATCACAGTGACAAATAAAGGTGGCTCACTCCATGTAGATTGCCATGAATGATGTTCTTGTAGTGTACTACATTGATTTTTCAGAAACCCGAGTCGGGATGTATGTCAGAAGTGGAATTTTGTAGTGCTCACGGTAAGAGAGTCCAGCGGCTACTTGCTTGATCTACTTTACCAAATTAGACATATTCAAGCAGAAAGAGTGGATAAGACTTGCCAGGTTGAACCTTCCCAGAACACTTAGACTGTCAGAGTTTTTTTCGAGGTGTGAGGTCAATGTCCCGCCCGGCATCCAATCATACACAATTGACGGAAGCGGTCCAAATCCATCAGTGAATCCTATAGGAATAAGAATATTGTCGTGTTGCAACGTCACCCAGACATTAGCTCTGATTAATATCTCCTAGAAAATATCAACGTGAATAATCTATGAATCACCTTGAGACATTAATTACAAACCTGGACTTCCGTGTTTCCGAAAATTTCTATCCTCAATGACTTCACAGCAACCTGTTTTTCATAAGTATACACTAGATGGCGTTTGATTGTCCAGCACGAACCAGTTTAGAGGTCGTAGCGGTAGAATATACAGCCTGATATACATTTGCCGATGGAGTTTTGCCAATTAATCTTAATTTTCGAGTTTTCGAAGTGAGGTTGCGCCTGGGATGCGAAGCATTTCTCGTATTAAGCGATCTATGATAGGATCAAGAAGACGGTAGCTAAGGCTTACGAATGGTGCTTCTTCTGAGTCTTCAAGTTGGTCTTAGAACTTGCGAACAAGCTTTGCCAAACACCTAAAAGAACATGGAGTAGTGTCATCTGTCGCAGGAGGCCTATGTGGAGTGCTCCAGACCCCGAAGGATTTGGTAACAAACGTGATCGTCCGCAGAGAGGTGGCGGCTCATCCAGATCTTAAAGATAACTGTATTTGTTATGTAATGTTTGGCTATCGATGTACTTACTAAATTAGTTCGATCAGATAATTTTTACCCCTTCGGTTCCCAGTTCGGAACTGTTATGGAAGATTAACTTTTTACACTGCCCAACGTGGGGCCCCGCTGCAAGATCACAGCGATTTTGTCTTCTGCCCCGCGGAGTATAGAGTTTAGTGTCAGCCATATCAGAGAATTCAACTCGGCAAGGCACTCGAATTCAGTTTCATCTTCCACTGTCCTGGTTGGTACAAATGACTGATTTTGATAGCACAGTATCTACGCATGAACATCTTTCTAGTGGAGTTAATCTCTCTCTTTTTGCACTCTTTTCGTTAGTGGGCAATACGCCAGAAATCAAAGTGGGGCATACCAACATGGGCGGCTAGCAGAACAGGTCTATCAAACCATAAAAACTGAGAAAGCCGCCATACCAGGTATAGTTCCCTTCAAGATTCGTAATCCAGTGAACACGAGGTGCGTAACATCTATTTAAACTACCTTACGCAAATTATAGAACCACTGGCAGGGCTGGTGTGTATCTTGACGCTGGACCTTTCTACCCCCGCCTCATCAAATCCCACCCTCGCAATGTCCAGGCAGTCGATCAGCGATCTTGTCGACCTCACAGAGCGTATCACACGCACCAGTTCTTTTCGTTCAGCTGGAGGAGGGTTTGGTGACATCTGGCGCTGCACGCTACAAACTGGTGCAACACATGACGTGGTACGATTGCTCGCATTGACGACCAGCATACATCTTATGTTTCCAGGTTGCAGTCAAAGCAATCAGGTTCCAATCTGGAGAGGTCGATGCATCACAGGAAAAGGTATTTGCAACATTACGCTGCCGACTTATTTACTTACTGCATCAAAGGATCTGCGACGTGAACTTGGAACGTGGAAGAGACTTGTCCATACGAACATTTTGCCGCTAATAGGCATAACAAGAGGTTTTAGCCCCACTATATCTATGGTCTCACCTTGGTGCGAAAATGGCTCGCTGGCAGCTTATCTCCAGAAATACGAAAGTATCATCACTCTATCTCATCGCCTCCGCCTAGTGAGCTTTTCTACTTGATAACACACCCACCTATTATACCAATAGTTTGATATTTAGCTTCAAGATGTTGCATCGGGTCTCCATTATCGTGTGTATTCAATGTATCAAGTGTCTATGTCTTGCTCATATGTGTATTCATGTTTGATGTAGTGCATGATATCCCGGTGGTTCACGGTGACTTAACCCCAGTAAGACAGGTTATCTTGGAGAGATTTATCAATATCTCACTACCTCACTCACAGAACAATGTACTTCTGAATGACGACAAAACGGCTGTCCTCACAGACTTTGGCTTATCGTCCATGCTTGGGGATATCACGGGTTTTTCATATCTTGAACGGTCTTGTGCCCAACCAGGAGCAATTCGTTACAGCGCCCCAGAGCTTCTGATTTTTAAGGAGTCCGATGCATCTATCACACCAGACATCCGAAGTGATGTCTACTCATTTGGCTGTCTTGCGCTTAAAGTATGACTTAAATGTGTGCGTAACTATTCGAAATGCTGATAGCAACATTTTGTCATCATAGGTCCTTTCTGGAAATGAACCCTGGGCTGATGTCAAACATTGGAGAACCATCGTCACCAAAGTCGAAAATGGACATACACAACAGAGGCCCACCCGCAGTCCGATTTCAGAATCACACTGGCGACTAATACAACAATGTTTCTCACAACCTAATGCTCGACCATCCGCACGTGCCATTCTGAAGTTTCTTAGAAAAGAATTACAGTTGGAAGGTATTCATCAGAGTCTGCCTTCGACAGTTAGCTAATGTGATTCTGGAGATCAAAATCAAAAAGTTCTGATTGTGAATCGATCGACCGAATGCTCCAATCGAAATGAAGCTACAACATCTCTCAAGTACAAAGTATGTACCATTCTCTCTGTCGAGGCTCCTATGGAAATACTTACTCCTGGTTATTCAGGCTACCACCAACACATTTCATTTGACACATACTTCTGGGACAAGTCACATGATTGATGCAAATGAACAAATAGCGTCCACGTTGCTCAGTTCTATACCTGATATTTCTGACAAAGGGAAAGGTCCTGCACGCAAGTTTAGTTTGAATTTGTTCCGCCGTAAAAGCGTGCAGTTGGTAAGGATTGTACTATATTCCGCAATAAAAAGCATGAATAAAAGTTTTGAAACAGATTCAAACACGAGGCCCGAACATCGAGGCCCGTTCGCTGATGATAGTGCAAGACTTTGCCGTACCTTCGGGGGGGCTTGGCAATACTTTTCAGTGTGTCTTGCGGAACAAGACTTTCAAAAAGGAAAAGGTCAAGAATATTTATATTTATATCCTTGGTAGCATTGATAATTGCTCAGGTCGCTGTCAAGTCCATCAAGGTACAAGATGACAATGAGGAGAACATTAGGGAGGCTCAAAAAGTCAGCCTCAGCAATGCCGAAAAACATTTCAATGCTAATCCCTAGACATACTAGATCATCCTGAAAGAAGTGCAAGGCTGGATGTCTCTCCTCCATGAAAATCTATTACCTATCTACGGTACTACTACTGGCTTCGGTTCTAGCCTTCCATGTTTGGTTTTGCCTTGGATGGAGAACGGGTCGTTGACCAGCTACCTGAGCGTCAAGAATCGAAACCTCCCAATCGCTACGAAATTTTTGCTTGTGCGTTTCTCAGCTTGTCAAATAAATTTTCTGCTCATTCCTCAACCCGGATCCAGCTATCTCATGTCACTGCTGGGCTTCAATTTCGTAAGTACGAAGCTATTCCGCCAATTAAGTATGCCTCATCGGTTTCATCAACAGTTCACAGCAACTCCATAATACATGGCAATCTCAGTAGTGTCAGTATATTCCAAGTCATTCCGGTGGAGCCTGCTGACAGCAGAAGTAGAATAATGTCCTCATTGATGATCGCCACAATGTCCGTCTCGCAGACTATGGACTGTCTTCAGTCGTATCCATGTGCGGCGAACTCTTTCAGTCCTATCATTGCGGTGCTTTGCGCTGGACGGCCCCGGAACTGATCGACGACGATGACCAGGAGCTCCGTAACGCGTCCGATATCTATTCTTTCGGATGCATCATGCTTCATGTATGCTAAGTTGATGTATTACTCTTACTTCACCACTTCAGCTGATGCCTTTTAGGTGCTCTCCGAAAAGTTACCATACTGGTGGCTGGACGATGTCCTGCGCGTACTTTCTGCGCGACACAATGGCGTGAATCCAGTTCGTTGCGGGTCGGAGATGCATGAGGAACATGTGAAATTCGTCCAGCATTGCCTGTCGGTTTCTCCTACGGACCGTCCAACAATGGATAAGATCGATGGTTTCATTGCAAGATCTACGCGGTCCATTGTGAAGTAGAGCTGCATCCCACTCAAGTTGATCAGATGTCAACAAGGGTAACATCTAATACATATAAATACCATATATAAGCACGAACAGTTCGGTTTGGACCTAAGGTACATACAATAAGTTACAACAGATACCCACTTGCGCGCGAGACTGACGGATTTGCCACTCATGGGACCCACGAGTGTATGAACTTGTCACCATCCAATAGATTAAAAATTCGATAGACAGATTAATGATCCACGCTCTATCCAAGTGGCAAGGAGTCACGAGCGGTCCAAATCCTGAGGTCGTCCCAAAGTACATTCTTATGATGCAATGTTGCCCGCGCGCGCACTTCGCCATATATAGATCCTCTGAAACATTATTAGCATGAATAGAGTGAGCTGTGGCCGTGTACCTTGCGCAATGCCCATAATTATCCAGAACCCAAAATCGGCTCTCAAACATGCAAAATGCTAAGAGACTTCACACACCGCCGATGGTTTGGAGTCTGGCCTGCTATTTGAGTTGTAGTCCTCGAGCTTGACACACATAGAATTAAGCCAGAAGTCAATACATCAGAAAAATGCGCATATTCTCATAAAACCCCTTGATTGAACTGCAAGGAGTAAGAAAAGTTCAAGGGACAGGCAATCTAATGGTGCCTGGCAGACACAGAGACAGGTACTGCAAGTGGTAGACATAATAGTTAGTACTCTACTTCAAGATGCGATCAACATACACAAAGAGTTGAGAAATACCATAAGAAAAGGTTGCCATCAAGAAGATGACCTCTGAGACATGACCTCCTCCAGCTTGTACCTGCCGAAGTAGTATGGAATTTGATATACCCATCGAAAAACGCGACGTGGGCGTCATATGCCTCGGGGCGCGGTCCCAGGAATTTGAGGATACTGTGATGTGCTTGCACAGTTTTCTCGATGAGTTCCCCGAGAGCAGCTTGTTTTGTAAGTCCACGCGAGGCTGTCATGAGCCACAGGTAGTTTGCGGAGTCGCATTCCATCTCCTCTTTATAGTATGACAATATATCACTGAATCATGGCAGGTTAGAAAGGTTAACAAAAAATCATCGATTTAGTACTCACTTTGTGTGGTTTATGACTATGGCCACATCCATTATGCATTGAACGTATTCCCGAAGCGGGAGTGTAGAAGGGAAGATGCAGTATGCGTATGCATACTCCACACCTGATAGCATCCTAGTATAGTCAGGGTATGAGGGAGCCTGCGGCGAGATCTATCCACACAAAGGGTTAACAATGGAAACTGCCTTTATTAAAGAAATATCATACCACCATATCTTTGGTCTCGTTGTCAAGTAAAATGGAAGACACGAAGTCGAGCGCGGACGTCACAATCAAATTTGACGCCGGTGCAGAATAATGGCAAGCGACCTCTCGTCAGATTCCATCAAATGCATTCATAACCGGATGCTCCTGCGGCTGGCAATTCGCGAACCGTTCGTTAAAACGGTACAAATGCACTAAATCATCTCCTCTGATTATCGTGTCGTCAAGGGTGATGCATAGGGTGGTGAAGAGGCAGATCTACATCTTAGTTGGACGGTCCGGGAGGTGGCCATAAGCATTGGACATTATGGCCACAGCAGGGGGCATGTATGGGAGGATGGCGTCCATCGGATAACCTCGTTTGATCGCCTCCTGAGAGCACTCGGAGTACCAAGCTTCATCAAGCGGGATATTCTTATATTGCAAGCCGCAACGCTGAAGAAATTCGGCAATAGACTGGCGGATGCTTGCTAGAAACTATATTCGACATTAAGATCAGAACATGGAAAGGTAGTACTAAAACACATACTTCGCTATCGGGGGTCGATGTGGACAGGTTGTTCATTATCATTGTGAAAACTTGTAGAGAGATTGAAGAGAGAAGAGAGAATGGCTCCAATGGGTTGCACGTACCCTGTACTTACACTCTGACGGATGTCGATTTATTGACGAATGAGAGTCTTGTATGCTATATGTATCTCGCCTGACGATGTTGCTGCCGAATTTGTGGCTCTTGAAGAGTTGAAGAAAACTGAAAAAGTTGAGAACATCAACGAAGTTGAGGAAGTGGTGGAGGGAAATGCTTTTGATTTCGACGAGTTGGATCGGGTCATACAAGGAATAATTTGAACTGAACGCCGCGGATCTTGTCGGGTTCTAACCATAGCGACTGGGCAAAGTGACTCCGACACTAGTACTTATTGGATATAATTTTAAACACCATATATAAGCACGACCCCGCTCGGGTGTCAATATTTCAATGGTGTCCGATTTGAATTTGAACGTTAACCCGTGCGCATCGAACGTGTTTCAAATAATGCCACGATAGGCTATTACAAATAGTCCAGTGTTATCGGCAGCCTGAAGAAACTGACTATGGCATGAAGACGACCCAGGCGCCACGTCTATGGCTACCACCTGCCAGTGCACCTTCCATGGCTGAGAGCAAATATTATACATTGCTTTGCCTGACGGTGAGTTAACCGTCGTCGTTTTACCTAGTTGGAGCTGATACAGGTTCCGTCGGGGATTGCACCTACTGACGCACCTGAACAAACACCAGACTACTTACTGTGCCACTTGTAATTCTTCCCCATCGACTGGATTTCAAAATAAATTGCACATGTGCTATACAGCGCAACCTTGGTCGAAAGGGGATTCTACATTGTCGATTCGCCGAAGTCCAACTGCTCACCAATCTCGACTGTATTCCACGTACCGAGTTTTATTTTTATTCTTACCGCTCGAGTTGGACTGCGAACCGCAAACAACTCCCCACGAGACTAGCCTGCGCAACTACTTCCAATGACCGCCAAGGCCTGCCCTCTCGCACAGCTCTGGAACTCAGAGCTGATCTTTTTGCTCGTCAACTATATACTGCATTGTCCTGTGTGTGCTTATTTTTAGGAGCAAATGAGGACAAAGATAGTGCAAATATTATTATATAGGGTATAAATGTCCGCTTTTTTTAGTGGAACGACATGATTGTACCAATAAAACCCAACGACCGAAGGCCACCCCTTGCAATCTGACATAACACATGTTCTGGTCAATGCAATATCCATTAGAGAGCACCAGCAGCATAACCTGAGTCCCACGCCCGAGATCTTGCTCGCTCTCTATCCCGCCACTGACTCTCGAAGTAAATAAAAGTGACAACAATATCATCCAAGATGTGTACTGCTTCCGGTGATATGAGAAGCGCAGCAGACTTCTTTTGTCTGAACAGAGACTGTGTAACCGTGGTTACAAAAGTGGCGATGCATGCCTGTGAGTGAGCGACCTCTAATGGCACGAGCTGTCCATATGGAATTGATCAGTAACCAGCTGATGCTTACATGCCGTACAACAACATAGATACTAGTACTCACTTGCGCGCGAGACTGACGGATTTGCCACTCATACCACTCGTTGTGAATCCCCTGAAACTTTTCCGGACTGGTTGGAAATCGATCAGCGCTGAACATTTAGTTTCGCTAGGTAAGTTTCTTACGATGTATATAGTCCCGTCTTTATCATCTCGATTGTCCTAGACCCCACCACCACTGTGGGCCGGTCATTAGGGTTGGCTGGCCACTCAATGATGCCCACGTGGATAGATTCTCCAACGACATTTTTCCAAACCGTTGTGGTAGCTTTACTTCCACCCTGAAGGAAGGGTCGATTACGTGTCACTGTGTCAGAGGTGTAGTGTATGGCACGCTCTGGGCAAAAGAAAGTGGTCTGAAGTGGATCATTTTTTGCCAAGGATAGGCGAAGGGTCATATCGCTAGGGAATGTGAACACTCGTGATTGGCCCCAGTTTTACGTCCTGTTACTCCTGTAGTATACTAGTCTAGGGCCCTCCTGACTTGGAGAACGTGGACTCGGAGTGACTCACCGCCCACGACTTCAATTTCGGGACTTCGAAGACCGAGGCACGAACTAGAGCATAGAGCGACGCACAGCGCCAATACAATGACTCGGTGCATATAAGCAGGCCCCAATGAGCAAAAATACCCACCCCCCGCGGTGCCGCCATGTACATAACATAACACGACAGGCACCATCTGATAGACTGACTCCGAGTCAGACACGCAGTCGCGACTCTAGTACCAATGTACATCTATTATTATGTAATATGAACTACAGCATTCGCTGAGATTGAAATTGTATTATTACTTAGATGCACTCGCGGACTCGTATAAATCAAAAATCTATGTAAATACCCAATGCAACAAAGACCTTTGTTCTTGAACCAAGATTCTCACAATGGCGATCAACCCAGAGTCAAAGAAACAACCTGTATCTTTCCACAAAAAGTCTGGTCCTAAGGACTTGCCTCCAACTTTCCCTCCGTTTCCAGCAGCACCGCACGGTGTCACCATAATTCCTTTCAAAGATTTTACGCCGTATGGCTACAAGCGCCTTAGAACAGAGACTGGAGAAGAAATCGAAGTTGACGCTCTTGGTGGCTTGCCTACCGTGAAGGTTCTCTCCGATGAAGAGGTCATCCAGAGAAATAAAGACAGAAGACGACGCAGAAATGCAGGACAGAGCGCGGACGCTACAGGAAGAATTGTACCTTGGTGGGAGGAATGGGAGGAGGGTGAAAGTTCACGTACCACGAGCGAGCCAATAGAACTGTACTTGTCTTCTCTTCTTGTTCACATGCGAAATAACTAATCTCTGTCATCCAGGCAGAACAGCCTCATCGATCGGGTTCACCAAGCTGCGGATGATTTCCGGATTGGTCGTACTTGGCCACCGATATCTTCTGGAGTCAGATCATTATGGGATCATGTACAGACTTTCTCGTGTCGTTTGAGTGTTCTGATTTATTTCTGCAGTTTCGTTTGTACATTGGCCTTCTGTCTAGCTTGCCGATCTACCGCAAAGTCAAGAGGTCTAAGGGAAATACAGACATGACTTGTGAAGGGGGTGGTGACGCCTCGGATAACGATGATGTCCCAAAAGCAAAACAAATAAACCTCGATATTATACAAGATCCACTGGAACAGGTCGCCCATCCAGGCAAACAGCTAGAGCCAAAGGAAGGGGAGGGAGATATCATGGCTCGTTTACTTGAAACTTTCCTTGAAGACATGGAGAAGTCCATCAAGGTCTTCATGTCTTCATACATGCGAGATAAAGGTTTAATCTGGCGAGTTTGTCTACTTCCTTACTTGTTGTTCTGGTATTCATAGGTCACGCAGGTCGGAACGCAACCTTTTCATTGCACCCACAGTACTCCACTTTTTCCTCCGTTTCATGCAGCGGAACCGAGTTTTCGCTGGTTTCGAGACTCACACCGAAAACTTAAACCGTGCGGTAGTTGTTGCCGAGCTCGCTATTAGGGAGCTTCCTTTGACAGCTAGGGTTGCACGAGTTTTGCCGGGCATGTTCGATGCTGCGTGCAAGGAGTGCTGGGGATACAGAGGAAGCCTCAGCATGTACATCTCCACCACTCTTGACTCCGAGGATGGATGTGCTGATACTGATACGCCTGCTTCGTCGGCAGTTGGCACATTTGAGGAGGCGCTCAAAGCTGATCACACTGAAATCGTATCCTCAGATGTTGTCCTTGACTCGTTGATGGCGAAGGAGGTTTTGGATGACACCTTCGGGCCTGGTGATGGCACGAACATTTCCCCTCCTCCAGCGAATGACCCTTGGGCTGCAGCCATTACTACAGGGCAGAACACTACGGTATCGTGGACTGATGTCAAAGTTGATTCACTGCTTACCTTCCTCGGCCCAACTCGATTGCCCTTGACGCATACAGCTGGTGTCGTCGAGTTCTCCACGCGCAAAGTCAAAGAAATAATGTTGCCAGAAGCTATCAACTCAGTTCCAGATACTCCCTCTACAGCGATTGAGCAAGAGTTAGGAAGTCGCTTCGCTCGTGTCGTGTTGGAACCTTGGATTCGCACCCCAACAGATGAACTTCTTGATATCACGAGCCCTATTATCACTTCTTCCAGTCGCGGGGCCGTCATCGAGGACCCGTTCGCGGACAACATTGATGTGTCTGATGCCCACTCCCCTTCTGATGCATACAATCCGTGTCGTGACAACTTGACTATACTCATCGATCCAGCGTCCGTAGATTGCTTCCATGTCGGCCTTGGCTTGTGTGGTACATGGGTGCAAATGGCTCGCTGTGAAGATGTGGAGAGTTCCACCAGTCCTATTGACCAAGGTACTCCATACGTCAGCAAGCATCCTCGCGATTGCTTCTGGTATCTAGAGGACGTTGTATCTATCTTCCCCAGATTTTACATGGAGTCAGAGGTGCAGATTGACCTTGACCAGACAACCGACAATGATGACCTCTAGGTCACAATTCTGCAGCGTTTTGGTATCCTGGTGTATAGGAAGAAATTACTATTGTATGTTTTATCGCCATGGACATCTCGCATTTGATATACTTTATTTTATCTTGCCGAACTAGTTTGATACGTTGGTAGCCGGACTTTCATACATACAAGAATTATCGAAGTTCGCGCCATACAGTATGTATATCCAGCCTCATCGCTTCAACAAGAATAACTGTAGTGATAGTATGAATAGAAGACAAACTTGATACCAAGTACTGTACTTACAGGTTACCAGCGCGATCGAGGGAGTTCTGGTGCACTTGCCGAGTGTGGATAGTCGTCGTCTAGTGTATTGCGAGTGAGATGCATGGCAGCGCTCGAGTCGACAGTCATAAAGCGTTCAAATTCGGCGCTTGCAAGTGGCGGGATGGGCTATCACTAGTTCATTTCCTAGCATGACGAGCAGATCTTCAGAATCATCATCATGGTTGTGCGTGTCCATGACTCCACCAGTCTCCCCAATTGTGAACCAAGCCGCAATCTAGCCAACGGCATTAGAAGTGTATGTTTTCGAAACTCGCTAGCAGCAAGAGTTAGAAAATGGCTTTGGATGGAGCCTTGCAGTCATATGTGGTGGGGTGGGGAACCCCCAGTACTCTCCGGAAGACCTATTGTACACACCGAGGCGAGTTGAGCCAATGGATCACAGTGATTACGGAGTTGACAGCAAGAGCTCGTCATATACAAAAGTGGGTTGGGTTGGGTTACTTTGAGCGTGACCCTCCTTGCTCGTTGTAATCAGTAAGGTCGGGTATTTGTTGTTTGTTGGCACGACATTCCAACATTTGAGCCCAGAGTCCCGAGCGTCAGAGTATATGGTATGAACGTTTGAACACGGACGTTCACTCATCTGAATCAGGGTGAAAATAGCTAGTAAGTAGTTTCTGTGATTTGATGCTTGAAGACAGAGTCTTCTTCAACGTTTCAACGCTTGGCAGCGGGCTGACGTGTGATGAGAGAGAAGCAGATTTGTCATCGATCATTAGGGTTAGGTATACAACATTAGGAAATCTGATTAACCCTAACCACAATGCGGGGTTCTGAATTTCGAGCTCAGCTTGTGGATTTATGCACTTTCGGGTCATGCTTTGCTTCTTTTAAATCCTTACCACCACCATGCCTTTTGCGGATGCCGCGCGACGAAATCGGTCTGTTGGATCCAATGATGGATATAACATATTTGTGAAAGATGAGTATCCCGTAGCCTTCTTTTTCCATACGAGTGTCAGGGAAGGGCGCGATGTACTCGAACAGAACATCACGGTATTATTTTGTTTGATGTAGAAGCCTCCAATTGCTGATTTTATTTTATTACTGTAGAGCCATGGCGGTTATGTATGCGGAGATGAGAAACGAGCCAACGTGATGTTAGTTGATGAAGAAGCCGACATCGAGCATATCCGCCGGCGCTACTACCGCTCACATGTCCTCTGGCAGCAGCGCGTCTATATCGAGTCCCGTGATTTTGTCCATCAATGCATCAGAGCTAAAAAATATGAACATCGTCCTCCAGCAAGGAAGGGTATGCCCGGTGCTCCGGGTGGGCGCGTGTATGACATTTCGCTTCTGCTCCTATGTCTCGTTTACTAATGCACCTATCAGACGCGTACCATTTACCGCAGATGATGATGATCATCTCGCATTTTACATTGCAACTGTCTATCCTGATCCTTCTGATGGGGGACGCACTGGGAATTCGTTTTACCAGGAGTTGACAGAGGAGCTGGTGCGTAATTAAATCTTGAGCATACACATCTTAATTCACAAGAATACTCTTCCAAGGCTGATGAGCCTGAATACAAAGACTGGGCGAAAAGGCACACATGGCAATCCTGGCGTGAGCGTTACAGGATGAATCGCGTGCGTTTTGATCCTATGATTGCCATGTATGCGGCGCAGCTCAAACCTGTGGCTCATGGTTTCGGTCACGATCCACGCTCGCGTCGCTTTAAAAACGGAGAGATAGCACACAGGGAGGAGGAGGAAGAGGAGAGCGATCAGGAACCGGAACAACAAGCAGAGCGTGGTGCTGGATCTGATGACTTGAATAACCGGGTGCCCGACGGTATTCCACAAGCCCGTAACCAAGTTCAAGACAACGATATGCGCAATCATGAACCTAGTGCTGCACAGCCTCAATTGCGCAGGCGGCGTCGCGATGATCCTGATACGTCTCAGCGTGCAAATTTCCAAGGGGAGTCGTCTCGGAAGCGACAGCGTGTGGCCAGTCCAGCTACACCATCAGAATCTCGCACTTCCACTGTGGAGAAGGGACGATGGGGTAGTGATCATGGTAGTCCTGGCCAATTTTCGATTGGGAACGATAGAAGATCACCGGAAGAAAGGAGTGTCGCGTGGGGGGCGCTCGATGGTGCGATTGGTTTCGATAATGATCAAATGCCCCAGTAAGTTTTTTTTTGTACGATGTATCACAACTATTTAACTAGTCACTTTACGGTATTTATTCTGGGCAGACTCAATGTGTTACCAGTGCCGCGATCACCTGAGCATGACGTTCCACAATCCGATGAGCCATTGGCTACGCAGCAAACCCTAGTCAATTCGCCCACCAACGTACGATCCAGACAGGTTCCGAGTGCTCGAGCTACTGCTGTGGTTGTTCAAGCGGCATCGATGAACTCACAGGCTATTTCAATTGCACAGCCCCTGCGAGCTGCGCGAAGGCCACCTTCACGCCGTGGGCGAGCCCAGCGAGAACAAAGCCTCGCTGCCGGCACCGAAATTCAGTCACAGGTTAAACGTATACGGACGTCGAGCAAATCTCGCGGTAATCAACCTGCCGTGGTCGCTTCTGACGCACCATATCGCCACACTCGGGCGAGATCGCAGTCAGTTGACCTGCCTCCACAACCTGCACCGGCATCGAAGCGTCAGAGAGTAGTTTCGGCGAAGGGGAAAATGAAAGAACCGGAGCTAGAGGAGGTTACTGAAGAAGATGCCGAACGAAATTTGGTCGAAGGCGATGATTCTCAAGCTCACATTTACGAGGATGTCGGGTTGGACAGTCAAGGATCACAGATTTCAATTCGTCGCCCGGAGGCCGAGACATTCCAAGAGCAGCAGGATGTGGAGGACCACCTTCTGAAGGAAGGGAGTAGTCTCTTCACCGACGAAGAACAATCTGACGAGTCTTCTGATGAGCAACAAGAATTCACAGCGGACTCTTCATCTGAAGATCCTTCCGACTCTGATGATGCAGCCACCCATAAGAATCTCCAGCGTGATGGGCAACGGCTCAATAGGATGGCAGCTGCTGGCTTCCGCACTCGTCTTCCGAGTACCTCAGTGTCAGCCTCAAACAAGGCCCGGATGACCACAAGATCATCTGCAATTCGAGTCACACGCCATGCGGCCTAAGTTCCTCTCTTCCCTTCTCCAGGCACCAAGGCGATTACCATATTGCAAGAGAGGAGAGGGAATTAACATTAGTCATTAATCAACGTTGTTTATATATCACTTAGAATCATTATTAAGCCTAATCAATTGATGATATGCGCACGGACCATCCGGAGTTACTGGATTCGGAGTGTGCTTGATTGACTGTTTGTTGCTCTCCACATTCCTCGTTAGCAAGCACGAAGACGAGCTCGTTCATTTCCCGCCTCACTCCCACATCCTTCCAACGTTTCCTTGTTGATCGTGCGGTGTCCCGTAAACCCAATTGCTTTCGAAGAAGATGACTAACACATCAGCAGGATCAAAGCGGTCTTGGGAGGGTCACGCAGCCGAATCTCACTCGCACAAGAGACACAGAGACGAACCTAGAGACTGGCGGGATGTGCACCTAAAGTCTCCCACAGATAAGCGTAGCAAATCTAGCAGTAGCAGACGAGACAGTGTCGATAAGCGGGAGCCTAGACGGTCCAGAGAAGACTCGAGGAGGCCTAGCGACCATTCTCGAGACTGGGACAGAGACAAAGACAGGCGCGACGACCGTGGTCGGGATCGTGACCGTGAAAGAGACCGTGATCACGACAGAGAACATCGCCGTAGAGAAGACAATCGAAAAGATGAATATCGTCGTCGAACTCCACCTCGGAATCGCCGTTCACCTGCACCAACCAACGGACATTCTTATCAAGCTAAGGACTACTCAGACAAAGAAGAAGGCGAGTAAGTATCAACGCATCCAACTGTACGAATACCCTTTCACACCACTTTTTTCTGTCAAGAATTTCTCCTACGCGTAGCGCCCGTGCAGTATCTCTGACTCCATCCACACAAACTCCCTCAGAGGTCACTCATGTTCAGAAGCCGGTACAGCCTATTGCTCCTCCACAACCTGATCCAGAACTTGATCTCGAGATCGATACAGCTGCTGCAGAGGCAGCCGCTCGAGCCGCTCGCCGTGCCAGGCGTCAAGCCCTTTTAGCCAGGGACTCCGGGTTAGCTAGTGCTAATAAGAGCGTCAGCCCCAGCCCTGGGCCTAGTAGTGCGGTCCAACCGCAACCTGTTGCATCTGTGTCTGATACACTTCAGCCCCACAGTGCTGTCGATACTTCCGCAAGTTCAACAGCCGACACCTCTAGAGTGAGGCATGATTCAATGAGTAAGGTTCTCTTCAAAAAAATATCTCGCGTGGATTAATGTATTGTATCATGCAGGCAAACGAGATTCTGCATCTCCACAACCAGATGATAGTATCTTTGAACTTGCTAAGGACGAGGATGATGAAGATGTTCGTGCGAAGATGCAAGATGGTGCACCAGATCAGATATCTGCTGCCGACTATGACCCCAGCCTAGATCGCCGAGAGGACGAACAAAGGCGAGTCCTCAAAGACGAACCCATGGATGTAGAAATTATTGAGGAGGAGGAGGAGGATGAAGAGGACGATGTCGATGACATGTTCGCCGCAGCTATAACCGAGAAGAAGCGAAAGAAAGTCAAGAAAGTTGTTGTATGCCTTCACTATTTTGTCCGTCAACGATGTCTGACCTTGTATACAGAAAAAAGCAGCACCCGCCCTTATCACAACTACGTTAGACTCCGCCTCGGATCATGAGGGTTATTACCAAGTTATCCTTGGTGAGCAACTTGATGGTGGTCGGTACCAGGTCTTCTCCTCTGTTGGAAAGGGAATGTTTGCCAATGTTGTCCGGGCACGCGTTCTTCAAGATGCAGAAACCGGCAAAGAGGTGGCCATCAAAATCATCCGGAGTCAGGAATCTATGTTCGTACATTTTCGTTATATGATACTTCTGAGTATGCTAACGCAACATCCAGGCATCGTGCTGGTCTGAAGGAGGTGCAGATATTGAACAAGTTAAAACAGGCTGACCCAGAAGACAAGAAGCACATCGTCCGGCTAGAGAGAACTTTTGAACACCGCGGACACCTTTGTCTTGTGTTTGAGTCCATGAGGTTGGAGGTTCTTTAATTTCACTCCTAGGTGTTTGACAAAAATTCCTCTAGCATGAACCTTCGAGATGTTGTGAAGCGCTTTGGAAAGGATGTCGGTCTGAACATCAAGGCCGTCAGAGCTTATGCACACCAACTTTTCCTTGCGTTAAGTCTTCTCAAGAAAGTCAACATTATGCATGCAGACATCAAGCCTGACAACATATTGGTGAGATTCGATTTAGCTCTGGCACCTGTCGATTCACTAACGACAAATTCAGGTTAATGAACAGAAGACGTTATTGAAGCTGTGCGACTTAGGCTCAGCATCAGATGCGTCGGAAAATGACATCACCCCCTATCTTGTTAGTCGTTTTTATCGTGCGCCTGAGATCAGTACGTTGCTTATACTTCTGTCGAAGTTAAAAGCTAACGTCATTTTATTTAGTCCTCGGAGTCCCGTATGATCCAGCGCTCGATATCTGGTCCATTGGGTGCACACTGTATGAATTATACACGGGGAAAATCCTTTTCCCTGGCCGGTCGAACAATCACATGCTTTTACTCATGATGGAGCTCAAGGGAAGGTTCAACACCAAAATGATCAAGAAGGCGAAGTTCGGAGAAATGTATTTTGATGAAATGGGCGGGTTTGAGAGCGTAGAGACGGACCGTGTCACTGGTGCCGTGAGTCAATGTGATCCCTTATTAATAATCTTTCCTGTCAGCTGATTGTTCTACCAGAATGTTGTCCGCAAGGTTCACATCTCCAAACCTAGCCGTGACCTCCGCGCCCGTCTCATGCCACCTGCATCAGTCAAGATGAAGGATGACGAGATGAAGTTGCTCACCTCATTTATCGATTTGTTGGACAAGTGCATGGCACTTGATCCAGCAAGACGGATTACTCCCAAGGAAGCGTTAATTCATCCATTCATCAGGGGATAGGATTGCCATGAGCATCTTATCTCGGACCTGTACTACGTTCCCGTGGCGTGTATTTATATTTCTCTTCTTGTTCTCATCAGTATAAATTGCACCTCTGACCTGTCTGCTGGTCCAGGTGTGAAGGTATGATGATAAGGGAATCTCATCACTCCACACGTAAATGAAGGGTATATATACTTATCAATGTGTCGATACTTCTCCAATCACGCGGCAACAGTCATGACATCTCGTTTGAAACGTATGTTCTCTCGGAAGGGTGGAGAGAGATGAGGTGATCACTGATATTAAACCTGCGACAGTCGGAGCGCTCCCTACATTCGATGAACTGCCAAGTTTTCATGATTTCAAGGGATGTGCATGGGATGTATGGGGCAAGGACGATGAGCTAGGCACGATTAACTTACTCACTCCCGAGGTAGTGGCACAAGCTGCTCAGGAGGAGATTCGGTGCGTTTATCTCACAAGAGCCGAAATGATATGATAACCAATCATGCATCTCGTTGTCAATGATAGCCTAGGGCGTACAGTTTCATTGAATTGGTGCGAGCAATACGGCTCCCGCGTAAAAGCTGAGCCTTACAATACTACTAACCAGGCCAATCCACTTCCCCTCAAGGGTAAGCAGATGATCACCGCGTTTTCTTTCAGTGTTCATTGATCTTCGCTTGCAAGCCCGTTTTCGAGCGTAAGATTCCATCAATCACTACCTTCGCGAAGTACGGCCCCACCATACCTATCCGGGATGACGTTATCCATATAGTATGTCCCATTCAAGCCCGACTGACGAATGGCATTTCACTTGACTAAATTTGCAGAATACACAATCGGGTTCTCAGTGGGACGGTTTGAAGCACTATGGGTTAACAGAACACAACGTGTTCTACAACAAGTATATCGATTTCGTACATCGAGGCTTCGACAGAACTCACGGATCTTGTTAGCACTCCCGCCGAAACCCTCTCTGAGGGCGAAATGGAATTACACGACCCGAGTGAGATCGATTGTTCGAAAGTCAAACTTGGGATACACAGTAGGTCCACAAACCCGCTACCCCGTATAGTATGACTGAGTACTATCTTTAGACTGGGCCAATCATGGTATATGTGGTCGCGGCGTTTTCCTGGATGTGGTAAGGTATTATACGGCCAATGGCGATGCCCTACCTTACGATCCCTGGACAAGTCATCCGATCACCGTTGCCGAACTGGAGGACATCGCGAAGAAACAAGGGGTTGAGTTCCGACAAGGCGACATCCTTCTCTTGCGCGTTGGATTTATCCAAAAATACTACGCGAGCACTAATGAAGCAAAGGCCAATTTGAGAGGCGGCTCGGAAAAGGAAACATTGTATGCAACCCCGTCCGTATCCTGACGCCCCTTTCGCTTAGCAAAACAAAATACAGCGCTGGAATAGAACAAAGTGAAGATATGAAGCGCTTCCTCTGGTATTTTGTTATCAGATGTTACCAAATAATGGCCTGATTGTGCCTGCAGGAATAATCACTTTGCTGCTATCGCATCTGACCAACCATCTATGGAGGTGAGTTCCCCGCGGGTACTATCGTAAGCCTGACCAGCTAATTGCGTATTAATAGTGCTGGCCCGCGCCAATGGGAACGCAACTTCACCAGGTCAGTCTAGCCACTAGCATTATCGCTGCGCTAAATTCCCGCGACCTCGCAGACGATTCTCGGGTAAGTTTCGGCCCTTCCCAAAATATTTTCATCCCTGACAATTGCGGATGTAAGCCTCTATGGGATGCCTATTGGTCTGTACCTCATAACAATCTTCTGCATACAATTTTTATTTCTACCCAAACAGGCGAATTATTTGATCTTGAAGCTCTCTCAGCGTTGTGCCAAGAGACAGGTCGCTATACGTTCTTTTTCACGTCTTGGCCTTTGAACATGTCAGTCGGTTTCCATTCTGCATGGAGCTGTATCTCAAATCAGTGTCTTTTTCCTTGTTCAGTCTCGGCGGTGCCGCGAGCCCCCCCAACGCTGCCGTGAGTATCCCTCATAAATATATGTCCTGTCACGTTAATAATTGTTTATAGGCATATTTCTGAGCTGTCCTTAGTTGACACAAGTTCCTGGTAGCTCATGTGGTCGGCTGAGGTGTAAGTTTGTGAAAGTTGAGATGTCAAACGAACATAGTTGTGGTTATATGAATGTAGCTGTCACTGCACAAAGGGTTGCGATTGACCCTACGCAATGTATCTTTGTAGAGATGTTACCCTGCTGATCCAATCATGTCCACGAAAACTAAATCTTCTCAATCCTCAGGAACGTAGAATTACAAAAAATATATGGTATTTGTATGATAGTGACATACTTGCTTGTTTGTACTTGAGAGCGTTTCATATCGTCATGATCAATAGTATACTTAGAATAATCCTACGCGGAAGGATACCATGTATAGAACCAAGGTACAGCATCAAACAGAACAAAATCATACAGCCAGGCTATGCCGTCTGCCGTCATCAGCTTCAAGTGCACGACGGACGGCACTTTGATGTGCGCTCCGTCGACGCCCCTCAACGTTAACCCAACCATTAATGTTCCCGTATTCGGCATCAGCTTGGGCACCTTCGCTTTCGTCGTCGTCTACTTCGACGTGAGGGCGTGACTTCTTCCTTTTCACGACAGTATTTGCGGTAGCTGAGGATGACGAACTCGTGCCGGACGAAGAACGAGCAACAGGGATTGAAGTCTTGGACTGCGAAGACCCTTCTGAGGAGGGTCTGTGCTCAGGATCATCATTTTGAACACTAGTTGTGGACGATCTCTTCTTCAGCCCTGGAGCAGCTGTAGGCTGCATTGGTGGACCATCAGGTTTCCGCATTTTCCTAGTGGTTTGGACAGTGAGTCATAGCGAAATTATGCAAGGGATGGGACTTACGTGTTGAGCTTGGGCTCAGCATAGTTGACACTTTTCCGTGTACGACGTTCGCGCCCTCCAACAGGGGCTTCTTCAGAAGTAGAAGCACATGGCGGAGGGACCGGACTAAAAGATGTTCGAGGTGTCGGCAACTGAGAGATCTGAGATGTCGTTGTAGGAGTGGTGGCTGGCGTGGATAAGAAGCTCCGGGTTGTTGCCAGCGACGTGACTCCGGATATCGGCGTTGTTCCATCCGTATCAGGCGTGTGCTGTCGATCCCGATCTGCAAATCGATCAGTTAGAGAAGACATGATCACATGCGTCCGCATTTCGCGTTGCCTAAACGTGCGCCGTACCTGGTGCATTAGTGTTTAACAGTGGTAACATAGCACGGCTTCTGGGTGAGTTTGTGACATCCTTGAGGCCCGAGTACTCCTCGCGTCTTCGTCGTTTCCTTTCCTGCACTCGTGATGAAGTAGTACCCTCACCCTCTTCCGATGGTAACTCTCGTTCAACCTGCTTTGTCTTTTTCTCCTTCTCTTTCTTTGCTGGTAGTACATAGTCCAAATCATCATCCTGAGTTGGTGGTGGTCCCGATTTCCCGACAGCTTCTTGTTCCTCATCGTCCTCAGCCAAACCAGCCTCCCTACGAGCAGGAGACCCGAAGGCGGGACTAGCAGCTCTGGGCGGAATTATCCTATCACCATCCGTACTTACACTGAGAAACCCACCCTCCCTTCTCCCTGTTTTCCTCTTGTTTGACGACCCTCGTTCTTCTGCAGGAGCTTGCGGTGGCGTTGGTAGTGGCGGAGGCGAGGAAACTCGGGCGGGTAATGGCAGGCGAGATGCTGCAAGTCTTGACTTGGTTTTTCGTCGAATAGTAGGACTAGGTATACGCTCTGCCTCCTCTTCATCTCCTTCCGGAGAAGAGGCCAATTCTTCGTCTTCGTATATGCCTGGTACGTTGGGCGCACGTGAAAGTTTGGGCATTTGTGGTGACGCATTTGGATCTATGAGCGGTCGACGAGCTCTAGACGCTGGCCTCTCTTTGGCGGGAGAAGCTATCCCAGGAGCAATACCAAATGACTGCCGCAAAAAAGTCAGATGTTTGACCAAATTAGCAGTCTAGCTGGATCTCAGCGACAGCAGGTGGGTTCTCGGGATATGGGACTCACCGCAGCATCAGCATCAGCCATTATTTTCCTGGACTTTTCCTGCTCTTTCTTCAGTTGTGCCGCGAGTGCAATCTCGGATGCTCGTAGTCGAAGGTTCTCGACGTATAGGGTGGATATTTGAGCGTTAAGCTCCTCGATGCGGACGCTGAGAGTCGAATTAAGTCTGGTATCGTACAGTGAGCTGTTTTCTAATTAGATTAAACTTGACAGGGCGACATACTTGGTGATGTGCTTATTGGCAAGCAGGAATTTCTTCTTAACTAAATACCACAGACGTTAGTCGGACCCAGGGTGACATAAATGACATACAGTTTTCAAATTCACTGAGAGCATCGTTCTGACGGACATTAAGGGAAAGGCGTGAGTCTCGCCTGCTCATCGTGGGCGGCGACGAGGACAAGCTCTGTGGCTGTCCCGGTCGTGGTCGTAGTTGGGTCCAACACGCGCTGTTATCGAACAATACCATATCCACGTGATCAAGACGCGTCCCCAATATGGAAGTTCGGTATCTTACTTTGCCTCAAGGCAATGATGGGCGCATTCTTCCCTTCAACTTTCCTTCTAGGGCCCAGACTCGATTTTGAACTATGTTTTCTTCCTAGTAAAGCAACAAGTCGCGACTAAAATACACGAGAAGTGGAGTACAACTAGTCAGCAGCTTGCACGTTCGCGGGTATTGCCTAAGGCTATGTTGTGATAATCACTGTTCCTGGCTGGCTTCCAGTTCTTCCACTGATGGTACATCACGCAACCACCCACAAAAGTCAACATCCTTCTCCAATAATTCACTAACACGGTCGACATGTCTTTCCACATCAAACTGGGAACGATAACCCCCTCCAAAGACGCCACTACTCGTCCCGTTGTGACCTGAACCTCCAGCCTGGGTGGAGGTAAACTGCGGAAGAAACGCGTTTGGATTTTGAGCGAATGACCGCATTGGGCTGACAGGCGAGTGAAGAAGGAGGTTGTGATTGGACGTAGGGGAATCAGACGCCCCCGAACCCGGGGTTGAGAAGTAAGACTTTGCAGGCGAAGGGTTTTCCTTGGCGGCACGTGGTGAAGGCTCACTCTCGGCACGAAGTATATTTTTCAAAGGAGGCCCCTGACGTGGCTTCGGTTGAGGGGTGGCTGCCAGTAACTCAGTGAGAGTAGGAAGTCTGCCTTCACCGCGAGGGGAGGTTGGAATAGCTGCACGTTTCGACGTTACCTCTGGCACATTTGCCGATTCCGTCGGTGGTCGAGAGCGGATTGCTGAATTTTCTCCATGGGGGGACTGTAACCGTCGCTTCTTCGAATTGGAAGATACTATGTCATGGAGAGAAGACGGTGATAGAGGGCGTTTGTTTGTTTGTCGCCCGTCGGAATGTAGCGGAAAAGAAGGGGATATATCAACAGTATAAGGATCTTCCCCGAGATGATTATGATCGCCATCCCTGGGAGTTGACGGATGTGAAATAGATGATGATGAACATACAGGGTAAATCGGCGGGGGTTTTGTCCGAACAGGCACCGCGGCGTTATGTCGTGGCTGCGGAGTTGAAGTTTCAAGCTGTGATGGGAAGGATGGAGGAATATACGGCTAGGGGCAAGGTAAAACAGAGACTGATGAGTTCGATAAGAAAAAAATACCTGACTTTCGCACTCACCGTTTCTGGAAAGTCTGCAATCTTGGGCAGATCCCCACCAGAAGCATGCAAGGACTTCAGCGGGGTCTTGAGGCTAGCTTTTTCTGGCTCATCACCGCTAGGTTCCGTTGGTAATTTGGAGCTGCTAGCGGTATGGTCACCTTTGGGATCTCCGTGGACCCGAAAATTAGAGGGACCATGTCTATCTGAACGTTCCATATTACTCTTCTTACCAGTCACGGTTGTAGCATTACGCTTTACGACCGGAAAACTAAGCGACGAGGGATGGCTTTTATCTTTCAGCAATGTCAACTTCATCCCTGACTTGGAGGCACCTGTGAGTGCTGGGGTAATGGATACGGTCTTGCCGACAACCGATGCGCCTTCAGGTGTGGAGATCGTCGCTTGCCACTTTGCCACCTTCTCCTTGACATTCAGCATGGTTTTGGGCGAGACCGTTGCTAGCGCTTGAATAATTTCTACTGGCGGCTGATAGGGAGCAAGATCTGATCCGCGGAATGGTGCAACTGCTGTTATCGAGACGTTGGTGGGATGACGAGATTGCTTGGCATTCCCTTTCGACGACCTCGCTTTTGCCCTATCTTTCTCTAGCTTCAACCATGTTTCCTCGTCATCTGGTAGTATCCATTCCGCATTCTCAGCTGGATTCCAGCGTTGGTCTAACCCAGTCATACGATATCGTCCCCTGACACAACCCATCTTCAACTTCGCACTGACTTGGGTCCATTTCCTGTCCCCTGTGTCTCCTCTTGCAGCGTCAACTGCCTCGAGGACAGCGTGTTTCAAGTCTTCAACGTTTGCGTCGAACGAGGGAGAGCTGGGCCTTGAAGAGGGTGCAAGTACCTCAGGTTTGGTGGCAAGAAAAAGGTGAATGTCGCGTAGAATCTCGGTAGTGGACAGATAATTTAGTTTATTGGATGAGGACGCGCCCTTCCACCCTGTTGATTTGCGTTCAAGAGACGGTGGGAATACCGGTGTATAAAGCGACATTGTTACTATAAAACACCGTCAAACTGAGTGTCCTGATTAATGTTAGTGAAACGGTCCGCAGCGAAATTGTTACAAACTAATGAGTACGCCCAGATTAGAAAATTTGGAGGGAGACCAGACTGATTTCCCCTTGAATCCCTGCCAGTCGGTGTTGGATCGTTGTGTTTGCTTGGTGTGTTTCAGTTAGCAAGTCTGAAGGCAAGTTGGAGGCGGCACGTCAAGCGCAAGGTGAACTACGCACAGCGGACTTTGAAATTCCACTGTACACCCGCCACAAGTCCGCCACGGTCAGTCCGCATTTAATTCTACACGATCAAGCCCATCAGCACAGGCAAGCAAATTTACGCTTGCGAGCACTGCTCACAATTAAAATGTCTCACCGGCCTACATACTCACGGAAGTTTGCTTGCATCACCAGTGTTGCTTCGCAATGTTTGTGGACAGTGCCACATAAATCACGCTATGATCAATTGTGAGCCTTGCAGCTCTCACACCTTACCGCCTCACTATACTAGAACGAACGTGTTAGTAGGAAATGGAACTTGTAATCAATAATGCTTATGATTCCTCCAATGTGTCCTCGAGTGTTCAAGGATGGCTAACTGACGCCGCCGCCACAGTGGCGTATTGATCACATATGCAAGTCCCGCGACTCATCTCAGTTTATCCTATACGCCCACAGGTAGGTTACCCTTGGCGGCGTGTCCAAGAGCTCGATATATCGACTTCTCCGAGGTCGCAACTTCTTACACGGTCCCTGACCTGACCTATTTACTTTGACATTAGCGGAGCTCGTTATCCACGAGATAACTCGTTGATCATCCAGATTCTCTCCAGCGCATCTGCCACTCAGAATCAGAATTTAATTTTCATCCCAAGACAATGGAACGCATACTGACAGTGAGTGACAGCGTGACATTGGTGTGTAGGTGCCTGAGTTGTGGAGTTAGGTTTCTGTAACTCTCTACCATCCACCAAAGGATACCTGTTGTTAGGTAAGACTACGATTGGCGACGGAATCGTACCTCGAATATGCCTACATGCGCCCATGCCCGGTTCTTCCTCGGGGCTCAAACTCAGCTCAAATATCTATTTTTTTTAACATTCTGTGGGTAAATTCAGGGTTTAAAATCATCCCCCTCGGTTTTAGGCATGCACCATAATAGAGTCCTCAAGGTCATTCTCAACGACGACTTTGTCTTCGTGTGAAGTTGGAGCGAGGCTGTATAGCTGCGCAGCGCACAGTCAACATTAATGACGCTCAGGAGAGCCTCGGCTTCTAAGCAACAGTGTTCCCTCTGCTCCCGCTCCCACTTAAACTTGGACAATCAGTCAGTTGAACTGAAGGCAGTATTTATGTTTACATCGGTCGCGATAAATATAGCGGTCCTGATTCCTGAACAGCATGACCCACAACCTCACCGGTCATACAAGTGACACAGGAGACCTTCAAGTCCGGCTCCTTGACGCCAGCCACACACCGAACTCAACCTTTTTTCTCAGCGTTACCAATCCATAATACCAATGAGCGGTGACGACGAGACACTCCAAACTGATGATCAAATAATTTCCACTGCATTTGATTGATCGAGAAAAATGTAAAATATACGTCAAGGCCTAAGCAAAGGACACCCTCTTGCGAGGTGCACGATCCTGTGCGGGGCTTGACTTTTGATGGTCCGCGGGGCCCGGGCGCTCCTTGCGCATTTTTACTTTCTCCCTTTTCAGCCGAGCCCGCTGGATCGCAATGGTAGCCTTGACCTCCTCCTAGAAACCGCGTAAAAAAATAATTGCACCCTACGCACAGTCTTTGATGATTTACCAATTTCTTTTTTGTCCTGCTTTTTTGATGAATACGCCCGGATCGGGGCTGACCAGCCTACGAATCGGAATGATTTGTGATGAGAGGAATGTATCGGGGAATTGACAGACTGGGAATGTGATGCACCTACCTGCGGTTGATGATGTCTCCCAGCCTTAAGCAACGCTTTATCCTCCTGTGAATTGCCGATTGACACCGCTAGATCCAAAGAATCCTAACCGTAAAGACTTTCATGAGATAATTTCTGGCCGACGATCGCGAGTAATGCAAGCGCTGTGTCAGAATGAGCGCCCTACCTTGCCGTGTTCATAAAAAACTTTCCTCTTTTTCTCCTTCAATGTTGATAGTGGGGGTGTCACGACAGGCGGTCCTGATTTCGTCATAACATGGAGTTTCCCGTGTCAACGGAGGCGCGGAAAGAGGAGGCGTTCAAGTCCAGCGTGACGGAATCAACTTGAAAAGGATTCAGACTGATGACTCAGCAGAAAGTTAGTAACACACTGAGTTACACAACCTTCCGACGACGCAATCAATCGCCTTTGAAGCGCCACCGGGTACCAGCTACAAACCAGCTATCAATCATCTTTTGTCACACTGCGCGTCTGTTCATCATATGCAGTAACAGGAGATTGGCGTAAAGCAACCGGTAGACAACCAGTCAACAACCAGATTCCAATGGAAACGACTCATAGGATTATGTGACTATTTTTTCAGCATCTGATTCATCTGCGGTCCCGTTACAGTCAAATGCAGGGGACAGCCTGAGTGCACCTTCTATGAATGCCGGCAACGGAGGGTCGCCAGCAGTACGACATATTCCAATTTCACACTTGCAGCTCAAGCTTTCTCTTCAATCGTTATACCAGGGTAACCTAAGTCATTCCCGCAAATCAAGTAGTTTAACTTTCTTCAGGTATTGACAGGATGCAATCTAGCCTTATTTATGGGTGTCACCAACTTTACTTACTTCATGCCGCAGGTGTGACCGAATCTGGAGTTGATCCCCGGGTTCAAATTGTGCCCGTTAGGACCTTGTTCCTCATACGATTAGTCGTTCTCGAGAAAAGGTCCTGCGAAAACGCTATCAAATGACGCACGGCAGTACCTCTCGTTTTGGATGGCTGGCGACCTGTTCTTCTTGTGCACAGATGGCCACCAAATTCAAAATGCATAATCCGCTTTAGCACCCTAAGCAGACACGCTACGTTCATTACATTGCCGTGTATGCTACATAGCCTATCGGGGGATAGATAAAAGGGCAGACAGTTCTTCGTCAAAGATCACCCACCAATCGACTAGAACACTTCTTTCTACAACACTCATATATTCACCAACCACCCTCAACTACTATCAACAATGTGCTGCTGGAGACAGTATGTGCAGTCGTCAAATCCTTCCATGCTTTACTGACCCTCTCTTCAGCGTCCGCAATGTTTACCTCCGCTGTGGCCACGCCATGAACCTCGTAAGCCTCACACGAATGACTCTTAGCGACGTGGCTAACGTCAATGAATTTCCTACGTCAGCCTGACGAATTGGTGAGACATCACAACACAACGATACCAGCGATGTCTAAAAGATTTTGCAGATCGTCTGCGACAGTTCCAGGTGCAAGTTCGGCCCCAATCACCCCGCCACCTGCCTCCCACCCACGTGCAAGCAAACTTGTGCCCAATAGTGCGTGCACACGACTCATTTACGATTACAATGACTGACTTGCATGATGATGAAATTTTTTACTTCTGCTCCACTCGCATTTCGGACAACGCCACTCTGATAACTCGTCGGATCATTAGTCGCCAATACCCTCAACAATATTGTGAGCTCGTGATTGTTATCTCTCGCTGTTGTTTCTAACAACAGACATGATAGCGCCCAACATCAACAGATTCTGCCCCTCGTGTGAGCAGGCTGGACGCCGCTGAGCGCCGAATGCCGAGCATCATTGTGAATATCTTATCTTGCACCTTTAATTCTTAGAGCCCAGGCCAAAGACCTCTTTCGTTAATTATTCCATGTGTCATATTATTTATAGTGTATCACCTAACATCGGGATCGACTACGTGTACAGTTCGCTTTCTTGTTACTGAATATCGAATGATCTGGGATTTGTTAAAGTTTGTCCGACCGAGGAACGTTGCATGAAGCCCGGATAATCAACCTAATTGGATGGCGCTGTGCCGTAGCTCGCCCGAGTCAACAAATGAAACCTAAGAGCGGAATGCGTTTTAGGCCACTTACATACAGAATGATCCTCACGGTCCCTTGATCAAATGCGATGAGCCGGGGGTCGCATCATCGTGGCGTACGATGGTTGAACAACAATAAGTATTTTTTTAAGGTTACAACCGCAGTCTGATTATTCTTTAGCTTGGCGTCAGACTAAGTTTGTACGGTTTCATATGGGTTTCTCTGGTGAAGTAATGCTGTTCCCGCAGTATATGCCGCTCTGTTACTCCCCCTTTAAATTATCGTAAATGATTGGTCTGAGCAGGCGGCCGTCGTGTGGTCAGGGCACGCGGTACACTCTATTTGGACATGGCACGTTGATAGGCCTTTGCCATCGGTGGGACTGCCGTTAGGATACGGCCGCCAGTCAGTCTTGATTTAGGGTCTGCGTGGTGAAGCGCTTCATCAGGACGAGATTCGGTTGACAGGTTAAAGACAATAAAGGAAACAATGGTGCTAACTCTGTGGGCGCTGAGCCATATCCTGGGGGATAATCCGTAAACCTCATCCAATGGTTTCCGTTCACATGTACACATCAGGATGTCCGTGAACTGCCGGGTAGCCGAGCTGACAGCAGATAGCCATTAATGGGGTGTCCGTTACTTTTGACGGTTGGATTGAATAATCGCCTAGATTCTGCCAGTAAAGCCTGACTAGTACTGATTGTGTTGCAAACGCTTCGTGCGTTACTAGTTGCTGTAATCGCACGGCCGCGGAGACTGAAGTTGTAAAAACTCAGACCAGTACCATGGAGATCTCGAGAGAGTACTTAGATGTAAACGTCATGATGATTTACGTACCTTTTTAGGCAGCCCTGAACTCGGCCTCAGCAGGATAAGCGGTTTTGAATTCGATAGCCTTCATAATAATTACGGTGGACTGTGTGTCAGGTACTACCCTCAAAACCTAACGTGGGAATCCTCCAAGTCAATAATGAGTCATATGACCATCCGCCGAGACGGGTTGACAGTCACGCTACCCCGTTTTCGACTGAATATTAAAAGAGACCATCCGCCGAGATGCAACTGTTGACACTGTCTACCGTTTTCAATTGAATGTAAGTAATCATTCACCGAGTCGGAAGTGTTGTCGCGCCACTGACTTCGATTGAATGGAGATGACCATCTACCGAGACGGAAGCGTTGTCGCGCTACTGTTTTCAATTGAATTGGAAGTGACCATCTGCCGATACGGAAGTGTTGTCGCGCTACTGTTTTCGACTGAATGGAAGTGATCATCCACCGAGACGGAAGTGTTGTCGCGCTACTGTTTTCGACGGAATGGAAGTGACCATCCACCGAGACGGAAGTGTTGTCGCGCCGCCGTTTTCGATTGAATAGAAGTGACCATCTGCCGACGCGGAAATGTCGACAGTGCCTCAAAGATCGGCTACTGCTTTCGACTGAATGGAAGGTGTGCACTGCTTCCCTATGATACGGTGCTAATAATTAATTGTACCCCCGATCTGAGAGAGATCCAGCTGAAGCCCGCGCCTCGGCAGTTGCGCTGGTCTATTTTCTTCTGAAATGGAAGACAAGGAAAGTCTTTGCCAATAGCGGTTTTCATCAGGTGATATACGCATCGCCCAGACTTGTACGAATAAGTAATAGTAAGCTAGAACGGCAAGATTCAGACAAAGGTGCCTTGTTCTTCAACTTCTATCAAATTATAACCCGTGTGTCCCAACCTTACTGATGTAGCGCCAGAATTGTGGCGAGCTGGCGCTGCTCGTGGGAATAGTCAGCCTTCATCAATTTGTCTAACACCACCAGATATTGTAGGATTTGTCCTGGGAGTGCTGGCTTGCAGCGTAGAGCAAACTAAGTACATCGGCGGTACCATGACGATATATCTGCGAAAATCAAACCATCAGTTACAGATGGAGTGACGAAACAGTAGGCGTACAAAGTGACGTGAATTTCATAAATACGTCCAGCTACGTATGCCTGGTCTAGTAATCATGTTTTGTCTCATAAAAGTTTAATCTTTCATCTCCCAGCTAATCCCGCAGCCACATCCACCCTTCGCCTGGGGGTTCTCCGCGATGCGAAACGAGCTCCCTATCAGCTCGGTAGCGAAATCTATTGTAGAGCCGTTGAGAAGTCCGAGGGAGACTGCGTCGATATAGATATTTGACGGAACAATGGCGGGATGTGTGAAGTGGCTGCTGATCCGATTAGAGATAACGCAACTTATTGTGTTGTCAACGCACTAATCTTCCACATTTCGTTCAGAAGCAAGCTCCATTGTATACTGGTAACCGTGGCATCCTCCTGACTCCACTGCAATGCGTAGGCCTGCACTGGGAGTGTGTTCCCGCGTAGCTATAGATTGCAGTTGCTTCGGTTCCATTACAGTTCAGAAGACGTTAAGAGTTTATGAGAAGCATACGACGCACCTCGGCAGCTCGGTTTGTAAGTTCTAGCTTGATATCCTCTTTGGGTATTATGTCCAAGTCAAGCTCCTGTGCTTTTAGTTCATCTGCAGTAGGAACAGAAGATATTAAGGCGGCGGATTTTGGAACATAAGTGGGTGTTGAGGGGGCTGCATGCATGATTGAGGAGGATGCGAACGACCGCGTCTTGTGCAGGGCGGAGCCAGACTTCCATCTTGTTATCGGTGTTGAGACCATCCCGGAGCGCATATAAATGTCTGCGGCATGTCTTATGCATGTCGACACCAAAAGTCCAAATCTCGGTGCGCTCATCGTCGTTTGTGCGCAGAGGTCGCTGTCAGTGATGATGACATGTGTTTGGCCATCGCTGGAACCGAAATTGACCTCACGTGATTAATTATAGTTGTTCCGTCTGAATCCGTCATGTCCTAGTACGTATATGACCGTTTATATGCCGTTATCATAATTTGTGTCATTCCACGGACTCCATGCTCCGCGTCGGAAACAAGTCCGAACTCTCAGGAGGCTCTTCATGATCATTGCGTGACACTCTTGAAGTTTGACTCCCAACTTCAACTACATACGCACGAAATGGCGACCGAAAGAGATCCGTTAATCTTGAATGAAGCACAAGACCATCGTCCGCCTGGCCCTCGAGACATTTCAAGATCGACGCGTTACGGAATTTTGATTGGTCTGTGGTCCGCGACTTTTCTTTCAGTGAGTTTTTTCATCCAACAGTCTTTCTGTATTTTCTGATTAGTCGTTAGTCTTTGAACAGTACGTTGAACTTTCTATTCCGACTCATGAGTTGTGTAACTCTCATCAAAACATATCCAGCAACCCTAGTCGCTACCCGTACGACGTCCTGGCTGTTGCATTTATCGGAATACTAATCCGACGGTTCTGTCACAGTGCTACCATCTATCTCCTCTGACTTCAACAAGTCAAATCAAGCTAGCTGGCTTGGAACATCGTGAATACCGGATTCTTCGGCCCGAAATTCTATTTTCTAATACTTTATCTTAGGTATTTACTTGCGGTCTGTACTTTTACACCTTTATATGGGCGGTTATGCAACATTATGGGGAGACGGGGTGCAAACCAGTTGGCTGTATGTATTGCCGCGCTGGGTACCCTGCTTTGTGGCTTCTCTACGAGCATGGAGCTGTTGGTTGTTGCACGATTTGTACGTTCCTTCATTGATTTCATTTCACTCTTTTGTGACATGCTCCTCCAGCTATCTGGCATGGGAGGTGGTGGTATTCTTACGACCTGCACGTGAGACAAACATCGGCCAAACTATTCAATTAATTACTAAACACGACTCATGACGAGTTTAGGATCACTACAAGTGATATGTATTCCATGCGGGTACGTTCTACTCCATCGCCTTCACCGTTATCGTTATATCAGGAACACCTATAGTCAAGAGGGCTTGCGCAGGGGGTACAAAGTGTGTTTAATGGCGTCCGTTTGGTTCCACCACTTTTTGAACCTGGAAATTTACAACTTATATTTAGCTTGGCATGGGTCTAGGAGGTCCCATAGGAGGTCTCATAAGTGACCGGTAAGCGCATCCGCCTTATCTTATTTCCTATCTACCATGCATTTTAGGTTTGGTTGGAGATGGGCGTTCTTGATTCAAATGCCCTTTTTTGTATTGTCGCTCGCTCTTACGACCTACAACTTGCGATACGTCACCCCCGTGAGCGCTTGAAAATTTCCTAAAGTTGTCACCCATTCATACCATATTAGGGTAAAAGCGGAAATACCAAGGACGTTCTAAAGAGAATCGATTATGGCGGCATTTTTTCCCTTCTACTCTGCGTGAGTCAATACTATCATGTGTAGATTGTTCTTGATTCCTTGCAGGTTGGATCATGCTTGGTATTCTTGAGTATGAAATACAACGAGGATCTCCCAGTGAGTGATTATTCACATGAAACATCTAGTTAGTTGACCTTGACCAGTGGTCGAACCGATGGGTATACGTGCCGCTGGCTCTTGCTTGCATTTTCTCCGTAGTTTTTATCTTGGTAGAGTTACTGGTTACCTCAGAGCCTATCATGGCGCCATTCCTCTTGAAACAGAAGGTCCCTGTTCTTGTTGGAGCCAACAACTTCCTTGTATCATTGTGCAACTTCTCCGTGATGTATTTCTTTCCGATGTGGTTTCAGACAGTGGCCTTGACAAGTGCATCGACTGCGGGTATGTTAATGTTGATTCGTTTCAATTTAGCGTTAACCGCAATCTGGATTATGGATAGGCCTGCATCTGATGCCGAACAGCGTATGCATGTCAGCCGGGTCTTTGTTTGCCGGGTTAGTGGACGCGTCGTCGTCATTTTGTTTTTGATTCTCATCAGCCCCAGATGGATGATGCACCGCACTGGGAAGTATAAACTCATCAACCTTATTTTTGGTTTCTTCCCATTCATCGGGATCACTCTCATCACGTTGTTGCGGAAGGATTCCGGACCACTGCAAATGTGGCTGAGCATTGTGAGCGCCACCTTGTATTCTCTGATTGATGTATGAATAATTAATGCCATATCAGGTCCCACTAGGGTTTGGCAACGCCATCGTGTTACAGACAAATCTTGGTGTGTAGGATGTTGGTAATCGGCTATGCTTTAGGTGGCTAATCATGTTGCACACAAATAATCAGTTGCCTTGCTCGCACACCTCCCCGGTGGGTTATTATGGTTCCTGTGCTGAAGTTTTCAATGATGTAATATACCATAGAGAGCTCGATGGCCGTCGGAACCGGTTTTGCTCAACTTTTCAGAGGCATAGGTCAGTCGCTCCTACGGTTCCTGGTAATCAAATACTCACTGTTCCGGTAGGTCAAGTGGGGGGCGTTGCCATTTCGTCAGCGCTATTCCAGTACAAACTTGACTACGAGCTTCGATCCAGAATACATGGTGATGGCGCAGCAGAGGTGAAATGTTACCCTTTAAGCAGTACACCCCAATGCTAATGTTTTTTCCATCTAGATTGTGAGTCGGATCCGGCACTCAACTACGCTCCTGGGCGAGTTGCCGCCAGATTTGCAACACGCAGCAAGAGAGTCATATGCTATCGGTCTCCGTGCTGTGTTCACGCTTGCTGCATGCTCCGCACTGCTAGCGTATTTCGTCCGACTACCTGTACGTTCCTAGCCTGTTTTATTTTTTCGGTTCTCTGTTGATGGTATCACGGTTTAGATTCCTGAGAAGAATTTAGACAGTCCGCCTAAGGAGACTGATACCCAACCTAAGTCCATCAATCCCGGGGCTGAATCAAGAGCTCTGCCTCCTCCCCAATGGTCGCCACGCCGTGGAGAACGGGGGGTATGAGGACACCCTGCCGTTCCTTTCCAATCACGAGTCCATTTTCTCCGCCCTCGAGCCGACAGAATGTACATATATGAGGTTAGAAAGCGCTTCGATCGGAGGTTCAGCCAGACAGTGATACTAACTTCACATTAATATCTTTATTCTTTATTCCAAACATAGAGTAGAAGGGTCTTGCATTCCCGGATGTCTCCGTGGTTCTGATCCTCGACTTCTCAATGTCCCTTGTACTTCTCCTCATCAATCAAATCACACCCAATCCCGTTCCTCCTAATCGTTCATGCAGAACCTGTACCGTACCCGTCTTGAGCTTCATATTCGGGAGATGGTTTGATAAGGGGTTATGATAAAATATCGAGTGGCGCAGATCTTGATTCGGAAGACAACCATTTAGTACTAGTGCGCCGCTGCACCTAGGGTTGGTTATGGTCCCCGAGAGTTCAGGGAACAAACAGCCTAGCTGTTCGTTGGCCGATAGGCCCGAGAGATTAAGACCGCCGGTAAGCAGAGGAAAACGAGCAAGTCAGAAATGATGGTGGTGGGCGGAAGGGAAAAAAAGCAAGTCATGACTCGATGTAGCGAATACTTTTATTCTAGAATGCGAGCAATAACACGTACAAAACGAAAAAAATAAATTAATGGAACAGGGCAATCTACTGCGATATGAAATCAGCGCGGGATATCAGCAGTCACATGCGCATGTGCATACCACGTTTGGAGATCTTATCAGGCCTCGAGGTCCGAGAAATCATCCGAGTCATCCTCGTCTTCTACGACCATAGCTACATTCAAGGGTGATTTGCTGGTAGATTCACCTGTGGATGTCGAGAAAATATCATCAGAACGTTTCCCCAAGATCTTCGAGACTTGTTTTGCTTGAGTAGAGAGAGATCGGAGGATCTCGCATTCGTTATCATAGATGGCTTGAGTGTAGTTGGTGTCGTCTGCGACTTCGGTCAGGTTACGCCGGGAAGCAAACCATTCTTTCATTTTCTCCAACTTTGCATCTTCTACCCCCAGGAGCTGTTTGCTCTCGACACGGGATGCTTCAAGGAATGCTGTGTAACGCTCGGCCTCTTCAAGCTCCCACGTCGCTGTCAACAGACGTTGGCGCGCAGCCTCGCGGGAAGCCAGCTTCGCTTTGAATGCCTTGTACAGAGTTGCGAGGCCCAATTGTGAGAGGCCTATCTCCACTAGTTGCTCATTCTTGCAATGATTAAACATGAGAATGGATGAACGATCGTAAGACAAAATGCCTGTTCAGTTTCTTCGGGAGTGGATTCTGGTTGGCGTATCCTCCCTGTTACACGAGCTGCAAACCGAAGCTGGGCGGAGAGGGTATGGCTTATGTTTCCTGGCCACGAAGGGAAGCATTCGCAGGTGGAGTATCAGAAGGCCTAAAAAAATAGGCTCTCTTTCGCAGCTGGAGGACTTGGTGCTTCATCCGTGAGGAGGAGAGAACTGTGTGGCCCAGTTGGAGTTAGCACAGAGGTCATCGATTCAAGGGATAAGTTAGAGTTTGTCTGCCTGGATAGAACACGGATTCCGGATGATAAGCCTCAATATTTGGTGAAGTCGAACGCAGATGATTCAACAAGAGTTTCATCGATGGATGCTCAATGCTTGATCGAGACCTCAGCCTGTAGCGGTACCGAAGTCCGGTTCGGTCCGGTTATTGGCCCTCTAGATGCGAACCCCGAACCAGACCATCAGTCGCGGAGGGCGAACGGCCCATTTGCGTTAGTGACTAGGCGCGCATGGTCCATGGAAGGAGGTCACGATGTAGAAAACAGGTGTCGAGTCTCGCCTCGGTTCACAAGCGTTCGGTTCGAGTCCAGAACGCGTTCAAGCGCCCGAACGCCCATTCGCGTTAGTGACTAGGCGCGCATGGAAGGAGGAGGTCACGATGTAGAAAACAGGCATCGACATGTTTGACAAGGAGATTTGATATCAGTGGCACAGTTTTTGACAGACACAAACAGGCAGGTACGCGGCGGCAGCGAGCAGCGGTCGCGTATCCCCGTCCCGGCGGGCGTACAGGGTTCCCGTCGGACCGACCCTACGAAACATGTGAATGTTTAAAAAAGTGCTTTGCAGATCTGTGGAACTATCCATGGACCATATGTATAGCACAAACCAAGAATCATGGGACCGGAACTTAAGTAGGGAATCGTGGGTTTATTCGGGTTTAATTTTGTGTCGTAGCGAACGACGTGTGCAATGTTTGAGTCTAACTCAAATATTCCACCCTTGGTGGGCGTGTTGTGGTGTTCGTCGTTGGTAGCCGCGACCAACGCACCTTTCACGTGTCAGGGATTGATAATCCCTCCTTTGGAGCTCCGTCCTCCTATGGTGGAGTAACAGCCTTCTAGCTGGTTAGTTTGAGTTTGTCCTCTTTCTAACGCCTCGCTAGGTAGGTTTTTAGTTAGTATTCTCTCGTATTACTCTTTCTAACCTTTCACGTCGTCTCGCTAGCTAATTTTTGAGCACCCTCCACTCCCACCTGCTAGCGATCGTTCCTTCCATTTTATCGTTAGTTTGGGGCTCATACTACTTATTTGCGGCGTGTGTTGTTGGTCTCAAATAGCAGCCAGGCTCCTCTGCAGTTCTGGAGGAGCCGAATTTGGTTATTTCCAGCGTTTGCACGCTTGTCTGAATCCCGCGAGGCCCATTAGTAGCTTTGTGTATTCGTGGCTTGAGGTGGCGTTCTCCGCGAATAGCTGGGTTATGGTCCGACGTGGGGTTTACGACCTCAGGCCAGGCTCAAGATGTTTTTTTTTCAAAAGAAGTTAGCAGGCTTGTGTATAAAACGTTAGTAGCTAGCAACTCACGCTCTTTATTCTGGGAGGCAGTTCTTCCGCAGAGGAAGAAGACCGCCGTTTCTGCTGATTAGGATAAAAAGGGACATGGGTAGCACGAGGTAACAAGTAGTACGCAGCAACATGATGGGATTGCGTTCATGATAGTCTGCTCTCGCAGCCTATCACAAATCTGACGTGACAGATATACAAGACCCGTAGTAGGTATGTGAGTCCATACAAAATGAAACATGTGGTAACTCTAGATCTATAACAGTATCTAGAGCAAAGATATGACTCAGTGAAGAAAGAAAGAAAAAAGAAAAAAAGAACACAACAATTCAAGTGAAAAAAAGAAAGAGCACTTGCACTCATATGCATATGAACGAAAGAGATGAACGCAGCACCTCCAAATGAAGCGATCGGAAGTAGGTTTGAAGGTTTGAAATTCCCCCGCATGACATCATGATCATCTTAGACTCTTCCTCATTGTATGTCGGCGCTCGCCTTCGACGCAGACGAAGCTCAAAATGACATCTCCGGTAATGGTCAGACCATGCGGGGTTATATGTAGTAGCCCGGGATTTGTTCTTGTTGATGGTGTGTACGTGGCAACTGGGGCTTGCCTGCTATCGTTGCTCGCCATCTTTGAGAACAAGATCAATATTGGACAGCAAGACACTTCCTGTAGTGATTCTCACCAATGCTGAACCTTCATGGAACGTCCATTTATACGATTGCCCATTTAGTGCTGTGAATGTTCTTGACCTAGACAGAAAGGAAAATAAGACGACTGCGGAAGATTAAAACAATGAAAAAAAAATCATACGAGCTGAAAAAACTGCTTTTGTTGACATATATCTCGTGTCCGTGTACCACAGCTGTCCCAGGTCTACCAGACTGCCACACTACCCTTCCAATCTCCACTTCACTCTGCCCACCACCGACTTTCTTGACGGTAGTCGTAAATGAGCTGAGATATGTGTCGATGCGATACACAGCACGACCCTCTGGGGATAATAAAGCAGTGTTAAACGGACTGTCCGTAAGAAGTGAATAATTCATAATTTGGACGGTTCTACAGGCAGTTCAGTTTGGGGCGCTGTATGAGCTGTACTTATCGGTGTGTGCAGAGTCTGAAGAGCGTGTGGCGAGAGAAGCTTGAATTCTGCCACGGTGGGCGCCAGCTGTCTCCGTGCGCACGGGCACGACATGTAGCGTTGAATTTTTAGGATTTTCGTTCATGAGAGCTGGGGAACGATAACATAGCTGACATGGGTGCTAAGAACAACGTTGATGAATCCATCAAGTCCACATCTACTCGTGTTGCGACGCGTGCAAAGGCAGTGTGCTAGTGATGCTGTGATTGGATAGCATCCCTTGGGAATCGATCACGCTTCGAAAGAACCATTTCGGCTTCGGTTCGGCTTGTATTTCGGGATTGAGCGTCGTACCTGTTCTCGTACGACATATATGCTCCAAGTTCAAGTTCAGTTGACAAAACTTCCAGTACGCTGAGCCTTGCATTGATACAGTTTGTTCCCCGAGTCTTGATCGTTTCATTAAAATTTTGTTATACAACACATCCAGCATATATATAAAAACTAACACAGCTCCATAAATCAATGTCTCGCGGTCAAACGTTCAACTGACAAAGCAAGATTCCACGTAAGGACTAATAATAATGAGAGAGCGTGAAACCACATACCAGACCTCTTCAGCAGTAGTAGTCATTGATAGTCTGCTCCGCTTGTATGCCCGAGGCGCTTCCGTACTTGGAGGCAGCCGACGCATAGGCTTCCCTACAGCATGCACCCTGTTCAACAAAATACCCGCAATGACCTTGCACCGGGTCTCGCGCTCCTGTACGGCCCGCTGTGCAGTTCGCTGACGAACTAGGACGTCGATTGGGTTTGAGCCGGGGAGTCTGACGGTGTATGATTGTGAAGCGAGGTGGGTGCGCTGGGGAACGGGTCGTTGTGGTATGGGAAGGGCGCATGAATTTGAATCATTAAATGGGTTTTCCGAGGGGAAGGGGATAGCCTGTGCGATAGCACGAGGTGGTGGTGGTGGTGGGACACGACGGGCTACAGGGAAGGATGGGAGACGACGAGAGCTTGAACTAGGGAGTGAAGCGGGCGCTATGCGCCAAGAGGCGGTTCTTGCAAAGCCTGGATGGATTTTATTGATTGGGGAGCCTTCGATTACGACGCCAGCGTTCGATGAGAAAGTAGTGTAGGACGGTACGCCTGCGAAAGTGCCATGGATGGAGTGAATACTGTGAGTTGGGACAGACATTTCGATTGAGGCAGGTATGGTTTACTAGGAGGGATAGAAATACTGGTAGTATTATGAGGGACGTCAGCTGAGCCCGGAAGTAGTGAAGAATTTATAACCGTATTTGTTTGAGCGTGATCAAGTATTTCTCACCAGTAACAGCCACCTTAACGTTGTACTATCCAAATGAAGAACACAATGGTTTTTGGCTTAGTGCAACCAATTTCACGCCGTCCTCTTTGTTTTCTCGTTCCTTTTGTTCCCAGTTCACGTTCAAGTCCAATTAGTTGCTACTGATAATTCAAAGGGACTCTTGTGTTGCATTATCAATGGGCTTGGGTTGGATACTTGTTGAAGTTACGGCGGTCCCGAGGCTATGCTCCATCATAGGCTGATCCAGAATCTTATCGGGAGTGCACCAACGCTCTAGATGAATCTGGATTTGTACCTGTCACATGTCGCGTGTCCCGCAGCAGAACCTAGCTTGATAGGGTAATAAGTAGAAGCTTCTATTGGTTTCGCGGAGAGCAGTGGGCCTATCTATATCCCACCACCGAGTTCTAGCGAATTTCAATACTCCACCTTGTTAGGCAATCTCCACTTCGATCATCGGACGCCAGATACCTTGACCTTTATCCCCCAGATAACACCTTCTTCTTCATTCAAAGCGCACCGTGCTTTCTATTCCCGACTACTCCTTCACCGGGATTTGAGTATGCGGATGATGGCAAAGTGACGTACGTCTGAGGAGCCTTTCAGCATGTCTCTTGATAACATGTCCCTAGCTCCCCGCGGCCGATAAGTGTGCTTCGTCGTGTGTGACTTGCTCCACACTGAGGTAATACCTGTGGATCCGTGAGTAGAAGCCCATCGTCTTCCAGACTTGCCCTGATTCTCAATCGCGTTCTTGATCGTAGCAGCAGTCCTATTATTCGGCATAGACAAGACCACTACGAATGATGTTTGGCAGGGATCTGATAGTTGTCTGCGGGTGAGATTTCAACTCAAGGTAGAACAGCACCCAAGTCTGTCCGTAAAGCCAGGCATTCCTGTACCATCAATCATAACCATGCTTCTACACAAAGTAGAGTTCCCGCGGATCCGTCGTTGGAACTTTGCAAATCAGGGCCCTACTAGGCCTGGACAAGCGCTCGTGGAGATCCTCCATCCCTGATGCTTCTTTTGCGCCTGTCTAATAAACCAACGAATTGAAATGTAGGCCCCATCTTCCCGCTCCTCTCTTCTCAGCTCTCGTAAGTGCGATTTTTTGCGCTCACTCGCCATCCCATCTTTATCTTCACGTGTTTTGGTCTGTGTCCTTGGGCGCTGCCTTATAATCGTTATCACTGCAGACCCGGCGCTTTACTCCACAGTCCGAACCTGACTTGGATGGCAGACTGTTGACAGTTGCATGCCAGATTCGGACCTTTATGCACATAGGCAAATTAATTCTTTTACGTGATCCTTTATTTTCAATACTTCTTGTTTTCGATCCCATCTAGCCTTTTCTTTGAATCAGAGCTGATCGATCGATCTTCATTTCAGCTCCCACCTTTTCTTCGCCCCACAATCGGCCCCATCTAAGTGCGCGATTTCCTTCCTCACAAAGTGCTCTCATTCTCATCAAAATGAACAGATTGAACCGACGTTGGTTACATCTGGGTTGTATTCCCTTCGCACAACCGCCTCCTCGGCTCCTCCCACATATTAGTGCAGCCCACCTCGTCATGCCTCCGAGGATTCATACCCAAGGCTAAGCTTCTTCGACGCCTTGATAAGTTTTCCTGTTGTCGCGATTTATGGTGACTTATTCCTTAGCACGCACCTAGGACTTCCACACATAGCACCATGTGCGAGAAACCTGGATGTTTGCGCCACATTGGTATGGCATAGCAACTACGAGATTCTCCTGCAGGTAGCTTCCAGGATATTTGTCAACATCGGTGATGGTCGGATCAACAACTATTCCCATTGAGCGCGTGATCTATGTACCCGGATGGTCTAGTCATTCTACCCTATCCGATTACATATATCAGGAGCTGCTGGTGATCTCTCTCCGGAAACACAAACCGCACACAAGCTCTCGCATCCTTTGCTTGTCAGTATTTTCTCTACTTTTCCTTGCCAGCTTTAACCCATATCCGCCCTCCAAGATCGTCAACTCGCAACTCCAAACTGATGGGTACAAAGGCGCTGGCAGGTAAACATTCCGTCATATCTTTGAACTTGCGTTGAACCAACTCTGGCCATGTCGTTAGGTCGTTATGCATTTCCGAGACAATCAACAACTATTCCTATTGAGCGCAGGATTTATGTAGCTGAGATCGTTAGCGTCATTCTACCTATCCGACTACATATATCAGGAGCTGCTGGTGATCTCTCTCCGGAAACACAAGCCGCACACAAGCTCTCGCATGTTTCGGCCTCCTTTACTTGCCAGTGTTTTCTCTACTCTTTCCTGCCAGCTTTAACCCATATCTGCCCTCCAAGATCGTCAACTCGCAACTCCAAACTGACGGGTACAAAGGCGCTGGCGGACCATGCTTATCCTTGAACTGATTCAGGCTATTCCCATTGAGCGCGGGATCTATGTAGCCGGACAGGTGTCATCTCTCTACCTGTCCGACTACATATATCAGGAGCTGCTGGTGTTCTCTTTCCGGAAACACAAACCGTGTACAAGCTCTCCCATTTTTCAACCTCCTTTGCTTGTCGGTGTTGTTTCTCTACTTTTTCCTGCCAGCTTTAATCCATATTCGCCCTCCAAGATCGTCAACTCGCAAGTTCAAACTGATGGGTACAAAGGCGCTGGCGGATCATGCTTATCCTCTCTAACTCTTTGTGCATTCCTATTCCCAGGTATGTGATGAGAATCACCCGTAATTCTATTGTCCCTTCGATCTCGGATCTTCGTAGATGTCAGGGATCTATTTCTGCCCCATCTGTGTAGATCCCACACTCCTGTTCAATAAAAGCTGTTGACATTTTTTCTTATGTTAGAAATGTAACCCTGTAAATGTTCTCACACATTGTCCGTCGCAACTACTCAAGTGCTGCAGCTTAATCCAGGTAGTGTTATCCAAGGTCATCCACTGTTTCTAGCCATAGGACTGTTCTCTTCTAACTACTTGACCCATAGATCTTGTTCTCTCTTTGGCAATGTATCTTCTGCAGTTGCGATATCCGAGTCCAGCAAGTATGGCATGCAGTGACCTAACACCGATGATTTACGTTCTCTGTGAAAGAGAAAGGTCTTTATCGTTATTTGGGAGCTAGTCATTGATCACTGATTCCACCGCTTCACTCGATGGTATTCGACCTGGCTGTCATTCATACTTGAGAAGCGGAACTGGTGCTCATTCTGACAGTGATGGCAAGTCAGACGAATACACAAGGAGCTCAAGTACACTCACTTTCAGTACCCTCTTGCTCGAGTTATCAGCTGACACGTCACCAATTTGACAGCAGCGCGGCGTTCCTGAGATCAACTGTCACGACCTGTTACGACCGGCTTGTTATTTCCGTTTTGCGCTAACAAGGCTGTGTATATTTCAAACAGCATCTTCCACATAAACACCGTTTCCTGCAAAGTTGTCAACTGCGCGACCCAGTGCACGCGCTCACCTGCCTAAAAGGTATGTCTCTATTTGATACCAACAACAACATTCCATCTGACATCACCATGGACTCCCAGATAACTCTCGTTGACAGCGATCCTGATTCCGAACTCGCTCCTCCAGATCCGGCATTCGGCGCAACGACGATTCTGGACTTTGACAACAATGTGAGGAGATCGACGAATGCCACGTTGCGGGGACAAAGTCACATACGATACTCTGTTGGAACCGTCAGGACTGGTCTGGCGGGGATGAGCCGCAAGACCGTTTTCAGCCAGGGAGAGAGGATACTGGCAACGGTGCAGCGCAGGAATATCATCCCGGATGTGTTGACGCTGGACGGCTTAACTATGAGGCTTGGTTGCTGGCTCAAGACGCCTATATTCTCATCGTTGTAAGTTGGCTTTTGCATATGGTGGACGAGTTCCAACGTCTGGTCATCTAGTCCTGCGTCGTTCCGCGAGGGGAGAGAGACGTACCGCTGGAAGAAAGGGCGGGACGGGAGAATCGACGTGGGTTTAGGGCGATCATATAAATAAATGTGAACTAGTCCTGACGTTTTTCTGACAGTTGCACAAAGGAAGCGGTGCTAACACTAGTACGATCGCTCGTTTCTATCCCTCCGATTTCGTTGTCACGCGCGATCGGAGAAGGATAAAGTATCGTGCTCATCTGGACTTACGAGCTGAAGCTGATCTCATACGCGAAAAGGTGTTCATATCGTGTGTGCTGATTGTGCAGAAGACGAAGAGGAGGGCGAAGGCGAAGGAGCAGGAGCTGGACTTGGTGTCACCTAATGGTGACCTTGGACTGATTGTTTTCTATGCGATTGCTCCGGTTCTTGGGTTTTGACTAGACGAAACCTGTTTGAAGCGCTACCATGTTCATATGCAAAACTTCTGCGGCGGTCCAACTCCAGTCTTAAATTAGATGTAACCTACTAAGTTAACTACACGGACTCTTGCAAGAGATCAGATGAATTAACCGACAAATATATAGAGAAGTCGCGGCAATCAATCACTTTTCCTGCTGAATCAAAAGCCTGAACTCATGTTAATCACGTGGATGAATTCCTGTATTGCTTCGGTACGAAAAAATATACTGCCTACATGCTCGTGTACTGAGTACTATCGCAGCAGCTGCGCAACCCTTTTCCTCATCGCTCGCTTGCCCAATCGCCTCTCGAGCATCCGATGCACATCCTCATTCCCAGAAAGGGGGGTCAGACCCTCATCCGCGTTCCGGGGCGGAGATACTGAGCGTGTGCGGTGAACGTCTGATAGAGCACCATTCAGTGCCGGATCCCCATGCGGCGTGTAAAATGGGGGTGGTGGTTGACTTTCGCGCTTGATGTGCATGACACGAGGAGGTTCTTCGAGTGAGAACTCATGTCGGTTAGCCTCATCGACTTGCTCTGCATCATCAGATGCAGGCTCGGGTTCGCCGTCATACTCGAGATTATCCTGATCTTGAAGGTCCTCCGATGAAGATTCAGGTTCATGCCGTACCCGCAGCCCATTTGGCAAACGCCGCTCTAGCAAAGTTTGCTGCAAGGATGGTCGCTGACGAGAGCTGCGAGGCGGTTCGTCGTCGCTACTATCGCTCTCTCTGTTCTCCTTCGAAGCTCTCCTGGCTCTACGCGCTTCCCGCTCCCTCCGCTCGAGTGCTGCTTCAATCCAGCTCTCAGAAGCATGGCGCATGCCCCTCACATACTTCTCGGTCTCTTCTAAGCTTTTGACGCGCTTGTAAACCTCGAGTACGACGTCTGGTGAGTATCCGTGTGCGGCAGCGATACCTGATAGCAAGGATTTGAATCCGACAGAGGCGGACAGGGGTAAGTCGACGGGCGTTATGGATGTAAGTGGAATTGATGGTGTCGTACGCCCAGACGTGGTGACGTAGCCAGAGAGGTGAGCTGGGATGGCCGATGGTGTGGAATGGACGGCGAGAGAGTGGCGGAGAGGCAAATGAGATGCCGAACTACTGGCTCTAGAACGGGGCATTCGGTAAGTCGAGGTTGATAGAGTGCGAAGGTCCATGTGTGGCAGGTCATAGCCACCAGCTGTCTCTCTGGTAGTAGCGATAAGTTTTGAAGGTCCGGCGGCAGGTTGGGCTATAACTGATGCTTGGCCCATAAGAGGAGCTGAAGATCGTTGATATTTTGGCTCGCGTTCCACCGAAGATGTTAATGCAGTCGGTCCTCGTCCTACCTCTTTCTCTTTGCCCTTCTTTCCCCGAACGGGAGGCCAAGTCGTCATCAGTTTCTCCTCAGAACGACTACCAAGTCGCACACGACCTAGCCGATCAGTAAGCGCCGTTGTGAAGTGCCCTTCTACCACTTTTGGGAGAACTTTCGTCTTCGAAGGAGTAGAACGATCGTTTGTTGGCGAGAGCGAGGCGAAGATGGGAGAAACGGACTTGTGCTTTAAGACTCGTTTGGGCACTGGTGGCGGCTTTGGGGTGACCACCTGCTGTGAAGATGAGGCAAGAGGCTGGAAACTTGGTGGGAGCTGGGACGAGATTGGTGGCAGGGTCCTGACAGGAGAATTGACTTGGGACGACAGGACGGGCAGGGTATCCGAGCAAGAAGGGAGCGAAGGACTATTGAACGTGTTTGCTGGTTTCGGAGAAGGCGGAGGCACGTCGGACACAGATTCTGATAGTCCCTGATAAGGGGGAGAACTACGAGCTTGGTCGCTTGGTCCAATGGCGGGAGTTTCGTGTATCCCATTGGTCTTGATCAAGGGCGAGCGACTACTCACAGTAACTGGCTGGTCCTTCTCCAGTCTGGCTCGCTTTACTTTCCGACGCTCAGAAACTTCTTGACCGCCAGCCCGTTTTTTTCCTTTCCCGGTCTCCATTGAGCGGCCCTTCGCAGCTTCTTCGTCGGGAGACGGAGATTGAGGCTCCTTCCCTGTTTGCTTCTCCACGTCAATTCCTTTTTTCTTCTGATATTTGAGTATTCTCCTGTCGAATTCCTCCATATGGTTCCTGTATCGGGTCTGCCACGACATCCATGTGTGCGTTCTGGACCAGTTCCATTTGTTATCGACCTATATTAGCGTCAGAATTCGTTTCACGCGATAGACATCAGAGAAACTCACATTTTCCACAAGGCGCTTGTACAAAACGTTTCCGCTTCTGTTTTGCTTAGTAGGATTGTATGTCGCGATATATTTCATGAGGAGGGTGTCCTCGTCTGACGTGAAGCCCGCACGAGTACTAGGATGAGCATGGTAAGTCAGCAGCATTAATGATGCAAATACAAGTACAAACCCTTTTGCTGCGACTTGTGACATGTTTGCGGTTCAGTATATGCATATGCAATATCACTAGATCAAATCATGGAAGCAGGCGCGTCTGGTACGTGACGCGTCAAAATCACGCGGGATAATGTCACGTCACGCCCTCATGCGGCGAGCACTAAGCTAAACAACACGAACGCTCGTTGAATTTGGATGATGGTAAGCTCAAAGCTACGCATTGCTTTTATTCACCCTGACTTGGGAATTGGTGTGTATTCAATGGCAAATTCGAATATGGAGCTCAACTCACATTATGACACGTAGGAGGAGCCGAAAGGCTAGTTGTAGATGCTGCATTGGGTTTACAATCCCTGGGTCACTCTGTTGATATATATACCTCTCACCATGACCAGCACCACTGTTTTGAAGAGACAAGAGACGGTACGTCAGGAAATACTTGTCCAGTGACCGCGTCACCGTTATACAGCTCTCCTTTACAGGAAGATTGCGCGTCCATCATGTGATTCCACCGCTACCTCGGTCTATACAGGGAAAGTTTCATATCATGTTTGCACATGCAAGGCAGCTACATCTCACAATGCACCTCATGTGCACGTCAGCACATCAATACGACGTCTTCTTTGTGGATCAACTCTCTACTTGCATACCGTTCCTCCGAATGTTGTGTGGGAAGCGCGTTGTTTTCTACTGCCATTTTCCGGATAAGCTTCTTGCGAACGGTGCCTATGTAGAGGACCGGCCGCGGAAGAATGTCAGTATCCTGAAATCCATCTATCGCTTCCCAATGGATTGGTTAGAGGAAGTGACTACGAGTATGTGTATCACCGCTTGTCCAGAATTCACATTTACCGGAGACCTAGCACAGGCTGACCTGATTCTCGCCAACTCAAAATTTACTGCACGAGTAACCAAGTCACACTTCTCTTCCCTTAGACACCAGTTGAAAGTTGTCTATCCTGGAATCAATATTGCAGCCTATATTTCACCAATCGACCCATCAGATTCCGATATCCTTCAGGTTGCCTCGTGAGTGTATTTTCTTTATTTTTTTTCGTGCATAGATCATTCAAACACTCTCGGTGAAGACAACGGCGAACATTATTGTCCCTCAACCGGTTTGAGATGAAGAAGAATGCTGCTTTGGCAATAGAAGCATTCGCAATATTGCGAAACAAGGATCTGAAAACATCAGACGTGAGGCTGGTTCTTGCTGGTTGGTTAGGTAAAAACCATTGTACGAGATCGTCACTAACCATTTTCCAGGTGGCTATGATCCTCGTCTAGAGGATAACATACGCACGCTGAAATCTCTCATTGAACTGGCACAGTCCAGTGGTCTGACTTACAACATCGTCACCCCATTGCAGTCCCGCGTGGCAGTACCGTCGTTCCCGAAGATAACCTCGAATGAGCCGGATATATTGTTCCTCTTAAACTTTACCACCACTCAGCGTTCAGGTTTACTGCAGGCTCGATCTACGCTTGCTCTGCTATATACCCCAGCTAACGAACATTTCGGAATTGGACCAGTGGAAGGCATGATATGCGGCCTGCCAATACTTGCTTGCGACAGCGGTGGTCCCACAGAGACTATCGTCGACCGGCCAGCAGATCAGAGGACCGGATGGCTCTACCGTCCACAGCCATCGGTGTGGGCTCAAGCATTGGAGGAAATTTGTAATCTCTCAGAGACAGACAGAAAGGTGCTCTCGCAGAGAGCTCGGGACCGTGCACAGCAGATGTTTGGAATGGAGGAGATGGCGAAATCCCTCGAGGAAGTTTTGGAAGAAGCGGTATCTATGGGACCGGTGTCAAGAACGGGGATGTGGCTCGTGATGCTTGCAGTTCTGGGGTTACTAGTGGCTTTAATCTTTCGGTATGGATCGTTTTCAGGGTAGCTCTTTGATTGCGAATGGACAGGTCCTTTTTTGCAGTTTATTCGATAGGTCAGGATCCTATCAAAAGTTGCGCATAATGGCAAAGTCTTTGAACCACGTGTACTGTTGCTTGGGAGTGGCCCAGCCGTCTCCGTGCCCGCCGAAGAAAGTGCTGAAGAAAAGCCCAACAAAACCCACCGCCGGTTCATCGCTGGAATCACTGGCACTATTACTCAAGACAGAGATCCTCTCAGCGACGAGGATCGTCGGCGCTTCTCGTGCTGTATGTATGACGGATGATTGAGAAGCCACAGCTTCTTGCGCTGTGGCTGTCACTGCCAGAATCCCCAGCAGCCCACCTTGTGTTTGTTGTGGAGTTGGCGGCGTCAAAGACTTGGAATTGGTTTTTGATTTTGACTTCTTTTTCTGCCGAGGTGCGTCGCGATAAAATATGTCTGTCCGGTTGATCACCCGCATCCCGTTAACGAATAAAGTGAACGCTCCATCCTGCTTTCCAGGCGTGTTGAGCACGACGTCCTGGCGCAATGTCGTCCAATTCCCTGTGCCGTAGTGGAACGATCCCCTTCCAATTGAGAGCCCGTACTCAGCATCGCAGACTGACTGGGGATCCGAGCATAACGCATTTGTTTGCTTCCTCTTTGGAGCGTACTGTGAACAGGTTAGCTCCTTAATAACATTATGAGTGAATCGACAGACTAGATACAGTTCGCCGGCACCGTCTTGCCTCCACATCAGTCGTGTGCTAAAGCAGTCTTCGGCAGCAGCTCCCCCGGAACAGCCTGTATGGCCACCGTACAGACCTGGCAGTTTTCCGCCCTTCACCCAGTCGAAATCCGCGGGAAAGTAGACGCTGTATTCCATTGTGACATTTTTGGCATCGCTTAGGTTCAATGGCGACGCATAAAACTCCGCCCCACCTGGGGATTTGCTGGAAGGATTGACGGAGTATGCTGGGTAAACAAGCTGTAAGGCGGCGGTGAAGCCCGTAACGTCATGTATATTTGTTGTGCTCTGTGACTCGATTATATCCTGCGCATACACAGATCCTCCTGGTACAATGGCGAGTGCAGAGACACTGTCGATGATGGCGACATTCTGCTTCCCACTGGGAAAGTGAGTGACGTTAAACGCAGATAAGTCTTTCATGTCCGGAGGAGTCGCCCATGCCGTCCGATCCCCCCATGGCGTGCTGGTGCTGGTCACAGTGGTCGTTGCAGTCACTGTCTCGACGACTGTAGTCGTAGACGTGGGAGTGATTGCAATCGAAGTTGTCACGACGTCGGTGACTACGATTGTATTGGCTTTTGTGATGGCAGCTTGTGAAGAGATCAAAAGGTAGGTTGTGCCGACAGAGGTAGACATTGACGCAGGACTGTAGAAAGACTGGCTAAGGGAGGGAGGGATGACCACAGAGGCCAGCTGGGCAGTTGTGGCCGTGCTGATACCCCCAGGGTCTGTAGGTGCAGTTAAAACAGTCGGTATGGCCAACGCTATCATAAAAAGCAGAACCATTAATGCCATCCTGCAGAGAGAATATCACTTTTCTAGAGAAGCATGCACACGACGTGCGCCACGCAGACATGTGCAGACGAGATTCAATTTGAATCTGGCAGTCCAGAACAAAATCGGTGAGTTCATGAGCAGACGAAATTCAAATGGTACTAATCTGAACCTTCGCGGGCACAGAAAGACGAGTGAACTTGTCATTCAGACTGTCCTTCTTCTGATCATCGAAACATTTCTAAATGGAATAATGTTCTCCAGGACACACACGCCTCCACGGACATCTGTAACGGTGATTTGACCAATCGCTGAACTAACGCTGATTATTGCCTAGATTTAGTTGACGGTGAAATTTTTTGGCAGTCCAGTTTTATGTCCAGTTGGGGTAATCTACCCCATGCCGGACAGCATAATCTAATCTAAAGGTCACCTGTGCCCTATGTCATACCGCTGAATTCGCAAATGCCCTAGTACATTTCGCAAAACTCCCTCCGGAGGTCGGCTCATCGCTCCAGCCCCAACATCAAGCACAGTATAAATTCGACGCAGTTGAATTGCAAAAGTCTCAGATACAACTACCTCGTTTGCAGTGGGTGGCCCTCTTGCACTACATTATGCGCACATCACTGAAATCGACATATAGCTCTTCTAGGACTTGCCATAGTGACAACTCTGCGTATATCACACAATTAAATGTTTTCTGGTGGGTAGTTTCCTAGTACCCACAACCATCGCTGAAGCATAGTCATAGCAGGTACTATGAAGCCTATTCAGTTCGTCTACCTCGCCATCTTTGTCCCCGTCGCTTGGGTGATTGCAGTTCTTGCCATCCTTGTCGCCATCGCCGGGGTGAACGCAGTTCCCGCCAATGACATCCGAACCTGCGGGAGTATTTGCTACAAATCTCAACCCAACTGCCCACCACAGTCGACAGCTACTATTGTGGGTCACTGCTGGACCTGCTGCACTCAAAATGAGCGCCTGGATTAAGTTTCAAAGTATCGCCATTAAATTTGTAAAGAGTGGCACGTAGTATGAAATGTATCACCTGTAACCAGTTTGAAATCGAGCGAAATTGTCATCATTGTCATTTGATATTCTTGTGGTTAATCTAGTTGGACCGAATGGGTCTAGATTCAAGTATCCTTCCGATGCGGCTGCGCTGATTCCTTCGGCAGTTTGACTTGGACATGACTCATTTGTTCGACAAAGAGTATTTCTACGTCACTAGCGGCCAGCGTTCCTTAGTCGCGGGCCACTCGCATGGGGAAAAACAAGAGTTTTGTGAGTGACATCTTATCTTAGGTATGTAATATAATGCATTTGAGCTGATTTCGAGAGGAACGGCCATGCAAAATTCGCGAATCTGAAGATGCAATAAATCGTTCACCCACAAGGAGTGCTAGTCTTTAACTGGGATGATCATCCCGAACCCGCGATATTTAGGAGTCACTCCAGCTCATCGACAATATTGAAAATCCATACATTGCAATATTGGCAACTTGGTTTGACTCGTTACATATACTGACCAGAGTACAGTAATCATGAACTAATATACAGTATGTACAAAGGATAAGATCCAAGACATAGAACACATGAGTGAAATGTAAAGAAAATACCGAGGCACAAGAAAACTTGAACGATATCAGGCGGCGATTGGGACTGCAAGACTAAATGGGAATTTCAGGGACTTGAGCGAGCGCAAGATTTGCAGAGGTAACGTTCACGGGCTCCGAGGAATCGCCATCATTTGGGCGAGTAGGCTGCTCAATAGGCATTGTAACAGGGTCTGCCTTCTTAGCATGAGCACGGCCCCTTCGCTCCTCCACACATTTATCAAGCTCTTTAAGCGCTTGATCCACACAAGTCACGACCGCGCGCCTTGCATTCCTCACTACGTCTGACCCAAAGCTTGGAATGTTGTCCAAGTCTGCGAAGAGCAACAAAAGCGCATGCTCCTGAGCGCGGACAGGTGCATTGGCCGGGGTGTAAGTCAATGCAAATACATCAGCGGTGCCGAGGGCTGGAGAGAAATCGAGCTCAGCAGGGAACTGGAAGCCAGCGAGGAGGCTCTCGAGACGGGTGGAGAGGGAAGAAATCTGGGAGAGGGAGGAGGCGACCTGGGGCTGGCGATGCAGCAGGCTCTTCTTGGGTGTCAGAGTCAGAGATCTCCCTGGCTTCTCCTTTTCCCTCTTGCAAAAGTACGGGTCCCTCCTCGTTGACATTGACTGATGTAGTCGGGGATGATATGGGATCGCGTTCGATAGGAGCTTTGATCGTAGTGCCTTTAGAGAGGTGGGTAAGAATCGCCTGGAGCACATTGCGCACTTCGGACCGGTGCTCTGCCATAAGACAGCGCTGTTCCTCAAGATGTGAAGAGATCATGTCCTTGAGCGAGGGCTCGTCCGGGCCAGAGACCTTGTATTGTAGTAAGTCACACGAAGCCGAGTTATTGAACCCGTGAGAACATCTAGGATTGATGGTCCCTGCGAAGAAGTTCTCAGCATCTAAACGGCGGCGCCGAGCGAGGAGTCGTTGCTCCTCGAGGTGAGCCTGGAAAGCAGCAAGATCGTGCCACTCCTGGGAGCTGGCCTCGTGTTCACAAACGGCCTGATTGCGGATAGCACGGTTAGCCCGTTGGATTTCAGCCTTCCTATGGGCGCTGTCACCGTCGAACGGGAACTGGGTGTCGTTAAGAGGGAAGGGGAGCGGGTGGTAGTGGGGACAGGGATAAGTCATTGAGACAGGTGTAGTGAAGGACATTGTGAATTTGGGATTGGGATGAATTTATGAGAGATTGCATGTTGGATGTTGAATTTATATGTCTGGATGATGTGGACTTGTGGACTACTAATCCCTTTGTGAGCCACTATTCTGTTGCTCAGCTTAGATTCTAGTAAAGGCGCGATCGCCGACCGCCACGGTGACTTCAGGTTGATAGTCACGTGCTGTCACAATCGTGACCATTGACACGACTAAGGCTACATGTTCAAGTTGTCCGCTACTACTATGATACAGCAGACAATAATATCATGCTTTGACCTTTACTCATCTCGCAACACACTTTTTCTCCGTCAAAGGGAACCATTTCAAAGAAACTGTCGAGATGGCCATGAACCAGTTCCGAGTGTCAGATATGGCCTGATATGATACGTATCATAAAAGAGCGGCCCTCAGCTAACGAAACTCTTTTCAAAGCAGCTCTTCTTGTCACACAATGTTAGATGTCTCCCCCCATGTCAGAATCAAGATTTCGGCCTGCACATGGGACTATGTAGTAGTCGTACTGCATGGCATCCAGCTTCAAGGTGGAGTTCTTATCTGACATTAATTTCCTGGACTTCAAGTAGAAGAACCGAGATGCTGCACTGCAGTCAAAGAAAGAGAGGGACACGAGGTTGTCGAGGACGCCATCCCGGATGAGCTTGCTGCCGCCACTGTCAAGTCACAACATGAGGACAAATTGGAGCTTTGGGAAATGTCGATTTGATTCAGGAGCATGATCGCGTACTTGATATTGTTGAGGAGTGGCGGCGTGACGTCAAAGAGGTTAGGAGTCTGGTCGAGGAGCTGATGTATATTTGTTTTGTTGTCTTATCTGTCTTTTGTCTCTCACCGCCATAGAGATCCTTGCAGAACGCAAAAACAAAGAAATTCCGCATCAACATCACAAATCTCAATGCCAGTACCAGATGTAGCCAGTGCTAGTAACGTGTGCCTTGCGTCTACTATTTTTGCACTTGTCTTTGATGTTTATAAATTTGCTTGTTTCACAAGAGAACTCACGCTAAGCTTGCTCTTCAACAAGTCGATCCATTGTGACAACTTCTCGAACAATGTTTGATCTGAATCCTCCACAGTACTGATTCCACACCTGTAAGCTCTCAATCTTTTGTCCTTGCTATTGCTGCGCCTAATCCTCGCTTGCAGCAAGAGGCTTATTCTCTCGAACAGACATTTGCGTATGAGTGTGGCGAGGAGATGGATTACGTTTCTCTATCTGATTCGTGGCCACAATCTCTCTTACCACGAAGTTTGTTGCCCAACTGAATCACGCGTCGAGTACTGATGGAAGCACTGCAGATAGGAATTGACGAGAGCGCACCGTTGAGACATGTGGAAGAGGTGCACCTTGCAACAGTGTATGCTTGTGGCTACAGGAATGTATTCTCGCGAAGATATACTCTTAGAAGGAACGGCTAGAGTCCTCTTTCAAGTTATCTTGCAGCGGTGTGCAGAACTCTCCTGTATGGATTCATATTTAGCACCAAGTGATGAATTGGATTTATAGGTCACTCCGCGAGACCGCGTACATCCCGCTTATACTGTGTACTGTAGCTAATTTGCACTTATAGCCTCAGACTCAGCTCACACTCCGCACGCACATGTGGTACGACTTCCTCGAAGAGTTCTGAAGTCCGTCATTCAAATTGCAATTGTAGGTCTTCGTATGAATCATGCGTGGCAACAAGTGGGCTAATTGCCAGCTTCATTTGTGACACTTCCGACGAATTTACTACATATTCAGCGCGCTTATAGTGTTCATATCAAGGCACGTGACAGTCTCGACTGCTGTATAACCAGGAGTTCTCGCCCATTCTTGACCTTGTGACTATCCTTCTCATGATCACCCCTTCAGTTCAAATGGAACAATGTTCTTCAATGCACGCATGCCTCCACGGGTATTCAATAACCCTTTTAATTTTTATCTCGTCGCTGAACGTTTGCAGCGCTAACAACGAGAAGAATACAAATACAATGGGGTTGAATTTTAAAAGCCTCAGGCCTCAGTGACAAACGCCTCCTTTGCAGTGAGTAGCCCTCCTGCGCTACATCATGCAAATATCGCTACGTCGACATATAGCACTTCTAACACTTGTTATAGCAAATTTGTGTACATCGTACAGCCAAGTTTTTGTTGGTGAATATCTCTTAGTACTCACCGCCATCACTAAAGCATGGTTATAACAGGTACCATGAAGCCTATTCAGTCTATCTACCTCGCCATCCTTGCCGCTGTTGCTGGGGTGAATGCAGTCCCCGTCAATGACGGCACGATCTGCTTGAATATGTGCGCTGATCAGGCTGTTCCCTGCTCACGAGGATTGCAATCTGTCCAGATGGGCGCATGCTGGACCTGCTGCAGCACCACTTGACACCTGAATCAAATTCCCGAGTATCGTCATCAATTTTGTAAAGCGTGATGTTTATGAATGCATGGATTTGACGAAGTTCTTGTTCGAGCAGAATTATTGTCATAAGAGTCATGTTCCATCTAGTATACGGGTGATTCTAGTCAGACCGATTGGTTACATTTGATGTGTTTCAGCATGTTGCGCTAATTTTGACTGTTTGACTTGGACGTCACATTCCGCCAAATGGAATAACATTATCCGGGCCAGACATCTCACCACAACTGATATATCGGCGCAACTAATATAAACTGTCTGTGCACAGCGGAAGGGGAGCAGACGATGTTTGCCACCATTTGTCTAGCTTAGTCAGCAGTTTATCAACTCGTTGCGAACGCGTAATTATGTAATACAATTGGTCTCAGATTTACATAAAACCTAGTTTCGAGTCATGACTCTACCGTACCCCAGTGATGCATCAGGCTTTACTTGTTCCCGAAGTCCTCCTGGAGATATTCGCCTATTTGAGTATCATATCATATACTCAAACAACATCGACCCAGAAATTGCTTGCAGCGCTCGCAAGGACATGCAAAATCTTCCACGAGCCTGCGATGTATTTGCTGTGGACTGAAATCCATGGGTTAGAACCACTGCTAGGCTGTGTAACAAGGTTACATCCATTGATATATCATAGTGGTACATGGGTCAGTGCACGACTCTATTACGCTTTGTTCGTTTCTTTTCGGCTCACCGAGCGTCTACATAATAGTGGGACGACTCGGACGAGCCCTGGACGAAAGGTGTTGAGCCATTATCTGCCCATGAGGCCCATCAATTTCTGCGTCACTCCTCCCGTATACGCACATTGAACATAAAATCTGAACATCCGCATCTTCTCTCTGTCATCCCCGCCGAGGCATGCGTATTTCCGAGGCTGAAGTCATTAAGTCTTTCCACCACATATTTGAACCTCTTTCTGCCTCACATGCTGCACCGATGTCATCTATTGAGCGTCGACGAGGGTCTGCAATCTTTTGTGACACGTTGCATTGCTTTGGAGCATTTATGCATCTACACTCCTCACGATGTTCACGGCACAGCAAATGAGCTGATATCCGATAGGATTCATTGGTGCACGCGGGTTGTAACTCTTTCTTGTCCAATACTCGACTGAGCAACATGGAAGCGCCTCTCCTCCCTCCCTACTCTTCTCAAATTGAACATTGATCAAGGATATAATGACCTTCCTTCGCTGTCACAACGAGATATCGTGAATTTATCATTCCTTAACATCACAAGTCTTTCCTTTCGACAGCTGTATGACGCTGCAGACATCATCACAGTCATACAACATTCGCAATTTCCCTCGATGAAAGAGTTCGAGTTTGAAGCCCAATTTCTGTCTTCAGCAGAGGCCGAGCAACTCTTTCATGCACTGTCCCACTGGAAAGCGCGTCGGACTCTAGAAGATATCTCCATTTTTTTCATGATGACGAATTCGTGGGACCCCAATACGACGAGTTTTTGACACCAATTCCGCATCTCCTTTGCCTTACACAGCTCCGAACCCTGAAGCTCGTATTTCGTCATTTCTGCCTCTACCTAGACAATGACATACTCTTGCAAGCTATGTCTAGTTGGCCGCACATCCGCACTCTGGAAATCGAAGACTCTCGTACTTTTTCCGAAGTCACCCTCCATGGATTATTCACAGCGCTTGGTCTATGTCCACAATTGCATACACTACGAGTTCCAGTCAATCTTGCAACTATCGACATCGATCCTGATGCTGAGCCAATACAACATACCTCCCTACGATCATTGGATTTGGAGACATCCAAGTTTCAAATAGCAGAAGCTGAAACTTTCGCTCACATCATTTCCGCCTGGCTCCCTTGTGTCGACCAAGTTCAAAGCATATATGATTTGAGTTGGGTTGAAGTCAACAGGTATCTTAGATCTTCGAGAGCGGCTACCGCGCCGTATGTCTTGCGAGCCTCCTAGAATATTTGAGATTGGAATACCTTCACGTCCGGGAATGTTGTTACATACCTTCGTTATCGTTGTCGTCGCTGTTGACTGTAGTTATAAACTGCTGTACTAGTACTTCTGTATAATCGCCAACAACCCACTGGTTCACTGTTATTAGCACGATTTCCAACATGATTACGTGCGCCACCTGAGCTCCGCCGTTCACTGCTCGACAGTCCCCTCCCTCCTGTATAGCTTTTGATATCCGCGTCTGCGACGGCCATGTGATTACACAACACAATAAGTGCTTGATAAAATTCAACAACCACGTAGAAGGATACATCCATGCCATATGATGATATACCATGGCTACGTCTAGCGCGCTATAAAGATAGTCTAATAATCATATAGAAGATACACCAAGCGATAATGAAGAGAGGAAAGCGTGTCAAGAAGAGCAAATGTTCAAGACAAATGTCGTTAGTTGTAGATAGAAATGGTTTCAAGTACTGAAGACAACACTAGAGTACAGCAGTAGGAAGTTAGCATTCGTGACAGTGGAGGGCAAGGGGAACGTACAAAGTTGAACGCTGGAATATATCGCGTTGCAGGCTTTGCAATCATGGAGAACAAACCTTTCGTTCCGAGGTGAGATGAGCTCCTTGTCGATGCTGGCCTCGCCTAGCTTATTGTGCGCAAAGATCTATTGACAGAATGAGTAGCCGTACTCATTGAAGCGTCGTGTTTGGCCCACCTCTTTTCCTACTCCAAATGCGTGACTGATCAGTGATGACTTGCCGAGGCCAGACTATTAAAAACGCGTTGTCAACACTGGCCTGACATCGGAAAAAGCTAAATACCTTTCCTATCACTAGAATTCGGAACCTTGAGAGTATCAGCCTCAAGAACGGCACTTTATGACTTACCAAAGGCATTTCTGAAATATTTTGGAAGTGGTAGGCTCAAGGCTTTGATCGGAAGAGACAGACTGCTCAGCCTGCTATGATTTAGACGGGCTCTATGCCAGACGTGGATCCTTACTTCGGTTGTATTATTGAAAAGTTCGACGACGATGCTGATGTTGTTATGAACCTTGTTGTATTTTGTGCATGTGAGGTTGAATCCGCGAGCGATCAAGGCGAGAATGCAATGCATTGATTCTTGTTTCACCTTGTCTTGAACCATACGATCGAAAGTAATATCTTCATGCTTAGTTCCAAAACATTTGTTGTACCGCATACTATGCAAGGAAAATGAATCCCCGCGAGAAGGCAAAAAAAAAACACACAGAAGTAACTCAGGTGAGGACGTGTGTTGGGGTCGAGTACTTACATGGGTGAAGAAAACGTCCGTCGCAACCTCTTTCCTGCTTCGCTGACTTGGCGAATGCTTGATGATCCGTACTTCAGCAGACTTCACATTCGTTTTCGACTTGCTGAAATCGACGGTGATACCTATTGGGTATATATATTCAGCGGAGTTGATGATACCACTTGATGGTAAGAAATGAGTGTCATGGATGCGGAGAGCCTTTGAGGCGTGAAGAGCATTTGCCATGTTGATCTGATTTAGGGAAGAGCTCTGCTCTGAGCTAGGACGCAAAAGAGGGGGCCAACACTTGCAGTCGTTATTGTAATTTATGTAACATGCTCACCGCCTTGTATGCCGGCGCCGATCATGCTACATACAATACTAAACCGGATGGCAATTTTTGCAGCCTGAGGTTCTGGCAGATGTGCCGTGCCACACTGTGTTGTTCGAGCAGAATTATTGTCATAAGAGTCTGCTGTGGCGGTGTTTGCCTAGCTTAGTCAGCAGTTTATCAGAGACTCGCCGAGGTAACAGCGAACGCGTATGTAATTAATGCAACATGCGAAGAGAAGAAACCCAAACTGACGCCTTGGTCAAGGACGCCAACGCAGGATAACTTGGCTGCCACACTTAACATGCTCACCGCCTGGCACCAATCATGCTAAATTGCTAAACCGGATGGCAATGTTTGCAGGTTCTGGATGTGCCGTGCCATCATGTGCGTACCGAATAGCAGCCTCGTGGGTTGTGCTTTAAGGGAGGGTGATAAAAAAGCCTCATAATCCAGTACACCGCCTCAAATGCCAACCACTCCACTCTCTCTCGCTCTAATTCAACTCTGGATCGCCGATCCAGCGCTGCCATGGTCCAATCCGGTATGGCAGTCTCTAACACATGTTACTGGTGACCCGTGGGCATACGACCCTTGGAGGGGTGTGACCCGTGTCGCCGAATGGACGGTGGATACAGCTCGGGCAGTTGAAGCCTTCATGAACAATTGCAGGACAGCTGGGGATCTTGCAGACGTCGCTGTGAAAGGGAAGGACACTGACCATGAAGGTCGTTCCGCGTGGAACGCCTGGGTTAAGACGTCATGGCCCAAATGGGATATCAACAAACTGGTCGACAACATCTTACAAGAAAGCGGTTGCGAGCCGCATGCTGTCATGGCGAGGCTGAAGTGCAAGAGCACAGATGATGTGAGTTACGTGCTAATCCGTTTATCTTATGATATAATAGATTCATGTCCTTAGTTTCCGACCATGGAAGCTGCACAGGTGAAGCATGTCGTTTCCATCAAATTAGCCGATGCATTGTTCGGTGATGATGGATTCACCGACGGAACATTCATTGTGCCATCCGTCATGACGTTTATTACCACGGTGATGGTATTGACGTGGAGCAGATATCGAAAGGCCATGAAACGGCAAGTCGACAGCATCGCGAAGAAGCTTCAGGAAGTTGAGGGGCAATGGCTAGGTAAGTGACGCAGATTGGTCGGTTAGGGTGGGAGCTTAACTGTAGCGCAGCCTGGGCGACCGCAAATTCATATCCTACCTCGGTCGAGCTCCGCGCCTACCTGAAGAAAGTAGATTCCTTGGTTACACTTATCAGTCTATTCAAGGACAAGGAAACGGTTGAGAAGCTCAATACGCGTCGTGAACAGGTCAATGCGATGCTGGCTGGTGCTAAGAAACATCCCATTAAGTTAGAATATATGGAATGTGAGTGAGCCTTCAAATCTACGATATAATCCGAATATTGAGTGTACTCGTTTGTATCTGTGAAGCCGAACAAATGATATTGTAGATTTTATGGGTCACACTACGCTCTAGGTGCACTACACAGCAATCCGTTTATTCTCATGTATACATGCTTGTCTAATTTTGACCGTGATGACATACGTAGAATTCGAAGACATGAAGCAATAAACTTCTTCGACATAAAATTGGAATCCTCGACCAACCTGACATCCAAATTAAATGTCCAGGCAGTGCTGCCCGCACAAAGCTTAACTGCAGACAGCCATGCTCAACGAATCTTACCGATCTGTTTAAACAGAAGTAATATCCGGTGCAAATTTTTTAAAAGTGAACTCTAGATCTATCTTTCAAGTTGATGGTCTCACGCTCTGAGCGCCTCAAGGTACGTGACCATGTTCGGACTTCTGGCAAGTTCTGCATGCCTAGATCTGCAATTCCCAAGTTCTCGTGTGCTATTCCAACAGCTGCGGAAGCATCGAATCGCTCCGTGTCCGAAATAGTAAGCCAATCAAATTCTGGTTACTCAATGATACCGCAGGCGCGCTGTGCAATACGTATTGATACACACCTTTTTTCTCGGGCTTTGGAGCAATTTTAAACTTTGATGGTTTCGGTTGAGGCTTGGTTCGGAACGGAGGCTGGATACTACGTAGGAAACACCCACGTATCGTACGTTAGACGTTTCCGCAGCATGATATGATACCTCCTGTACGTATCAACGACAACCACTACTAATAGACACCTCAGGCGTTCCATGTGCATGAAGACTCGACCGAGCTTCTCAACGCCACAAACAGTTCGATGCGATCAGCTGTCTCTAATCAAGAATACTAATCAGATCTGAACTTTTAAAATTCCTCATGATTTTCACAATCGAAGCTGCGAAGGGGAACACCATTCGAATGCATGCAAAGAATCAAGACGGTAATAACGGAACTGCATAGATATTATGAATCTGGCATGTATGATGTACAACGAAGAGATCTTATGTAGTTTTCGACGTAGTTAGATTTTTTCGCTTCGTACACGAGCGCCTATTCCTATATCTGCAAACATAAATCCAATAGATGGGAAACAAAGGGGTTTGGGAGAGTGGTTCCATGCTAGCGGTGTCAATGGTGATTACAAGCTAAAGGCATACAAGGACATAGTCCAACAACATAACATTTGAGCGTACAGCGCCAAACAATGCACCTCCGAAGTCTGCACCACGATCCACGCACCCGAAATAAGCACCCCGCCCAAAATGCGCGCAATCCAAGCCTACGCACCTAAAAAACAGCTACTGATCCGATCCTCGTAGCTACGGATCATCAGCAATACATGCTGAAAGTGGAGAATGCATATATTCTTGCGCAGACAGTACCGGCTTGCGTTTCGCCAGTGGTCGTGAAGCCTCGTGCCGTCGTAACACCATCTGCGCGACTAGCTGGGATATGCTTCCTATGACGCCCTTCTTGCGGCGTCCAGGACTCCTTCCCTCATTTACATCCATGCCGAGCTTGTCGCCCAGCTTCAACCTGAGCAGAGCTCCGACCTCCGCACTCCTCTCCCGCTCCCGCTTCTTCTTCGACTTGCGTGTGTACGCATCTGTGCCTTCCAGGCCTTCGGACGACCCCTGCACTGCAGCGAGTGAGCGCTTGCGCAACTCGAAGAGCTGCGCAAGCTCAGGGTCGTTGTCCATGTCATGCACGGAAAGGCAGAGATGGAAATCCTCAGGCGAGGGTGAGCGTGGGAGAGGTACGTCCCTCGGATCATGGATGAACAAAAGTGGCTGGCTAGGGACGAATGGGACGGCTTGCAACGACGAGAGGGGTAAAAATGCGGATGCACTAGGGAGGAGGTTGTCATCTGTGTCAGCACCCGGAAGCGAGAGGAGCGATGGGCCGGGAGAAGATGGAGAAGATGGTAGGTTGTCTGTATCGTCGGGAAGAGAGGAGAAGGACCGCCTGCTGGGAGATGATGGTGGTATATTGGGTAACGCTTTTTCATGTTCTAGCTCGGGAAGACCTGAAAGGGAGAGATGAGGGGATCTGAGTTCCGGAGGATCATCAATGATCATGTCTGTCGATGAGAGCGCGGAACATTGGGGGGAGGATGGGGGGTGCTCATCTAGTTGATGCATGGGTATGTGTTGGTGCGATGACCAGGGTATGTGAAGCGGTACGAGTCTGGGACGGGGGCCAGGAAGATAGGGCGCCTGATCAGATGAAAAGGACGTTGTATCGTTGGATACTGCTACAGACATATCACCGATGTCCTCGCTCCCTGAACAGGGAGACCAGGAAAATTTGGGAGAGGGCGGATCATTCCAATGAGAGTTCACCAGACCATGTTCCAGTGGCGGCTTCCAGGGTGGTGATAGAGGTGAAAGCGGCGAATCTGACTCTGCGGAACTATCCGACATGGCAGATATCCCGTCGTAAAAATCCTCTTCAAAATCACCCTGATGAATTGTATGCCCGCTCTCGTCAAACATCGAAACATCGATATCATCTTCATACCCTGGCAACTCCAGGTTATAGAGCAACTGTGTCGGTGGTGGCGTCAGAGGTCTATGGCAAGCAAGGTCCTCGCGGCGCATAACAGTCGGGGAGTCCAAGACGCCTGGTGAATGTGTAGTGAAGATGGGAGTAAATTCGCCTCTTTCTTCTGGTAGTGGGATGGTGCACTTTGATGGAGAAGTGCTGGAGGGTGGAGTCGGGTATAAGTTCACCGGACCAGACTGCTTCAGAAGATTGGATGGACCAGGCACGCCTTGTGTGTGTTTAGACTTGAGAGGAGGGAAGTCCTCCTCCGAGAAGAAGGAGAATATAGGGTTACTGCTGCAGCTAGGAATTGGCTGCCAAGGTTGTGAGTAGTGCGGAGCAAAGGTAAACACGGGCTGCGGGTCTGGTTTGAGCAGGGAGGAATCATTCAGAGAGGGCATGTATTGAACTAGGGCAGCCCTAGTCAAATTATCCCTAGTATCCATATTATGTCCACCGATATTCAAGCCCTGTAACGAGCGCCGAGTTTGATCAACAAAAAAACAAGCAGACAAAAAAAACAAGAACACAAGACTTACAACTAATAACATCAAAGGTCGCAAGGCATCACAAAAGACAGAAGAAACAGGAGAATTTACTGTGAACGATATAGAGGCAAAGAGCGTTGCAGTGCTTGACACCGTTTCTCCTCGTGCCCAGGCTGAGAAACTCGTGTTCGGTGATTTCCTTGATGGGCCTGCAGGAGATCCACGAAGTTGAACCACTACTAAATTGAGCATCACACATCATTTCCTTTTATCTAACACATTTATCTTTACATCAACCATGTCACCTGCTCTCTAACACCTGACAACGACATCATCCTCAATAATTAGGTCTTCTTAAGTGCTGAAACCCGATCCGATAGCGTCTCTTCGCCCTCAGTGGCATGAGGCTCCAACTCCGTACTTTTCACCCCCCTTTTCGTCAATGCGTACTCCCTGCACGCATCTATACTCTTCTTCAATTCCGGATCGTCCTCTGCTAGCGCAACTACGTCGATCCCCGTAAAATTGTGTTCCAGGAGTTGTACAATTTTGGGCAGCAGATCAGGATTAGGAGAATACGTCCCAGAGTCGTTATCAATCACCAACTCCCATCTCACACCGCTATCGTCCGTACAATCGGAGAAGTTCTCCCAGCCACCTTCTGGGCGAGGATGAAACTCTCCGCCGTACACTACGCTTTCTGCACAGTTGCTATGCAGTGCATGCTTCGATGCAAAGTTAACGAAGAACGCCGCCCCTGTCTCTGAGAAACGGAAGGTGTTGTCTTCCTCGGCGATAACATACGTGTATACTGCGGGCTTGATGCGATTTTCAAATGCGTTACTGCCGTCTCCCGATGATCGACGCAAGCCGCCTCGCAGTAACTTGAACACATCATCGGCACTTGTTATAACCCCAAAATCATTCGAAACGGTCCGGGCGTATAACATGTGGTGGCCAGCCATAATGCCGGAACGCACCGCAATTGATGTAGGCCCTTTGAAAATGGCCTGTGCGCCCTTGTAATCGTGGTTCCATCGTTGCACCATATCCCCAAAGAATTGCGGAACACCTTTAATATAGATCTTCCATGTCGAATACAGCCGCGTGTCCCTGAGATTGGTAAGAACGCCCATTGTTGGTGAGTCGTGTCGAGAATAGTGGATCGGGCCATCAAACAAATATGGTAGTGATATTGAATTCTGAGCCGACGGAGAGGTTTCAATCTTGAGAGATGATACATCCAAACGTTGATAAGCACAATCGGTGGCGATCAAATGCGGGGCACACATACGTTCAACCAGAATGTCCCTTTACTTCGACCGAGCCTCTTGCCAACTATTTCAACCTCTTTCGTACCTGGACTTACAGTTGTCTTGAACATGCCAATGTCATTATTTACCAGTGCTCCACTCTCCACCTCTCGGACTACCACGGACAAGGTAGCTGTCGAAGGAACCGTCTTCACGATCCAGGTCTCATCCCAAACTGGGGAAAGGGTATTCAGTTTGATAGACGACCTGCAATAAAGTAGGCTAGCGTTGATACGCAGATAGAAAAATACTCACGTGTACGAAACCTTGTCGTCAAGCGTAGCACGAAAACACGGGTTCATCATGCCAATAACATGCACCCTTGCAAGATCCGACGCCCCAATAAACTTCACAACCCTTCATTTGCACCCAGCATGCCTCAACGAAACAAACACTTACCCTGATAACCAGATCCACGTACTTGGTATCTATATTGAATTCCTTCGTCGCGAGCTCGATGGTGTTGAGGTGGCTGCCGAACTTGACTTTGCTGCTCTGCAGGGAGTGGTGAGCGTGCTCCATGGCGGCTCGAAGACAAGTAGTATGAGAGGGCATTGGTCACGGTGGTCCATGGCGATGTTACAGGTTGCCAAGCTGCGCATACTACGATATTTGGTCGCGGGAAGGTAGGGGCCGATGAGCTCAAACCTTACTTTAGGGTTAGGGTTACATGACCTCACGACTAATCAGTGACAGCTGCTCCACCAAAGTGTCCAAGACCAACGAGCACGCCATCTGTTCGCTGTCAACGAATACTATTCGACTCCCGTCAAATGGTGCGCAGGACAGGGGAAGTTGGGTGGAGATCTCAGCTAGCGCGCAATTTCCTTAACAATCCGACCCTGAAGAACAGGTTCACGACGATAGATCCGCACGGCATCTGAACACCATGCGTCCATTCCAAACTTTCGTTTCCTAGCACCTGAGAAGCTCTCTTCATGTGTGCCTTACACGCTGCCGGTTACAACAGTCTGGACAAACCAAACTGGGCGATAAACACCATCCGCCACGAGCTTGAATGCACAGCATCATGTCCGACCGTCCAAGCGACTCAAGTATTGTTTCAGTTCTTCGCCGTGCGATACTTAGTGGTTATCGCCTTCATCAAACGAAAGCGGAGTAACATCACGGGCGCAGAAAACTCGCCACAACTTTGGATGCCGAAGATGGCAAGTTGGTCGTCGAATGTCATAGTATGGTGGTTCTTGTCATACCGATAGCATGGAAAATAGATTCCGCTGTTCATTAAATCAGCGGTGATAAACATACAGTAGAGAACGGGCCGCCTACTGAGAGGTAAAGATAACAATTAAGTAATCGAGTGATCCACGTGTTGACGCAAGACCCAGCTTGTTGGCGAATGAACCAAGTTGGGTAAGACCATTCGACTCGTGGTTGGATAGACGTATTTATATTTGTCGAAATGAATGATCATGATGTTCGAGGGTCTCGAATGGAGTCTAGTTCCAACATCGTCGTCATGTACTGTACATGACCGGCGCGCTGCGAAACCTAATCGCTACTCGAACTTTGGGAAAGTTACCAGTTGTATTGTGTCCATCAGGACATATTTGATGTTGCCACCAATTATAGCGGTGGTCGGGCCATATCCGTGAATAGGACACGATGAAGTACATCAGTTAACGCGAGTGTGCACTGTGATTCTGTGAATTGACTGACCAAAATGTGATACTGCACACCTTGAGGAGGATGTGATTGCTGTTGTCCGTTGAGCCATGCGACAATATCATCAAATAGAAGCCCGAGATGACCTCTCGGGCGGTTGTCTGTGGCAGTGGCAAGATCCGAAATGGTGCATGCAGGATATCTGACTCGTTGCAAAAAAGACGTTGATAGCTGAATGGGACTAGGTTATTTGAGTCCCAGAGTCGGTCCACTGGCAGTAGTTCATTTCTTCGTGAAGATATCGTTAGAACGCATCCCAGTTCCAAAATGGAGAAGAAAAAATTTGAAAGTTGGTAAACACAGCCACATTCGCCGAGGGCATCTGGGAAATTCGCCGATATAGCTCCCGAGGCACGACGCATCTCGAGGATTAAGAAATGGAAGAATACAACATTACGAAGAAATTCATACATCAGCACATGGTATTACACGATCTGAACTCCTAAGGTTGCCAAGCTGATCTGAAAGATCTTCCGGAAATAAAGTACATTCTTCGTCACCTCAATCGATCAATTGTTCTCTATGGTCGAGAAACCAACATCCACGCTAGCTCTCATACGGTCTCCGTAACGAATCGTGAGGAAAACAATCCTATAGACAAGAAAATCAGTGTAGGCCCTCGATCGTGCAGTCAAAGAAATCCTTACCCTTGTCCGAGAAGTGCAAGGACAGCTACAATGGTGTTCGTCCACGCAACACCAATGCGTTCGATGGATGGGATGACAAAAGCGGTCGCGACAGACAGAATGAATGACCTCACGCCGCTGTAAAATAATCGAAAATACGTTAGTGAGTTACGAGTGCGATAGTCGCGGGGTATAATCAAGACTGACGCGTTGGCGGCTGTGATTTCTGCGCTTTGCGAATGTACTACATCCACATTATAAGAACCAATTGGGTTTAACACGAAGACGACCTTTGAGAAATAGTGAGTTGCTTCATGCGCGGGGATGACGAACTAGCAGCAAGGACCTACCCCCATTCCATTGATAAAAAGACACAATAAATTCAACAAAAGACCGACCGGACCGTCAACATACGTCGTGAGCAGCCCTGACACTCCAATGGATAATGGAACCATGAACAGCCCCCCGATCCACGTCGCTCTCAGTCGATCTTCTGGAGACCAGACTCCATTGCGCTTCTTCTGCCATTTCCTGATTAAAACATCTGATAAGCGGCCAGCAAGCGGCGCTCCGACTGTCGAAGATTGAGTTGATAGTCTGCGGTCGTAATGATTTGTGCTTACTGAAGTTTCCGAGTCCATTGGGGAGGAAACACGCTCCTATGATGGCTTTGTTCGTGATGCCATACCGTACACCCTACAGGTACCGCAATTAGTTTGCGATATGGAAGATGACTATCAGCTTACGATAGTGTACGCCAGTGGTACGAGGAGAACTGTGTCATTTTATGTGAGAACGCACTGAGGAGTTGTATAGACTCAACGCACCATAGTCAGTGATGAGCGCTAGACTCGTCGCAAGCATCTACATTGCGCATGAAGTCAGAAGTTCGTACCCAATGCAACGTACAGAGTGTATGCACTCACGACTCCAAATAAGTTCGGACTCCGAAGTAGCCAGAGAGATCTGAGAGGATTCACCCAGGCGACATGGATCCGTCTTCTTTGCTTTAGTTTATCGATGCCCAGTGTGCCGGGATGGCTCGTTTCAGGTAACAAAACGTATATTAGAAGCAGTTCGAGCAAGCTCCATACAGCAAGGCAATAGTGCAAATTGCGCCAAGACCAATACTGCGCCGCCACACCTATTCAAGCACCATTGCTAGATTCAGTACGCCTAAACATTCAAAAGAATATTTACCTCCAAGGAACGGGGCAACAGCAAACCCGAAAAGCGTGGCCTGAGACAGCCGTGTCAATACCACAAAATCAATAAATCATGAGCCCTCACACCCAAGAATATCCCAATCCCAATGCCGCGCTCCTCCAATTTGTATATGTCACCAATTACGCCAGCACCTAACGACAACCCTCCCGAGCATCCGAATGTCTGAATGAACTGCCAGAATAGCAGACTCCGCAACGAATTCGACATCGCGACACCACAGCTACCAATGAATAAAAACGGTATCCCGCACAAATACATTGTTCGGCGTCCATCTGCGCCATATCAATAACTTGAGACAAAGACCGGACTACATCATGAATGAACGCACAGAAAGACGAATACGCAGCCCAAACCAGCGTTCCGATGGCAGTCGCAAAGGTCGACAGACTGACTGTCAAGCTGTAATGGAAAAACCACGATCTGAGCACGTGTTACTATATCATCCGTCAACAATACGCACCTGACAGCAGCATGTGTGGAGTGAAGTTCCTTAGCTACCTGGGGAATGGAAGGTACGAATGACGCTGCAACCAACTCTGATAGATACCGTTTATCAGCATGTAGTGTATTCGAACAGAGACTGCTTACTTGGTAATAAACCCGCACAAGAGACAATGAACACAATCCACCTCTTCCGACGTCGAGTGAACCAGTCATAAATCGCTTCGTGCGCAGTTTTATCGCCATCGCTGCTTGACGTCAGTAGGGGGGTTTCTTCTGAAGCCATCCCACGGGATCATACGCAAACGCCGGGGTGAGAAAGTCCTATTGTCTTATATACCATTGCATGACAGTTTATGCAGAGCATTGTCCTTTATTTTCATCCCTCAAAGCAAATATAGCAACGTAAGGGCACCGCAATCAACGTAAGGGCATCCCGAAGGATCATTCATCGGTTCTCTGACGCGCCGGCCTGGGCCCTGTATACCACGATAAAGCTTTCGGGTGCTAATCCTCTAGAAAAGAAAACATCATATGGGGAGCCGGCTATCACGATAAGTGCTACGGACCGGCGGAATAGAAAGTAGTACTGTTGTAGATGTGGCAGCAACTATTCCGGTTCACTGCCTCGAGATGCTGACACCTATTTGTAGCGAAAAGTGGCGTCTTCATAGAGTTACTGTGGCGTCTTCGAAGTTTGTAGAATACTATAACCATTACTAGTTAAGCTGCAAACAAAAAAAGGATGACTGCAGTTGGAACTTCAAGTTGGCCCTGCAGTCAAGTATTAGTGCACAAGTGCCTCGAACCGGCTTCGAATATTAATCCGAGTCGTGGAGTCCGGGAAAGTTCGCTACCGGGTCCGGGATCACGTGTGCCTAAGTCTTTGACGGGAACCCGCGAACTTGTTGCCTACCTCCAAGTCGGCCCCATCGCTCTCAAATCGTTAGATAGAAAATCCAGAACGATTTATTTTCGATGTTCAATTGTTTTTAATCAAGTACCAAGCATGCCTCATACTCTTTTACACCAGCCTCCCCATTGAAGGTTTCTTGTCGCACAGTACGAGCAACTGGTTCTGCACGGGCACCACATAGGTCCAGATGAACTTGAGTCTTGTTTTCTTGCGAAACGTGCCGGGCTAGCTGTCACCAATGACTGCACGCTGGTATCCGTGATAGACGACGACGACATTTAACGACCATGCCGAACACACATACGAGAGCGTTCCCTTTGAATGGCGAAGGCGCATCCTAAATTACACCTCCAGGTGGTCTTACCTTCCCATATACCTTTACACTAAATTTAAACCAATTGATCTGCATCCACCAGGACTAAGAATATGATTAAGCTTCCCGGTGAACTGCGCCACCGGAGTTTGGCATATATAGCCTTAGTGCATCAGCGTTGCTCAAGACAGACACCTCCGAGCCGGTACTATGATGGATATGTCTATTGGCAATTTGACAAGTATATTACTCATAAGTTTTAATTCTGATCTGTTGCTTCTCTTCGACTAAATGAAGATCATTCTATCAATTGTCCTCTATGGTCGAGAAACCAACATCCACGCTGGCCCTCATGCGATCACCATAATGGATCGTCAAGAAAATTAACCTGAAAGCAGAAAAATCGAAGCAGTACTACGTCAGTGTGCTCGATCTTGGAGTCAAGACGAGCCTCACCCTTGTCCAATGACAGCCAGGACAGCTGCGATGATGTTTGTCCATGCAACACCTATATGCTCGATCGAGGGAATGACAAAAGCAGTCGCAGCAGATAGAATAAGTGACCGGATCGCTCTAGTAGGATTTAAGTTCAACTTTGATAACCGCGTTATATCATGGAGACTGACGCGGTAGCGGCTGTGGTTTCCGCGCTTCGAGAGCGCGCCACATCCACATTATAAGAACCGATTGGATTGAATACGAAATCGACCTGTAATAACCAATGAATCATCGTGCACATGGTAAGAGCCTAATTAAGAGAACTTACGCCCATTCCATTTGTAAAAAGACATAACAAATTCAAACAAAGGCCGACCGAGCCCCCAACATACGTCGTGATCAACCCCGACGACCCAATAGACAACGGGATCATGACCAGCCCTCCGATCCACGTCGCTCTCAAGCGATCTTCAGGAAACCACACTCCTTTGCGGTGTTTCCGCCATCTTCTGACTATAATGTCCGATAGGCGGCCAGCAACCGGTGCTCCAACTGTTAAAGATAGCGTCAGTGAACAGTAATTACCCATGCTATGCACTTACTGAAGTTTCCCAATCCGTTTGGGAGGAAACACGCCCCGATGAGGGCCTCGTTCGCGATACCATACCGAACACCCTACACTGTGATCAGGATACGAGATGGAAGATGACTGTCAGCTTACAATAGTATATGCCAGCGGCACGAGGAGGACTATTATTTTATGTGAGAATACACTCTACAGTAAATATCAACGCACCATAGTCAGTGATAAGCACCAGGGTCGACGCAATCATCTACATCGCACACAGAACCAAGAGTTTGTAACGGGTATCAACATACACTGAACACACTCACGACTGCAAATAGGTTCGGACTCCGAAGCAGCCAGAGACTACTGAGAGGATTGACCCATGTGATGTGGATCGATCTCCTTCGCTTTAGTTTATCAATGCCTAATGTGCCAGGATGGCTCGTCTCGGGAAACCAAAGATATATGAGAAGCAGTTCGAGCAAGCCCCACACAGCAAGGGAATAGTGCAAATTGCGCCAGGACCAGTACTGCGCTGCTGCACCTGTTGGAATGCATTGTTAGATCCAATGTGCATGAACACCCAGAATATGTATACCTCCAAGGAACGGAGCAACAGCGAACCCCCAAAGTGTGGCCTGAGAGTCGATTCAATACCAAACCGATAAGAGCGCGCCCAACATCAAGATCACTCACACCAAAGAATATTCCGATAGCAGTCCCCCTCTCCTCCAATTTATAAATATCACCGATAACACCAGCACCCAATGGTATTCCCCCAGAACATCCAAACGTCTGTACGAATCGCCAAAGCAACAAACTCCTTAACGATGCTGCCATCGCGACACCACAACTCCCGATACATAAAAATGGCATGCCCCACAAATACATCCATCGGCGTCCATCTACAGGACTGCAGTTAGGAATCGAAACTACCGGGAGTTCACGATACGCTATGGATACACGCACAGAAAGACGAATAAGCAGCCCAAACTAACGCTCCGACGGCACTCGCCAAGATCGATAGACTGACGGTCAAACTGGGAAAATCGCTCGATCACAAAAATTCATATCCAATGAAACACGCACCTAACAACAGCATGCGTCGAGTCAAGATCTTTAGCTATTTGAGGGATGGAAGGCACAAATGTCGCTGAGACGAACACTGATCGTGTTCATCAGCATCACGCCACCGTATAAGCAGCAAACTTTAACTACTGGCAGCACTCACTAGGTAACAGACCCGCAAAAGAGACAAGAAACACGATACACCTCTTCTGGTCGGGTGCAAACCTGTCATAGATAGCTTCATGCGTGGTGGACGCTAGCAGAGGGCTGTCTTCTGAAACCATCTTGAATTGCGAGAAAAACCTCGCTTACTGCGCAGGAGAGATTTGTATACATGAATTTATATCCATGCCCATCGGGTATCAAGGTGATTGAAAATGAATATATAAAAAGTCATCATGTGACCTGATGGTCAAGATAGGTGTTAGTACGGACCGGAAGAAGCAGCAAGACGTACTCGTTTGAGCATTAGAATAACTCGCCGAGATCAGATTTGCTGCCTCGAGGTTGGGAAGAAATAGAGGTTTTCTCAGCATGTTGGTGCGGCGCTTGTCATGTTGAAATTTTCATTTGACCTGCGCGACTCAGGAATGATCGTGTTACAGAACAAGAAGAAAACAAGACATACAATGTTCGACACCACTATTGAATGAACACCAACTTCGCCCCAGCGCTTGCAAGACTCTGCATGCTGTCAAGCTTCTCTGAGAGGCTAAGACACGCTTGAGGGTATTGAGTGGCTAAACTTCATGTTGTAATTTATGAATAGAATGATTGCGAGAAGTAAGGCAATGAACCTACAATGGTGATTCGACGAAGTAACTCCGACCAGAACTGACCGGTGCACGGTCCATGGAGTGCATCGTGGAGAAAGGAAATATGCAGCCATTGTTTCGTTTCGTTGAGAGGCAATGGTCTGAAATTAGTATTCAAGTTTGCGGTGGGTGGAATGATTATCAAGGTCGAAGGGACATTGTCTGGTGGGCGGCCCGGGGACGTACAAATAACAACTGATCTCCGGACCGAATCCCTTTGTTCTTGGGCGGTAACAAGCACGGCTGTGAAAGTAACAAGATCTGAGAAGGAGATCAAGTGTCATCCCTAAATGGTGCAGATCAGATGCGCGCATGATTCGGCGCATAGCTATCGCTTCAAGTAACTGTCTATCTTTCATTTGCGTGGTTTGTGTCGGATGGGTGGGACGGATGGTCACGCGCACGCGTCAGAAATCAGCAGTGGTGAGGGTATGAAAGTGGAAGAAGAGGAAAAGGGAAATAGACATGCCTCGAATACCTCATAGTAAAACCGAGTGAACAGCATATGAGAAGTTCACTTCAACGTGCTACCAGTAGAGCCTGAGATGATCTGGAGTTCTGCGTGTCGGATGGTCTTTAGAAGAAGGCGCCATTTTAACTTGAAAAAGTGAGTTCACAGAAGATGTATTTTGAAGTGAGAAGAGGTAGTTTGCAGGTTCTGAAGAAAAGTGGACTTCGGGCAGTTGATGGAAATACCGTCGTGCGTAGTCTGTGAATTTGAAGTCGTGTTTCACATAGCGAGTGAGTTTGTTCCAGGCGTTGGAGTGATATAAGTTTTGGGTGGCCCGAAGTACACATGCCTTTCTGGTTTGCGGTGACTCAGGGTAGTTTGATTGTTCCCTGGCGTCGTGACTGGTGGAATCACATCCTACGGGAAATATGGAGATTCAATATGGATAGCTATCCTGATACTTGCATCACTTGCATACTATGTGCATCTGGATGTGCTACATAATGTCGGTCAAAGGTACGAAATTACCGAATACGTGGGTACACAATGTTGTATGGGTGGCTGTGCTTATTATTTTCACTCCAAGACTCAATAATACCATGAACCGGCCACTGCACAGTAGACGACACACTGATGGACTGGGCGACACTTTTACTGGTAGTCGAGTTTCCCGCTGCTCATGAAAACACGGTGGTTCGTTCAACCGCAGACACTGCTGCCCAGGTATTGAAATATCGTCAGTTTTTGTAGTCATTCTGACTTTTTCAAGTTATCCCAAGTCGTTGTATCGTCCCGCTGCCGCAATTGCACCTACTCGTCATGTTCTCATCCCGATGTTTCCGCAATGCCCATTCGGACAAGTCGTGTAGAATCGTTCAGCTATCCTATGTGCGCCGTTTTCAGCGGTTTGCATTGCCGTTACCTTGGGAAATACACTCGATTATCAATTTTGCCTTTGTATGCTGAATGAGTGATACGACTGCCTAATGAAGTCCAGGAGCAGCAAGCATCACCAGACGCTCTGAGACTTGCATCCTTGGCGGGTCACTTTCGCTGAAGACTGAAGACTGACATTCTTCTTTAGCACAGGCTGTCCCGCTAACACTAAATAGCCGGCCGTCTTTCTCAGCGCTCATACCAGCGTCTATTATGGCCTTGACAATATGGAAATACCTGTGCAGTGTTATTTTGTTTCATCGCACCATCATGCCTGATAGCTTAGAAGAACGATACATCAGACTTAAATGTGAGTCACTCCATATCACCTTTGTATCTATTTCATGATCTTCACATCTATCTATAGCTATTAGCGGAAAGAATTTTAAAATCCCTTCCTGGCGCATTCTCGCTGGCATTTTTGTATCCATCAATGTTAACTCCCAAAGCTGGAATTCGGCTATCAGTGTTTTACCATCTGATGAATCCTTGGATGAATCTTTAGCGTGGGGAGATACTGCGACTCTGTAAAGTCCACGGAGACTTTCTGACGCGATGTGAGAGCTAATTGGATTACAGATCATCACACGCTTCACCTGCGTTATCAGTGGAAATGAGAGCGTCCCGTGAGCTTGGTCGAATGCTAGGCAGCGGAGAAGTCGTCAGGAAGCTTCGAACACCATCGGATGGGCTACTCGATCATGGTGATGAGCTATTTGGTGAGTAGCTTGTTTCTCATTTATATACATCTACTAAACATCTTGTAGATCTATTCTTCCCACCCATGTGTGGAGTCCTCACTTCCCTCACACTGAAGACCGCCGTTGTACGTGCTTACGACGATCAGGACGGTGCATTCTTTGATGTGAGTGATGTTGGCTTCTGTTGTTATCTTTTACTGACGAAACACCAACCGTAGTCCCTCGTAGACTGCGAGATTACTCGAGACGCGGATGCGGGCTACGCACTATTCACCGAATATATGACGACCAAGACGGTCTCTCACCTGCACGATGCTGTGCAACACTTTCAGTTTGTCCTTGACCGGTATCCAGTCGACCATCCTGACCACGCAGAGGCTCTCACCAACTTTGCGTTTACCTGCCTAGAAGGCTATATGCAAAATCATCTTCAAGACATTGACACCATTACTTCCCTCTTCCACCAAGCCCTTGCATTGCGTCCGCAGGGTCACTCCGATCACGCATTATCCTCCTGTGATCTCATTAGAGGATTTATATGGCCCTATGGCAAGGAGTTTGCCGCCGTCTACATTCACGAATCCGCGCAGCTGTGCTGCAAGTTACTGCCTCCCTGTCCATGGGGCTCCTACCTTCGTAGCATGCACGTAGACAGTGCGATCGGTTATGTGATCGGCAATTTTCCAATTGACACATCTGATGAAGGCACCCACCTTCGATGGAACGTGCTCCAGCTCTGTCCTCTGGAATATCAACTCCGTCCCAGAGCCCTTCGTTTGCTCCCATTAGTATTAGAAACCCGCTTCCAACAGTGCGGCAGCATTCATGACATCGATGAGATTATACAACTTCGTCGTGAAACTGCGTCTCTGTTCCCAGAAGGACATTCTGACCATGATGACTACTTACACAATGCGACCTGCTCACTCGAGTCTCGCTTCAATCACCGAGGCAAATCCAATGACCTTGATGAGGCCATCTCTTTGTACGAAGAAGCGCTGCGCCTTAGGATCTCTCATTAGACAACCTAGGACGTGCCCTCATCACCCATTTCAACAAATGCAGGGACATTGATGACATCACCCGAGCTATCAGCCTCCTTCGCGAGGCACGACATTGCACCCACCTGGGTGACACCACGCTTAACAACCTTGCCCTCGCGCTCAACACCAGATATGACAAATTCATGTCAGCAAGGATCTTAACGAGGCCATTGATCGGTATCGCGAATCCCTTCGGTTAAAGCGGCTTGACGATCCAGAGCGCCATAGAACTCTTTACAATTTGAGATCGGCGCTCTGCTCTCGTTTCACGCACACCCGGATGGATGGAGATGTCGAGGAGGCCATTATTCTCTGCCAAGAATCATTATAGGCTTTGCCTTTACCCTGGACAGGTTTGGGGCTACAGACGGCTGCAACGAGCCTATACATCTCGTTGCCTGATGCAGCACAGCCCCAATATTTTGTCACTCGCTGTAGAAAACTTCAGACTGGCATCAGGACACCCTACTCAAGGCTTTCCGAATCGTATTCAAACTGCCTTGAAGTGGGTTGCTGAGGCCGAGCATCATCAATACGACTCTGCTCTGGAAGCATACCAAGTATGCTTAGAGCTTTTCAACAGCCACGCGATGACGCGATCGTCGATTACCTCACAACGCGAGGCTGCAACCGCTTTTGGTGATGACACCAACTGCCAGTGTTCAGGCAGCAACCAAATACAGAAAACTTACGGAGCAGTGGGAAGCTGCGATGGCTGAGATTCGTGATCTTCAAGCTTTCTCGCAATTTCTGCTCCTACCGTCGTACACAGACTTGCAAGCAGTGGCAGCGCGTCACGGCACGGTCATCATCCTCGTTGCAAGTCAATAGTCTTGCAGCACCATTATTATCCCAACCTTAGGAGAGAGTTCCATCGTGTTACTTTGTCGTCTATCGCTCTCGCAGAGCTGAAGATTCTCAAGGATCGCTTCACCAGGTCAATAAGACACACGTCTCGGACGAACCCAGCGGAATCGAGGACGGATCTAATAGCACTCTTGCGGACATAATGGGACGAAATGATGCTACCCATCGTCAACGTACTCGCATACATCCTCAAACTAAAGCACCTCTCTCGAATCTGGTCGTGTCTAATTGCAGCTTTCACGTCCATTCCTCTCCATGGAGCTAATCCTTTTCAAACAAAGGCAGATTGCTCTGGGAAGGAGTCATGCCTAGAGGATCTCTACATCTATTCTTACACGCCGACACTTTCGCCTCAAATGATGAAGGAGCGTATCACACTATCCTTCGTGGCGATCAGACAAGGTCAATCGGGTGCAGGGAAAGGCAAGGCACTCTTAGCTGTCGACAGCGAGCCACCTGCGACGGCCAAGCGTACCACTATTTATGGCGACGCAGCCACAAGAGCAGGTGCACTCCGAGCTCTGGAAGACAACACCTGGGCGCACCTAGCTTGCCATGGCAAGCAGGACCGTACACAGATTCACAATTCCCATTCCGTCATGAGAGATCAACCTCTGACGCTACTTGACATCATGGCGAGAGACATTCCACACACCGAGTTCGGATTTTTGTCGGCATGTCATACCGCCATCTGCGATGAGAAGACGCCAGACAAAGTCACTCACCTCGCAGTCAGTCTCCAGTTTTCGGGGTTCAAGAGTGTTGCGCTGGGGGAGGTCGACGATGATATTGTCAAACATGACGTCGAAGCTTTCTACAAATATATGTTCAATCCGGAGGTTGATATCATGGAGTGTACGAAGTGTGCACTCGACTGTGCTACACACTTTGTGAAATACAAAAGTGCCACTCGAACAGAAGATGGTTTTCATTCATATCGGTGTGTAGTTATTTTATGTCGTATTGCTTTCATCTCGCAGTTTATCTTTACCATACCTTCATCGTGGTGAAGCTAATTGTAGGATCACCCCTTCGAGTTATGCTCTTCCCGTTTCATCCATATCGTGTTATCGCCTACTTCAGAATCTTTCGCTAATTTTTTCAATGCTCGTTACGCAGTGTGCTGTCGAGTGGCCTTCTTGACTTGAGCACCCCTTTAAATTTGATTGAGCTAAATTCCTCTAGATGATTACCTGAAACTTTTATCTGTATCTTCACAGCGACAAAATGGTCTGTATCATATCGATAGTGACCTGCCTTGGTCCTGTAGAATATCACACGGCTATGATTGACATCAACGTGATAAACACTCGCCTTTCAAAGGTCAAAGTATATGACGTGTTTGTACCGCGCAGTCGAAAAGTCATAACCTAGAAGCTCTGCCTTCTTAAAGCCTGTGAGATACAAAAGGTCTCTCCTGTTCTTATTCTCCCATGACTTATTTCCGCTATCCTGACTTTCTATATGAGAAACCGAGAACCATTGGGCTATCAGAGTGCTGACAGGACATTGTGAAGAAAGGGATAACTCCCCGCGGCCACCCGTTGCAGCGAAGGATATCTTGATGATATACGGAAGAGGCGTGTACTAAAGATGCAACTTGTGAGTCAATGACCAGGGAGGTATAAGTGCGACAGGGACACGATCGAAAGGAAGGCACACATGGCAAGTTTGGCTTATGTCGAAGCTTTGAAAGAGATAAATAGGTCAGTCATAGTTAGTGTAAATATCAATGTTAGTGATGATATAAACAAGGCTCCTATACTTGGCCCCCGCGACGTCTGACTTACGTCATCCAGTAGGCATTAGTGCCGTCCCTTCTAGCGATGGAGTGTAAGAACTGCGAGTTGAGACAACGTCAGTACTATTGCGTAATCTGTCTCAAAAACCAGTAAGCAACTTGAAAACACTTGTCGCGTTAACCCACCTTAACCTTGCATATAGTCTACGTGATTTCCGCCTTCAAACCCACCATTTTTCCTCCGACAGAGACGAACACGTTGCTCGTGCATTTCATGCATTCAAGTCTATCGAATCCAATCGCCTCCAAATTCGTGCAGAGATTGTACGAGCGAATCGCAGCCTCGAGCAATTAGTTGATGGCCTTGCCAAAGTAAGAAGAGACTGTGAGAGCAGTACGTGTCTGTAATACCCTTGTTCGCGTGTGATGTTCTAACATAATCTAGAGCGCGACCGTCTCCGTACTCTTCGAGAGGCCCTTGCTCAGCGCAGACGCACACTTAACGCCGCACGCCTCCTTCCACCTCAATCGCAAACACTTACCAAGGAGTCTCAGGAACTCTCCGTACTGAGTCAAACTATCGCTAGAGCACGATCGGGCCTCGTACAGGAGTTAGTAGAAGTCTTTCATGTCGTCGAAGTCGGCGGTCGACCCGCAGTTGGTGGACGACCAGGCGCAAAAGGAGAATGGACTATTGGTGGACTAGTTCTTCCAGTACCAGGAGATGTTAGACGTACGTTGCAAATGCTTACTACGTGAAGAATTTCATCACGTAGGTTGTACCACAGGATACCCGCCTGATCATATCAACGCCGTAATAACTAACACTATTCACTTTCTGGGACTCCTTACTTTCTACCTAGGTATCAAACTACCTTTCAAAGTTTCATGGTCTTGCAGAAAACTCGGGGTTGGTATGCCTTGGATTGGAGCAGAACAAGGGGGTGAATCATGGGCAAAGTGTGTCTCCTCTTGTCACCTACCGTATTTTTAACTTGAACTGTTTCACGTTCTCTCTCCTCCACACATAGATGGGTGAAAAAACACCCCATACACCTAACCTCCAAACCATCCTCGACACCATCTTCTCCCACCTCATCGCCATCCTTTACACCCGCATCGTTAGCTGACTCAGAAGCTCCAGAACAGCCACCAGCCCACGCCCAAAACCAATCATTCACGACCGGCTTCGCTATGCTTCTTTATAACGTGTGTTATCTCGCTCATACCCAAGGTGTCGAGATTCCCTTGTCCCAGGCAGGTGATGCATTGGGTAATTTGTGGGCTGTATGTTGTAGTGGAGAGCTTGGGCGGTAAGTTGCCTTTTACTCACCTTTGAAACCTTCGGCACTCTATTCCTGTTTCATTGTTTATTCATTCTATCATCCAAATTGGGCGTTCTCTGATTGATGTCGTTACAGTCGGTCGCACTCTACCACCCCGCTCCTATTGCCTCCGACCCCTCCCTCATTTACGCTTGACTTTACGCAGGTCCTTCAAGCTACTGCTGCCAGTCCTGCTCGAGCAGTACGAATACGGCCGGGGCGTTTGGTGCAAGAAGCTGAGATCGGGAGGATGAGGAGCGAACGGATCGTGGAGGAGGATGGCTGGGATGTAGTAGAGCTTGGTGGAGAAGAGGGATTTGGATAAATGGACGAGCTGGGAGATGGTGGATCATTAGCATGAGTTACATTGTTCTGAGAGCTTTGATATGAATAGTCAGTCTTGTACGGATAGTAAACTTGAGGCCAGTAGCTTGAACTTTCGAAGTACGTCCTCGCAGAGTGTCGATATAAAAATTGGGCGACATTCTCCCAGAATATCCTCTGCATCACGTTCATGTGATCCAAAAAGACATCTCTCTACTGGGTTGATGAAGTAGCAGCAACACATACTTAGCCTTATCCCCAGCTTTCTTCGGCTCAAGAATCAGTTCCTCCACGTCGTAGTCAATATCAATCTTGATGGTGTCAATTGCAAGGCAGAGTTCTGCGTGAAGATAACCAGAGAGGGAGATGATTAATTCCAGAGAACAGACATCTGTCGTGTAGGTTCTCTAGGGGTCGAGTCATGAATCATGATTGTCACAACACGTCGGGAAAACGATCATCGATCATCATTCATGGTCTGAGCATGCAGGAAATAACGGGCGCCCTTTGTACGTGCGCCATCCAGCCTACAAGGAGTTCTCCGTTGAATTCAACGCATCATAGAAGACTGTACTCAGGCATAGTATATCGGAGTTTGAGATAAATTTCGAACGGCATCTAGTAGTCATGTGACGACTGGCCTGAGCGTAAACATATTCACTTTCATATTCTCCATCGAGACAATTCGAACTGATATATGCATCTATCAGTCTCCCCAAGTCAGCTCATTAGAAGGAAAACAGTTCTTTGCTTCTATATACAATGCACCAGGCTCTGCTTATTCCCGAAGTCCTCCTAGAGATATTCTCGCATGTGACTGAGGAGCCTCCCGAGTCGTCCACTGGTGTAACAACTGGTGTTGTATCATTGTCTCAGAAATCCCTTGCAGCGCTTGCAACGATATGCAAAGCCTTTTACGAGCCCGCGATGGACCTACTGTGGAGTGAAATCAACATATCAGAGTCACTGCTAGGATGTGTAACGAGACTACATCCACTGATATATCGCGGCGGTGGACTGGTGAGTACAGACCAGTCGTGTTCTATTCATTTATTTCGTTTATTGGCTGACCGGGTATCCACATAGTGGAACTGGGCGGTAGGCGTCAGACCCTTATCTGTCGATGAAGCCCATCAGTTTTTGCGTCACTCCGCTCGCATTCGCTCGCTGATAATGCTATCCAATCGCCTTTTGCACCTTTTCTCAGACATCCCTGTCATGTTATATGACTTCCCAAGACTAATGTCGTTGACTATTTCCACCAGATATCTGAACTTCCTGCTGTCCCACACGCTGCACCGTCATCATCTAGCGACTGTCGATGAAGATATACAGCCTATTGTGACCCGTTTTGCTGCGTTAGAGCGCTTACGCATTTTCACTCCTGATACCATCAATGCAGTTGACAGCACAGCAGATGCGCTGTTCCGTATTTCAGATGTTGTCCGTTTGTGCAAGCAGCTTGTAACCCTGTCCTGTCCACTATTCGACTGGGCAGCATGGACGCACATCTCCAACCTATCTACCCTTACCAGAGTGGATGTTGGTGACACGCTCACTGACGCCACCCCTCCTTCACCGTTGGAACGGGATATCACCAATTTTTCCCCATTCAGTAACGTCACTGCTCTTTCCTTCCTACTGCACGGTGCTGCATACGCTATCACAGTCATGCAACGTTCACAATTCCCTTCGCTGAAAGAATTCAGGCTAGATGTCCGCGTTCTATCTTCACCAGAGGCTGAGCAGCTTTTCCGTGCATTGTCCAAATGCAAAGCATGCGAGACCCTAGAAAAAATTCTCGTATATTCCTTGCGTCACGAACACAATGATCCCCAAACCAACTCGTTGTCAGTGATTCCATATTTGCTTTGCTTCACACAGCTCCGGACCCTGGATCTCGCATGCTATGATTTATGTATCAACCTGGACGATGTCATTCTCTTGGAAGCCATGTCAGCTTGGCCGCACATGCGCAATCTCGAAATCGAAGACTCGCGCTTTGATTATTCTCCCATTACATTCCGCGGAATTTTTACAATGCTCCGTCTATGTCCACAATTGGACACACTGAATATTTCAATCGATACCACGACTGTCGATATCGATCCTGATGTCGAGCCAGCACAACATACCTCTCTACGGATATTGAGGTTGAATACGCCCGGGCATCAAATACCAAATGCTGAAGCTCTCGCTCACATCATTTTCTCCTGTCTTCCTCGTATTAACCGGGTTGACGGGTACGTAGAAAGCAAATGGGATGAAGTCAACATGCATCTCAAATCTTTGAAAGATGCTGCGCTACATGCAACAGGAGCCGCCTCGAATACTTGAGTTTGGGATGTATCATTTTTGTTCGCACAATATGTTCCAGTTGCTACATTCATTCATGCTCGTTTCTTCGTGTCTGTCGTCGGTATACCTGCTTTCGATTCTGCACTACGATTGCCACTATTTTCTCTCATCCTTCACTACCATGACCGTACTAAGTTCTAACGAGCCTGGAACTCCAACACATCACAACTCTTCAACAAGTCGATCCGTTGTAAGTCTGTGACAACTTCTCGAACAACATTTTGATCGGAATTTGACATATGTGCAAGAGGCGCACCTTGCAATCGCACGTGTAGGCCTACCGCTGCGGGAATGTGTTCTCGTCCAGCTTCGTCTGGCTCTAGAGTCAATGATACAATCTGTGAGGTTGGGCTGGACCGAGCGTTAGCTCGGGGTGGGACGCAAGCAGGTGGAGCCGCTGAGAGGGGGGGGGCACCTGCTTACGAATTCGATTGTGCGTTGACTCACGAACGCTCATATGCGACAAATTTGAATATATTCTAGTTTGCGAATAACCAACGATGAGATAATACGCAAAAGGAACGAAATTACGACTAGTACTAAGGGAATGGCGGGTGGGCTCAAAGAACAAAAGTAACAACGAGTGAGTGTACAAACGCTATGCCGAGCTCGTTGTTAAACGTTAAATGACATCACCAAAATTACCGAATCCAGAGATGGTCATATATTACCATGTCGGAGCCACCATACCTGCCATATGTATCTGGCGCAAGGTCTCAATGTAAGGCAATGTTCGGAAACTCAAATTCCGGCATTCTCAATGTTATATGGTATTAGTCTGACATTGGTCTAGCGTTCCGATATACCAGATATTTCCATGTGTATCAGGCATTTGAATCTTGCTCAGACTAATCAGACATTGCAATTACATTCCGATATAATGAGACATTGCATTGAAAGCATGACAGTACAAAGCATGGGCGGAAGAAAAACGAACGTGGGAGACTGCTCCGGCAGTCTATGTTGCCCGGCACCTGAAATCGAAGAAATGATACAGGGAAACTTGTTCAGGTCAGCACGAGACTGGGAAGCATCTTCAAATAAGGCCTGTACGTAACTGACTTGACACTGTTTGCTCAACTGATCCTTGATTGTGAACATTGACGCGTCGACGGGCCATGCATGCATAGGCTCCACACCCTTCAAAGCTCCATGATATGTAGACTTTCGTTGTGTCACGCCGGCGCTTGGGATTGGGTTCTTGCCTGAAAAGTGAGTCGGTGACTGCTCTTTATCGCTTCCGAATGTCACCTGCAATGAAAATGTGCCTGTGGCAGATCGCAATGCCGAACCCGGGGCGCTACTAGATGGTCCCACGAGTCCGTGTGTCCCAAGAGTCCGCGCATTGACTCTAGCACACGCAATTCTGCACAAAATCCTTATCCATGATAGATCTGGATTCGCCCAAACATAATACACACTGCCATATATTTTTTTTGAAGAAAATCGAAGTAGATCTTGTTCCATGGGCAACTTATCAGTGCGAGAGGCATAGAAGGCTCACTCTAAAGGTCAGATCTCCACATATAATTCTGGAATATTGTGAGATGGTTATATACATGATTAGAGAATACTAAAACAAATTTATTCGGGGCACATGCTTGTCAGGATCATCTGCGATAAAGAAATAAGCCCCAGACGTGACAATCTGCCCAAAGCGTTACATAGAGACTGTGTAATCAAAACTCCGCAATGCCGAAATGCTTTACACATGCACAACTTCACAACATTTAAACGGTGCGAATTCTGCGGAGCGTGAAAAGGCATCGCGGCAGACGTGTGACATAGTGTGATGAAGTGCGCGAACTCTAGGGAAAATGCACTTTTCTGCGCGGTAACTCTCCGCTGGACTCAACACGTCAATTTTCGAAAAAGAAACTAGCAGACGTTGTACTTTCGATGTCACGCTATCGAACTGTCAAATAATTAATTTTGTTTGTTTGTGCGATGTGGAGTAATAACCGTTTTGCCAAAAAGGCGCGAACTCCCGTGGACATCTAGTACACTGAGAGCACAATGCTCTTGGTTGCGTTATCCAGAACGTTTGGCAGGTTCAGTCAGGGCTCATGTCTCATGGTGAGTCTCCATTACCTGCGTCCGAAGAAGCTATATCATAACCATTCATTCTGAAGCTTAGTCTAGCCTAGCACGAAGATTGGAATGGAAGAGTAAACCGATCTCGCGTCCGAGAGCCCTCCTGGTTGGCGAGTATAACAGACAGATCACAAACTTGGTTTGGCCTTTCTCCTAGTCCTATCACACACCACAGCACTGCTCTTTTGACCATGACGACTGCTACCTTTACTGAAGGAAACTACATGATTGAGAGCGTCGACTCTAAGGGGGAATTTTTGACGGTGGAAAACGGGAATATCTGTCTCCACGCGAAAGACCCTCAGAGTGTCCAAGTCGTGCGTCAGGCTCCCGATCTCCTGTGTCACTGCAGCTAATCACAGATACGTAGTGGAAACTCATGAGTAGCGGGGATAATTGGGTGAAATTTCAAGGCGTACCGCCTGATACTGTTCAGGAAGGAAAAATTGCTGGTGCCAATATGTCAGTAAGTTTACCCTTTTTTCTCTGATGCGAGATTCTTTCTGACTCATCCAGACGCACACACTGGTTTACGGTGATGGCGCGATAGAGGATTTCCAGCTGGAGGACGATGCCAAGAATACTTTTCGGTACGTGCTTCTAGTAATTGGTGTAGGTTCAGCATTGATTACTCCCTCAGGGTGACATTTGAGTACTATGACCTGGGCCTGTACTGGCAAATCGATGATGGGAAATCCGTAGGTCTTGGAATTAATCAAGTTGCGCCGCCGCTTACAAGATGTGTACAGGTCTCGTTTACCAGCAACCTGACTTATGCAGCGAAATGGAAGTTGACAGATTGTTCGAAATGATGTGCTGAACAAAGAAATTTCCCAAGTTTGGCAATAAATTGTATCGATACTACATGTAATCTACATCTTGGCTGGGATTCTGGGCATGCAGATTGCCAGGGGACCGAAGTACTTCTGGAGGGATGCAGGATCTTTGTTGTCATGCTAGATCTTGGTCACGAATTATAACGCATAGCGAGTGCTTCTGAAGTGTATCCAACTACACTCACCAGAGCGATGAAAGATTTGATATTGGCCAGGGCTTGGGCAGTGAGTTCATTCGCGCTCTGTTCCTGTTTCATAGTTGATTCGTTCTGTAATGCAAAATTGGCGTGCTCTGATTAACCATGATCTCCTGATGCAGTCGATCACAGTCTACCAGTCCGCTCCTCTTGCATCAATCCCTCCCTCATTCACTTCACATGATTGAATTCTTTAGTTAACTTCACCCCCGACATTTACTAGCACAGGGCATCAGCCTGGCCCAAGGTAGCTCTGAGCCTTTAGCGTTATGCTGTGTTGCAGCGCTTTGATAGTTTGGTCTCGCTCTTCTTTCATTCACTACTATGGCGACGTCCGCTTCATTTCACGGAGTTGTTGGTCTTCAAAATGGAAGCCGGTATCAGATTGACAGAAAGAACTTTTGGCGATACGACGGATTCATTGCTACTCCAGAACTTGGAGACATTCGCGTCAATGTACAGTGTTCACATGCACATTCGGTGCGAACACTACCTCAGCTGAAGACGGCATCTATCTATTGGATCGTCGACTTACATAGTTCCATTCACCTTCACTTACCTCGTGCGGATCTCATTCGAAATGCCAGTGCAATCATTTGGGACGAACTTCCTGCCATTAACAGAGCCGCCTGGAAGAGCGTCGACGAACTTTGCCGCATCACATGCAATCGCCCGCGAATTCCATTTGGACTCGGAGGAAAGACTTTCATAGGATTAGGAGACTGTCGACAAGCAGATCCTGTCGTCAGTAGAGCAGGAGAAACTGCGACTCTCGCCGCATCGGTAAAGTCGTCGACGCTATGGCAAAACATCCGAATCCTGAATCTTAATACACCAATGCGCAGCATGGGGGACACAAGACTTACGGCCTTCGTAGACCGCGTTGGAGAAGACTGCTCCGGAAACCGACAGTCTCGCGCTCATAGCTGCAACCACAAACTTTGACGATAGCATCGAATTCATATTCCCTGAACACATTCTCGAAGACCCTGAGACGTGTCTGCAGCGCTACCATGGCTTTGGGATAAAATCAATCAAATGATGTATGCCTTTAGTCCTGCTGAGCTGGATGAAATGTCGACATTTGTAATGTCGCCAAATCCAATTCATCCTGATCACTTTCGCGCAGACTAAACAGCACACGAGATGCCAACATACTGTGGAGGACAACTTGTGGTCTGCCACAACGTATCAGTGATTTTATTAGACCACGTTAAACGAATTGCCACGTACAAGTCCATCATCTCGTTATATGATACCTTGCCCAAATTAACAAAAATGTCAAATGAGCGCATACAATATGCAACTTACTGGCACCCCAGATGTGATCACTATATTGACCACAGAAACGACTGCAAGAAGCGCTTCAACACGGGACGTGTTAAATTGAAAAAAGGTCACCGCACAGATTATGGCAGTCATATACCGCACTCCGCCCTGGAAGATGACTCTCACTAGACGACCGTTGCAATCACTGTAGTATTCATATCTCTTGAACACCGTTAAAGACATCAGCACTAGGTGAATGGGATTGAAAAGTTGTACTGCAGTGGAACGGAAACGAGATATCCTTACATATTTCGTAGGCCACGAGAAAGCCATATTGAATGGCACTGCTCCGTTTCGTTTCAAAATTGCAGCTGCTTGTGGGGGGAGCTTGAAAAGCACATTTGTCGTCTACAACAGGGAAAGAAAAAAAAATAATGCAAACCAACCTGAAGGGTTTACGGGCACTGCTAGTAGATCAGCAACAAAATCTGTGATACCGACACCACACGCAATGCAAATCTACATTGCGATATCAACAGACGATGGGTGTGAGCATGCATGACCAGACCAACGTACTACTGCCAAGATCAGTAACACTGCCAAAAGCTTCTTGCTCTGTTTCCAGAACGCATATGTACGAATGATCAGAAGACCTATGAGGGATAGATATAAGGCTCAGAAGACACTACAAGGAATGGAGCGAACCTTCAGCAGCTACAATACTAATGATATGAGTTGCTGTAGTGAAATCAGTGACAAGATGCTGACTATTCAGGATATCGATCACCGTTTGAAGCCGCGCTGAAGTGCGAGCACTGTTTTCATCGTCCTTCAGCCTGAGTTCATACAACAACCACATAAACAAGACACACTAACATTCTCGTTCGTTCGTGTAGCGAGGACAGCTAGTCACTCGTCAATGTCATGTACCAGGAGATACGGGTAGCTGCTCACCGTATGAAGTCATGGCAGCTGCTACAAAAGCCATGTAGCGTGAGATTACAAAAAGAACACGAACGACGTTCCAGCGCCTGTTCCATGTCCATCGAATCTTGTAACATTCCTCAATAGATGTTCGAATTCGACAAAGAAATACTCACTTCAGGTTCGAGCGTTAAGAAATAGTCAAAAATCTACGAAGCATAAAAGGGGTTATTGTCCGTGATTTGTATATAGACCTACCAAAACTCCTAGACTGGCCACTGCATATATTCAGGATGAGAATGATGTAAACGCCTGCATGAAGTCCACGTACCATTGCAATACTAGAGTAGTTTCAGTCAACAAACTTCATCTGGCAAATGTGACTTCTTACCTTCGCCGTCTGGATTCCTATATTCTCTATGGGCGCGACCATTGCACGCTCGTACTAGATAAGGTTCCAGAACTCGCTCTTATATATTGCCAAGATCTGAATTTGCATGATTGCATCAATTTCGAAACTGTGCATTCGCCGTGTCAGCATGCGAGATCAAATTAGACTCCACACTACTGCATATGGTGATGGAGTCAAAACTAGTAGCAGGTCCTATCTATGTCGCGAAACTGGCAATGGATTTCCAATGTAGCAAATGCAGAGTACCGGGATTACCCCGTAAGCAGATGCTCGCTGGCAACAGGGTGAATTTGAAACTCGGAGAAGAAAACCATGCCATTCGTGTCGAAATGAATCTGTTCTGCTCCTCAGCGGTTACAGTTTGATGCAAATGGAAGAACTGCAACGCCCGTACACTATGCGGAACAACTGTGAGTTGATTTCCCACACCAAATGCTAAGCATCATGCTCTCCGCGCGTTTCAACTCATGTTTGATCATCATTTCATCATGGGCGCCTTCAAGGTCAATTGACAACAGAAAGCAGTGCCACGAACAAGGAGATGGTAATCTTGCTTGCTGAAGACACTATGCTGTTCGATTTCAGCGCTCAGAGGGGTGATATCATCACATACCAATTATATCTGAGTTCATCCAAGAAGATCATCTTGAACTGCCCGGTAGCTTCGGTGTTTTTGGAAGCAGATATCAGAACGCACGTGCTTAGCCTCCAGATTGCTATAAAAAGATTGAGAAAACAAGGTCGCATATATTCTGGTGGTCAATGAGCTATAAACCGCCACCCCCTTTGAAGGCTTTCTCGGACCTCGGTGCAAGCCATGTATGGATGATCTAGACGACACCGGTCAAGTGTGAGCGTCCATATCAACCACCTTACAGGTAGTATGTAGGTCACAACGCACAAAATTAGACCACGAGAGTATAACCCATCGAGATGGTATGCCACGATCAACACGGCTTCTCTGCTCGTGTATGTGCATTAGTATGTCGGAAGTGCTTGTTGGTGGAGATAATCACTGCGTCAATGCGCCACTAGTGTCTTGGCACAGATATTCTCCGAATAGCACCGCACGGTCCATCATGCGTTATACACTTGTTCATCATTTGGTTGCCGCATCGGTGGCCCAACGGGAATTTCGAGAACTTGCTTAGAGGACGATTTCGGTAGTTGTCTCACAGTGATTCAGTGAGAGAGGCGGACGAAGGGTGCACGCTGCACAGTGCACACAGATTGGACAACGGACGAAGTTATATATACACGCGTACGAAAATAACAAGTAACCTACACGTGTTCAAGGTACTACTCACGTAGCTTAGTCATCATTATATCATTCTATCGAGGTCCTTTTCGACAAGCATCCGATGCTCCTACAGGACCAAGAATATTCCTGAGGACATCGTCTCAGAGACCCTCACGACACAGCCAACAAGACACGGTCGTCCCAAGGATATCCAAAGCGTCAAAAACATCAGGCCCGAAGCGGAATCCCAAATTGCCTCGACTCCGAAAGCTGTCGGCAAGCGCAAGCCACGGAAAGCTAACATACCACTCCCAGTCAACAGAATCGATCTTCCCCCGCGTTCAACATGGCGAAACTACTTTTCCACCACCGGCATGGCATTCAAAAGTCGTATTTCCATCGCTAACCCCGAGACGGCAGCACTAGTTGCAGATTCATTTGTTCCTAGTGGTTCGAAGGATAAAGTTATTGTAGAAGCGTATCTCGGTGAGGATACTGATACTTAAACTTCAATCTTTTGGTGCTTACAGAGCCCACAAAGGTCGTGGTGTGTTAACTCGCGCTTTGATGCAGTTGCCGAAAAAACGGATCCGAAAAAGCTTGAGAACGTAGAACAGTACTTCAACTTCCTGAATGTGGGAAATGAGCCTTACAGAGTTTGATTATGCTAATAGTCTTCAACAGCCGCTGCAGCAAGCGGACCCTAGAGTACAAGTTTTGCCAATCAACGGTTTCTCATGTAATCTCATTCCACAGACTAATTATCCCTATCTGACACAAGTGATGGCGTGTTTCCGCGTCTCCTGAGGATCAGGCTCGGTGCAAGCTGAGCGTCATCGCACAAGTCGTTTCTGAGTTTAATCACACCATTGACCCACAGTTGTTGGTACCATATCATAGCCATTTCTACCCTGATGCTACGAACCCTGCATATTCTTTAAAGACTGAAAACAGGCGCAGAGGTACACCATTCATAGCGGGTACATTCAGACCATTAGAGCATCAGGTGCTTGTCAGTTTTACTACATGTTAAATCACTGACGTCATGTGCAGATCATTCAACCAGGCATGCTGGATAGACTCGTGAGCGTGAATCGGTGACAAATAGCTTCATGGGCGGTAGAGGGCTTTCTTCTGAAGCCATCGTGAATCGTGGGCTGAGCCTCGTGGATAGCGCGGAAGACTATGTTTACGTCAACAATCACGCACGACACTAAAGCAAAAGCTCGAAGCCTACCTGCCGGCAAGATACATCATGAATCAAAACCGAAACCGATATACCTCTTGCAAATTACTAACTTAAGTACAGTGATTCGAAGATTCGTTTCTACCGCCAGCTATGCGCTCCGCGTGTTTGGGCAAGTACATTATGACATTCTAGGCTCTTACCGTTCAGCACAACTTGAAGACCTCGATATGTGAAAAGAGACAGGGACAAGTGGAGGAGCCTCAGGAGGAAACAAAGGCTCTCTGACTCTCCAGCTCCAGCTCCAGCTCCAGCATCCTCCCCTTCGCATCCTGCCTCTCCTTCTTAGACTTCTCTTCGACCCTCAATATCACCTCCCTTCCCTGACCAGCCATAGTCGTCTTCTGGTTTAAATCATAGAAGTAGTTGGTTTTGAACGTCGAACCGCCGAGAGAATTTCGTGGGAACGCCAGTAATTGTTGCATCGGTAACCCTATACCTAAACAATTCCGCCTCAGTCATGGTGGTCTCGAGATTTCTCTGCGTACTCTCTGAGAGACTGAGGTGCGCTTGAGTCTAGGTGTTGAGTACTGATCAACGACAATTTCGAGCGCCTGGAACAAGTGGGCGGGTGAAATGCATTAAATGGTATCATTTTATCACCCTATTCAATATTCAGTACTGTTGCTCAATGTGCTATGACGTTGGAGAGGCATACAGTATTTTGTATGATGTGAATGTGAATGTAAGGCTTATGGAAACTCTAGGTCTAGTCTACGTAGAGTCTACTCTGGGTCTCTGAGGTGCCAGCCGCCCGGCCATATTAAAAGCAGAGTTTAATTCCAAGTCGGGACGATGTGACTGAGCTTCAAGTTGTGACTTAGCTCACCCCGCCCTCATCTTGATAACGCCCGCCGCCCCACCCTCTTGCCTGCCGCGGGATCCGCATGGGTACCGGTAACCCGCTCGGATCGCGGGTACGGGTACGGTGATCCGTTAACGGGTACTGCCGAACCTGCTTACAAATCTTTTCAGACAGCGTCGCGTCAACACTGCCACCTACCACAATGCACATGCCGCGTCAGACCCCACCCTGGTCAGTGTTCGCCTAAGTGACGTTCGTGCCTTCCATTCCTCGGGTAGCTAAAGATATCAACTTGATGCATGCTGTTGTCAGGCTCGTTTGATACGTACTTATCGAGTTATTTCCCAGCTTGGGTTTTAGCATATCAATCTTCGCTAATACCATTGCAGCGTTGGTTTGGGCTCCTTATTCATCGTTCTGTGCGTGCATCTACGAAGCCAGGCTGGTCACGAGCCTAGTATTTTCTACCAATCCCACGAAATGCTTTTCCTGCAGCCTTCCATTCTGTAAGTATTCTGACGTTTGCACCTGTACTAACGTTAAGATATTTTTACAATTTAGGACCGAATTCGTAGAAGGATAGGCGGTCGAATCTCCGCCTTTTCTTCTGCTGTGCGATTATTTTTAGTATTTGGGTCCATAGCTCAAGACAGTGGTTGATCTCTAGAGCATCTATGAAAATCATGGAACTATGGAACTTCATTCTGGAATATCCAGATCAGATACATGCGGTAGGCAATCGACCGTTCGTCGCGCAGTTCACGTGTAGTGCCAACCTGCCGGCCCGCCAAAGTGCTATATTTGTGCTGCAAGGAACACCAATTAACGTTAACTGGATGGAGGTCCACTGTATTTTTTTTTTGACAATGATGGGAACCTGGAAGCTCATCAGTGTACTCGACGTTGTAATTTCCCAACCCCCACTTTCTACCTTTCCTGTATAAGCCAGAAAGACACTGATGATGTCGACACACAAGGGTACGTTCTATTTGTCTGCCTGCATCTCGCGCTTGATGTTATTATCATCAAGGTATCGTTGAACAGAAAGTACACACGCCGACGGAATGAAGGGTCACAATGTCAGCAGCACGTAACCATCAGGTCGGCCTTTGGTTTGTAATTCGCCGCTTTGCCAACAAGACTTTCCCAGATTGCTGGCGGGATAGCTTTGATGATTATTTTGTTGTCTTAGTTGGCCCTGCATGCTATCGGTTCTTGGCCTACATAACACCTTTAGTTGTCGGCCTTCATGATCTATCTCAGTCTATGCCACTACGTGAGTTTCGAAACCACATCCTTGAGTCCCTCTTACCCAGCGGATCACAGAATGCATTATAAGTACTGGTGCGTCCGTACTCCTACGTTTCTTTTTGGTGTTGATCCTCTGAATAGGCAGGAGGATTTGAAGCTATACAAGGCATCGCGTGCATAATGGCCAAGATTTGTCGATAACGTGCGTTTCGTCTGTGCTTGTAAACAGTAATGCACTAATATCTCGCTGTAGGACCTGTCGTCCTCTCAACATCAACAGAACTGACTGTCTTCGGCTCCTGAGGATCTGCCGCCCGTGGTTACTCAGCATCACCAGCATCACCCTATGTATGGAGGAGACTCGAGGAGCAACGACCAGCGTGATATCCATGTGTACGATTTCCTTAAAGTCCTCGTTCAAGGGAAATTAACACCTTCATTGATAGTGCTACTGGACAGCCTTCGCACAACGCTCTTTCAACCATTTACACACATCTTCCTTCGACGATCAGTTTGTTAACAACCTGGATTCTTCTGGCAACGTTTCCGAATCACGCCCCATTGAGGGCCACCCTCACCCTGTCCGTGACAGCCCATCAGAATCGCATACATCCAGCCGCTTGTTTGTCTGCAAGTGGAATGATGGTCACGGTCCATGCGACACGACGAACCCTAAGTGTAGAAGAGATCGTGGACCATGTGTCATCATCCCATCTTCCACTACCTGGTCGCATCACTTTGAAATGCCAATGGCAGGGATGTGGACTCCGAAAGTTCATTTGCCGAGATACAATCCTTCGGCACATCCGTCAAATTCATCTCGAACACAGACGTCGACGACAGTGACAGGTTACTTTGCGTCGTATTATGAGTAGACTCCTTCCACATTCACAGCCGTATTAATCACATTCGCTTTGACTGCTATTGATTTCCCTTGAGACTTTTGTTATGTTTCCCTTTCATATTTATGTTACTTCATGCTTTCGTCCTTAACAATGTATCTTAATCGATGGTATGTCCGTTCGGTGCCATCGTTCTCGAGATTTTCAATCGTGTTCTGGAGACAACAAGAGCAGGCTTTGGAGCTGCTATACTAGGATCGACAAAACAAGATACCAAATAGTGTTGAAATAGTGCAATAGCAAGAGATATTACCAGAAAGCAGGAAACAAAACGTAATCGCGAGAGGACAACATAACACAAGCCAGTTTATTCCGCCGACCCCGCTGATTGAAATGCTATTCTAAGTTGCTTCGGGTGCTTCTGAAAGTCCTACCACTACTGCCGCCATTTGGCCGCCATTCGCATTAAGAGATGCAAAGCTTCAAATCTAGATGGTCATATTGATAGTCCCTTGAGTAAAGAATATCATGACGAATAACAACATTGTTGATACTCATCGGGACAATGGGCCGCCTGTCAGGGGAGTAAGCCATGAAATTCTGGAAGACCGCAGTATATTATAATTAGAACAATCATTGTATTAATATTGGTGTCTCGACGAAACGGAAGATATCGCACAGCAAACTAAGATGACAGGAAATGACGCGGACGTATCGAGTCGTTGACAGCATTGTGAAATGTACTAGGTATGCTGTGGACACGACCGTGACAAGGAAGTGCCTGAACAAGTTGAAGTCGGATGGGAAAAGTAGATAGGCTAGATATGAGAAACATTCTCATGATAAAGGACGGACCATCAAGTGTAGTACTACATCCGTTCTGCGCGGTTTGACCCCAAGAAGACGTGTTCAGGACAAACAACAATGTTGCTGGAGACCATATGGATGAATTTCTAATAGGATGACAGATATGGTAGGTGTGGTCACTGGTCCACCTCCGGTATGTGGATTGGCAACACTTGGTAGAGTGCAAATGAGTACTGGTGCAGTCACTGCTTGTGAGTGACTAAGAACCAGATGTAACTTTGTGAGCATGTCACTGAGCAAACTTATCATAGGGTTACATAGTAGCCCAATCAGTACGGCGCCAATGGTAACAAACAACAGTGAACTTACTGCACACTGAACGCCACCATGTCATTAGCTGTACTTACCAATTGCAAGCGAGAATGTTGCTGACGAAAATCAGATTGCAGCTGTTCCCACCCGGGCATATGAGAATGTGGATGAGTCACATTTCTCGAGCACCGCGGGTGACTTATACAGTCCGGTACACTCTTTACACTTGTTTATTTCGACGCTGCGCCATCATCGTGTCTTATTTTTGTCGAACTCCAATCTCGGCTTCAGGGGTGGTTTCTCTCCCGATCGATCTTGTTCCGCGAAAGAAGCGTCAACCTTGTATATATATAAACGTGCAGTACTGGCAGGCCGAACATTGTACGGTGAAATGCCCAAGCGCCAGCCTGCCAGCCAATTCATCCCTCATGTGAGAAAAGCACTCAGCGCCGGGTGCATTTAGAAGAACGATTGATCTTAGTACCAGGTGAGTCTCAGTCTCAGTCTCCGCGTACGATGCATATGGTGTCTACTCACTGGATGTTTAATTGGGGACACCATTTTTCAGTCGGAGTCGTATGTAATCCTACCAAGTGGGACCCGTTCTCCGCAGTACTCTCACTAGATACGCGATATTCAAGATTGGATCTTTCATCTCTGCCTGTGCTCCCTGCCAGGCCATGTGTAAGCCGGACTGGCTTGAGAACTCAATCATGCCAAGTACAAAGGATCCGTACAGCGCGGGCTTACGTTTACCTGCCATGAAACTAAAGTCAGAATTTAGTTTGCAGGCCAAAAAATGTATATAAAAGCAGCGTGTTGCAAAGGCTTGCAAGCATTCGTGTGGAACTCAGTGTTTCAGAATGAGCTTGTGTTTGCGAAGGTAAGACTATTCTACACTGTAGACTCGAGATAAAACATGAACTTATCATGGATGTACATTCAAGCACCCAGTTGACATCGTCTTCACGCCAGTCAGGGTCTGCTCCTGATCAAGCTTCATTGAGAAGCGTACAACCATGTCTCGAGTACCTTGGCCGAGTCTATGCTATGCCAGGCAGTGTTTATAAGGAAATACTGGAACTACACACCCGCATCACGGAGCTTGTCACCTGCCAATCAGAAATCACCATGGGGGTTGAGGGTACCTTGGATAACGACATAGACTCTCAGGCAATCATTGATGGCTCTGAGTCTCAGACAATCCTGCCTCTTGCCACGCTAGATGAACTCAATGGCGTTTCACCGTCGTTGACTCCACCAGACCTCTCCATCTTAGTAGAATCGTTAGCATTCCAAGGACAACTTTCAGACATAGAGTACGGTCCTGTAGGGTTTGCTAGCCCTCTACCGCCTGAGGGTCTTCCCATCAGTGGACTTCCCCAAGGCAAGTTGCAATATGCACATCCTTTCCTTTAAATGCTTACCGTGTACGACCAGACCTGTTTCTCACTGGCAGCTATAGACTCGATGTACCTGACTTCTTGTCTCAGTACGACACGTACTTTGATGGAAAGATGATGTCCGAGTCCGAGTCTTCAGCAAGTCGCGACCAACAATCAAGTGATCGCATTCAAGTTGCGCAGGCCGACCAAGATAAAGTAAAGTGCATCTGGTCTGGATGCTCAAAGGCTCTCAAGAAGGGCAGTCTCACCCGTCATATAAACGAGACACACCGGCGGAAAGTCAAGGCTGTCTGCGCTCGCTGTGGAAAGAGGTTCGCGCGCCCATATATGCTAAAGAATCATATCTGTCGGGCAGAACGTGGAAAGCCCTAGATACTTACATATCACACGTTTCAATATTGTGGCAGAATGACCAAGCTAGCCAGACTAATGCAAATGACTATGTTTAGGATCACAACATTGATCCATGCTTATCAATGACATATTTATATAATGTCGAATCTCTCTGAGGTATCTAAATTTACTGACAATCCCGATCTGAAGCAGATCCGAGGCATGCGTTCACGCGCACGTCGGGCCTGTGATTCTCATGTTACCCAACTACACATACCCAGCGTCCAACGGGTAGCCTGGGCGGCTGACGTCGAACGACTACTACCCATGTATCCGCACACTAAAGGTACTGCAGTTGCATTAGCGGTCCTTCCTCCAAGAAATTGTCGTCGACGAGCCTCAGACCTTTGCACCAGTTACGCTCTTTGAGCTCAATGTTATTTCACTCCACTCAACTTGTCCTTCTTGCTAAAGCCAGCTTTCGGAACAAGAATATGAATCTCTCAGGGTTACTAGCACCCTGCTGGCAGAGTCAAGTTCAACGTTCAACTGCTAGATCTGACCAAGTCATGATTATTGGACGCTGGGGCGGTACTGGCTAAGTGCTGGTACAAGTTTATACACATGATCTGCCAGATGATGGCAAGAACGTGTTTTACCACAGTATTGCATATTGCCTTACGGATGAGGATAGTTGCGATCAGAAGTCCATCTCCAGTTCGATCTGTCGAAAGCTCTCAGGTTCTGTCCGTGTTATATAGCAAGGTACACACCAGAGCGACAGCTTCTTCGACTTTTAGAGCAAGCAAGTTACTGAACTCCGTCATGCGTTTTTTCACCCGGCCAGGGCAAACAACACAGTTCGTACTACTTCTGACCTTTTGGATTGTCCTGTCCGCTGCCGTCCTCACAGTATTCCCAGACGGGCTATCCTGTAACAGTTCGCATACCTCCTGCATATATATTGTCCACCATACAACTGGAGCGGAACCCCATGGAAAAAAACTTTCGTCGGTACCCTGTCCACAGCGGCAGCGATTCCCGTTGTAGGAGGAACCACGGAACAGCCAACTGCAGCCATTCGTATTGCAATAATGATCGGTCATCCATTTGAGATTCTTCATTAGGTGTTGTACGGAGATAATGCATTTTTTGTGGTATGTTAGTAGGGCAAGAAGGTCGGATGCGGTGATCAGGTTGATCTCTGCAAATAACGCAGGAATTAAGGGTTGTCTCAAGTTGCATCTGGCAGCGGTGATGGTTTCATGCTTGAGCCGCGCGTTCCTTGCAATGGCGAATGAGCGAAGGGGGTCCGTCTCAAGAACCTTGGGATTTGCCAGAGCCTGACATACTTTCCTCTCGATCAAGTCCAGTGAATACTTCTTCGCAGCTGCAAGTACAGAGAGAACTTCTGTGAGGTTGTCAAGAGAGGGATCTTCCGCCAGCGTCGATGGATAGCAAAACCTGAGAAACGTATCTAGAGTTTTGCTGTCCTCAGGCACGGCGATAACCGCTAAGCCATCCTTCATCTCTTGATCGGAAGCCCCGTCAGGAGCCTGAGGGAGGTCAAACAATGTTTCGAAGAACGGAGAGGCAAGGGAGAGGAAGAGCCTGAAAACTCGAAACTCCACGCCATCAGCTGATCGTAAGATAACGTCTGCCTTAGCATGATCGAACGGGACTGATGCACAAGTTTGCGTTGGCAATTCCATTAATGGCGATTATGATCTTTGTGGTGTCAAAATTTGTGGGATGATGAAGAGGCTCTGAGAAAGTTAAGAGAGTCGAACTGGCCATCCGCTTGCAGGCCTGTTAGTATGGTGGATGATTGGTGCAATGACTCGGTATTTTTCAAAGTCCGCTCCATGTATATCGAAGCCATAGACACACTACTGTAAGATTGAAAGCGGTGACGTAATCAACCCAGGCTTTTTGTCAAACCACTGACTCAAATATTCAAATCGCGATGTATTCGTGCCAAGACAGCAACAGTTAGCACTGGTGCAATATGAGATTATGTCTATCCAACGCTGGAAGAATACGATGGGGCCGAAAGTCACTGGCATCAGAGTTGGCGGCATCATAGTTGGCGGAGGTATAAATGTCGACGGATTTTTCAAACGTGCCGATCCAACATTTTTGTCACCTGAGATGGATATTCGCATCTGACGAACATGTATGGGCTGGCAATGACAATGTCGTAGCATACGAACTTGTTTGGCTTAATAGCACAGTCAACAACTTCAGCGACCTAGATTTGTTCTACTGTGAGTGGAGACCTGGAAGGACGCTGAAGATCATTATGCGCTCCTGATACAAGAAGCATCAATGTGACAATCGGCGTGGCCTCCAGCAGTAGTGTGCAGCTGGATGCGATTGACATTAACGCTCATTTGGGTATTGTGAGGGAGCGAAGAGATTTCTTTTAGTATTCCAAGTCTTGTCGTGGTACTCAAGTACTCATGCGGTGAATGTGCAAAACAGCAGTTGCCAACTTGTTTTCTAGTCAACTTCACTCAAGGTGGCTCTGAGCCGTTATGAAAGCCCAGCGTATCGGCAATCGTGACGAGTATGTTCTGGTAGTAAACTTAAATAGAACACAGTAGTATACCGCATGTACTGTCTACATCGGGCCTTGCCCCAAGCAGACACAAAACAGGATTTTTTTTAAAAAGTTCTGCTACATATGTTGATATACATCGCTTCCCTTGAGCCAAACGAAGATGAATCCGTCAGTTATTCTCCATGGTCGAGAAACCAACATCTATGCTCGCCCTCATGCGATCGCCATAACGAATTGTCAAGAAAATGATCCTGAAGAAAATTTGATGCGGTATTGTGTTAGTATCACCAGTCAAAAGTCAAAAGTCCCCCACCCTTGTCCAATGACCGCAAATACAGCCGCGATGATGTTCGTCCACGAAACACCTATATGCTCGATCGATGGAATGATAAGAGCAGTAGTAGCAGATAGAATGAGCAACCGGCTCGCCCTGACAGGTAAATGAACGTGTTCAGGTTAGATAGTCACGATATCATGGAGACTAACATGCAAGCAGCTGTGGCCTCTGCGCTTCGAGAATGTACGACGTCCACATTATAAGAGCTAATAGGATTCAACACTGAGTCGACCTATAAAATCGGTGAATTGCTTTATGCACGGGTGAGGGATCTAGCTGGTAGAACTTACCCCTACTCCATTCGCATAAAGGCATAATATATTCAGCGTAAGGCCGACCGGGCCACCAATATACGTTGTGATCAGCCCCGATGCCCCGATAGACAATGGGACAATGAACAACCCTCCGATCCATGCTGCTCTCAAACGGTCTTCAGGACACCACATTCCTTTGCGCTTCTCCCGCCATCTTCTGACTACGGTGTCGGATAGGCGGCCAGCAATCAGAGTTCCGGCTGTTAAAGATCGTGTTGGTACACTGCGAGTACAATACTCGGCACCTACTGAAGCTTCCCAGTCCGTTTGGGAGGAAAAACGCCCCGATGATGGCCTCGTTCGTAATTCCATACCGGATGCCCTACACCGCGATCAGGATGCGAGATGGAAGACGATTGTCGGCTTACAATAGTATGCGCCACCGGTACGACAAGAACTGTATTGTTTCATGTGAGAATGCACTGCACGGTCAGTAACGAGTAACGACACACTATAGACAGTGTTGACCATTAGAGCTGACGCAAGCATCTACATCTCACACAAAATTGAGAGTTTGTACTAGCGCATGGTAAATGCACTCACAACTGCGAATAGGTTCGGACTGCGAAGTAACCAAAGACTGCTCAGAGGATTAATCCATGTGATGTGTATTGATCTCCTGGACGGCAGTTTATCGATGCCCAATGTGCCGGGATGGCTTGTCTCAGGAAATGAAAGGTATATGAAAAGCATCTCGAGTAATCCCCATGCACCAACGGAATAATGCAAATTGCGCCAGGACCAATGACGTGTCGCCGTACCTGTTTGAATGTGTCGCTAGAGTCAGTAGCCACAAATATCCGGAGTGCATTTACCTCCAAGAAATGGGGCAACAGCATATCCGATAAGTGTAATCTGAGATAGCAGTGTCAGTACCAAACCGAAAAAAACATTCAATCACCATGATCCCTCACACTAAAGAACACCCCCATAGCAGTCCCCCTCTCCTCCAATTTATAAATGTGACCAATCACGCCAGTCCCCAACGACAATGCGCCAGCGCATCCAAACGTCTGCACAAATCGCCAGAATAACAGACTCTGTAACGAAGCCGACAGGGCGACACCACAGCTCCCAACACATAGAAACGGCATCCCCCACAGGTATATTGCTCGGGATCCATCTGTAGGACTGTGGTTAGAATTCAAAGGCTACCACAAGTACAATACACGCCATGGATGCACGCACAGAAAGACGAATAAGTAGACCAAACCAACGCTCCGATAGCATCAGCCAAGATCGATATGCTAAAAGCCAAGCTAAAAAATAGCTCGATCACTACACATCGGATGAGAATACAACACAGACCTGACGACAGCATCCGTTAAGTCGAGATCTTTAGCTATCTGATGGATTGAAGGCACGAACGTCACTTGGACGAACACTGACAGATGTTCATCAGTATCACGCTTCTGGGTCAACAGTATACTTTAGCGCCCAGTACTCACTAGCCAACAAACCCACGAAAGACACGTGAAACAGAATCCACCTCTTTTGATGTGGCGCGAATCTGTTGTAAATAGCTTCATGGGCGGCGGGCACCAGCAAAGGACTTTCTTCTGAAGCCATCGTGCACAATCGTGAGCTGACTCCGTGAGAAGGATGAGTTGCCTACCTGCCCACAAGATACATCACGAGTCAAGACCATAACCGATATAAAGCCGGTATATGTACATAAGTACCTCTTTCAAATTACTCATGTACACGTATTCGAACGAGTACTCATCAGGAGTTTCTCCGGTTTTGGTTTCGTGGGAATTCACTTACATAAGTAGGTCGGTCCAGCACGTAGGTCTATGCGTTTCGAATGCGATTGGCTGCGATACGCTAGAAAACAAGTAAACAGACTCAGTTTTCAACGGTGCGTGGTGTTTACAAAGGGACTGCTAGAAGCTAATGATAGAAGAAATGTTTTTGTTGGGTATTTGGGCGAAAGCCCGCAGGGCTTTTCCGGTCCAAAACACGTGTCCGTACCTGTGGCGCAAGGTGAGCTGTGTTCCCGAATTTTAGGAGTTCAGCGACGCATGCAGTGAAGCTTGATGCCCTTGTGTTCTAGGAGATGGACTCACTCCAGTTTATCGCCTGATGGGGGGCATGGTATGGCGTGTGAATGGCTCGAGTGCTGGAGAGGCTTGGATATAAGGTGCGAGTACTGTCGCATGTTCTCGCAAATAACTCGCGAAGGTGTCACTGGACCACCTCCCCATAGCTTTTACGACGTCGAAAGGCACTCCGCGCAGCAGATACTCCAGGGTCCCCCCGATGCGGAGGCCATGTCCTTTTAGATCTGGTTGCTTTGCTGCTTCCGCAGCTGCTGCTGTCCTTTTGAGGAGTTGTCTCTTTGACAATGGACACATTCCTTTCGCGTGTTTCCATGCAAACAGGTGCGTTTGTTCAGCATTGGTTGCTGGGTTCACGCGAAAATGATTCTCTAGTGCCTCTTTGGGGTTCGTTGGTCCTTCTTGCGTGGCCCAATACGCATCTTCTCCTTCAACTGGGGAGCATTTTGTTCTAGGGAGGTGTATTTTGGTGACAGGAAGTCTGTTGCGGTCGGTGGTTTCTGACACGTTAGCTCTGGTGACGTGTTTTCCAGGATCAAAATCTTTGATGGCGCTGACTGTGAACTCTCCAAGCCTCGCTATGGAGTAAAACGTCGTGGTCAGACACGCGAATACCGCTGCGTCTAAGGGCGTGGTGAGGTCCAGTTGGTTGCGGATAGCGGCCAGGGAATCTGGTGTGTATGGGTGTCGTTTGGCCTTTTTGGACTCTGCTGGTGCTGATGGAGCGGCACCATCTAGGACCGCTTTGAGTTCTCTAGGCGGGATCAACCAGTCTCTTCTGTGCAAGAGATGCCACGCTCTGAGGCCCGCTGCATCATTGTTTAGCGCGGAGCCTGAGTACGACCTGGCGCAGCTGCATAAGAAATTGAGTAGCAGGGTGCGATCGATAGGACAGCGCTTGTCCTCCTCGATGCAATTTGTGTCACAGAACACATGAAATACAAGTAAGCCTGCTCTGTACGTTTCTTTTGTTGATTGAGCCCACGCTGACCCCATGACGTCCAGGATGCGTTCTAGCTGCCGATCTGACATTTCCTGGTTTGTCGGATCATTTGTTGCGTTTGTTGTTTGTCTTGCGCTGATTCCCGCTGGTACCCATAACCTTAATCTGTCTCTTGCTAGGCAGTGTGGATGCAGTGCGGATAGCTGTGGGGTTAAGTTTGATTTATAGCGTAGAGGGATAGAGGGAGCGCTAATGTGCAAGGTACCTTCAAGCTCGGCTGGAAGCTTGACTGGGGGAAGAAGAAGGCTTCGCGGTCCGTAGATTCCTCTGGAGGGTTTGTCTGCTGGGTTAGAGGCACTGACGACGTAGGCAGTGACAACCTCGAAAGGGCCGGGTAGAGAGTGAGTGAATTCGCTGATTCTCCTGAAGACTCCATTAACTTCGTGATTCCTGTGCCTCCATCTCCACCATCCCTCGACGACGCCCGTGTTGTCTCCCTGGATGAGGACGCGGCTGCTAATGTTAGGGATAGTGGCGACAGTGTATACGAGTAGTTCGAAAGCCACAGCTTCCGCCCATCCAATGTCACGTTTGCCATTGTGCGTCTTCCACCCAGGTATCAGTCTCCACGCTCTCCAGTGTTCACCGACTACTAGACCTATTCCTATGCCTGAACTTGCGTCCGAGAACGCTAGCGGGTTCTCTAGCTTTGTTGTGGGGAGGATGGGACACGTGACGCCTCCGGATTGGATCAAAAGGGACCACCAGTCGAGGTCGTCTGCTACTCTGTCTCCTGCTCGATGTGGGAGAAACGGCTTCTTGCTGCAGTGTGAGAGCATTGCTTCGAGGCTCGTTAAATACGCTCTGCCTCGAGGTACTGCTTCACATGCGTGTAATAACTTTCCATAAAGTTCCTGGACATCTTGCAGCGTGTGTGCTCGCCGCTTGCGCCATATGTGTATTGCCGCAAGATATTTGTCGATTTTTGTCGCGTTTAAAGCTACTGATCTGTTCTCAATGTTCCATACAAAACCTAAATGTACCGTAGTTGTTTGAAAAGGCTGGTCTTTCAAAGGTTCCCAGATGATACCTAGTTCCTCTGACAAGGTGTCTATGTCTTGCAGATTGCAATTGAAACGTTTGTCGTGGTCAGATCTAGTGGATCGTTTTGAAAAATCTTGCAGCGGTTTCGAGCAATCTTCACTCAGTTCCTCGAGTTTTCCAGTCTCTGTGCACATGCGGCCGAACCAAAGACGACTTCCCGTTTGGTGCATACCTTCCTGTGCAAAGGATTGGTTCCAATTCTTTCTGAAATTGTTGTACTGGTCTAAGAATTCGAGCTTGATCCTGAAAAAGATATAGTCGTCGACCCATTTGTCTAAAGGGCCGATTCCGTTGTATCGGAAAATCTCGGCTCCTGCATCCGCTATGTGGCCGTAAGCCCCTGCAGATGGAGCTGCCCCAAACGCTATGCAAGTGTCTACACAGAAAAGAGAGTCTGAGATTCGTACGACACCTGCGGGCCATTGCGATGGATGGAGTGGTACTGTTCGGTAAGCTTCTGCGACATCTCTTGTCGCTGCTTCGGAGCCAGGAGGAAGGTTCGCGATGATTTGGTAAATGATGGAGAATTTTCCCCATGTGGTCGGGAAATCATTTGTCTCGATGGTGGAATTCACTGACAGATTTGGGAAAGAAGTGTTGGGTGAATGCGGATATGAAAAATTCTGGATGATTCTGAATTTTCCTGGTTTGCCCGGTTTTGGGATGATTGACAGCGGTGACAATTGGTAAGGCCCTATAAGACTTTCCAAGATTGAGGCTGGGAAAGGCCCTATGTACCTGCCTTTGCGCAACTCTTTTTGAATGATGGCATCAAACTCAATCGAGTATTCAGAAATTGAATCTCTATTTGGAGGTGCTTGTACAGTTCTGATAGAAGGAAAATCTATTTTGAAACCTAAAAGAAGTCCTTCTGGTATCTTAGCGAAGCAGTCAAGTAAACTGGCTCTTCGAAGTTCTCGTTTCCAAGCATCAACTTTGTACGGTGTCAATGGTCTCAGCTTTCTGAGCTCTAGGGCATCTTTGAGCGCCGTGGGTGGCTGCTCCGCATCCTGAACATACGTGACGTGCGTCGTGTTTGGGGGTGGTGCAACCTTCTTCGCGTTGCCAGCCTGTACAGATTTGTTTTCCGTCTTTGGTCCAAAGACCTTTGCGGATGCGCTCGGCAAATGTCTCATATTGGTTGTCCCACGTGCGAGAGGCGGCGCATTCCACGGTACGATGAGGGTTCCTTCCCAAGCATACTGTGCAACAAGGTAATGTACCTGCAGCAGCAAGAGGACGAGGCTGTCGTACCTTCTTGTTGCTATATGAGGTTTCTTCCGCAGGGGGGTACGGGCACTTCTGTGATGTCGCGACCTGCTGCGATGGCATCCGTGAGAGGTGCTGGTTGCTGGCTACAAAAGTAGCTGCTGCTTGTTCTGTAGGAGGAGTTCCAACGTTACAGATAGCAAGTTACCGATCGTGTGATACGAGGTATGTACGTGGCGATCACGTAGTTGATGTGAGAAGTTCCCGGTGAGGGACGACACATGATGGTCGTGGATTTTCATGATGAAATCCCGGTGGGTGGTGCCAGAGTGAGCGCGATGCAACACAGAGGTCAGTGGTACCAGCGTGAGCACGATGCAACACAGAGGTCGGTGGTACCAGAGTGAGCGCGATGCAACACAGAGGTCGGTGGTTACCATGTCGGCGCGCGATTGGCCGACAGTGGGTGAGAGTTTTTTTTTTAAATATAAAACATTTCGCAAAATTGTTATGGAAAAGGGACGAAGAAGTCGAGAAGTTGATTGAGTATTTGAACCTTTGAGTGAAATCAAATGAAAAGGTACTGACGGATTGCTAACGCTGTATCTTTATCTCTCTTCTCGTTGAAAAGCTCTTCTCGAGCTTCGAGGATGAGATCTTGATTGAGCTCTTCTAGACTCCAGCTCTGGGCCATACCGATAGTCATGTGCCAGCGACAACGTTGTTGCGATTGGTAGAGTAGCAGCGCTCTTTGTTTGAGCGTATCTGGGGCATGACGCCAGCGGTGCGATTGGAGTGCGCACCAGAATTGAATATGCATGTCGACTCGATCGTCGGGCCAGTCATGTAGTTTCATTGAAGCGATCATGCGCGGTGCTGCCTTGTTGAAATTCTCCCACGAGAGATTTTCGTCTTTGACAATGGGGGCAGATTTTGGATCCTTGACCGCAGCAGCAGGGACCCATGAGTGTAGCCCATCTGCGGCTGGTAGCATCACTAAGGCCTCCGGTTCTGCTAAGAGGTTCGAAACTTTGGCGTCTTCTAGACCCTTGTTGGTGAAGTAGTGCAACTCGCAATAATCTCCCGCTTTCATTTTCCTTAGAGCGTACTGTGCGGGGATGATTGTTGGGTCAGAAGGTACCTTCCCTCGTACTAGAGGTGCATATTTGTTTTTGTTTTTCTTTCTATCTTCTAGGCGGGCGGCCTCTTGTTCGTCTTTGATTAGTTGCCTGCGTTCTTCCTGCTCCTCCTCTTCTCTCTGTTCAGCCTCGTGCCGGTGCCGTTGTTCGAGAGCCCAACGTTCTTTGTCAGCGTTGTTGGTCAGGGTCCAAAGGGCTGAGAGTGAGCGAGCTGCTTGGTCTGCGTTGAAACCTTCGTCAATGAGCTTCTGACGCGCATTTTCGTGCTCTTGAGTCGTGAAGTCTGGCCTTATGGCTTCGTTAGGGTTCTGTGCGGGCATTATTACTGAGGAAATAAATGCAAAAGACGTATAAACGAGTAGCTAAAACTCGGAATAAGGCAAGGCTGCGAGGTGGGCAGGAGCAAGAGTCGCTGCGCCACCTCGCTAACTTCCGCTTAGACTAAAATCTTTGCCGGCCTCGTTCCTCGGCCGGCTTAGATAACCAACTGCGTTAGACTCGGGACGTGAGTAACCCTATACCTGAGCAATGAGTCCACCTCACTGGTCTCGAGAGTTCTCTGCGTGCTATCTGAGGGACTGAGGTGCGCTTATGTCTAGGTGTTAAACGGTGAGTGGTTGTACTTCAACCAGCAGTTTATAAATCAGATCTTCACGATCATGATTCGTGCTAACTCTGCAGACGCCCACAACATCCAACGAGCACACAGCAACTACTAGAGCACAGATCAGGGTATCAACCCGACTCGAGTCACAACAGAGGAATCGAGCGCATATCACCTCAGCTCTCGAATTCACTTACCAGTGATTGATCTGGAGCATCGTAGGATTTCAGCTCATTATTACCTATCATTGCAGATGTAATTGAGCATCCAGTTGTTGCCAACTTGGTGAACTTCTCCCCCGGCATTCAGCATAGGGGCATCAGCTTCGCCCAAGGTGGCTCTGAGAGACCAGCCTATCGGCAATGGTGACGAGTATATTCTTCTACATATATTGATACATTGCTTTCCTCCAGATAAATGAAGATAAATTCGTCAGTTATTCTCCACTGTCGAGAAACCAACATCTACGCTCGCCCTCATGCGATCGCCATAACGAATTGTGAAGGAAACGATGCTACGACAGAACATTTGAAGCGGTGCAATGTCAGCATCACCAGTCCTGCAGTCAAGAAGATTCTTACCATTGTCCAATGATCGCAAGGACAGCCGCGATGATGTCCGTCCACGCAACACCCATGCGCTCAATCGATGGAATAATAAGAGCAGTGGCAGCAGACGTAATGAGCGACCGACTCGCCCTGAGAGGTAAATGAACGTGTTCAGGTTTGATAGTCACACGATATCATGGAGACTAACATGCACGCAGCTGTGGCCTCTGCGCTTCGAGAATGCATTACGTCCACGTTATAAGCGGTAATGGGATTCAACACTAAGTCGACCTATAAAATCAATGAGTTGCTTTACGCACGGAATGAGGGTGCTAGGTGGCAGGACTTACACCCAATCCATTCGCATAGAGGCATAATATATTCAGCGTGAGGCCGATCGGGCCCCCAATATACGTCGTAATCAGCCCTGACGCCCCGATAGACAATGGGACGATGAGCCCCCCGATCCACGCTGCTCTCAAGCGGTCTTCGGGACACCACGCTCCTCTGCGCTTCTCCCGCCATCTTTTTACTACAGTGTCTGACAAGCGGCCGGCGATCAAAGCTCCGACTGTTAAAGATTGTGTTGGTGCATTGCGAGTACAATGCTCTACACATACCGAAGCTTCCCAGTCCGTTTGGGAGGAAAAACGCGCCGATGATGGCCTCGTTCGTGATTCCATACCGGACGCCCTACACTGCGATCAGGATGCGAGATGGAAGACAATTGCCAGCTTACAATAGTATACGCTAGCGGTACGAGGAGAACTACATTTTTTGTGAGATTGCACTGTACGATTGGTAACAAGTAACAACCCACCATAGTTAGTGTTGGTTATTAAAGTCGACACAAGCATCTACATCTCACACAACATTAATAATCTGTACTAGCGCATGGTATATGCACTCACAACCGCAGATACATTCGGACTGCGAAGCAGCCAAAGACTACTGAGAGGATTGATCCATGGGATATGGATCGATCCCCTGGAGGACAGTTTATCGATGCCCAATGTGCCGGGATGGCTCGTCTCAGGAAATGAAAGGTATATGAAAAGCATCTCGAGTGATCCCCATGCAGCAATGGAATAATGCAAATTGCGCCATGACCAATACTGTGTCGCCGCACCTGTTCAAATGTGTTGCTAGAGTCAGCAGCCATAAACATGCAGAATGCATTTACCTCCAAGAAACGGGGCAACAGAGTCTCCGATAAGTGTGATCTGTGATAGCAGTGTCAGTACCGAACCGAAAAAAACATTCAATCACCATGATCCCTCACACTAAAGAATGTCCCGATAGCAGTCCCCCTCTCCTCCAATTTATAAATGTGACCAATTACGCCAAAACCCAACGACAACGCCCCAGCGCATCCAAACATCTGCACGAATCTCCAGAATAGCAGACTCTGCAACGAAGCCGACAGCGCAACTCCACAACTCCCAACGCATAGAAACGGCATTCCCCACAGGTATATTGTTCGGGAACCGTCTGGAGGACTATGGTTAGAACTGAAAAGCTACCAAGAGTACAAGACACGCTGTGGATGCACGCACAAAAAGACGAATAAGCAGACCAAATCAACGCCCCAATGGCATTAGCAAAGATCGATATGCTAAAAGCCAAGCTGGGAAATAGCTCGATCACTGCACGTCGGATGAGCACACAACACACACCTGACGACAGCATCCGTTAAGTCGAGGTCTTTAGCTATCCGAGGCATCGAAGGCACGAACGTCACTTGCACGAACACTGACCAATGTTCATCAGTATCACGCCTCTGGGTCAACAGACGCTTAAACTCGCAGTACTCACTAGCCAACAAACCCACAAAGGACACATGAAACAGAATCCACTTCTTTTGATGTGGCGCGAATCTGTCATAAATAGCTTCATGGGCGGCGGGCACCAGCAAAGGACTTTCTTCTGAAGCCATCGTGAATCATGAGCTAACTCCCTGAGAAGGATGAGTTGCCTACCTGCCGGCAAGATACATCACGAGTGACCTGTCAAGACTGTAACCGATATAGATGTAAGTTGCAAGTTACTAATCAATTACTAAGAGTCAATGCACGTGTTCAAGCACGTACTCTTACCATAAATTTTATCATCAGCGACCTCGGTCCTCAGGCCTCGATATGCAAAAAGAGAGAGATAAATGGGGAGGGGGAAGCAAAAGTTATCTAGCTCTCCAACTTCAACTCCAACTCCAACTCCTTCGCACCCTGCCTCTCCTTCTTAGACTTCTCTTCGACCTTCAATCTCACCTCCCATTCCTGACCAGTCGTAGTCGTCCTTGAACCACCAGCATGAAGAATTTCTCAGAGAGAATGGTTTTATTTCTGTGGTAATCCCCTTAGATAAGTAGGTCGGTCGTAAAATCGCCAGCAGTTTGACATAACGTTGACTATGTAGGACTGCGTGGGTAACCCTATCCTAAGGCCTGAGCAATGTGTCCACATCACCAGTCTCGAGATTTCTCTGCGTGCTCTCTGAGAGACCTGGGTGCGCTTAAGTCTAGGTGTTAATCGGTGAGTGGTTGTACTTCAACAGCAGTTTATAAATCAGGTCTTCACGATCATGATTCGTGAGTCACTTCTCAGCCAACATCTTCGCACTCGCGTGAAAGTTCGTCCTCAAGACCATCGGCATCTCGTCCCTGACCTCTAGCAGCAACAAGACTTGTGTACTATGCGTCTTCCCGAGCTATTTGGACCATTATTCCATATACCAAACACCGTCGAGTTGCCTTGGTGTTGAGAGAGGACGGACTGCATGCGTGAGTCGATTGTAAATTCATTGTCAATTCAACTTGCAAGTGCAGGGTGTTCGCGTCCAAATTCAGATTTGTATGTCTCTATTACAATACATTGCGAATTACATGACTTGTCATGGTGGACGATAGGTTATCAACTTATGGTTCGATTTACCGTGACTTATCCGAAAGTCTCAGCGGTGTTTATTCTAGTATTACCAGCATAGGTGAACATAAACTCGTGTCATGCTCAATGCATTTACCAATGCTGATCTCGTTCTGCAGATTTATGTCAGCGGTAGGTCTGACCATCCAGAACAGAACGTGCTATTCGAAGAGTAGTTTGGATTGAACTCGACAATACACCCCTGCTTGTCTTTTAGTACGGCGAGCGTGCTCGAGCGGCTCCTGCAGGACATCGCCATGTACCTTTTTATCTTTGTCTGACGATCGTATTCGCACGCAGGTCTCTTCGCTGTGACAAACTGCGCCTGCAGATCTAGCATTGAAATTTTGTGACTGGCTTGAAAAGCTGAGAGCTCCTCGCTTCGCAGCTTGCAGACTGCATCTGACCTGCATTTCGCTGTATCACAGATGGGGATCTGCACAGCTCATGCTCGTTCTTTGTGTTCATGTGTGCTAACTAGTAACATATATACTTTTATCGTTCTTTTGGTATCTAACAGATTTCTTATCTGTATATGGTACCCCGCGGGTGCGGGTGCGGGTGTGGCCTCCCGTACCCGGTATACCCATGCAGTTCCCTAATCATAAAAGTCAGACGCAGGCCCTGATCTGGCCCAGGAGTTTCCGATCATGTACGGAATCAAGGCAAACGGTTTTGCGAGGGAGCGGGTCTATAGATCATCCAGAAAAAGAGTGAAATGCGAGGATCTGTTGAGTATTTGGGCATCAGCCCATAAGGCTGTTGCCGCCAGAAACACGGGTTCGAACCTATGCGTCAACTATTTGGCGGGCCCAATCGAATGCATCAGCTATGATAGTGACAGTAGGGAGCCACCAATGACAAACGGTTCAATTAGCTGGTTCCACATGAACGACGCTAACGATAACCTTGCTTAATTCCATTTTTATAGGTGATAGGCGGACTGTGTGATAATGAGTTCTAAGACTCGGAGGACGAGGATTCTATTAAGATGATTGGATAAACGGTTTGACTGGTTCCACATGAGCGTTTGAACCCTGACAATGCCGCGGTATTACATCTACTGCTTCAATTGCCTCATCACCGTGAGACCTCAGCGTAAAGTTGATTCAAGTTTGATCAGCACCTTCAAAGTCCCATAATCGGAAGAGGTGCTGCAGCATGAAGGCTCTGATTCCCATTATGGAAAAGATTATCGTGCCATTATTAATGACGTGCGCGCCCAGGCCAACTTTGGCCTAATACGATATTGTAAGACTGGAAACTCTTTCCCGACAAGCCCAACGCCAACGCCAACGGTCCTAGTCATTCCCGAGGACATTCCCCACAACAAACACATACACGTGAGTCCTTGAGTACTGGATCTGTTCGAGCAAGTGTCAACTGCCCACGCACTGCAGTGGAAATGCGCAGCCTCTTCTAAATACTCGGATACGATGTACTGGCAAGCTTCAATCGGATCTTCGACCAGCATGCTGACACTCACCAGATGCGCTGCCCCGTCACACAGCTATTTAGCTATAGACTGATAGTGCTTCAGTGGCTAGCCCATCTGAGACGCGCACGCCAGTAGACATCCGCTCCCATTGTTGAAACTCCGCGGCGATGACGCTTGAACGTTGAACAATATACCCTCGTAAACATATACTCATCTTATCCCGTTCAATCTACACGTTATATTTGTCTGACTCGGATCTCAGCAGTTCTTCCGCATTCACGTTCCTTTAACTAAACGAAACGCTAGCCAGTCACGGTGGTACCAAAGATCATATGTATAGAAATACCACTGAAACGCCAAGGTGCCAACATGGCAGACATTAAACACATGTAACTCGTTCTCTGGTGTCCTCCCGCTAAATGTGTGGTATATATAAAGGCAAGGTTTGCAAGCATTCTCTTAGACTCTTACATTCGTATGACTTCCCCAGCAACTCAGCGTTTCAACATGAGCTTGTTTCAATTGCAAAGGTAAGATTGTTCTATGTAGACTCGAGATACAACATGCGCTTATCACAGTTGCACATTCAAGGCCCAAGTCGTCACTAACAGCCCCCCAATTGACGTCGCCTTCACGGTTAGGGCCTGCCCCTGACCAAGATTCAATGCGATCAAGCTTACAATTACGTCTCGAGCACCTTGACCGAGTCTACTATGATAGGGTAGACTGTGTTTACAAAGAAGTGCAGGAATCACGCGCCCTCATGACAGAACTTGTCACTTGCCAATCAAACATCACCATGGAGGATGAGAGTACATTGGATAACAGCGTTGACTTCCAGGCAATGATTTATGACTCTGACCCTCAGACCATCATGCCTCTTGCCCTAGATGAGCTGAATGCTATTTCACCGTCGCTGACCTCGCCAGACCTCTCCGTCTTGGCAGAGTCGCAAGCATTCCAAGGACAACCCTCGAACCTAGAGTACGGGTTTACTAGTACTCTGCCGGAGAGTCTTCCCATCAGTAGACTTTCCCAAGGCAAGTTGCAAGATGCACATCCTTTCCTCTAAATGCTTACCGTGTACGACCAGACCTGTTGCTCACTGGCAGCTATAGACTCGATGTACCCGACTTCTCGCCTCAGTACGACACGTACTTTGATGGAAAGATGATGTCCGAGTCCGAGTCTTCAGCAAGTCGCGACCAACAATCAAGTCATCCCATTCAAGTTGCGAAGGCTGACCAAGTTAAAGTAAAGTGCACTTGGCCCGGATGCTCAAAGGCTCTCAGGAAGGACAGTCTCGCCCGTCATATCAACGAGACGCACCGGCGGAAGGTCAAGGCCGTCTGCGTCTATTGTGGAAAGAGGTTCGCGCGCCCATATATGCTAAAGAATCATATCTATCGGGCCGAACGGAGAATGTCCTAGATACTGACATATTACGCACTCTAGAATTACAAGTATTGTAGCAGAACAGCCAAGCTAGCCAAGACCAATTGCGAATGTGTGAATGGCTATGTGAGTTTTCTGGAACCACAATGGTTCATGCATATCAATAGCATGATCTCAAGATTCGAGAGTTTCTCTCCGAGGTGCTTTGCCGGCTATTCTGATCCAAGGCACGCGTTAACGTCGGGTCCGCGTTTCTCACTAGGTGTCACCCAAGTACACATATCTAGTGTCTAACGGACGGCCCGGGCGGCTGACGTATTTTTAAACGACTGCCCTTTCGATGCCAAGTGTAGATGTCGCACGTCATCTCGGTTATCATACCGTCTACATACTAGAGGTACAGGCTGCGGTCGCATCAAATAGCAATCTTTCCTCCCAGCAATTTTCGTCGACGAACCTCAGACCTCGCACCGGCTACGCTCTTTGAGCTCAATGTCATTTCACTATCGTTGACTCCGCTCAACCTGTCCCTCTTGCCAAAGCCAGCTTTCGGACCCGGAAGGATATGAATCTTTAGAACCTATCAGAGCTACTAGCACCCTGCTGGCAGAGTGCAGATCCTCCCGTACGGTGAACCTTCGAAAGGTAAGTTCACGATATTCGCAGCCTTTCCTTCAAACACTTACCAATTGCTCTGCGGCGCCTTTAAGGTGTTGTATCCTTGGCGGCAGACCAGCTGCCTCTGGACACATGAACCACATCCTGGGTTCCATACCGGTGAGGTGATGTCGGCATGATCATCTTCCTCAAGTTGGTGGGAGGCACTGCCGCCATCGGTGCCAGAAGTTGTATGGGCAGCTATAGCAGCCTTCACCACCTTCAGTGCAGGCTATGGAAAGTCAGAAAGAGAATATAAATGCAATCACGAACTTACTGGGATTGCGACATAAGGCGCCCCCATCTTTGGCGCAGGACCCACATTCATCTGCATCTCGTTCATCATCTCATCCAGCTCATCGACCTCCATGTATCTTGGCCCTGTTTTCGGTGCGGGGTTCGGTGTTGCTGTTCGCTCATCCTCACTTGCTGCCGCCAATTGCGCAACAGACTCACGGCGTTGCCAAGAACCTTTCACAGCGGGGGGAAGCCTGATTGGTGGAGATCGCTAATACTAGTTAGACCACCAGTATGAGGGAGTAAACTAGAACTTACCTTGACCAGTGCCGCTTGCTCAGGAACCGGTGAATTTTCCAACTGGCTTTCATCATCGCTGATGATTGCCTTGGATTTTGCTCGCTGGCGCTTGGTCTTCGGCGCGCTGCTGCGACTTCTGGTGCTCATGGCGCGTGGCCGTGCACGCTTGCCACGCTCCAGTTGGCGACCGCGGTCATCGGCAGACTCATTTTCAGAGTCGGCTTTTTCCTTACCTTTGCCCTTCCCTAAAAGAATGGCAGGTTCCTTTGGAAGAGTGGTGTTAGTCCTGGAAGCTGGCCGAGGTTGAGTCAGATGTACAATAACTCGCTCGACGGTTCCATTCTTCGAACACTCTTCGCCTGGAGGAATTTAGTCAAAATCTGACAAATGAAATGTCTGAGACTGACCGATTTCATCTCTAAGATCGCCATCGTCTACATCTTCCGGTCCAACCATATTGGTTAACACTACCACGCGACTGGCCTCCCCAAACCTTAAACGATCTTCACGACCCTTCGCGTCCTCGTTGTCATTGATGATCCGACCCATCTTTGAACCCATAGCTGGTTTGACTTTGACTTGGCCCTGCGCTTGATTTTGACCCTTCTTGCCTTTGCCTTGGGCAGCGACTTGCTCGACTGTGAGAGCGTTTACAATACCGCTCCCATCGGCACCCAGACCTTGACCTTCCTTGTGCCCCCACTTAGCCATCATACGAGCTGCAAAACCCTGTGGATCAGGGCTAACATAATTGTCAGACACATTCGACAGTAAATGTACTCGGGCATACCGTGTTTGAGCATCTTCTTGCGGTAGTGCGCCAGGTAGACTTGATCCTGGCCCCGGCCCACCTGCAGCCGCAGCAAGCGCACTACTATCAGTGTTAATGGCGTCAGCCAAAGTCTTGAGCATTAAACTTACCGCTGACACGTTGATATCGACTATCGTCGACAAGTACGATCGTCGAGCGTCGAAGTCGAAGAAGACCAGCTCCTCAAATGATGATGCTGCATATAACATCAATACAAATCAGCGCACAAAACAAATTAAAGGCAATTGTCACAACTGCGCCAAGTACGGCCATATGCAGTGTGACTGCCGAGGAGCAGGAGGGGGAGCATCAGGTGGCAAAGGGAAGCCAGACATGAAAGGCAAAAGGCCTGAGACTGCAGCCACAGCAAAGGACAAAAAGGATGACAACGAACCTGAAGAAGTCTGGTTAGCGCAAATCTCATCAGCAATGAGCTCGATGTACAACCATCCCTACCTCAGCATGAAGCCTGCGCTGAGGGACAGACCATGTCTGACTCTTCAGCTAGACCTCTCTCAATTTTAGGGCAGCCACGGCAGTGATAAATTGCACCTAGCCTGGAGGGTCAAAAAGACAACATAAGAGCTGGCTGCGCCTGCTGTGTAAAGGCGTTCGTTCAGCACAACTTCCTACAAGTCTACATCGTACCTGATTCTTTTCAATCACAGTACTGCGTTCAATTAACGTGCATATTTTGTGTCGTTTGCCATGACGTATCAGGCTCCATTGAGTAGACCTTTAAGGTAACAGTCAAGCCCAAAGGGTTAAGGTACAAACATCCATTGACATTTAACGGCATCGAATGGAGGCATTGCGCGTGAAACTTCCAAGCGTTGAAAGGTGGAGACTTAATTTACAGGCAGCACTGCTGATGAATAACACACGGTTCGTGTATAATGATAATGGAGGTGCGAGTCTATATGCGGGTGATAGTGACGCTACTCTGGCGTGGGCCTTGTCTAGTGCTGTGACTCTATGGGGGCCGTAGGGCGTGGCAGGCGCAATGGTTGGTTGAGGAAGAAAAGAAAGAAAAGAATCACAAGCCTCAAGAAGCCTTAATTCACAGCGAGGGTCGAACTCACAGGATCATTGATGCTTGTTACCAGGCGCAGAGCTGTCTTTGAGAACCTTGACAGAAATTGAATACATGTGGTCATCGAGACTGAGACAGTACTGAGTGCGCAGAGACTGATGCCAGCCTCCGAAGGGCGCTGCGAGTGGAGACCTGGAAGGACGCTGAGGATCGTTATGTGCTCCTGATACAAACATTAATGCATTACTTGCCAGGATCATGTAGATGCGGATGCGGTGAATGTGCAAAACTCGATGAGTCCGTGGTGGTGTCAGGCGACTTTAAACTCCGCCACCCGCAGACTTGACCCAGACCGACTGGTTGCGAGACCGACCTGCTACATAGATCCATGTCGTCATCTTGCCGGTTGATGCGAGTTGCCATGGCTAATGTAGATAAATACAATTGGATTCTCCAGACCTACTCTTTCAAATCCATTCTTCCCAACGAGTTACGAGTCCTTCAGAGAGTGTAAAATGTTTTATATCTACCAGCGCCTTCGGTCTGTGTTTGAGATGGTATGATATTATCGGTTTCAAACGGTGCTAACTCTGTACACGCACACAGTATCCAACGAGCAGACAGCAACTATTGGCACAGAACACGGTATCAACCCGACTCGAGCCACAGCAGAGGAATTGATCGTCACCTCTCGGATTCACTGACCAGTGATTAATATGGAACATCGTAGGATTTCAGTTCATGATTTTCCGCAAGCTGCTACATATACCCGTCAGCAAGAAGTTATAGGTGTAATTGAGCGTCCAGTAGTTGCCAACTTGTTCTCTAGTCAACTTCACTCAAGATGGTTCTGGGCCGTTATAAAAGACCAGCCTATTGGCAATGGTGACGAGTATATTCTGCTACATATATTCATACATTACTTCCCTTCAGATAAACGAAGATGGATTCATCAGTTATTCTCCATGGTCGAGAAACCAACATCTACGCTCGCCCTCATGCGATCGCCGTAACGAATTGTCAAGGAAAGGATCCTACGACAGAAATTTTGAAGTAGTGCAATATCAGCATCATTAATTTTACAGTCAAAAAGACCCTTACCATTGTCCAATGACCGCAAAGACAGCCGCGATGATGTCCGTCCACGCAACACCCATACGCTCGATCGATGGAACGATAACAGCAGTGGCAGCAGACATAATGAGCGACCGACTCGCCCTGACAGGTAAAAGGTACATGAACTTGTTCAGGTTAGATAGTCACAATATCATGGAGACTAACATGCAAGCAGCTGTGGCCTCTGCGCTTCGAGAATGCATTACGTCCACATTATAAGTGTTGATAGGATTCAAGACTAAATCGACCTATAAAATCAATGAATTGCTTTGTGCACGGAACGAGGGTTCTAGCTGGCAGGACTTACCCCCACTCCATTCGCATAGAGGCATAATATATTCAGCGCAAGGCCGATCGGGCCCCCAATATACGTCGTGATCAGCCCTGACGCGCCAACAGACAATGGGACAATGAAACCTCCGATCCACGCTGCTCTCAAGCGGTCTTCGGGACACCACGCTCCTCTGCGCTTCTCCCGCCATCTTCGGACTATAGTGTCCGATAGGCGGCCAGCAATCAGAGCTCCGGCTGTCAAAGATTGTGTTAGTGCACTTGCGAGTACAATACTCCGCACCTACTGAAGCTTCCCAGTCCGTTTGGGAGGAAAAACGCGCCGATGATGGCCTCGTTCGTGATTCCATACCGGACGCCCTACACCGCGATCAGGATGCGAGATAAAAGACGATTGACAGCTTACAATAGTATACGCTAGCGGTACGAGGATAACTAATTTTTTTTGTGAGATTGCACTGCACGATTGGTAACAAGTAACAACACACCATAGTTAGTGTTGGTTATTATAGTCGACACAAGCATCTACCTCTCACATAAAATTAAGAGTTTGTACTAGCACATGATATATGCACTCACAACCGCGAACAGGTTCGGACTGCGAAGCAACCAAAGACTGCTTAGAGGGTTAATCCATGCGATATGGATCGATCTTCTGGATGGCAGTTTGTCGACGCCCAATGTGCCGGGATGGGTCGTCTCAGGAAACGAGAGGTATATGAAAAGCATCTCGAGTAATCCCCATGCAGCAATGGAATAGTGTAAATTGCGCCAGGACCAATACTGTGTCGCCGCACCTGTTCAAAGTCGCTAGAGCCAGCAGCCACAAACATCCAGAATAGATTTACCTCCAACAAACGGGGCAACAGCGTACCCGATTATTGTGACCTGGGATAGCAATGTCAGTACAAAACTAGAAAAACCATTCAATCATCATGATCCTTACACTAACGAATGCCCCGATAGCAGTCCCCCTCTCCTCCAATTTATAGATGTCACCAATGACGCCAGCCCCCAACGACAACGCCCCAGAGCATCCAAACATCTGCACGAATCGCCAGAATAGCAGACTCTGAAATGAAGCGGACAGGGCGACACCACAGCTCCCAACGCATAGAAACGGCATTCCCCATAGATATATCGGTCGGCGTCCGTCTGTAAGACTGAGCTTAGAAAACTCCCACGAGTACAAGAAAAACCGTGTATGCACGCACAGAAAGACGAATAAGTAGACCAAATCAACTCTCCAATGGCATTAGCAAAGATCGATAGGCTGAAAGCCAAGCTGGGAAAACAGGTTGATCGCTGCTGCATATCATATGTGCATATAATACACACCTGACGACGGCATCCGTTACGTCGAGATCTTTAGCTATCTGAGGGATGGAAGGCACGAACGTCACTTGGACGAACACTAACCAGTGTCCGTCAGTATCACGTCGACAGTATACCGTGACCTTAACTCCCAGTACTCACTAGCCAATAATCCCACAAAGGACACGTGAAAGAGAATCCACCTCTTTTGATGTGGCACGAATCTGTCATAGATAGCTTCATGCGCGGTGGGCACCAGCATAGGGCTGTCTTCTGAGTCTGAAGCCATCGTGAATCGTGTGCTGAAGTCTCGTGGATAGCACGGAAGATATTAATATCAACAATGTACCTCGATCGTGCAAGGTCCGATCGATCGCCAAGTGACCAAAATAAGCTCTACTTCCGCTACGGGAATTTCCGACCAATGTGGTTTCGTTTAATGAGTGTTACGAGGATCATCAATCTACTGATCATCATCCTTCTATCCATACATCAATGCAAATGGCCTGAGATCCAGCAGCAATTCACTGTTATCATGCACCCCAAACTATGCGAGTCAACGATAATTGTTCCAGAGCGGAAAAAGGAAAGAAAAATACATGAGATGTATGTTACTAATTAATACAAAATTGTGACGCCAAGAACCGAACGAAAGCAAGAGCACACCTTCGCTATAAAAAACCCATATGGATGAACATCGTGGACACGGCAAGCAGCAAGGAGGGTATCGTTACCGTGGCCGTGAGGAACCTTTATTTGCCTCTGCCACATTGTCCAGTTGCGCACTCCGTTTTTGAGCGAGTTCGTTCTGGCGTTCTAGACTCCTGTCAAGCCAAATCGTCAGCACAAGACCTTGGATATGAAAAGAGGAAAGGGAGGGGAGGAAAAGGTCAACAAACACAAACCTCATCTGATTTTCCAACTCCAACACCCTCTCCTTCGCCCCTTGCCTCTCCCTCTTATACTTCTCCTCCCCCGCTTTCAACCTTGTCTCATACTCCTTCACCCTCGCCTCCCATTTCTGATCAGCCGTAGTCGTCTTTTGGTTTATGTTCGAAATCTTCTCTTCGCTTAGGAGGAGCTGGTTTTGAACTACCACTAGGCGTTTCTCAGCATTTACTGCGCGGGAAAGGAGCGTCTTTGTTTCTTGGGAGTCGCCTTGGGTTGGTCGTCGGGATGTCACCAGTTGTGAGGTTAATTCTGCGTTAGTGGCCTTTGCAGATGAGAGTAAGAGTATCAATCGAAGTCAACGTAAAATCAAAAACACTCATAAAAACACTCACCTTCAACCCCTCAATCTCCCCTTCCTTTGCAGTGAACTTCCGTCTCCATGTAGCCTTTGCCTCACCATACGCCTTTACGCTCGACTCAAACTTATCGATCTGTTTCCACCGCACATCAAGCTGCCTCCGCATCTCACCAAGCTTCTCAGTGAATTTCCCTTCTGCATCTTTGACGCGCTTTTCAAAGTCGAGTTGGATCTGGGATAGAGCTTTGAGCCGTGTGATGAGGTTGTCGTGGAAGACGCTGAAATTGGTGAAGGGCTTCGTTTCTGCTTGATTGCCTTTCTTCTGCGACATAATATGTTTTTGTGAGTGAGTGACGCGTGTTAGAGAGTAACGGAAGAACTTACGGGAGTTTTATCCACGCCGAGGATCTTATCCATGTATTGATATATCGTAAGCAGCAATGTATTTCGCTCCGTAAGCTGATCACGATACTGATTCTCAGCACTCAATAACGTCCGCTGGTCTTTAGACAACCGCGTCTCCAGCTCATTCATTCTCGTCCTATACCCAAATGACTCTGCCTCAGCTGTCTTGAGACTGCTCTGCGCACTGTCAAGCTTCTCTGAGAGACTGAGACGCGCTTGAGTTTGGGTGCTGAGCTGTGTGGTGAGCTGTTGTACTTCGAGCTGCAGTTTATGAATCAGATCTTCACGATCACGAGTTGTACCCTCTCGGTCGCCGACATCTTTCCTCGTACGAGATAGTTCGTCCTCTAAACGGTCGACATCACGTTTCAGCCTGTCGACTTCTAGCTGCAACGAGAACCGCGCGGTCGTATGGGTCTCTCCGAGCTCTTTGGACCGTTGTTCCATATCCCGAAGTGCGTTTTGGACGGCTTCGAGGTCGCCTTGGCGTTGCGAGAGAAGGGACTGCGTGCGTGTGAGGTCATCGAGGGTGCTGCGCAGTGCAGAGTCTTTGTCTTCGAGTGCACGGCGTTCGCGTCGGAGCTCAGACTCGTGCGTCTTCTCGACATCGTCGAACTCGCGCTCAAGACTCTCCCGGGCTTCCTGTTCGCGTTTCACTTGAGTTACTAGGTCTTCGATGTGCCCTGCTAGTTCTTCCTGACGGGCTCGGTGTGCGTGCATGTCTTGAAGAGATTGGTCGTAGAGTTCTTGGATGTCTTGGAGTTGTGATTTCAGTCCTGAGACTTTCTGTTGTAATATGTGAGCTTTTGAATTTCGAGTCAGTGATGAAAATGGATGTACATCTTTGAGCGCGGATGCGAGTGCCTCTAGTGTTTCACGCTCGACTGCGTCCTCCTCTCTCTGACGTTCGTGATCCTCAGCCATGCGATCTGCGTCTTCCTCGAGTGCATATACTTGCTTTCCGAGTTGCTCAATCTCCTCGTTCGCAGCGCGGAGCTCGGCATCTTTCTCCTCTGCCTCTTGTTCGAGATGTGCGAGTGTGGCTTCGAACTTGGCATGCAGGTCGTTGGTATTGGCTTCGAGCTCTGTGATATTGAGGCGGAGTTCTCTTGCTTCGTTTTCGCGTTCTGCAAGGACCTATGTGATAGTGAGAGACAGAAGACAAATAGGACAATGAAACAAACATCTCTGAGTTCTTCAACCTGACTCCTGGCCTCTTCGACTTCACCCCTCCACTCCTCCTCGACGACATCAACGACGCGATCATGTTCCTGGATTAAATCGTCTATCTCCTTGTTCTTGAGCTCCAATTCGTCCTCCTTCTGTTGTAGCTCGATAGTGGCGGCAGCAAGTTTATCCCGAATTGAGTTGAGATCGTCCTCCACAGCCTCACGTTCCTCTATCTCCTCAAGTATTTGAGCCCGACTCTCGCTCCTCTCAATGCTTTCCGCTTCTCTCCGTCGTTGCAAATCCTCAACCTCCAGTTGTAACCGATCAGCATGGTCAACAAGTGCCTCATTCTCCTCCTCGCGTGCAATGAGAAGTTGATCGCGCTGCTCGAGCTCATGACGAAGTTCCTCATTCTCAGCACGCAGATCCTCGATTTTCCGTGCATAACTGGGATCTATGGAGTCGTCCTCACTGCGCTCAATGATAACCTGGGCCTTCCTCAACTCCCTGATCTCGTGCTCGCGCTCTTGAAGCTGCATCTCAAGATCGCGTTCCCGCTCGTGTAGCTGTGTCTCCAAGTCGCGTTCGCGTTCATGCAGCCGCGACTCCAGATCATGGTCGCGCGTCGAGCCACGCTGAAGACGCTCCAACTCGCGCTCAAGCTCCAAGACGAGTTTCTTCAGTTTCTTGATCTCAAGACCGCGTTGCTGGACCTCGATCTTGAGGTTGATGTTCTGTTTGAGAGCAGCATCGATCTGGTCAGGTGCAAGCTGCGCAAGACGCTCCTCGAGGAAATGAACGCGTAGTTTGATGTTAAAGTTTTCTTTTTTGAGAGAGTCGATGTGCTGTTGTGTAGGTTAGTTTAGATAGAGTCAGTGGGCGGCGGTGTTTAGTTTACCTTTTCTTGGTCTCTTAGAGATAAAGCAGCGCCTTTTCCTCCTGGTGCGCTTTGTCTTGGACGTCGTGCGCGTGGAAGGGGTGTGTCTGGGCCATCACCGTTGCTGGGGGCGGGTGATGAAATTGACGGGACACGGAGTGGTCTGCCGGGTGTACTGGGACCTGATACGAATGAACCGAGGGACAGATCCGGGTGAGTACCAGCAGAGATGTCTGCACCGTTTGGAACGGAAGACATGCACGTTGGGAGCACGGGGGGAGGGGCCTGATTACTAAGCAAAGACCATTCGTCCTTTATAGAAAAATGGGCTACGGTACCGTACTACCGACTCACGGACTCACGAATTCACTGATGATTGTATGCTGTCATTTTCGCATTGCACTAAGATGAGCTGATAGTATATGGCGCACAGTCCACTCCAACAAAATGGCTCATGCAGATCTCACAGGTGTAAGCAACTGTATGGTATGGAAATCACATCTTCATTTCCTCTTAGAGCAATGTACTCATCAATAGTGACGGAAGAACTCTTCTAGCAGACTATGGATTTTTGACTTACATGTTCTGACCTAACCTGGATCTCTCACATCGGGAGTAACGTACGATGGGCTGCTCCTGAGCTTTTCGAAGTTTCGGATGGCCGGTCTAATTTTTTCCAATTTTCCCAAATTTGACATACTTTGGTCTAGGTTTGCATCGGAGGGTTTTCCTGATGTTGAAGCTCTCGTACGTAAGTGCGACATTTCTTCGGAGTTGGGACTTTAGGTAGAGAATTGTGGTTAGCTGTGATGCTTCCACTAGACATGGCTGTTGCTGGCTGTGGTGGTGATTGTGCCCAGGAAGAATTTGTGAACTTTAAATGCGGGTGTAAGGAACAAAAGGCTTGATCGGCTCGAATCGGTCGTCCACATGGTTTGAAAGCCGATCCAAACTTCCAAATTTATTCTGTCGATGTCGATCATCGTCAGTTTCACCGACACACGTTCACTCTCAAAGCTTACATTCGACAATTGAGACACTCGCAAGTGCACTATATAGCGAGTCTTAGAACTCAGGGCGTATCAGGAAAATGCCAGAATGCAAGTTTGACTCCTGGCATCATGCCAATTCATACCGATAGTACAAGAAGCATCAATGATCATACCATTAATGCGACATGGTGTCGGCATAGATGGCCAAATATATTATTTATTCATTCCAACGTACCGTACGAATGTAACTGAGACATATATGCAACAATGATGCATCAATGGGTGGTGCCGGTGATTATACACTGCGCATTGTTTGTTTGCAAGATCTGCGTGCTCGAACAATTTGAATGATTTACTGGCACTGATGGCCATTTTAAATATCCACTTATCTCCAAGTCTCTAAGAGAGCCAGACCAAAGCAATCCTATTCATCAACATACACATAAACGACAGAAGCAGACACGAGACGTAGTACTAGTACACATATGCGAGAACATTTCCAATAGCTCAGTGCTGACTTTGAACACTGCAAGGTCACTGTGGTACCTAACTAACCGGCGATTGGGGCGAGATTAGAAAGACGAATTAATTCCCACTGCTGGCGGGCAGTTCCTTCGTCGTAATTCTCGATTTTCACCTTGTGGACGTGATGAGCAAAAGGCTCGGAAAAAAATATTCATCAACTTACTGCATTGTTGGTCGAACTCGGAATGGACAGCACCAGGTTCGCGCTCCCGAGAGTGTAGTGCATACTGTATATGCCAGTCGTCAAATTAGCAAGAATAGGTTCCTGGGTGCTGGTCGGATTCTCACGTATAAGTATTGTCGTCGCGTGCAACAAGGTCGATGATGAACGCCTGCTTGGTATAAACGACTGGTACATCCGAATCCTGTCCACGTCTGCGTCAACCAACAAGCAAATAAATGAATGCAGGCCGATCCAGCATACCTCGCTCGCAGTAGCAAAGAATCCATTTCCATTGTTGCCGCTGTCGACGGTCTGAATGGTGACAGTCTTGTTGGGGGACCCTGGCTCGTTCTGCCTCTTGATCACCCACTAGTAGACGTGATGTGTGCAATGAGAATCGGTCACAAGATGGGTGCGAACGCGAATAGATACCTTTTGGGCCGTGTTGTTATCTGATGGATAGCCTTGAATTGGGGTGCCTTCAGTGGTGTTGTTGGCCGTGAGATCGAGCATGAGGTTTCTGCCAACGTTTCTGATAGAATACACTCCGTCGTTGGTGAAAGGCATTGTATAAGATGTAGGTCGCTAGTAGGATGATGATTCGACAATGTAATGAGAAATTGACAAAGAAAAGATCTTAGAATGCTGAGCTTTTATGCTGAGCATCCTCAGCTGTTTGCGACGAATGGGGCCAAGATGGTGCGGCGAACTTGAAAACAGAGAAATAATGGTGACAGAAGTCAAGAATCTGGGTGATAAGACTGCGCGCGACAATACTAATTCGGTGCTTTGAATTTGCGTACCATTCTTTCCAAATACTACTAGTAGTCGAAGGTCTCCGCATCAGCGCTGTTATTATCATAGCCTGAATTCAATTGAATAAGAAAGCATAACAGGGGCCAACGGAGATTAAAGACAGGGACTAGCGGCGGATATTCGAAGTTCTTGTGAGTCAATTTTTTCTGACTTCTTGATCAGGAGGTGGGCTATAGGTGTCACGCGCCAGTCATATACGGCCTTTCGAAGACCATGTGCGTGATGAGCCGAACAAGTACTACATGAAGAAATCCAGTAAATTCTTGAAATGCTGGATTGCTTAATGAGCTGGAAGCGAAATGATCCTTGGCTTAAGACCGGCGTGACAGCCCAACGCTCAGGCTGATGCTAGACATATAAATATTTATGATGAGCTGCATGGTGGACCTAGTTAAGTTGTGTTATAAGGTACGCAGCCACTTACCTGCATTTACGATGACGTCGATGTACATGTTGTTGACGACTCAAGGAGAGAACACCGACTGCAGTTCTCGGGACTTTATTATGTAATATTCCTGACAGTTTCCTTTGATCACATCAAACTTGCTTCGAAACTTCTTGGAAGTACCTTTTAGGCAGGTCACGACTCTCCAGGACCATCATCAGATACACCGCTCGGTCACATTGCAGTGACACCCTCCGAGTCTGCCCACAGCACTCCTTGACCTGTTGCGAATATTCTCCCCATTTACTCCCTTCAAATTTCCTGGAAGTGGACTAAACTGCGCCAGGATAACCACAGTGAGCACCCAAGGCTGCACAATCTCTCCTTCTGTGTCCTCCCTCGGCCGCGCTTTCTTGCACTAGTACTAGTATGTTCATGTGATTTTGACAGGCTGTCATAAGCCAACCTGGATCTAAGTTAGATGTCATCCAGATTTCCACTGAAAGGTTCTGATATTGAGAATATCTTGGGACACTCTGGCCCAGGACAAGTGTGTCGCAGACTGAGTACCTAGTAGGTCCCTGTCAGCCGCTCAGCTGACTCTGGTCGAACGTTCATTAATGATGGCATCGAGAAATGGAAGGGCAAATCTGGTATGCCTGATCCCTACAGCCGAATTTGATGTTAGGCGTAGCCCCTGTGCTCGAACATTATGATGTCATCATAGCCAAGGCGCTGATGCATCAAGCTAGACGAAGAAGATTAATATTATGGCAAGTACTGTGGGGGTACATGCGAAGACGGCCGGGATCATCCATGATCATCAGGAGCGAACAGACTCGGAGCCTAGGTAATGCATGTGGGAGCAGAGTATGATGCATCATACGTAAGTACATTCGTTCGCTTGAGAATGATGCTATCAATAGTCGTAGGTTCGCAAAACTCTGCTACAATTTTCTTTTCGTTGCAGTACTGAATGCGTCCTACATCAAAGTTTTGAAAGTGCAGTGTACATTTGCCCATTGGCGAAGCCTAGAACTTTTAAAGAGTCTTACATAATAATCTACTAAATACTATATTTAGAAAGAATTTTCGGTAACTATAGAAGTTAGATCTAAACTTAGCTAGGTTTGTGCGGGAGGTTTTCCCTGATAGGCTAGTCTATTGAGCGTGATCTGATAGGCATTCTCAGGGCCTGCCAAAGTGGATTGCCTAGCCAAACCTGGTCAGCATGATGGGCCACTTTCAGGTATCTTGTGCTCAGATAATTCAGATTTTTCCGACATATCGAGTCCTCACCACTTTCTCGGCTGAGGGTGCCGATGTGCTTCAAACACGCATACACCATACTGGGGGAAGCGCTATATCTACATATTATAACCATTTCGTACAATTCCAACTCTCGAAACTACCTCAACAAACCTTTCAAGCAACATGCCTATATTCACAGGCGAGACGCCTCAGCTCCACTCCAAACCGGAACATTGTAATGATGTTGGAAACCGTACTAATGAGGGTGAACCAGTGGGTCCTTGGCGATTATGCAGAAGTACTAGTACACCAGTTTATAACTACAGACAACAGTGACAACGATAACGAAAGAACTCGAAGGTATTACAAACTCAATTATTCTAGCAGGCTCACGTGACATACGGCGCATTAGCCGCTCTCAAAGATTTGAGATGCTTGTTGAATTTATCCCACCTCATATCTATGCTTAGAACTTGATCGACACAAGGGAGCCAGGCGGAAATAATGCGAGCGAGAGTTTCTGCATCTGCTATTTCAGTCTCCGATGTCTCCAATTCCAATGATCGTAGGGAGGTATGTTGTATTGGCTCGGAATCAGGATCAACGTCGATAGTTGCAATATTGATTGGAACTCGTAGTGTATGCAATTGCGGACACAGACTGAGCACTGCGAATAATCCACGGGGGGAGACTTCGGAAGAAGAAAGATGGTCGTCTAAGTAGTCGATTTTCAGAGTGCGGATGTGCGGCCAACTAGACATAGCTTGCAAGAGCACGTTATTGTCTAGGTAGATGGAGGAATCAGAAAACATGAGCTGCAGGGTTCGGAGCTGTGTAAAGCAAAGCAAATGCGGAATTGGTGTCAAAAACTCATGGTTTTGGGGTGCCACGAATCTGATTTCAAGAGAAGAGATGAAGATTTCTTCTAAAGTCCGACACGCTTCGCAGTGGGACAGAGCATGAAAGAGTTGCTCGGCCTCTTCTGAAGACAGATAGTTGGCTTCAAACTCGAACTCTTTTAGCGAGGGAAATTGTGAGTGTTGCATGACTGTGATGATGTCTGCAGCATTGCACACCTGTAGAAAGGAAAGGCTCGTGATGTTAAGGAATGATAAATTCACGATATCTCGGTTTGACAGCGAAGAAGGGCCATTATACCCTTGATCAATTTCCAATGTAGGGAGGTGGGAGAGATGCTTCCATGTTGCCCAGTCGACCATTGGACAATACAGAGTTACAAGCCGCGTGCACCAATGAATCCTATCGGATAGCAGGGACAGTTCATTTGCTGTGCTGTCATCATCGTACATTAGAGGAGTGTAGATGCATAAATGCTCCAGAGCAATGCAACGTGTGACAAAAGGTTGCAGACCTTCGTCGATGCTCAATAGATGACATCGGTGCAGCATGTGAGGCAGAAAGAGATTCAAATATGTGGTGGAAAAACTTAATGACTTCAGCCTCGGAAATACGCATGCCTCGGCGGGGATGACAGATAGAAGGTGTGGATGATCAGATTGTATGTCCAATGTGCGTATACGGGAGGAGTGACGCAGAAATTGATGGACCTCATGGGCAGATAATGGCTCGACATCTTCCGCCCAGGGCTCGTTCCACTATTATGTAGACGCTCGGTGAGCCGAAAACAAACAAACAAAGCGTAATAAAGTCGTACACTGACCCTTGTACGACTATGATGATATATCAGTGGATGTAGCCTCGCTACACAGCCTAGCAGTGGTTCTAACTCATGGATTTCAATCCACAACAAATCCATCGCAGGCTCATGGAAGATTTTGCATGTCCTTGCAAGCGCTGCAAGCAATTTCTGGGTCGATGTTATTTGAGTATATGGTATTGTGTTCACATAGGCGAATATCTCCAGGAGGACTTCGGGAACAAGTAAAGCCTGATGCATCACTGGTGACTGGGGTACGGTAGAGTCATTCAGAATTTCAAAACTAGGTTTCATAAAAACATTGCCTGCGTGGGACCAATATCTAACTTATCTCCATCTGATTAGGATATACGACACCGCCACTTGGGAGCAGATCGCACAAAGCATGTCACCACCATCTCCTTGTCTCAGAACAACCGCCTCCTTGCAAGTGCATCTTATGATAAAACAGCGCGTCTATGGAATCTTGACACCAACCTCCCAGTTGGACCACCCCTCCAGCATGAAAACGTTTTGTGGTCCGTAGCTCTTTCCCCTGATGCAGAGGTGCTAGTTACTGCCGAGGACACGACCGCGTACACTTGGGACGTTCACACCATCCTCAAAGAAGCTGGCCTTGAGGACCTACTTTCTATTGGTTCCAATGTTGTCACGGTAAGTGTCAACATATCCATATCACCCGCTCTCTCTGACAATGTCTGTTGTTAGGCACCAGAGAGACGGGAACAGGAACAGACAGCACCTCAAGATGATGATTCAGGAATACAGCACACACCCCGCTCTTCGCTCAGTGACAGGTCATTTTTGGAAGTACGTGCCGAGTTTGCAATCTTTCTCATTCATTATAACAGTAATATTCTAGCTGCGATGTCCTGGCCAATTTGACAATATAGATGAACTCCCGCCAATGCTTTTTCACGGCATGGAAGCCCCTCAGCCCTCCTCAATGGATAGTTTACACCCAAATTCCTCTGCAAATGCATTCCTCGCTCGCCTTTTCTCGCTCCTCCGCCGCTTTCTACCCGTCAATGACGAAACGACTGAACTTCCGCAACCTTCACGGCCTTTGGCGGTCCATCTACATGCACTCCTCGCTCGTCTGTCCTTACTCATTCACCGCTTTTCACCTGAAAGTGATGCACCAAATGAACTTCAGCAACCCTCGGGCCTCCACGTCTTCCCGGTTAGATCCACACGTGTTCCTGGCTCGCCTTTCCTCACTTTTTCCCCGATCTCAACTCAATACCGACGAAGAAGTCGAACATCGTCCAACAATGCCTTCGAGTTCATCTCCAGATGGAAGGTTCATCAGCCGGCTGTCCTCATTCTTCCGCTCTCAACCCCATACCAACGAAGAAGCTGAACATCATCCCACAGTGGCTTCAAGTTCACGTCCAGATGTGAGGCTCATCAGCCGGCTATCCTCGCTCTTCCACTCTCAAGCCCACACCAACGGAGAAGCCGAACATCATCCCACAATGGCTTCGAGTTCACGTCTAGGTGCGAGGCTCGTTAACCAGCTGTCTTCACTCTTCCGCTCTCAACCATACACCAATGAACAAACAGAACTTTCGCAACGCCCAAGTCGTCCTCATGTTGTCGACGTGGCTGCAGTGCGGGACAAGCAGGTATGGCTCTCCTCGGTGCATTTACAATTGCTGTGGTTTAGTGATATCCGTTCAGAGTTTGGTTGTTGCTCGGGGCCAAATTTTAGGAAAGCAAAACGAGCATACGAGCAACAAACCAAATCCCACGCCCAAGCTCAGGCGTCATCATCGGGCACTCAGCCTGCCCATGCTTCAACGTTAGCGACACCTTCTGTTCCAGGTACTAACACCATCACAATAGGTGCAGCAACCCCACAGTCACCACCCATCCCATGGTGGAGTCAAATCGTGCTATTTCTCTGCTGTGCATCTCCACCACATGCCAATAGTCACTGATACAATTAGCGAGTTGCAGCATTTTCACTTTGCTTCTAGAGATTCCGCACCTATGTCTCTTTCCTTATATCTTTCCAGTACACCATCAATCTCGTTTCCTCGTTATGAGCCTCGTGCAATGCACCGGACACGATAATACTAATTTTCTGTGGCAAGGACGCTGTACTTCTCAACAGTTCTTGATGGGTATCATATTCTGCCCAAAAGAGCGTAACAACTCTTCAAAGGGGTCGCTGTTGGCTAGGCTGCAGTGTGGTAACTTGAAGTTCCAGTGCTACATGGTTGCAGACTGGGTTATTGGTAGTGGTAAGTATGAACACCTAAGGATCATGATGAAAACTTGTATATTATCCACTTTCGTTAACGTTTGTTCTCTCGCGTGTACAGGCATTGATTTACGGAAATATGTACTGCACTACATGATATATGATACACCGACGAAATGGCAATCTCTCTCCACAACCTAAACAAAATCAATAGTCGCTCATATCCTCGACATTGAGAGCAGGCCTCTCTTCTTTCCCGGAGGGACCTTTTTCGCGACAATGCCCTTATGGGCCATATGAAAGTCGAATTGCATGTCATTCATGCTGCTCGGAACCCCCCGCATGAATTCCTCGACCTCTAGAACTCGAGATCTGAGTGCCTCAATGTCACGGGCACGATGAGCGGATGAGGAAGGTTCCAGTTGTCTGCGTAATCTCAATCCCTTCCTGAGCAGCGCTCTGTAAACAGGACGGTGTTAGTTATTGTATGTCGCTGAGTAAGGGAGGACGGACGCTATCCCGCTTCTCTGTTTGCCCAACTCCTCAAGCTTTTCATGAGACTCCTTGTTGAGAAGGTGGCCTTTCGTCTTCGCTATGGCCGCGCGAGTCAGAGTAATGCCTCGTTCCAAGCACACCAGGAGGTGAGGCAATGGTCCAAGGAAAAGGAAGGTATAATAACCTGAACGCCATTCAGAGGACTGCGTCTCTTTCAGGCATGTCATGAACATCGCATCAATTTCGGTGTTAACTGCACGGCTCGAGCGGCGTCTGACGTAACGACGGTATGCTTTCTGAATTTTGCAAGCCGCCTCTTCCTCCTCCACCGATGGTCCGTTGGTGCGTAGCGACTCGTCAAGATCAGGTGCGAGCAACGTCGCCGCCACATCCCAAGTCTCCCACGCATCACGAGTCTCGGTATCAGCATTCGCCGTGACATCCTCTTCCCCTTCTTCTTCTCCTTCGAAATCTTGAGGTTGCGGTTCCGTTATCTCTTTCTCATCATGCTGCATGACCTCTAGTCGGTCCTTGCAATGTCCTACGCCAGGTACGAAGGCAGGGGCCTCTACTCTCGGGGTAGACTGTGCGATCACTGCGTACGATGAGAGGAGATGGGGGATCTCGATGGTCTTCTCGTATATGAGTCGTCGGACTATATAGACTCGTGTACGCTGGTTCATCGTTTTGTGGACAAGATGGACCAGGTTGCTCACTCCTTTGTTGTCGTCCAAAGCCAGGAGAGCTCGCAAGTAAACGTCTGAGGGTGGCGCCTGTTCTGGCAAGGGTGTCATGTACCTGACCACGACATCCACGAGTTTCCGATAGTTAGCTAGACGCCAGTTCGAAGGAGGGTTGTTGTGCAGAGAAAGAATGATCTTGTCCACTTTGTCTCTCACGAAGCGATTCCTGAAGTTATGAGCAACTAATGAACCCAATTCAGCAGCGAATGAGTATTTGAGAAGAAATAGTAGACGTACTAAGGCAGAGGACCCTGCAGCTGTAATACATGTGATCAGTATGCACATCGCCGATGAACAGATACTAAATTGGACTTACATCCGGGAAATGAAAATATTGCGAAGAATGGGCGTGAATCTCGTATGGTCCAGCCAAAGGAAATCTGTCTAATTGTAATCTAGGATCTCTGAAAAGTTGAGACACTCACCTATACTGGTTTCTATGCGCAATGCTTCAACCAGTCTCGCTATTTCATCCAGAAGCTTTCCCATCAAAAACAGCTTGGTGTCTTTCTCCGCAGTGAATTTGTGGGGAAACAGCAGCCAGTTACATGGAAGGACAACGTTATGAAGGGGAAACTTATTCAAGTCTGGGTCCATTCGGAACTTGATTACAAAAGCGCTGCAGATGTCCTCGATACAGTCGCACAACACCGAGAGGTTGACATATAAACGATTATCGAGGACATGTCTGAATTGCACTTAGTTCATTTCATATAGAGACAAGAAGAACGTGCTTACAGAATATACAGAATCCCCGATGAGATGCTGCTGCGGGTCGCTCCTTGGTAAGAATTGAGCAGGTCATGAACCATATAACGATTGTCCCCCTTGCGAAAGAGTCCCAATGGTCCGGAGATCGTACACTTTGCTCGAGAGATGTAGACAGGTGCGTCGTCCCTGTCAAAAGCAAAACTAAGACTGGTCATTCCCATCAATGCCGTCAAAAATTCAGCCTGGGTATGGGATGGGTCGAGCGAGTAGAAGAATTCGCGGATCCAGAGCTTCACCACTTTCATGCCATCCAGACGAAGAGGCATCAGGTTCATGTCAAGATCCGCAGGAGAACCTTGAATGAAGAAGGGTGGATTGATAGCCTCATAAAGATGCTTGAGCCAGTGCCTCATGCTGATAGAGTGATCAGTATGAGTACTCGATCATAAGCTACCTCCAGGCGTACCTTTTGCGTCGGTCAATTTTTGGGTGAGCGGAATACATGAATTGCAAGATCAGGATCTGCCAGATGTGGATGGCAACACGGTTGTTGTAATACTGGCGATCCAATTTCGATACTGCAACATGCTCTTGGGGACAGTTATCTCTTCGACATACTCCAGATATCAGGAATTGCAGACATTGCGAGAAAACAGGAGATTTGCAGCACATATCATCGATCTCCGATATTTTGTCTTCCAAGATCGTTCGAATGGATTGTTGTAGCAGCTGGGTGACGACTCTACGAGAAGCTGTGTACCCGGACGAATGTTCCGATACCCAAGTGATGCCCTGGCGGGTTTCCATTACATTGTTGTGGAGGAACGTTCCATCTGGTATGAGAAACTCATCACGGGACAACCGCACGATGGAGAATAGTCTCTGAATACCCCTATGCTCCATGGGGTCAGGGAAGGTCAAAATCAGATAGAGCAGTCGCGCATAGGCGTGAAATTGTTCAAGGAACCGTTGCATTTCATTGACCGCGAAAGTTCGAATATCTGTGGTTCGAGAGAATATATGGTCCAGGCAAAGGAGAGCTGCTGGCCTGTTATGTTTATAGAAGCCAAGCGCAAGATTTCTCAACGGCTCGTGATTTCCGCGCAAGATGTTCTGAAACATCGATATCTAGATGTTGATCAGCCCAGCTGGTCACTTTGAGACTGCTAATACGTACTAGATCACATGTGGCCGGCGTTAGTTTGTTCGTCTCTAGTTGATCAGCAAGAGCGATGAAATGCTGCATTGGCTCATCAGCAATGGATTTTACGGTGATTCTGAAGGAGCATTTGCGCCAGAAGTATTCCAATATAGTATCGGCCGCACGAATAGTAGAATCGACGTTGCTTTCGTCCTTGATGAATGCCCGGACAGCTTGCAAGGGTCTATTCTCTGATAAGTGGAGCTCTGCGGCCTCATAGTACCTTGAGTGAGATTCAAGTAATGATGCACGAGCGTAATCAAGATCATAGTCCTCTAGAAATTCAAGTTCCTCATCAAATGTGGAGAAGAGGGGCAAGGGAGCCCTGTGCAATTGCCATTAAATAAAAACATTGTGGAGAGTATAAGACTTGCCGAGTGTTCCTGCTGCAGTAAAACAGTCTGCACACAGTCCATAACTCCGTCTTGGTCTCGTCAGGTATATCCGTGCCATGGTCATGAAGGACATGGAGGGTCTTGTCAAACCGTCCAGCCTTGCGATATCTTTTCGCTGCTTGCTCGAGCTCTTGAGTATTTAAATAGGCCTCGGCAGCTTTAAGATCGTCTCCTGCTCGAACGTAGCAATCCGCTGAGTTGCGATAGTATTGGAGCTTCTGATTTCCTGTCGCGGTAGCCCCACAATCAGTAAAGGCATCGGCAGCCACGTTAAAAGCTCTTTTTTGGTCGCTGAGTGAGGCCACTCCGACACTAGAACGTGCAACATCTCGCAGTTGATGTGCTTCACAGACCTTCACTTCACGACGAAGGTTGGCACGTTCGAAGCAGTGGATAGCCTGCGAGTAGCGCTTATGAGAGAATAGTGAGCGCCCGAAGGATGCCCATTCTTCTGGAGTCGAGGAGACGGCTAGATGAGGGACATCTGTGCCGGGGATACAATTCTGGACCTGATTGCGAGACGTCCAGAACAGCTGAAAAGTAATCAGATCGAGTTACACCAACATGCTGCTCTAAGTGTACACGCATCGGGTCTGATTTATTAGATTTGTCGACGATCCACAAGTTCTTCCTTGCTCGAGTGATTCCCACATAAAGAAGTTTGAGCTAATAAAAGTAAGCCGGAGTTTGTTTCAAGGATCGGTGCCTACCTCGCTACAAACCCCGGCGTATTGCGCCTCGTCTCGATCGAAGTTCGGTACATATCTTTGACCATCTACCCCATCGAGAACTACGCGCCACCGTGACAGATCTACAGCAGAATCCTCGAAAAAGTTGTACAACAGCACCTGACCGAAATCAGACATCCATCAGGTAGCAAACTTAGCTTCTCACATCATCAAATTCCAGGCCTTTGACTTTGCTGTCATAAAGCGTTCTGCATAGAGATGTGAACATGAAAACACATAGCCTTAATACGACTCACATAATCAGTCCAATTTCACCAACTTGGTCTCGTAACTTCTGACGTGCCGCATCGTCACGCACGAGAATGCCTAGATACATTGTCAGTGTATGAATGAAACCTCCTATCAATTGCTTTACATTGCTGGGCTCCGAACTCAATGTGGCTACCGCTGGAAGAATTCTCAGGAGGACAGGAGGGGTATAGTCCAGGTTTGCTTACCTCTCCCCAAACAAGAACTGTTCATAACGAACGGTGTCTTTATCCCAACCACTGAAAAATACAGGCTTCAGCCCGTCAACCACTCCCTTTTCTGGCCGAAGATTGTCGATTGTGTTGGGCCAAAATTTTGTGATGAGCTCGACCACAGAACTTGCGCAATTAACAATTCCACCGTGCGATCTGTGGTTGATCGTCAATTGAAATATCGCAGGCTGACGAAGACATGCTCCAGCGGAATTGACCGAAATATTCTGCTGCTGCTTCAAGGTATCAATTCAGGCTCGACCTAAGTCGTTGTCTCACGGTAGAGAAACACTTTCAGATCATCAAACCTGAAGGAGCTCCCTGCAGAGATTGTCTGTGCGGTGTCCCCAGCCCAGAACAAACCGTCTGGATTCCTGCATAATCGCCTCAAAACTACAACAGAAAGTTCTAAAGTGATTTCTGTCAATGAAGAATGGAGTAACTACTTACAGAGTGCATCAATCAGAAGGATGTCTTGTACGTCGTCGACATACCTAGTGCAGGTGGTCGGAAGAAGGATGCATTGGTGGAAATAACACGTACAGATGATCAATCTGTTGGCCAGGAAACCTCTGGCTCTGCAAGACCTTGAGTATTGCATGCGTACTGTTTGGGCACATAACGTGACATTACGTGGGTGAGAAGGTGTGGTAGGTCGTACCGGTCTGCAGCATCATGATGACGTCGCTGCTTCTTGATTTTCGTATAACACTCGAAGATGTCATACAGAATTCCCCTCTGGTTCGCAAAATTTGGGTAAGAACAATGAGAAAGACGAATGTAGTTTGCGCGATCGAGAACTCCTTCAGGACAGGACAGTCCGTGTTCAGAGCCTTTAACGATCCCTGTAGGTATATCCAGGAATTGTCAGTGTCAAGATGATACAAATTAGTACTCACCCATGAATTCGCTGAAAACCAACCGCGGGTCTGATGGGGTAGTGTCAATACTTCGTTGTCATCGCAAGAGAAAATGACACTACTGAGATTCTTGGTGAGATTCCGCGGAAAATGAGGCCAGTATTGATTTGCGAATACATCATAGGTGACGAAGCAGTCATGCGCCTCAGCATCGTCAATATTGAAAAAAGGTCCTGCACTATCTCTCGTTTCGGGGACATCGTTACTTGAGATATCTGCCGCGATCATCTGTGCCAGCTACATAAACGATTAGCTTGGGAACTGTCCGGGCGACAGCTTGGGACGTACTCGATCGAAAGTCACAAAGAGGGGAAAGTGTTTATCCTCGAGTTCGCTGTATTTCATAGGTATATTCATCTGTGATTTGGGCAGGTCGTCGATATCAACAAGGCCTTCCTGAACACTTTGTGCCTTCATTTTTGCAAGTTCCTCCAGGGTATAGTCTGCTAACGCCAGAGATTCGAGAAACTTCGTGAAACACTCTTTCGCTCTTGTAGCGAGCACTCTGTATTTGGTGACGAAAATTTGGCGTGGCTTCGGCATGTCAACAGCACTCATTTCCCAAGCTCGCTGAATGCCGAGAATCTTAAATAGCATCGTCGTGGTTTTTCTAGTTGAGTGTGATTCACAAGCTACTCATATCAGGGGCAGGACACTTACCCCGTGCCTCTGCGACCCAAGATGTAACATGACGTGGTACATTCGACAATTTTTTGTTCTTGAGGTCTGAACCAACATCAATCAATAAATTCGTCTCATTGGGGCAGAACTCGCGTGAGCATAAAGACATCCTGTGCGTCTTGGTTTGTGATGAGATCTTTTGCAAAGATAAGAAGAGGTGGTGAGCCAACTACATGATCACTCACTATGCAGGAACACCTAAAATAAGAGGTTACCGAGTCAATATTTGCGTGGCCATAAACAGTATTTATAAGCTTACTTGCGAGAATGTGAAATATTTCTCCATACTAGAAAATTGTCAGATTGAAACCAATTTGTATAAGGATGGCAAAAATCCGTACACAAGCAAAGATTGAATCTATGGCATCGATCAATGGCCACATAAATGACAACTGAAAATACTCAACTCGGTCCATGTCCTTATCACTAAGATCAAGTGGGCTTGCTGAGAATTCAGGTTCAGGTTCAGATAGTGGGAATGACGCAGGCAGAATCGTGCTGTCTTTAGAAAGGACGGGCCTATTCCGAAAGATACACCTGTGCAAGCAATGATTCACTGAATTGCATCAAGACCCGAAAAAGGTCCTCACCTTCTATGATATTCTCTGCCCTTGCGTGCGAGATGGTTACCCAAGGCATCCCATACTTTGCCAAGTTGTACATGCGTATAAATGCCGTATACTTTGATTACTGGAGTTCATATGAGTGCTGATGACAGACGGATGTAATTGCGCTTGATAGTTTACCTTGTCTTTCGGACTGTTAAGACTACAGTCTCAGTATCATGCTCGATGTTGATGTAAAACGACGTACCTTTCCATCTTGGTCAGGGACACAATCGATCTGGTACTGTGAGAAAAGGTCGGTCGCCTCGCTCTAAACGACGTATGTGAAATTACACTTACCACTAATCGTAGGTCCTTTGTCATATTGGCATCGTAGATGGGTATGCCTGCATCCGGCCTATTAAGTTGCTTGTGATTATCATTTGAAAAATGGCCATTCGAAAGTTGTCTGTGGAAACGATGAGATCATTGCAACGAAATTCATCAGAAGACAGACTTGATCTTCTTGAAGATGATCTTGAATGTCTTCTGATCTGCTCTACGGAATTCACGCAATTTTTTGTAGGCCTCCGTAGATATGAGGATTTGCCATTCTCCGAACCCGTCCGCGTTGTCGAAGTAAAGCACAGCCTTCATAGACTGCACCATTTTGCACGCACTAGGTCGGTTTGTTGGGCTCTCGACATCAGAGGTTGACGAAACTTCAGGCGCAACATCTTCGGCAGACTTCCCAGCATTTTGGAGGAGTAAGGCTTTGATGTCGCCTGCTAATTCCGTCCTCCGGAGAAGCGAGAGGTAGAACTTACGGAGAGCTGTCAGCGGAAACGTCAAAAGTAGCGAATATACTCACCGAGAGAGCATTTTTCAGCTCTGCAAGAATGTGAGTAGACGATGATGCGGCAGCCTCGCTCGTGAGAGGCACGACCACACCAAGCTTCACGAAGAGCGATGTGTCGATGGCCGTATGACCTTTCAGGCGATTGCGCTTGTACATTTTCTGAGGCACCTTCTTCTTGACGAATCCGTTATCAGACTCTGCACCACTAATTTCCATAGTGTTCAGTGCGTAAAGTACAGGTAAAGCGCCCTCGATGAAGCCACTGTGATGACTGATGTCCTTTGAGACATCCATCGATAGAGACTCAGCTGGAAAAGCCAAAAAGTACGTAGACAGATTGTCTAGCATCGTTCTCGCCACAGATGTTGGATATTCTTGAGATTTCCTTGGAAAGTCTGTCATGATCTGTGAGATCATTGCCTCACGGCGATCCCAAACTGTTAGAGAGTCAGAGCTGATGACGCTCGAAGGAAGTTCATGAGATACCAGAAATAATATATGCAAAAACATAGGGTGATGACGACATATGTTTGACCGTAGCTTGTAATGCGGTTGCTCCCGAACTTGAAGTTGTGTCCAGATGACGCAAGGCGGTTCTGAGGCCTGCCTCGTTGACTATTCGATCTTTGGAGAGTAGGTCCAACATGGTGTGTTGAACAAGAGAAGCTTGTGATGATAACGTGGTTATATGAAAAGCGCTCTGTGGAACTTAGACTTGAGCTATGTCAATGGTACAAAGAGCTTGGAGGACTCGGAAGTCCGAGTGCGAGTCTGCAACGGGGTTGTCCTTATATCGTCGAGCCGGCGCTTTGTCTAAATTTCCAAACAGGTTGAGGCGCAAATAGTATACCCAAAATCAACACCTGCAGGCAACCTCTGAAGTCGTACATAGCGGTAAACTTGGACCGTGGCATTCCGGAATAAATTGGCTCTCTATCTTTATGTAACAGGTCACCTTACACTCGTCTGGTCTAGACTGACCTTTCTTGGAGAGTTCGAGTACTCCGACATTCCTGATATCCGATTCCTTATCGGGATGTTTCCTACGCCATAGGGCATTGGGCATTTACCAACTTGAAGTTCAGCTGGTCAGGTCTTCAAATTGATGGTCCAGCACGGGCTTGCGAAGTTCATGAAACCCACGGCAGCCAAAGGCTCCGCGAGTGTGGAAGGTCACATCAGGGAAAACCTCCCGCGGGAATTTTGCAAATGCGACAAAAATTTCTCGAAATTCGCATAATATTTTCAAAAGTTGTCAACAAAGCTAGTAAATAGTTGCGTATGCGTGACAATCAGTGAATGGGCTAACAAAAAAGTCTCTACACAGTTCCAAAACGTTGCTGCTAGTCCAATCCCGAGGCGCAGAGCGGCCAAATTTCGGTATAAGATGTACACTGCGTCGAATATCTTTCACAGATATTATACTAACTAGCTGTTCCCCATTTTCGTATGATCGCGAGACCTTGTGCATACCATGATTTCTCTCGCTTGTCCCGGTGAATGGCGAAAACCACTCGACGTAGGCCAAATGTTTAGGGATCAAGATATGGGAGGGAAAAAGGCTAGCGTGATGTTTCTCGGGTATCGAAAATATAACCCGCACTTGGGCTACACGGTAACCTTGTATGATTCATCAGTGACTTGAAACGGTCAACCAAATGATATACAGACCTTCCACACTCTTCTCTCCCCCATTGCCACAGTTGACAAGAACTGTATCGAAACGTCCTGGCACGGTATTCCCTCGCTTATCTCTTCGTGCAGGCTGACAGTGAACTGAATCAATGGTAACACTTTCATCTTTATGGCCAGCGGAGTCGACCGCATTGTACCTGACCTTATGGAAAATAGGAAGCGAGGCGAAGGGGATATATACATGTCCAGCGGCATGTTCCACCTGAGCTCGAGTTGTTGCGTCTGGGCGAGTGTGAAGCACAATATAACGAGCAAGGGCAGCTCGAAAAAAAGAGGCACCATAGTCGTCTCTAAGGGAGTCGATGGTAGCGGCCTTGACAGATGGATGTTTCGTCATCTTGTATTCCCTGGCATACTGCATATCTGGCGGTAGACGCGATTGCGGCAATGGATCACCAGCGAGGCGCCAATGAACATAACTGGCGTGCCGTAGAATCTTCTCCTGCCGTTCAAGCCACAGAGTCATTTGACTGTACTCGTCCTTGTGGTTTGTTGCACGATATGCATCCTTGGCGAGGTCGATATGAAGTCGTTCGGTATATTCTGTATTATAGTTGTCAGTCGTGCCATACTCTTGAATCATATGGAGGTAGTGCCGGTAGGAGTGAAGCTTTGGAAGATTAAACTGCGTTCGGATGCCAAGTGTGACAAATATGTCTTTGTTGTCATGAAAACGGGTCAAAGCTTCATCGAGGAGTTGCAGTGTCTCCGCTGAGTGACATGGATACTGTGCTAAGTACAGGAAGTCGAGGAGTCCGCGAAGAGTTCGAACAAGCTTAGCGCTTGAAATGTTGTTGGGAAGGGGAATGTCGATAATAACACCCAGAAGAAAGCGGCAAATCTGATTGTGCTCAGCACCACTGACTCTTGCGAGACTAGAGATGCCCTTGTTGAAGATGCGAATATTATGGTTTGGAGGGAGTCGACGGCAACGGGCATCAATCTCTGCTTCTCCAAAAGCCGATTTGATCCAAGCAATCATGTGTTTCACGAGTCCTTGATATAGCTGGTGCAATACGTCGGGGGTAATCGCATGGAAGATATTCGACTTCGGAAGTCCTTGCCAGAAAGGGTGTTGAATAGGCTTGATCCTAAGCTCAGCACAACGTTCTGCAAAGCCAATCGGATCTTCATCTGCAATATTGAGAGCAGCGAGAATACTCTCAAGATCCCGTGGCTTGAATAGGGCATCTTTACTTCCAAGCTCACCGTTCGGGACATTGCATTTCGGACATTCACCTGTCATCGCGCCAGAAACAAGAATTTGCTCGGGATAATCGCCAACATAGCAAGCAAGAAGGGGATGACCACGACGGGTGATGCCATCACCACTACGCATATGTAGCCCATCTTCTCCGGCACTTTTGAGTGGTTCGAGGATGTGCCCCATACATGCGTGGAAGAGATTTGTGATAGTGCGGCGCTGAGAGGCCCGATTCTTGATGTGCTCAAGACGAGTAGTTGGAAGGTAAGCCAAAAGGATGTGGGCATGTCGTGAAGGTTTCCGTCGAATGTCTTTTGGTATGTTGCCGATCGTCATATATACTGGTCATGCTGTCTTATTCCCGAAGACAGTGACCTGAGTCTTGTCAGAAGAGAGAATAATCGGGATAATTGTCGCTCCAGGTTTTTCTTTCTCGATTTCCTTCTGTGACGTGTCAGTGATTCAAATCAGTTTGAATTTAGAGCTGAATGAGAGCTGTTGACAAACCTGTGTGCGCCACCACCATTTCCCTGTATGCATATCATGATATAACCGCATTGTCTTGTCTTTGTCTGCATAATGCCTTTCAGGTACGAAGACAAGGTATGGTGCAAATTCTGGATCTTCGTAGAGAGCCTTGACACATTCCAGAACATCTCGGAAGTACACGTCAAAAGCTTCTCCGGCAACCACAACCTCCTGGCGGCGAAATTGCGGGCGACCAGTGGGAAGCTTCTTATCAATGATGTTGTTAAGTTCACGAGAACTTTTATAAGAGAGCCCGAGACGGTCATGTACCTGGCAGATCAGAACATGGTGAGTTTGTATTTGTCATTTCACTTAAAACTTAATGACCCACATCGTCGATAGCAAGAAGATCAGTAAATGCTGTAGAGCCTGTGCCACGCATTTTGGCCCATAAGGCTATGTCGAAGTCGAGTTTACTCTCAAATGGTGCGTAAATGTTTTCTGACCCTGCAATTTTCTGACTGTAACCCTCGTAGATATGCTCACGTGGCATTTCCGATGGTCCAGAGACTGGAGCACCTGCAGTTGGAAGGGGAAAGTGTGTGATATATGGACTGGCATGACCTAATCGAGCTTCTGTGGCATCACGGGGATTTTGATGGTGAGCTCGAGTTTCTTGATGATATTGATCTGCCAGTGACTCTTGCTCCGAATCTTGCTCACCAACATCAGGTGCATTAAGAACTGCTGGCTCCCACCCTATTTCGCCATCAAATACCACCTCCTCATCCGATGACTCATCTGCATCCTTGTCTCCTTCTACTACTCCATGGTCGTCTGGCCATTCAAAGTCTTCTTCGGTATAGTGACCAAAAAAGTCACCTTCGAAATGTAGAACCTGACCACCCTCATCTATCTCATCAGCACCATCCATATTTTCATCGATGCTGTTGGCATAACCAGTGGATGGGTGATATTCTGGTGCCGTTTCAGTTGGTATGTGGCCCGCTAGTTGTGCATTGCTTACTTGCTCATAATGAGCAAGACACTGCAGATTTCGAGACTGTGTGGCATGGCGGTGATATCCAGCCACAGTCAGGCCTTCTTTTCCACATGGACGACATTTTATGTTGCCTCTGATACTGTGCATTGTCGAGGATGCGATGGAAATGTTGGCTTTGGTGCTTAAGTGGTGAGTGGTGACGAAACGAGGTAGCCGAGGTAGATTTAGTGTTTAGCTTGCGGGCGGAACATGAACCTTCTTCAATTCGAACCACTTGTTACAGGTTGTCTTCCCCCATCAAAATTTCCCTCTTTTAATTCGCTTCTTGCTTCACACTCATTTCGTCAGTCTTTTTCTTACAACTATATTTTACTTACCATGCCTCCAAAGGCTCCTGTGACACCCGGAGAAAAAGCTGCAGCAAAACGGCTGCAGAAGAAGGTTGAAATGGCATCCGCACACTCTGCTCAAGCAGCCACCCCTTCCGAAATTGAAACCTCAGAGAGCGTTGGTAGTAGGTTTTTTTTTAATGGATGAAGTGAATCTTTATGTCTCCTAACACCGCAGGGCCAATACGTCAAGCAAAAGAAGTAGCAATGAAAAATCAAGGTTTGTGTTGCCGACGCAGTGTCTATATTTGAACTCATCTGTTTGAAAAGTTTGGGCTGCAGACAAACCAGCAACCCGAAAACGTGCTGCATCATCTATCGCTGACTCAGGCAAAGGCAAACAAAAAAAGCTCACAGGTCAGTCGAAGCCTCATATTGTTAATATGTTCTCCTTACACTTCGTCCAGTAGGCACCAGCATAAAGAAACAGATTGTGCCACCAGAAGAATCCAACCATGGTACAGCCAGGCCACCTCGTCTACACAGTGAGTGTTATTTTTATTATTATTAATACTTCCATATTTGTTTCTAACTTGCTGAACTCGAGAAACTCGAGAGCAGGACATTGATTTGCCCTCATTGGACCAGCAGCCTGTTGATGGTCACGGTAACACGGCTTCTGAGTCTGATCATTCTGAGAATGATGACTCGGAATTTTTATCGAGTCATGATGATGAGCTGCAAAGCAAAAAGCCAAAGCAGCTCAAGGATTTATTTTATGACGAGGTATTTCCTACAGATTAATACCGGTTGAGTTACTCACATTGATGGTGGTTCAAAGACTCCTCATTTCGTCACAAATACTGTTAAGGCAGCCTTGAAACCTACAACCCGTGAGTTTTTTGTGGTGTTCTTGGGCATTATAGTGACTATCTGCCTAGATTCTTCCAAGCCAAGTGGCTCGTACACCACCTCCATGATTCCAACTTCAGACTCGGATGACGATCAAGCCACAAGTACTAGTCAAACCATGAAGGCTGTTACAAGTAAGACCAAGTTCAATGTATGTGATTCATGTTTTCTACGCTACGTGTTGTTGATGACTTATTTAACAAAGGATGTCCCTATTACCAAGAAAAGGGCCAAGAAAACTGTGCACAAGGCTGTGGAGGTATGTTTTGCATTCGAGTTGCATTCTGAATCTAGATTGGCTGAATTTACAGACTCCGCACTTCACTGCGGCACTATCAACCTCGAGCATTCCAGATTCGCTAACTCGTAATAGTACCCGCTTGGAAGACACTTGGTCTTTGTTAACACATCTTGTGTGGAACGGCAACAACACAATCAATCTCCTCAGTCAACAACCTCATATCCAAGTAATTCTTCATGCTGCCATTCAGCTTGTCGAACGAGAGCTGGTATTTGAGTGCTACTTTCCACGACCGAAACATCGCCACACCATGATGGTCAACTTAGTACTTGAAGCCGCATCATCAGCAGAGCATAAAGAAGTCTTACAGCGCTTGGAACAAGACCAAGCTTACATGAAAGCTTTCACCAGAGTGGTGAGTTTCTTGTCAATACTTTCGCAACCCACAATTCTCATGCAAGTGGTGCTACTGATTAGCCAGATGGGCGTATTGGGTTGATTCGCAAGAAACTCAAGGAGATTTCGGATCGCGTCGTTCCTGGTGCATATGGGGTCAAGACGGGTGATGACGAGAAGATCAACCGCCTGCTCAATCTCCTGACTTTCATTTACAAGTTTGACACCAAGGTTCGGTTTAGCTCATCGCAAATGTTGATCCTCTTTGACTTTTAGGACATGACAGGGCAATCCCATCTTGAGTCAGCCATTTGACCATCCCGCTATCAACACTGTATGCCAGTTAGCCTTTTTTACGAGTCAGGACCAGGTTGGGAAGAAGTATAAGGATCGGTTTGTCTCTGTGCTTGATGACAACGATGAACCCGAGATCCCGAGTGCCATGGTCTCAGCTGTGGTTACTGCGGTGCGTCGTATTCTAACTATTCAAGCGCTATCTCACTGTGTTCTACCAGATTTTTTCTTCCCTACTTGATCTGAAGTCCGTTGTTGATGTAGGTCGCGAGCGTGGTGATTTCGGGCAAAGTCTCATCGGCATGTTTGACAACAATATGGAAATGCTCAATGGAATCTACACCAAGGGCCCGCATGTTTACCATTCTCTCATGGCTCGAAAATACAAGGCTGTTAGGTATGTGCTAGTCTCGCATCTTTGTTGCATGCTGCTCATAACTTTCTGCAGCAATGTGGTTGACTTTGCATCCGCCGAGTTGAAAGCAGCATTTGCGCGAATCGATTTCGATGGGATGAGTATCGACTAGGGCATTCCTGATAGCACAAGGACTTTGCGTTACAACTTTTGTCTCATTTCCTCGTTTTCATATCTTGTGATTTGCGATATTCTAGTATATACCCTGATTTAATCACATTATAATCATTTTGTTGTATTCATGTGGATTTTTGTAAATTTTCACCCATCCGTAGAGGGACTTGGAATATTTTAATGTATTTTCAGAAAGTCAGAAAATTTCAGAAAATCTTATGAAATCTTCGCGGGAGGTTTTCCCTGATGCATTATCAGTCAGGTAAGTTCAGCCTATCTGTGTGTCTCCCAGAGTCAAAGCCAACGTAAAATCAAAAACACTCATAAAAACATCCACCTTCAACCCCTCAATCTCCCCTTCCTTTGCAGTAAACTTCCGTCTCCATGTAGCCTTTGCCTCACCATACGCCTTTACACTCAACTCAAACTTATCAATCTGTTTTCACCGCACATCAAGCTGCCTCCGCATCTCAGCAAACTTCTCAGTGAATTTCCCTTCTGCATCTTTGGCGCGCTTTTCAAAGTCGAGTTGGATCTGGGATAGAGCTTTGAGCCGTGTGATGAGGTTGTCATGGAAGACGCTGAAATTGGTATACCAGTGTGCTAGTAGATCAGATCCGACCTGCGATACCTGATCCCAGGAACAGAACTTGAACATATAGTACGAGGGAGAACATCTAGAACATATCCAGGACGGTATAGGGAAGGGTAGGGACTATAATAATCTATGGTAAAATGATGTATCAGCCCACCCTATGACTTGTAGTGATTAATGTATCAGGGTTTTACTATAACTATAGGCAGTGATACATCAATACCACAGGGACAGGTGGCTCTTGAGCGGTGGAACTTGAGATAGGCCTTAGTAGCTTTAAGATCATCTCCTGCTCGAACGTAGCAATCTGCCGAGTTACGATAATATTGGAGCTTCTCAATTCCTGTCGCGGTCGCCGCGCAATCACTAAAGGCATCGGCAGCCACGTTAAAAGCTCTTTTTTGGTCACTGAGTGAGGCCACTCCGACACTAGAACGTGCAACTTCTCGCAGTTGATATGCTTCACAAACCTTCGCTTTACGATGAAGGTTAGCACGTTCGAAGCAGTGGATAGCCTGCGGGTAGCGCTTGTACGAGAATAGTGAGTGCCCGAAGTATGCCCATTCTTCCGGAGTCGAGACGGGATGAGGGACACAGGTTCTGAGAGTACAATTCTCGATCTGGTTGCGAGACGTCCAGAATTTCTGAAGGAAAATAGTTATCAGATCAAGTTACGCCAACATGCTGCTCTCAACGTACACGCATCGGCTCTGATCTATCAGATTTGTCAACGATCCATACATTCTTCTTTGCTCGAGTGATTCCCACATAAAGAAGTTTGAGCTAATAAAAGTAAGCCGGAGTTCATTTCAAGGATCGGTGTGCCTACCTCGCTACAAACCCCAGCGTATCGCGCCTCGTCTCGTTCAAAGTTCGGTGCATACCCTCGACCGTCTACCCCATTGAGAACTATGTGCCATCGCGACAGATCTATGGCAGAATCCTCGAAAAAGTTGTACAGCAGCACCTGACGGAAGTCAGACATCCATCAGATAGCAAACTTAGCTTTCTCACATCATCGAATTCCATGCCTTTGCTCTCATAAAGCGTCCTGCATACATATGTCAACATGAAAAACACAGAGCAAAGGAAGTCTTCATACGACTCACATAATTAGTCCAATTTGACCAACCTGGTCTCGGAACTTCTGACGTGCTGCATTGTCACGCACGAGAATGCCTATATACCTTATCAGTGTATGAATGAAACCTCCAACCAATTACTTTACATAGCTCGGCCTTATCCCTGGAAGAATCCTCAGGAGGAAAGGAGGGTCATCATGCAGGACCACTTACCTCATCTGCAACCAGAACTGTTGATGATGAACGGTGTCTTTATCCCAATCAGTAAAAAATACAGGCTTCGGTCCGTCAACCACCTCCTTTTCTGGCCGAAGATTATCGATTGTGTTGGGCCAAAATTTTGTGATAAGTTCGACCACAGAACTTGCGCAGTTGATGATTCCACCGTGCGATCTGTAGTTGATCGCCAATTGAAACATCGCAGGCTGACGAGGACATGCTCCAGCGGAATTGACTGAAATATTCTGCTGCTGCTTCAAGTATCAATTCAGGCCCGAACTAAGTGGCTGTCTGCTGACCTCAACACGGTAGAGAAACGCTTTCAGATCACTAAACCTGAAGGAACTCTCTGCAGAGATCTCTCCAGCCCAGAACAAACCGTCTGGATTCTTACATAATTGCCTCAAAACTATAACAGAAAGCTCAAGGGGTTATGTCAACAAAGGATGGAGTAGCCACTTACATAATGCGTCGATCAGAAGGTTGTCTTGTGCTTCGTCGACATACCTAGTGCAGGTGGTAAGGAGTAAGATGCGTTGGTGGTGATAAGACATACAGATAATCGATCTGTTGGCCAGGGAACCTCTGGCTCCGCAAGACCTTGAGTATCGCATGCGTGCTATTTGGGAATATATCGTGACATTACTTGGGTGAGAAGGGGAATACGTCGTACCGGTCTGCAACATCATGATGACGTCGCTGCCTCTTCATTTTCGTATAATGCTCGAACATGTCGTACAGAATTCCCCTCTGATTCGCAAAATTTGGGTTAGAACGATGAGGAAGAAGGAGATAGGTTTGACGATCGAGAACTCCTTCAGGACAAGTCAATGTGTGTTCGGAGCCTTTGATGATTCCTGTATGTATATGTATATTCAGGAATTGTCAGCGTCGATGTAATACAAATAGCACTCACCCATGAATTCGCTGAAAACCAACCACGGATCTGATGGGGTAGTGTCAGTACTCTATAGTCATCACAAGAGAAAAGGACGCTACTAAGATTCTGGCTGAGATTCTGTGGAAAATAAGGCCAGTATTGATTTGTGAATACGTCATAGGTGACGAAACAGTCATGCGCATCTGCATTGAAGAAAACTCCTGCGCTATCTTTCTTGCTGAAGATATCTGCCGCGATCATTTTCGCCAGCTACATAAAGTTTCGATTAGCTTGGGAACTGTCTAGACGACGGATTGGGGCGCACTCGATCGAAAGTTAGAAAAAGAGGAAAGTGCTTATCCTCAAGTTCGCTGTATTTCATCGGCATATTCATCTGGGATTCGGGCAGGTCATTGAGATCAACGGGGCCCTCCTGAACACTTCGTGCCTTCATTTTTGCAAGTTCCTCCAGGGTATAGCCTGCTAACGCCAGAGATTCGAGAAGCTTCGTGAAATACTCCTCCACTCTCGTAGCGAGCACTCTGGATTTGGTGACGAAGATTTGGCGTGGCTTCAGCATGTCAATAGCACTCATTTCCCAAGCTCGCTGAATGCCGAGAATCTTGAACAACATCGTCGTGGTTTTTCTAGTTGAGTGTGATTCACAAGCTACTCATATTAGGGGCAGGACACTTACCCCGTGCCTCTGCGACCCAAGACGTAACATGACGTGGTACACTCGACAATTTTTTGTTCTTGAGGTCTGAACCAATATTGACCAGTAAATTCTGTTCATTGGGGCAGAACTTACGTGAGCATAAAGACGTGCTGTACATCTTGGTCTGCGATGAGACCTTGTGCAAAGATGAGAATAAGTGGCGAGCCAACTACACGATCACTCACTATGCAGGAACGCCTAAAAGAAGAGGTTATCGAGTCAATATTCGCGTGCCCATAAACCGTATTTATAAGCTTACTTGCGAGAATGTGACATATTTCTCCAAACTAGAAAATTGTTAAATGGAAACCAATTTGTATAAGGATGGCGAAAATGCATACACAAGCAAAGAGTGAAGCTATGACATGGATCAATGACCGCACAAATGACAACTGAAAATACTCAACGTGGTCGTTGTCCTTATCACTAAGATTAAGTGGGCTTCCTGGGCATTCTGGCTCAGGGTCAGCTAGTGGGAATGACCCAGGCAGAATCGCGCTGTATTTAGATAGGAGTGGCCGTTTCCGAAAGATACACCTGCACAAGCGATGATTCACTGAAATGCATCAAGAATCGAAAGAATGTCCTCACCTTCTACGATATTCTCTGCCCTTGCGTGCGAGATGACTACCCAAGGCATCCCATACTCTGTCAAGCTGAGCATCCATATAAATACCGTATATCTTGATTACTGGAGTCCATATGAGTGCTAGTGGCGGAGAGATTTGATAGTTTACCTTGTCTTTCGGACTGTCAAGACTCCAATCTCAGTATCATGCTGGATGTTGATGTAAAAACGACGTACCTTGCCATCTTTGTCAGGGACACAATCGATCTGGTACTGTAAGAAAAGGTCAGTCGCCTCGCTCTAAACGATGTACATGAAATTACACTCACCACTAATCGTAGGTCCTTTGTCATCTTGGCATCGTAGATGGGTATGCCTGCATCCGGCCCGTTAAGTCGCTTGTGATTATCATCTGAAAAATGGCCATTCGATAGCTGTCTGTGAAACGATGAGATCATTGCAGTAAAATTCTTCAGAAGACAGACTTGATCTTCTTGAAGATGATCTTGAATATATTCTTATCTGCTCTACGGAATTCACGCAAATGTTTGTAGGCCTGCGTAGATATGAGGATTCGCCACTCTCCGAACCCGTCCGCGTTGTCGAAATAAAGCGCAGTCTTCATATGCTGCACCAATTGGTATACATTGAGTCGGTCTGTTGGGCTCTCAACATCGGTTGACGAAACTTCAGGCGCAACATATTTGGCATACTCTCCCACGATTGGGAAGAGTAAAGCTTTGATGTCGCCTGCCAATTCCGTCCTCCGCAGAAGCGAGAAGTAGAACTTACAGAGAGCTATCAGGGGAAACGTAAAAAAAAACAGCGAATATACTCACCGAGAGAGCATTTTTCAGCTTTGCAAGAATCTGAGTAGACAATAATGCAGCAGCCTCGCTCGTGAGAGGCACAACCACACCAAGCCTCACGAAGAGCGATCGGTCGATAGACGTATGAGCTTTCGGGCGATTGCGATTGCGCACTTTCTTCTTGACGAATCTATCATTAGATTTGTCGAAGATCTCGTCTTCAAACGACCGTGCGCCAGAAAATTCCATACTGTTCAACGCGAAAAGTACAGGTAAAGCGCCCTCGCTGAAGCATCTGTGGTGGGTGATGTCCCTAGAGACATCCATCGCTAGAGACTCGGCCGGACAAGCTAAAAAGTTCATAGACAGATTGTCCAGCATCTTTCTCGCGATGGATGCTGGATATTCTTGAGATTTCGTTGGAAAGTCTGTCATGATCTGTGAGATCATTGCCTCGCGGCGATCCCAAACTGTTACAGAGTCAGAGTTGATGACGCTCGATGAAAGTCTACGAGATACCAGATATGATATATGCAAAAATATGGGGTGATGACAACATATGTTCGACCGTGGCTTGTAATGCGGTTGCTCCTGAACTTGACCTTGCGTCCAGATGACGCAAGGCGGCTCTAAGGCCTGCCTCGTTGACTATTCGATCTTTGGAGAATAAGTCCAGCATGGTCCGTTGAACAAGAGGGGCTTATGATGCGAAGTGTTTATATAAAAGGCCGGGGAACTTAGACTTTAAGCTGTGTCGATGGTACAAAGGAATGCCTCGAGCTTGAGGCAATTCTGCAAGAATGTTGGAGTCCTTATATCGTCGAGTCAGCACTCTGCCTGAATTTCCTAACAGGTTGAGGCGCAAATAGCACACCTAAAATCGACAGCTGCAGGCAACGTGGAGCTGTACATGAGGGATAAACTTGGACCCCCAAATGATCCTAGATTGTGACAAGAACACGACCCTTACGTAGGCAGTGGGACTCCTAGCCTATCAGATGTGTAAGTTAAGTTCAGTTTGGCATTCCGAAATAAATCGGCCAGGGCTAGGGTCACCTCATGTCAGAATGCTGACAAAAAGTTCGCGTCTACTGGACTATCGATATCTTTCCTGGAAATAAGGCTACGAGTCACAGGCTGGACCTACGGAGCGTGTTGTGATGGAAGCAGACAAGAGAAGCGCAATATGTTAATTTTTCGGAAATATCCTAAGTATTTTATATCATACAAGTGCAGTGTGCGCAACATGCTCGAAGACAAACCAAAATAGTGGTTGCAATAACGAAAAACTCACGTAGACTTAAAGCGCTAACTTTATGGCCTGTGCAGGGTCAGCCACCAAGGCTTGACTGGGTGGAGAAGCTCTGGCCGGTATATGGTTGCCGTGAGCGTCCCCACGTTCAAGCTCGGCGATGCGTGCCCTCAGAGCGGCGATTTCGTCTGCCTGATTAGGAACTATTTGGGCCTGAGCGGGAGCTGGCTGAGGTGCCCTTGGCTGCTCTGCAGGAGGTTGCGCGACTGTAGACGCTAGATTAGGCGCTGTTGTATGAGGGGCGCGTGTGGTGTGTGGCTGGTTCTGCTGGCCTGTGGCCTGGCGTGCGCCAGGCGCGGCTTGTGGAGATGATCCAGCTTGGGTAGATTGCTCGGCAGAAGCGGTAGATCCGCTGCCTTGGGTTGGCGGCGGAGTGATAGGATTGGATGTAGTCCTGTTTTCTAATTCGAGACCGAGGTGCTCATGCATGATGATGCTAATAACTAAAGAAGGTTTGGTGTATGTGCGAGTGAGGATGTGCGAACGGTACGACGAACTCGACGTGCGGCCCTTTTACTCTTCTTTGATATCCGATACTTCCTTATTAGAATGTTTCCCACGCCATAGGGTATTGGGCATTGTGTAATTTATGTTGACAATACAAGGAACAGCTGATCACGGTGATCTCAAATTGATGATCTAGCACAAGCTTGCGAAGTTCGTGAAACGCACGGCAGCCAATCCTCGAGTGTGGAAGGTCGTTATCAGTAAGTTCAGACCATCTGTATTGTCCATGTGAGCCCTCAGTCAGATCAACATGGCTAATGCTTTTCACGCCTCAGCGGCTCTCCGCATCCATGGCACTCATTTCTTACCATCAAGTGGTATCATCAACTCCGGTGAATATATATACAAGTCGAAAACGAATGTCAAGTCTGCTGAAGTACAGATCATCAAGCATTCGCCAACGCCAAGTAAGTGAAGCAGGAAAGAGGTTGCGACGGATGTTTTCTTCAGCCATGTAAGTACTCGACCCCAACACATGTTCTCACCTGAGTTACTTTGCCTTAGAGAGCTTTCTCGCGGGAATTCATTTTCCCTGCATATGCGGTACAACAAACGTTCTGGAACTAAGCGTGAAGATATTACTTTCGATCCAGATGACGTGATCCGCATGTATAATTCAAGATAAGGTGAAACAAGAATCAATGCATTGCTTTCTCGCCTTGATCGCTCGCGGGTTCCAACAAGGTTCATAACAACATCAGCATCGTGGTCGAACTTTTCAGGAATACAACAACCGAAGCAAGGATCCACGTCTGGCATCAAGCCCATCTAAATCATAGCAGGCTGAGCAGTCTGTCTCTTCCGATCAAAGCCTTAAGCCTCCTACCACTTGCAAAATATTTCGGAAATGTCTTTGGTGAGTCATAAAGTGCCGTTCTTGAGGCTGATACTCCCAAGGTTCCGAGTTCTAGTGATAGGAAAGGTATCTAGCTTTTTCCGATGCCAGGCTAGTGTTGACCGCGCGTTTTTAATAGTCTGGCCTCGGCAAATCATCCACGCATTTGGAGTGGGAAAAGAGGTGTGCCAAACACGACGTTTCAACGAGTACAGCTACTCATGCTGTTAATAGATCTTTGCGCACAATAAGCTAGGCGAGGACAACATCGACAAGGAGCTCATCTCACCTCGGAACGAAAGGTTTGTTCTCCACGATAGCAAAGTACCTGCCTGCAACGCAATATAGTCCAGCGTTCATCTTTGTACGTTCCCCTTGCCCTGCATCTGTCACTACTGCCAACTTCCTACTGCCGTACTCTAGTATTGTCTCCAGTCCTTGAAACCATCTCTATCTACGACTAACGACATTTGTCTCGAACATTCGCTCTTCTTGACACGGTGTCCTCTCTTCATTATCGCTTGGTGTATCTTCTATATGATTATTAGACTATCTTTATAGCGCACTAGACGTAGCCATTGTATCTCATCATATGGCATGGATGTATCCTTCTATGTAGTTGTTGAATTTTATCAAGCACGTATTGCGTTGTACAATCACATGGCTATCACAGACGCGGATATCAAAAGGTATACAGAAGGAGGGAGGGGACCGTCGAGCACAGTGAATGGTGGATCTCAGGTGGCGCACGTAATCATGTTGGAAATCGTACTAATGACGGCGAACCAGTGGGTTGTTGGCGATTATGCAGAAGTACTAGTACACCAGTATACAACTACAGTCAACAGCGACGACAACGATAACGAAAGAACTCGAAGGTATGTAACAACATTCCCGGACGTGAAGGTATTCCAAACCCAGACATTCTAGGAGGCTCCCGCGACACACGGCGCAGTAGCCGTTCTCAAAGATCTAAGATGCCTGTTGACTTGAAGCCAACTCAAACCATTTATGTTTTGAACTCGGTCGACACAAGGGAGCCAGGCGGAAATGATGCGAGCGATGGTTTCAGCATCTATTAGAAACTCGGATAAGTCCAAAGCCAATGATCGTAGGGAGGTATGTTGTATTGGCTCGGCATCAGGATTGATGTCGATAGTTGCAATCTTGATTGGAACTTGTAGTGTATGCAATTGTGGACATAGACCGATCGCTGTGAATAATCCACGGAGGGAGATTTCGGAAGAAGGAACACGGTCACCTGAGTCATCGATTTCCAGAGTGCGGATGTGCGGCCAAGTAGACATAGCTTGCAAGAGCATATCATTGTCCAGGTAGATGTAGAAATTATTAAACATGAGCTTCAGGGTTTGGAGCTGTGTGAAGCAAAGGAAATGCGGAATTGGTGTCAAAGACTCGTCGTCTCCCACAAAATTGTCATCATAACAACAAATGGAGATTTCTTCTAGAGTCCGACACGCATTGCAGTGGGACAGAGCATGAAAGAGTTGCTCGGCCTGTTCTGAAGAGAAACGGTGGGCTTCAAACTCGAACTCCTTCAGCGAGGGAAATTGCCAGTGTTGCATGACTGTGATGATGTCTCCGGCATCGTAGAGCTGTTGAAAGGAAAGGCTTGTGATGTGAAGGAATGATAAATTCACGATATCTTGTTTTGGCAGCGAAGGATGGTCATTATACCCTTGATCAATTTCCAATTTGCGAAGGGTAGGGAGGTGGGAGAGATGCTTCCATGTTGCCCAGTCGACCATTGGACAAGACAGAGTTACAAGCCGCGTGCACCAATGAATCCTATCGGATAGGAAGGACAGTTCATTTGCTGTGCTGCCATCACCATCGCATATTCCAGGAGTGTAGATGCATAGATGCTCCAGAGCAATGCAACGTGTCACAAAAGATTGCAAACCCTCGTCGACGCTCAATAGATGACATCGGTGCAGCATGCGAGGCAGAAAGAGGTTCAAATATGTGGTGGAAAGACTTAATGACTTCAGCCTCGGAAATATGCATGCCTCGGTGGGGATGACAGAAAGAAGGTGCGGATGATCAGATTGTATGTCCAATGTGCGTATACGGGAGGAGTGACGCAGAAATTGATGGGCCTCATGGGCAGATAATGGCTCGACGCCTTTCGACCAGGGCTCGTCCCGCTATTATGTAGACGCTCAGTGAGCCGAAAAAAAACGAACAAAGCATAATGAAGTCGTGCACTGACCCTTGTACCACTATGATATATCAGTGGATGTAACCTCGCTACACAGCCTAGCAGTGGTTCTAACTCATGGATTTCAGTCCACAGCAAATTCATCGCAGGCTCGTGGAAGATTTTGCATGTCCTTGCAAGTGCTGCAAGCAATTTCCGGGTCGATGATGTTTGAGTAGATGGTATTGTGTTCACATAAGCGAATATTTCCAGGAGGACTTCGGGAATAAGTAAAGCCTGATGCATCAGTAGAGTCAGAGCTCAAAACTAGGTTTGATGTAAATCCAAAAACACATTGCCTACTACTACTTACGTGTGGGCTGCTTAGCACAGATACAAGGACGAACCGTGAGAATTCAAGCGAGTGAGAAAGCCATTTGAGTCTCCTCACTACCAACCATGATGCCACGGCGGCAGATGAATTCTCTTTCCGAATGGATCGTTAGGGCATGGCCAGGCTCGAGGGCAGCACCTATCACAACAGTCTCAGGTAAATCTTTCCCAACAATCCAAACCAGGTAGTACTGCTAGTTTCAGCAGTGTTAGTAGGGGAGCCGTTGGAAGCTTCAGGTCATCAGAGAACCGATGAACAAATGAGAATGTTATTTAAAGCAATATATAATACAGCATCACAATAATCTTCGTATATTTGCTGACCGCTTCCACATGAGAATATTTGGCATTGTCGAGGAATCAACAATTTGAAAGCACACCAGCTGAGGAGCGATATTGGCTAAGTAATCTCTTTCATTTGAATGGGTGTACAAAAACATAAATGGGCCCAGGTTCATAAAGTTTAATACAGACAGATACTGAGAGGGAAAAGAAAGGAGGTTGCAATCTGTGAAGGTGAAAGACACTGCGATGATGTTATTAGTAGTGCGGGTATATGTCGTTTGGTCCGCAGGTAATCTTGCAGTTAATTTGCTCGAGGGTTGAATTTTGTGCTAGACTCGAAACACTACAGGACAAATCTAGAGGTGAAAAAAAACGACAAAGTGTTCCCCAGTCAGCAACGATACATCAATTACCTGTGAAGATAATGCTCGAGCCAAGCAAACCACAAGTTCCATGGCGAAAGCAACGTTCAAGTTATTAAATTGTTAGCTGCTAGATGTCGATTGGGGATCCGTGCGAAAAAGCATTGCCTTTGCGGAGAGCGGATGTGTTCAATACGTGAGTGACAGATCAACTTTTGTTCCGCTTTGACTTTTGACGACATCTGCTTGAAAATTTTAACTGTCGTCATTAATGTGACAATTTGTCAAGGTGTAATGAAAGCAAATACCTTCCAGAGGGTGACGATATGCTCACCACGCGAGTAACAATTTATTTATATGCTGCTTGCACTTTTGATGGTATTCTCTTTAGATATCGAATGTCTGAGAGTTGTATCCCACTTTGGATAACGTCACAAGATGTCGTAGCCTTGCGCAGGCACTACATGTTTATATTATAGTGCTTTGACTCAGTACTTGACGACAGTGGGCCATGAATCGGCTCAGTATTCCACTTACTATTCTATGTATTTGCAGTAAGTTCTCCGAAGTGAAAATGTTCTGTCCTGTCATTAGCGCGAAGAGCAGAAAATACAGACATCATCATGATGCCACTGCATCTCTTGAATTCGCATCATCTGACTTGAACGGTGCTATTAGCGTGAATGCTAGATAATGCAGGGGCCAACCACAGCGAACTTTCTTTCCTGTTGGTGGCGCGAAGACCAAAAATACAAACATCATCATAATGCCGCTGTGTCTCTTGGATCCATACCATCCAACCTGAATGGCGCTATTAGCATGAACATTAGACAATACAGAGCCCACCACAGCATCACTGCATTATTCGGAACTAGCCTATCAATCACAATTAGGCTGATCTACCAACTGAAACCAGATCATTCCCATGAATCGCGATAATGAATTGCTAATGATTAGAGAAAACAACCCTTCTAGAGACCCTATTAGCATGAGTACTATATAATACAGAGCCCACCACAGTGTTGCTTTATTTCTTGGATTCAGCCTATTAATCACAAGCGGGCGGATCCACCAACTGAGACCAGATCATTCTCATGAATCGCGACAATAGATTGCTATCAATTAGAGAAACAAACCCTCCTGGAGACCTGAGAATAGAGGGAGTTAGCATTCCATTGTCTGGCATCCGAGCTAAGTATCCTGTTCACTTGCAAATCTGATCATACATGTGAAAAATTATCGAAGCACTCTTCAAGGGACTTCTGAGCAGTACCAGACATTTTCATTGACTCAGATAGGACCAGGGAATAAATTGACGCATATTGGCAAAATCAAATTCATCTGATACGAAGACACAACATATCATAATTATGGGTAATATATAAGGCTATAGCGAGAGTATCACACAAGAAGTAGGACGAGCAGGAAAAATGGAAAGCAACTAGTCGGAGTCAAATATGGCGTCCTCCATCTGCTGTCTCTGGGCGGCGAGAGCATTGACAGACATTTTGGAAACGACATTCGGCATCAAGTCCTCTCGATGGTTTCTTCCAAAAACTTTCCTGCACATGACTAATTTAGCTATCCAAACGAATCACTGACGCTGATAGCTTACCTAGTCCACCACTCGAGAAGTTGATTTATCCTGGATCGCACAGCTGCACCCGGGGGGGCTTCAAAAAAGTCTACGATATTGTTCCAGAAAACATGATAGTCGAAATCCCCGTCTACAGTACGCCAGGAAGTGATATTGGAAAGCGCGAATCGAATCTGAAGATTTCAGTTTCACAATTAGAATAAAGTATCGATGCTACTTACCTGGCAAGCAGTATACGCGATCGCGCGAGGTGTCACTTTTCTCATGCCTATAATAGAGGCAACGCACGTCTTGACTTTGGCTTGATCCGACCATCTCCGGGCGCATCTGCAATTCTCAATGATATCGGCGCCATTGCCATTGCCATCGACTTCATTGGCAGAGGAGGGGTGAAAATGGCCTTGAACCCCTTCAATACAATGAGCTGTGAATCAGTTGCAAGAATTAGGTCACCCACCATAACCAATAACTTCGACTTCATGAGCCCGCGCTCCAAATTCTTAGCATCAGCTTCATAGTTCTCATACATAAACATTGGCCACAAGTTTTTAGACACGATGAAAGAAGTCGTACGGTCGCGAATGCCAGCCTTGATGCTAAACAAAATGTCAGCGACATGCGAGTGACAAAGATCATCACATACATTGGGTCCTCCCAATGCCACTCCGCTGGGCAGAGTAGTCGACCACACGCATCGTCGACGAAGCCTCGATGGTGCTTGTCGTCGGTCCTGATGAGTGGAGTCGGGCAATGCAGAATATTGATCCATGAAGCAATGAGGTCTTTGAGCGTTCCTGTGTCGTCACCACAAGCTGAGTCTGCACCTTGCTTGAGCTACATCGAAAATAAGAACCGGATGTGACACATTAATGTTGGGATCACCTTTCTGAGCATATCCTCCGACTCCTCATGCTCAAGAGTTGCTAGCCTCTCGTGAATCCATGGTAATGATTTGGCGAGTTTGATGTAGCTGCGTTGAAGGCGGTCTTGTCTATTCCTGATTTTGAACAAGAACGTCAAGACAGACATGATGAGCACTTACTCAAGAGTAGAACCGCTGTCTCTGTCTTCACAATGCTGATCATTTTCAGCGACTAGGTCCTCTATGGGACTGTAGAGGGCAACCATACGACGGATAGCTCGTCCCTATGAAATGTAGTAAGTTGTCTTCCTACAATTAGGTATATTGAGTTGAGTTTGAGAAGTTCAAAATGTGCAAACCTATGTTTTACCGCCTTGTCCTGCTTCAAAGCTTCGACCTCCTCCATAAGGGCAGTAATTCTCCGCTTTGCCCTAGCATGAGGAGATGTCGGAACACAAAGCGATACTTCTCTAGGAGAAACAGAAAGGTCTCCCGCAGAATCGTCCCCGGATAGAGTCATACTGAAATTTTTGAGAGGTGGAAGAGAGTGAAATGTGAATGAGGGAGAACTTCGCGGTCAGAGGTCGTCTTATATGCTTGTCGTCTATGCTAATGACCTGACATAGGACTTAAACTCAAATAGGCAGGTGGACTTTGACCTTACATGGTAACTGTTACAAGTAACATCGGTCGCGTGGCCCCCCTATCATTTTCCCTTCATCCTCGCCCTCACCATCTACCGGCTCGTCCTCCTTTACCGACTTTCCGTTGACCGGATCCTTGGGACCATTCCCATCCCTCGCATCGCCCGCCTCTATGCACGTGCATGCACGTTCCTCCTATTGTTACGAACTAGGGTAGTTCTAACAATGACAACTCGACAGAGTTTGCGGTCGTTGAGATTCTCAGTCTCTCAGACAAGAGAGAGTTCTATGGACTTAATCAAAGGAGTGCTTTGACTAAGAATCGGGTTTCTAGACGACTTAAGATTGGAGATCTTAAGCGAAGGAAGTTCCAGGTAAAACCTAGTAAGATTCAAGTGAAGAATACAAGTGTAATACATGTGCTTAAATGGATCCATATGTGCGCACAGACCAAGTCATCGTGAGATAGTAAGTACAGGTCCAAGAAAGGAAGGCATATCATATGAGTATAAGAAGAATGAGATAGTGTTGTAACATTACCCCCTTACTAAGTGTGAAGTCACTGACTTTACATATCTTGGTTTTCCCAATAGATAGGGTCGTCAGAATAGTCAAGCTGATCGTCTCCTCCTCCGGTAAGGTACTCTGCCTGTCGGAGAGCTTCCTCTTCCTGGCACTGGTGGACGTAAGCTTCGTCTAAACTTTTCTCCCAGTGAGAGAGCTCTTGGTAGAATCCTTCATCCTTCCAAGTGAGTGTAGTGGGGGAACATCCGGTGAATTGGTGGCAATATAAGGAGAGATGTCCTGGAGAAAGCTCCCTACATATTCTGCAATAATAATCGGGGCAGTTTGTTTGGCGATGGCCAAGGGTTTTGCAGTATCTGCAAACACAATTTTCGTCTGGTTTTGAGGATGAGGGTCGGATTACGGGGGGAGCGGGACAGCGACTGAATGCTTCATCATCGCTAGAGGCTCTTTTCTTTCCCTTGCCTCGGTATCCGCGTCTAGGGGATCTTCTTTTCCTGCTAGAAGATTCTTTTATCTGGGCTATGTCTTATCTAGCTAGTACGTAGACTGAGGACAATGGCATGGGGATTTGTTCTGCTTCCGTGATTAGCTCAGCGTACTCTGCAGGGGCAGTAGGTCCAAGGGCTTGCACAGGAACGAGGCAGTCTACGAATGTCGGTGGGGTGAGTGTGGATGGGATAGTCATTGGTGGATGGATGTGTAGCGCTTTAAGCGCTTCAGCAAGTTCGATGGTTTCATTGGGGGAAGAAAGCGACTGTTCCATGGTTATTTCTTCGTGCGTGGAAGAGAAGGCGGTGTAAAGGTTTTCTGGGTGCTCTATAGTTTCTTCTGGAGCAACGACCGTATCAGACGTGGTTGCAGATGCTGTCGAAACTATTTGTAATGCAAGTTGGGTTTCTTCTTGCAGGTTAACGATCATGGCGTTGGTAATCTCCGTGAGGCTGTTAACAGCAGCCAATAGCTTGTCAGACACACAAGGAGGAGGAATAGGAATTCCACCATCATAGGAAGGTGGTGGGCGAGCGACTCTGGAGACTCGTTCAGCGATGATGTGAATAACTTCCTGGATATCTGCCCTAACCTCCTGAGGGATAAGACACAGAGTGTAAGCGTGAATGCATTTCTGTAAATGCATGATGCCATGCTGAACACGTGGTTCTTCCACATGTCGAACGAGTCTTTCAATGAGGTCGGTGGACCTGATGACATTGACGAGGAGGTTGACGGAGAAGGCATTTCGGTTGATAAGGATTTTGTTGATTTCAATGGCATGTTGGGGACAGAGGATTGCGGCTTCGATGAGAGTAAGGTCTTCGATTTCTGAGATGAAGGATTCAAATCTTCCTTCATCAGAGGACAGGTCAATTGGGGCGAACACAGATTCATAGGGAAGAGTGTAAGAAACTGGGAAGGACATAATGTTTGTGTTTATGGGGCGATATCACAGCGAGTGTTTTCTTTTATAGATCAAAAGGGTTTCTCCGGCATTTTCCAGGTTTTCTTCTGGGATCCATTTGTTGCTAGCGGAGGAATATCCTTTCCACGATATTAGATAACGGCGACGTTTACTGGTACCTTTGTGAGCCAGGATAGCTTCTATTTCATACTCTTCTTCTTCTTCTAGAATGTCAGGTGGTGGTTCCAAGAAGTTCGGGCCATGAACATCATTTTCACTATAGGACGATAGTAGGGAAGCATGGAATGTGGGATGTATTTTCCATTGTGGAGGTAGTTGGAGTGTGAATGTGATCGGAGATAGTACAGCAGAAATGGGGAAGGGACTGTATCTTTTCGGAGCGAGTTTCCGAGAGGGAAGTTTTAGTCGGAGATTGGTTGCAGATAACCACACCTTATTGCCTACTTTCCATGGCTGGTACTTCTGGCCGAAGGATCTTTCCGTCATGCGTTGCATAGCAATGTTGTGGCAGGCAACCGCTTCTTCTCTTATCTTCTGAAGAAGTCGAACTCGTTCTTCCGCAGCTGGTACCGTTGAGTCTGCCAAGACATGGGGGATTCCTTTAGGCTCATAACCCATCATGATGTAGAAAGGTGAAGCATTTCGGGCATCATGCTTCTATGATTGTGAACGAATTCTGCCATGGGAAGGTGTTCTACCCAATTGGTTGGGTCGTTGCTGCAATAGATCCGTAGGTATGTTTCTAGTTCTTGATTGAGTCGTTCAGTTTGTCCATCAGTTTGTGGATGGTAGGCGGTGGAAGGGGCGATAGAATAATCAAGGAGTCGAGCTAATTCCATGGAGAACTTCGAGAGAAATTGGGGTCCTCGGTCAGAGATTACTTTGTCGTGTAATCCGAAGCGTTTGAATACGTGTTTCAGGAATAGTTTGGCTACTCCTCGGAGGTAATATTTTTATGGCAAGGAGTAATTATCACCCCCTTACTAAGCCCATGGTCTACCACGACCATGATGGAATCAAAACCAGAGGAGAGGGGAAGATCCGTGATAAGATCGACAGAGATCTGTGAAAAAGGTCGAGTGGCAACGGAGGAAATGGGGACAAGAGGTGGCGTAACAGGATGTGTATCGGCCTTCATTTGCTGGCAGGTGGCACATCCTTCAACATATTTTCGGATAAATGCTCCCATGCCAGGCCACCAAGCTTCGCGTTTAACCAATTCCTCAGTTTTGAAGCGACCGGGATGACCAGCGGTTGGATGGTCATGGTATCGAGCCAACATAGCTTTGCGATGATCAGGAGCAATATAAGCTCGATTTTTGTAGGATAATATTCCAGAATCTACTTTCCAATCGCTTAAAGCGGATTTCATCGGGGGAAGACAGACACCGTTGAGGGCGTCTACGGCAGTAGCGAATATCGGATCGTTAAGTGGATCCGAGCTGGCAAGGGTGGTGCGAAGGTCATCATCGATGAGTCGAATAAACATGGAATCAGGAAGTAGAATGGTATTATCGTTATCGGAGGACTCCGGTATCATGGTCTGGTCGTCAAGAAAGGGCATCAGGTACAGCTAATTTAGAACCAGGAACATGATGTAGTTCCAAATCAAAGTCAGTCAGAAGCATCTGCCATCGTGCTTGTCGATGGGATAAGTGCTCTGCTTTCTTAAAATAGAGCAAGTTCATGTGATCTGTGAAAACTATGATTGGGGAGGGGTGTCCTTCAAGATAATGCCACCATTCGGTTAGTGCACGAATTATGGCAAGGAGTTCTCAGTCGAAGATTGGGTAATTTCGTTCGGCTGGGTTGAATGATTGCGACAGATAGGCGCAGGGGTGATAGATACCATTTCCGTCAGTTTGTAGTAGAACTCCTCCTGTTGCTACTAATGAGGTGTCCGTGGCAATAGCGAACTGTTTTACGGGATCTGGATTGCGGAGTACGGGATGGGTAGTGAAACAGGTTTTTAATAAGTCAAATGTTTGTTGATGCTGAGCGTTCCAAGAGAAAATGGTATCCTTCTTTGTCAGATTGATAAGGGGACGAGCGATATCCGAGTAGTGCGTGACAAATGATCGGTAGAAATTGCAGAATCCTAAAAATGACCGAACTTCTTTAACAGAAGTAGGAATGGGCCATTCCTTGATGCCATTGGTTTTTGCTTTGTCCATTTCTACGGATCCTGGTTTAATGACCATGCCAAGAAATTCGACTTCTTGAGAGTCGAATGTGCATTTTTCTGGTTTTAAAAATAGCTTTTCTGCTCTAATCTTTGTTAAGATCCGTTTTGTGCGTTCGTGATGTTCTTCAAGTGTTTTCGAAAAGATAAGGATGTCGTCCATATATCACCAGCCATCCTTCGTTGATTTCCTGACGGAATTCATTATCCATAAATGCTTGAAAGGTGGCAGGTGAGTTGCATAGCCCGAAGAACATTACACTTGGTTCGAATAATCCATGCTCCGTAGTAAACGCGGCTTTCCATCGATCATCCGGGTGGATGCGGATATTGTTATAGCCTGATCTGATATCCATTTTCATGAAGAAGTTTGCCCCATGTAATCGTTCGATAAGAGTTGCCGGAAGTGGGAGAGGATAAGAGTTCTTTATCGTTTGATCATTAATGCCTCGGTAATCTTGACAGGGACGAAGCTCTCCACTTTTCTTTCCTACAAAAAAGAAACCACTGGCTTGTGGGGATTTCGACAGAGTGATAAAACCTTTCTCCAAGTTTTCGTCAATAAATTTCTTTACTGCAAGCCTTTCTTTTGGGGAGAGAGGATATACTTTAGATGTTCTCGGAAGGAACCCAGGTTTTGTTTCTATGTGGTGGTCTATTCCAGGATGTTCCAGAGGGAGTTGTTTTAGTCCATCTTTGGCAAATACATCTGCAAATTCATGAAGATAAGCGGGCACGAGTTCTTCGAA